AGACATGAATGCACGAATGTACGAATGCAGTGCAGGCAGACTGTGTGTTTTGTCAATTGGATGCAACACCAAGTTATGGTGTGCCGTGAAGCCGAGATAACTCCTCGCGGGCGACGATGCTGGGTGAGTGAAGGATTGCCGCCTCATTTCTTGGAATCTACCCGCGGGTATCGTAACCCTCCTCTCCCTCTTTCCTGACCCCTCCATCTCAAGCGATTGATTGACAGCCTTCATTGAAAGCAAAGCGGGGGTTGCAGTTTGATATCTCAAGCTTGTGTGTGTGTGTCCTCAGAGGCTATGCACCTTTATGAACAACCCTCCCCTCTTTTATGCCTACCCCAACCTCTCCTATCTCCGAGGCACGAATCCAACTTCATGATTGGTTCGCTGTGGTGGGTGTAAACAGTCAGAGCTCTCAAGTTCTTCCTGTTCCCAATCTGTAAGTCTGCAGTCAGCCATGCACGTTATTCTCGCTTAATAGATGAAGGTTGCGTTCCCCCCCCTCAGCTGTTGTTATCATTCTGCTGCCACCATTTTCACGTGAAACGACGTTTACTATCAGGGCGGAAGAGGTGCGGTTGCACAGCTGGGAACCTGGGTTTTTACCGAGTATATGCGCGCCTGGGGCGAGGTGTTGCACCATCGCTTTCTCTTGCCATTGGGCTTTTCTCGCCCTCCCTCGCAAGCAGGACACATGTCAGGCAAAAAGGGCATGATATCGTTCCGTGTCGCAGCCACCAACCTCCTGTTTGAGTGCTTTGATGAAGCTATTCCGACCCTACATTTTGCATGCGTACACCACCTTGCAAGGCAAGAATGTGTGGCGTTTGTAGGACCTTGGTTGTTACGCCGGTTTCTGTCGGCCTGAGAGGACATGCCGTCTTTCATGCACAGAGTAAGTGTTGAAAAAAAAAAAAGAAAAACACCCTGCGCCATCGGGATGCACCCCAGACAGGTTTGAAGACGCCAGATAGACAGGTGTGGCAGACATGATCCTGGGAACACGATGTGCACTTTCGCCTTTCGATGACATCCGCGATATGTTTCCCAGTGCCGCTTGGAATCTTCAATGGCGACGACCGAAACTGGTCCAGTGCTTCCAGGAAAGCAGGTTCCAATCCCTTGTGCATGATCACCATCGCGTACCGACCCGACCCGAAAGTGTGACGAGACGGGCATCAGTGTCGCCAGGACGGATGTGTCTCTCTTCGCCCGTCTATATATATATACATACTCGAAGCTGCGATGTCGCTGTGAATATCAGCCGCAAAGTTGATCCCATCCAGAGAGTGAGGCCGCTGGGTTTCACCGAGCGCCCGTACTGCTGCACAAGAGGAACTTTCTTCGCTGTCTCCAATCAGTGGTCACATTCGTAAGCATTCCGTCCCGCGGCCTTATCTAATGTGACGTCTGGATGGGCACTATCTCGGCCAATCTCGTCGCCGCAATCCATGATGGTGTACTGCAGCGCTGGATTCACCAGGGGTCCGAACCGGCCTTTCACCTTGATCGGCAGCTGCGGTGCGGGTGACAACAGCCTGGGGTGGAGGGTAGGGGGACGACCGTTCCTTCGGCTGCGGGAGTCGCAGATCAGGGTCCCTGGTTGATAAGCGTGCCCAATGGAAGGTTCACTGCTCGGTGCTACCGATTCGAGAGGAGTGGGTGTGAGGAATTTTGCTTTGAGTTTGTCGAGGCAGTTATTTAATAGGACGCCGGTGTTGACTAAATCATGGAGGGCTGCGGACCTTGACGTCTGCCCTCCATCCTTTTCCCCAGAGAAAGAGAAGCCGCTGAGATCATAATTGAAACCTCACCACCAGATCCGTCAGCTTTTCCGGGGTTAAATTGACAACGGGGTGTGAAATTCCTTGTCGGAGCTCTTCGCGCATGGAAGGGTAAATGCTCACCGATATGGACCGGTGAAGAGCTCTCCCGTCTCGATCGTGAAAGCATTCATGCTCTAGATCCCGCGAGTAGCCGTCTCTGCCGCTCCCGAAACCTTTGCGATTTCCCCATCATGGCTGTCACAAAGCGGCCGGCTGTCATGCAAGACAAGGGCGTCGTGCTGCTTTCGTGCGGACTGCCACCCGCGTGATCGCGATTACAGCCCCCGTTCTTCGCTATCGCCGGACTATGCAATGGGTTGCTGAATAATCTCTCTTTTCGTTGCCCGCATTGCCGTGAATAGACGAGAGGAGGCCATCTCGATGTCTGCAGACCTATCGGGTCATTGTCGTCAGTTGTGAGAGTAGATCGCCATTTGAGGCTCGGCGGGCGCGTGCTCAACGGCTACGCAACTCGAACGTTGATCACCAAAGGATCCCGGGAAATGGCTCCCTGATCATCACCGACCGTAGCATATAATCGCCAATGCCTGGGGGGCAATAGCCGATGTTGCCCACCATCAGGGTACCAGTTCAGAGCAGAATCAAGAGAGGTGCAGATATCGATATATCATTCTCGCTGCAACCCGCCGATCAATGGCGCAAGCGAGGTTGCGTGTGGCTGCGTGTATGTGCCAAAAGGGGTGTGCGTCTGGGAAAAAACATGGGGATCACGCAATGTACCATGCTTGTCCACAGCTTGTAGCCGCCAAATCCGGGGGATGTATCTCGATTGTTCCAAGCAAAGTTGGAGCCAGATGCACCAGGAAAAAGGCAGCCGGCACCGGCTCCATCAGGGAAAGTCGTTAGTAAATTCGCCATCATTTGTCCCCAGATTAATTTTCTCGTCCGCGCGGTCGATCAGCTGCAGAATCGCTCGCTGGCTTGGCTGTAGTCAGGGTCCGACTGATCGGCGTTGGGTACCCCACAAGCTGTGACGAAAGCCTTGATTCTGTGCATGCGGCGTTCGAACCAGCTCTGATGTCGATCTCGGGTGATGAAACCGACCATCGGTGATTGACTCGGGATGAAGTCAAGGTGCAGATGAACGTGAGAAATCTCGGTGGAATTGACGACAGCGGTCTCAATCTTTCTCTGGAGGGTATAACGCGTTTTTTGATCAAGTAGTTGGCAAGATCAAGTTCAATGCATCATAATTCAACATCGGAACTGGCTGCGGACACTGCGCAGCTAATTACCACAGATGCAGGATATGCGAAGCTGCCCTCAGGAACCTGGTTGGGTGGCTCTAGGGCGCCTGTAGCCCCCAGGTGGTGTTCACTCATGCTATGGAGCTGACATTGAGACCCCTGTGATTTTGCCTCTCCCTCTCCCTCAATCTTTGTGTTGTGGACGATATCATACAAGGGTTCTGCTCGAGATTGCCGTAGCTCGCAGGGCTCTCTAGCTGAAGTGGTGGGCTCCAGAAACTCTGGGCAATGGGATGAGGTCGGTGGAATTCCGGCGGCAGTGAAGTCGATGAGCCAGTGAAGAGTTTCTTGGTATGCTGGCAGGCCCTCGTACACTAGGAAAGTTGTGATTCAGCGGCGTCGCCATTTCCAGCCCACAGGATATTAAGTTGAGAAACACACCTCGTCCCTGTGTAGTTGATTGGGTCTGAGATGGTTGACATGAGAAGGTTGGTAACAAGGCTGTGGACAGTGAATGGCAGGATCGTGTAGGGGTTTCGAGCGGCTCGTGGTTGCCGTAGATCAAGGAAAGGATGCAACAGTGAGGCGTTCAAAGCTCCGAGTCCGCCAGTAACGTTGTAGGCGCGGGCAGGACCAAACACGGTTACGGTAGATGTGTGGACTAATTGGAAGCAGGGTATCTGTATTTCACTGGGACCGGTTGGGTTCTGGCGGAGGAACTTACGAAATAGCACACCTCCAGAGAGCCATATCGTCCCTGTGGCACCCAGCCTGACAACATCTAGTATACCAATGGTGTCTGAGTTCGATGATTAGTGAATCTAGCATACCTTGGGAACACAATGAGTCTGTTGGTGAATGTCGCCACAGAAGACACAAGCCGTGACACCGCACCGGCATCGAAGGTGGAAGGCGAACAAGCTAGGAGGAAGTCGAGGTAGGATATGCTATTTGAACAACTCATTATCCTCCTGGGAAGGAATTCAAAAGAGTTGATCGAGTGTGTTAAAAGAAGAACGTACGGTACAATAAACACTTTTCTGGAACAACTTCTGGGGCCCGGCTCCCAATGTGACTTTTACTCTGCCGAGTCAAGTCAACAGAAGGTAATGCTGGTGATTGTGTTGTGCGGTCAAGGCGGGGAGAACACAGTCGCACGAACATCTTGTCTCGATTGCCTAATATTATCCCTTTCTATGCGACCGTCTAATCCGGAAATGCTGCGTGCACGATAGAGCAGTGCCGAGACAGAAAGGTCGTGTGTAAGGCATAAAGCTCCTGGCCCTTGTTTCATGATCACGGGGACAAGGAGGACGACGAGTCGAGGACGGCATGGGACAAGTACGGCCAACTCTTGAATCAGACTGCAGACCGAATCACCACTTGTCATGACAAGGACGCAGCACCGGTCAACGGTTTTCCGCTGGAATCGAATGAAAATGCCAAAGCTCTGGGCTCCTGGATTCGTTTTTTTTTTAATCGTCCTACCCGCTATGTACGGTAGGACCTTTCCTTCTCTCCCCAGATATCGTAGCGCTAGCAAACTTGACGCCTTGGGCGGATAGCAGGCCGTCTCCCTTTCGTCCTCCTCACAGGGCCCTCATCCTACCGCGTGTTACAGACTTGTTAGCCACCCGAATTCAAAATCAGAAGGGGAGTGGCCTGGGCCTAGATCGTACCTTTGCCGTGGTCGGCGCAAGCGCCGCCATCGATCTCAACGCCGAGTGAGAAAGGCCCAGAGACAGGCACAGACACCAACGATCGCCATGGTGGCTTTGAGTGTGGCCAAGGTAATGGCCCAATTGGTGGGAGCTTTGGCACGAGCGCTTGCCAGGGCCGTCTCTGAAGCCACCTTCAGCGAGGCTTCGAAGGCATCGGGTTCGGCAATATTGCCGCCGATGCAGATGATGTCGTCGGCATGGCCGACGACAAACTGGCCTGCTTGCGCAGGAGCCGGTGGGCCATTCTAGGGGCCGCCGGGCGCCGCGTTCGGCGTGGCCTGGTTCGGAGCGTTGTCATTGTTGCCTGCGAAGAATTAGCGTTGGGAGATGAGTGGAAGCCTGAGGAGATGGTGAACGAGAAGGCCAGAAACACACCGTTGTTAATCGCGGCTCCGAGAGCGCGAAACAGCCCTCTCAGGAGCTCGACGGCGATGGTATCATCCATGTTGGCGCGATCCATGTTGGCGCGATCCGTGACGATGATGATGGCCTCGACTCGGGTGTTGGGTGGAAGGTTGCGAGGAAGCCTAGCCGCCATGGCTGTGGCATCGACAACAAAGATAGGCATTGCAGCGGGTAGGGCGTTGGTAGGGTAGTGGGGGTGGGACCGAATCTTGGACGCTTGATAGAATGGAAGCTGTCGCAGATGGTTGGTTGGAGATGTGATGGAGCGTCAGAAGGGATTGTGTGGGAATCTATATAGAAAAGGACCGCGTTGCGTGGGCCCAGATAGACAGATAGACCAAGCTTCTGACAGAATTCTCCTTCCGCTTTAATTTCGGTTGCACTTCGGATTTATTGGCCTTCAATTCACCAGGGCCTCCAATTATTTCCAACTCACCTTACATTCAAGCCATCTCACCTTGCAGGTGCCCTCTGATGCATATTTGAAGGGACATCTGTCTCAAAACAGAGACAACGGCGTTTTGATGAGGGCATCCCCTTTGAGCGATCCTTACAGCAACTACTAGAAAGGCAGAACAAAGTCAAGGCAGACAACTCAACAGGATGGTTGTCGTTGTTGTTGTCGTTGTCCGAAGTCTTGTGGGAACAAAAGGGGGTTGTCAGAAGGGCTCCAGCTGGATACACAGGAGCATTGGTAGTGCGATTCTTGCCACGCCAAGAAGGTTGGTTCCAAGAATCCTCCGCCTCGAGGGCGCTGACGTGCAAACGTAGATAAGGAGTGACAGCAATGATCCTCGCGGATTATATGCCCGGACGGGCGTTCCATGCATTCGGTCCCGGAACCGGCAGCAACGGCAGTGCAAACGATCGTCTCTCTCCCGTAGAAGAGGAGGAAGCTGGCCAGCAGTCTGCAGGCCTATGAAAGCACTACCTCAATCCCCGACCATACATAGCCGACCCTCCTCCCCAAGATTCTCCGACCAAGATTCTTGCCGTTAATCTTCCGCGGTATTTGGATCCGGACACCGGGGTTGACAGCTATGAAGGTTCTCAAACTGGCCCTCGACCTCGCAACCAAGAGAGGTTCGACCACACATGTCGACCGGATATGGGCGGAAGCCAAACTCAAGGGCTCCGTAGAGGCCTAGCTTCTACGAACCCTCGCTGTTTCCGCCTGCAGAGCTTTATCTTTTCGGATCAGAGCTCCCTTCCCCCCCACCCCCGGTGCCGCTATACTCATGGTGCTTTGGCCGTCTCGCCCCCTGCACGGTAGCTTGGAGTTGCTTGTCACTTGTTTGGCTGGCACTGAGTTAAAACCTGCTCTGAAAAGTTGCCACCGTTGTCAAACGCGTTTCCGAGGACTCAATTGTACGCATAAAGTAAGCGAGAGGATGTGCAACTCCCTCGCCCTGGTAGAGGGTAGAGATAGCAAAGCTAGACAAGTCGAGACCTTGTTCATTCCACGAATACTACTTAATGCTGTCCCTGACGCGCTAACAGATCATACGCAACGCAACTTTCATATCTCAAATAACGCCAGAGCAGAATGCCGGGTATTCCCTTGTATCCAGAAAACAATAAACAATACACACTCTTGAGATCTGTCCCTGTTTCGACAGCTTCGCCCCCAGAACAGCAGTGCTAGCACCGCATCTCACTCAAACACTACGCCATTCACCTACCAGTGCTGCCACTCACCCGGCTCAGCCTCTCCTTCGCAGCCTCCACCACGCTCCGATCAAGGACCGGCGTCGTGCTCCCACCCCTGCTGAGACTCGAGCTCTTCAGCTGGCTCTCGCCCGCTCCGCCTCCGCCTCCGCCTCCCTCGGGCGCGGAAGTACCACCACTCTCATCCACAGGCACGACATCCCACCGGCGCAGCGGCTCGCTCATGCCGGCCCAGAGGTCGGTAGGCAGGTACTCCCCAATCTCCTCCTGGAAGACGTCGCGCTCCTTGCGGTCCGCCTCGACGAGCCGCGCCACGCCCTCGCGCGCCTTGCGCCAGATGCCCTCGACGCGCTCCTCGACGGCCCGCCGCCTCTCGGCCTCGAGGATCAGCGTGTCGTAGGCGTTGGCGTAGCCCTCGTAGAACCGGCCCAGCTCCTCCATCTCGTCGAGCCGGCCCGCGATGACGGCCTTCTCGTTGTCCCAGCGCTCGAGGAACTCGGCCTCGGCGGCGACGTAGCTCGGCAGGCGCGAGCCGACGTCGTCGAGCACGCGGAAGGCGGCGGCCGACGCGGCGTAGGCGGCGCGGGCCCGCGCGGCCTGCGACGACAGGACGGTAAAGTCGGACTCCATGAGCTGCAGGGCCGTCTCGATGTCGGCGACGACCTCGTCGACCTCGGCGGCGTCGTTGGTGACGATGTGCATGATCTCGGCGCGCTCCTCGGGCGTCAGGGGCTCGAGGTCGGCGACGTCCGACTCCTGCTCGGCGATGACGCCCGAGATGGAGACCGGGTCGGGCGCCGTCGCCGAGGCCTCGTCGAGGTGCTGCTCGGCGGCGGCCTTGCGGCGGGCGAGGGCTGCCCCGCCTTCGGTGATGCGGACGGCGGTAACGCACATATCAAAGTGGCGGGTCAGGGAGGCGAGGTGTTCGGCCATGGCGTGAGAGTGTTCGGTCAGGGAGGCGAGCAGGGAGGGCATGGGCTGGATTGATGAGGACGCCGATGGCGAGGGAGGAGAGGGGGCGGATGACATGGTCTTGTTGAGCGTGCGGAGCTCGGTCTCGAAGCGGAGGAGATCGCCGTCGAATGATCGCTGAGCTGCCTGTAGATAGGAAGGAAAGCAGGTCAGTAAACGCTGTGCCTTGCACTCTCGATGCACTCTAGGGTCAAGCACGCACCTGCAGCTCGCCAATGCTATCCTTCAACGCATTCCGCATCTGATCAACGCTGTTCTCATCGACAAAATCCATCAGGTTCTTCGGTCCTTCTTCTCCGGCAGGCCGGAAGGACGGTTCGACGATTGTGTCCCGCAGCATCTCGATCGTCTTCTCCAGTCGTCCGTTGGCTGCATCCAGCGCGCGGATGACCCCCTTGAAGTCGCGCTTACCGCCGTCGTAGGCCCGCAGCAGGCTTTTCCTGATCCGAAGTAGAACGCGCATCTGTGAATCGACGCCGGAGCGGATGAAAGTGGTCTGCGCGCCGAGGACGGCCGACTCCTCGTGCAGGCGGCGGGCATGGGTGGTGAGCTCGTTGGCGCGCAGGACCAGGTTCATGGAAGAGAGGGAGCGTTTGGCTTGGAGCAGGTGTTCGACGAGGGTCTCGACGGGCACCGAGGCAGCAGAGTCGATGGAATCGGCATTGTTGTCGGGATTCTGGACATGGGAGGAGCTGGGTCGGGAGAGCTGGGAGGAGGATGCAGCCTCGCTCGACGAGGTCGCCATGATGATGGCTCCCTGGAGGCTGCCGGTGTCGGTGTCGTGTGTATCGGGACGTTGTTGATTTCTCTCAGGTCTAATCTGACTCGTGCATCTTGCAATCGGATGGGAAGCGTCCGAAAGGAGGCTGGACTTCGTGATGCAAGAAGATAAGGTAGGTACCCAGGATGGACGCGTCTTCAAGCGGGTGTCGGTGATGTCAGATTAAGCATATGGGGTGAGAGGCTCCAGGGCGTAGATCACAAGGGTTGATAGGCGGGTTATCAGTGTTATCAGTGCTGAGCTAGCTTTATCAACCCCCCTGCCGACCAGGATTCCGGGCGCCCAGTGGCGCCTTGAGGCCGCACGGAGCCCCACAGTACAGGGAGGGAGGTTTTGCTTGCAGGCGATCCATCAATGCATTGATCAATGACGGTCCACCCTCTGTCTCCACTAAAAGTTTCAATCGCCATCCAAGCTCTACACACCGCCCTCCCAAGGATCTGGCCACAAGACTCTTGACTTATACCCTTTATATCGTGTTTTATCGTCCTGGAAGTAGTGGAGACTCTTGTCTTGGTGGTGCTGAAAAGGAAAGTGTCTGATTTACCGAGATAAGGTTCAGCCAAGCCCGATATCCAAGTCCCTGTTGCGCGACAACGATGGAAGACGTCGCGCCGGACGCGCTCATCAACAAGGATGACGGCCGCAAGTACTGGGACGGAGTAGACGCAGACGACAACGGCATGCTTGGCGGGCTGCTCAAAGGGGGCTTCTCAAATCTGTCGCGCCTGGACCTGCAGGGCTCGCGGACCTTTCTCGCCAAGCTCGGCATCGGGGCCAAGCCTCCTCTACGCGTCGTCGGCGCGGCTCTTGAAGGTGGCGCAGGGTATGGGCTCCGAGACGACATTCTCTGATGAATCCATCATACTGACACGGCCGTTTTATGACATGCAGTGTTGGGAGGGTGACCAATGGGCTCATGGTGAATGTGGCTAAAGAGGTGGACATCATCGAGCCCACGGTCAAGTTCACGGATGCCATAGAAGCTAGAGACCGTGTACGGACCGTGTTCAACGTGGGCCTGGAGGAGTGGAAGCCCAGAGACGAGACCCGCTACGACTTGGTCTGGGTGCAGTGGTGTGTCGGACATCTGACAGACGATCAATTGGTCGAGTTCCTGAAGAGGTGTCAGAGCGTGCTGAATGCTGGAGGATTCATCGTGCTCAAAGAGAACCTGAGTACGAGTGGAGTGGATCTCTTTGATGATCTCGACAGCAGCGTCACGAGGTACGTTTCATCCGTTTCCGTTCCGAAGCGCCAGATCCCATCTGATCGATATGTGCAGGGAGGAGAGCAAGTTTCAGGACATCTTCAAGAGTGCTGGCCTGAGGATATCCAAGACGGAGCTGCAGAAAGCATTTCCATCCTCGCTGTTCCCGGTGCGAATGTGGGCTTTGACTCCTGAATAATGAGTATGCACGTTGGCTTGGGAGACATGGTGGTTCATTTGCATGACAATACGGACCAAGTAGCTTGGAAATACACGAAGATAATGATGAATATTATATACCTACCTAGGTAGTTAGGACCGAGAAGTTCCAAGAGAGAATACGAGACCGGGCGAGTCACAAGAACATGCCTCTGTCCTGGCCTGGGTGAGATAGGAATATCAAGCAACAGAGTGTGAGAACACTACCCCTGGCTTCCCAACATGCCCACACCACTGATATCGCCCAGCTGAACTCCAGCCGGGACATCATATCTTCTGAGAGTGCCTACTATTGTGTCTGGTAGGCAGCAGGCCACGTTAGCCAATCGTGCTGGTGCTGGTGCCGGCAAGTATGGTCTCGGCACCGCCGTGCGTGCCTTTCCCGTGGCACCTATGGGATGGTGATAACCGCCCTCGACTCAAGCTCACTTCACGTCAACTTCCAGCATCCTCTTCACCGCCGCACCGACCATCGCCACGCCCACAACCTCAACTACCCCTTATAATTATAATTCGACAGCCTGTCTGTCACCCGCCAGGCCATGGCCTAGCGGGGATCGACACGAGCGCGCGCTCGACAAAAATTCTAACCACTAACTATCACAGAAAGGAAAAACTTTGAGTCCACGACACAGTTCGAACTGCCCAGCAACGACAAAAATGCCCTCTGAAGCTGGGAGGAGGGCACGAATAGTCGGTCATAGCCCGGTGCACGAGACCAGTGCACCAGGCAGATGTGTCAGACTTTAAACCCTGAAACCAAGAAAACTATCTGTTCAATTGAACAAAACCCATATTTTTTTTTTATCCTTCTACATTTTTTATTTTTTTCAATCATCATAAATACCCTTCCTTGTCTTGCATAGAAACTTACCCTTCTTTTAGTACAGGATTTACGTGTCCAAGTAAACCCTTGCCAACAGTCATCCGTCTATGTTGGCTGATATCGAAGCAGAGGGGGGAACAGGCTCTGCTCTGTATTCCGTGAGCAGACTATTATCAAATCGCTTTTCTCGCAACCCTGATACCCCCCGCACACCAAGAGCGGCTCCTGTCATACCAAATACCAACTAAACTACACGCAGTTGTGTTGTGTGGACCGGCTCTGCTTGAAAGGTGGTCAGGCGCACCAGCAGAGCCGCGGTGGAGACGACGCAGAGTTGTACCGGCGCTACCCGCCACGTCGATGCCGGCCTGCATTCCGCGGTCGGCGAGGTCGACAAGGCGCGTACAGAAGCAAGCAGAGGTCAGAAGGGTAGCAAGATACCATCTAAAATGCGCGGGCCGGCGCGGCGGGAAAGATAGGCTAGGAAGCGTGCGGGTGGGATGGGTTAGGCGCCGGAGAGGCCCGGTCAAGGCCGGAGGGTGGTGCGGAGCGGAAGGGGCGCGGTTCGGGCGGCCGCAGGGGTTGTGTGTGTGTGCGTGTTCCCGGCTAAGACGGAGTCGGCAAGGTCTAGCGAGCGAGCGAGCGAGTGCGCGTCTCCGGGCAAGGTGGTGGAACCTGCTCACTGGGAAATTCGGTGAGAGGAGGGAGAGGAGAGGACACTTCTATTGTGCGGCCGAAACGTCATCTCCCGCAACCCGTGACGAGGGAGATCCCAATAAATAGCTCCCGGACTTGGCCAAAGTTTGTTGTTGATTGTCCCAGCCTCCTCTCTCCTTTATCGCTCCAAAACACAAAGGGAAGCCAGTCAGAAGATTTGACCCGACATCACGTCGAGATATTCCAAGACTCAACCGCATCAATCCCTGGAAGCGTATATTCAACATCGAACTATACCCCGGCCAGTGGTGTTGAGGATACGCCGCCAAGTGGGACGGAGTAAGCTGGGTATATCGTTTCCCCGTCCGCGCCATCGCCCGACGACTATCGCTCCGCCCGCTGGCAAAACTCGAGGAACCATGCTGCCGCGCGCCTCAGCACAGGCCCGAGTCCACACCCCTGGATTGGCAGCAGGCTTCAAGAGCCGGAGGACTCTGTACCCGCTCGCCAGGTGCTTCTCTGTTGCCGCCAGTCCCCGACGCCTCTATTTGAGCAGCGAAGCATCGCCGAGAGCCGGTGGCTATTCCCGGCCCCGACCCCGCAGTGCCACAAAACTGGAGAAATCCTTACCATCTCGGCGGTCAAAACTGAGCTCCTGGAGTCAACCCCAGATTCGAGCCGTCGCTACAAGATCTCGTCCCGGCTCAGCTGCTGCGCCAGGTGTAAACTCGCCCATCGACCGACAGAAGTCGACGACACCAGCTACCACCAACACTACTATACTGCGAGGTGCCTCGACTAACACCAGTGCCGCATCTTCGCCGTCAGACAACAAGATGTATACTACTTCTTTCGCCTTCTTCGAGGCGATATGGGAGGCGGGCGTCACGCACTGCTTCGTCAACCTCGGCTCGGACCACCCCAGCATCATCGAGGCCATGACCAAGGGCCAGCGCGAGAAGAAGGGCAACTTCCCTCGCATCATCACCTGCCCCAACGAGGTACGCAGTCTCTCTCTCTCTCTATAAGCCTTACAGGCAAGCCCTATTAACCCCAAGGCGACTGAATTAATTACAGATGGTCGCCATGTCCATGGCCGACGGCTACGCCCGCCAGTCGGGCAAGCCCCAGGCCGTCATCGTGCACGTCGACGTCGGCACGCAGGGCCTCGGCGCGGCCGTGCACAACGCGTCGATGGGCCGCGCGCCGGTCCTGCTGTTCGCGGGCCTGTCGCCCTTCACGCAGGAGGGCGAGATGCGCGGCTCGCGCACCGAGTGGATCCACTGGGTGCAGGACGTCCCCGACCAGAAGCAGATCGTCTCGCAGTACTGCCGGTACGCGGCCGAGCTCAAGACGGGCAAGAACGTCAAGCAGATGGTCAACCGGGCGCTGCAGTTCGCGCGCAGCGCCCCCGCGGGGCCCGCGTACCTCTGCGGCGCGCGCGAGGTCATGGAGGAGGACGTCGAGCCGTACTCGCTCGACCAGTCGCTCTGGGAGCCCGTCGAGCTGGGCGGGCTGCCGGCGCGGGCGGTGCGGGACGTCGCCGAGGCGCTGCTGGCGGCCGAGGAGCCGCTCGTCGTGACGGGGTACGCGGGCCGCAACCGCGCGTTCCCGCCGGCCCTGGTCGAGCTGTGCGACACCGTCAAGGGGCTGCGCGTGCTGGACACGGGCGGCAGCGACATGTGCTTCCCGGCCGACCACCCGGGCTGGCTGGGCGTCAAGTACGGCAGCGACCCGGCCATCCGGACGGCGGACGCGATCCTCGTCGTCGACTGCGACGTGCCCTGGATCCCGACGCAGTGCCGCCCGCGCGCCGACGCCCGGATCTTCCACGTCGACAGCGACCCGCTCAAGCAGATGATGCCGCTGCACTACATGGCGGCGCAGAAGCGGTGGAAGGCCGACGGCCTGACGGCCGTGGAGCAGGTGACGGCGTACCTCAAGGGCAGCAGCGCGGCGCAGGCGCGGCTCGCGGGCGACGCCTACGCGCGGCGGTGGGCCGCGCTGCAGGAGTCGCACCGGCGCAAGCTCGCCGAGATCGAGGCCAAGACCAGGCCCGCGGACGACGGCTCGTTCGGCGCGGGCCACCTGAGCAGGACCCTCAGGGAGCTGTGCCCGCGCGACACGATCTGGTCGATCGAGGCGGTGACGTGCACGGGGTTCGTGCACGACAACATCCAGGCGACGCTGCCGGGCCACTGGATCAACTGCGGCGGCGGCGGGCTCGGCTGGTCCGGCGGCGGCACGCTGGGCATCAAGCTGGCGACCGACGCCGAGCACGGCGGGCACGGCAGGGGCAAGTTTGTGTGCCAGATCGTCGGCGACGGCACGTACCTGTTCTCCGTGCCGGGCAGCGTCTACTGGATCGCGAGGCGGTACAAGATCCCCGTTCTGACCATCGTGCTCAACAACAAAGGCATGTCCTCACCTCCCCTCGCGTAGTACTTTCTATTCTTCCATTTCCCAGTCGTAACATCGCAGGTCTAGCTAACCGACGCATCCTTCCTCCAGGGTGGAACGCGCCTAGAAAGTCGCTGCTCCTGGTCCACCCCGACGGCGAGGGGTCCAGGGCCAGCAACGAGGAGATCAACATCTCGTTTGAGCCGTCGCCGGACTACGCGGGCATCGCCAAGGCGGCGGCGGGCGGCGACCTGCACGCGGCGCGGGTGGACAACGCGGCGGACCTGGAGCGCGTGCTCAAGGAGGCCATCGCCGTGGTGGAGGGCGGGCAGAGTGCCGTTATCGATGTCAAGGTCATGAACGGCTGTTAGGGATCTAGTGAGATCATGCGGATGCGTCCTGCATTTGGACATTTAAGCTATAGCATGCAGTTTTGGCACGAGCATCCGAGTGTGGCTCCTGTGGAAGTAAGTGCTGTGCAGGCTGTGGCATTTTCACAGCTCGGACGGCATATGCCGAAGCCGTGGTACTCACGGGCAGGCACTCTTACTCTTATCTTGCTCCCTGATCTGATCTTGAAATCGTATTTGATAGTCGATTGGAAAGAGGTATGAGACTGAGTGCCTGCGAGCTCACACAACTGCCGTTGTCGATGCTGCTGGTCATCTCATGGATGCGACCTGCGAATCGAATCACAGCTACCTAGGTAGGATTAGGTAGGATGTTCCCCATAAAAGTCGCCAGAAGCAGTGGCACGTTCCAGGCCCCATTCAGGCCCCATTCAGGCCCCAGCCGATGGCCACCTTGTGACCCAGGACCCTGATTCAGCACCGGCCTCCAAATGCTACCAAATGCTACGGAGAACAATCCCGCCGGCCGTGCTCTCACGAATGGCATCTGCAGCTGCGAGAGGAGGCGGGCGGGGGTTCTGCAGATTCCGAGTCTGTCCTTGACGCCCAAAGATTCATTTCTCCGTGGCCAAGCCGACTCCGCTGTCAATGGCGAATTCGAACAGGAATCAGGCAACGCACAGGGGCCAGAGAGGATCGGCATCGAGCTTGACGCAGGTCGTCTGATAACCAGATTGTCGATCCCCCGCTCCTCGATCACACACATTGCAGGCAGCTTCTCGCGACCAAAGAGCACCCGTTCGTTTGCCACCAGAGCTTGGAGCACACCACCACCACCACCACCAGCCAGTTCAGAGAGCAAGGCAACACCTTGGATCCTTGCACCCGCGTCAGGCGCAAGCAGCTTGTAATTGCATTAGGGCGGTGCCGTGTGACGGACAGCCGCTTCCCCGAGGAGAGGCCATTGGGGAGAGTTCGTATCCCTGCCAGCGCCATGCCGGGCGGTCGAGAATGCTTCAGAGAGCCCAGGAGATGGCCGCCCTCTCTGCCCGCCGGGTCTGCATCTGTTTTCATCTGTATGCGACCCTTTTGCCTTTCTTCTCCATCCTCTCCGGGTCTCTTTTCCACCCCCATGATATTCCCGGCCACCCCGGTTGACGCAGCGCACGAGGCTGTCTGCAGGCGAGCACATTGAGAGATAGAGAAGAGGGTGTGGCGACACGCATGCGCCCTCACTCTCTCACTTACTCACACATACAGACACGCGCCCTCTTCCCTCCTCCCTCTTCCCGCGTTTCGCCTCTTTGCTTCTCACCCTCCTGTTCCCTGTGCCCCTCAACCGTTCCGTGAAAGCGACATAAGAGAGGGCCGATAGAGCTGATATGCAAGGGCCCGCATATGCATGCCAATACCAAATTACTGGAGAGGAGGAGGCGCGCCCGCGATCGCCCGCCCGCCCCATAGCGATAACTACCTAGACGAAATATAGGTAGCGAAATAGAGACACGAAAGAATCACAAGCTTGGCCTGAAGCCCTGAGGGGACCACTAGACCACCGTGGCACCCACTGGCACCACGACCACCGCCGCGCCGCCGAGCAATTTTGTGCCCCGCGCTAAAAGCTCGAGATTGGGCAGGCCCAGTCGCGCGCGTCTGGTCTGCCTGCAGCTGGTCGCTCGCTCGCTACTCCGGGTCTCCATTGCCCAGCCTCTCGGGCCAAATACTCGGTAGCTCTCCATCCACCGGATGGGGTCTGCTTGCATTTCGCCTCCATCGAGAGATCTGTTTGTGTTCTCTCTTCCGGCTAGACTCTCTCTCTCTGCGTGTCTCTTCTTATTCTTCTTTGAACCGCTGCTGCGGGCAACCTTGCAAGGTTTCTCCTCTGATCCTCCGACCGAATCGTGCTGCTGCCCATTCCCGTCGCCCAAAGTGAGACCCTGTATATCCTCCTCCACCCCGCGAGTCAGCCGGCAGAGAACACTACCCAAGAGACCTATGCTCGACGATGACCTTTGCCTCCACGTCAAGTCGGCGCATACACAACATTGAGGAACCACCTGGCTCCTCGCCGTCCTGAAAGCAAGAGCTTGTTCCTCTCTCTCCGCCCGCCTGTCTGTGCCTGGTGCGACCCGACCCCCCGTCTGTGCCTACTTCTACACTTTCGCCGTGCATTGCTACAACACCCTGCACCGCTGCTCTCGTTTCACGAGTCTTGGCTCCAGCCTTGCGATCCATTCTTTACTCGACCCAGTCACCCTTTCAAAAACACACAAGCAGGTCTCCAAGAGGCACACCGTTGCTGCCTCTCGGACTCGCCTGCAACCATGGCGGAGGGCGACCCTCCTCCTCCTCCTCCTCCTCCTCCTCCTCCTCCCCAAGAACAGCAATCCGACAATGGCCCCGACGGCAGCGCTCCCCCGAGCCACGCGACGACGCCTCCTCCCCCTCCCGTGCCGGCCTCCGACCCCCGCCTGAACCCGCAGACCCCCGTCACGCCCGACAACGACCCCGCCGCCTCGCCGCAGCTCGCCGCCCAGGGCGACGACATCTTCGAGGTCTCGCCCGTCGCGGCCCTCAAGCTGCTCGGCGCCGAGATCGAGGCCCTCGTCCGCCTGACCGGCGACATCCCCCCGACGCCGCCCTCGTCGACGTCCTACATGCCCAACATGCGCGGCATGCAGGCCGAGAAGGAGAACATCGTGCGCTCGCACAGCGAGAAGAACCTCGCGAGGCTGATGGAGCGCGCCGCCGCTGCCGACGCCGGTGGTGGTGGTGGTGGTGGTGGTGGCCTGCCGGGCTCGCCCCTCGCGCGGTCGCCGAGCAGGAGATCCCCCCAGAAGTCGCCGCAGAGGAGGTCGCCCCAGCGGTCGCCGACGCGCTCGCCCAGGAGGAGGTCGCCGCGCAAGTCGCCGCTCAAAACCGACGGCGGCGGCATGGGTCTGGAGATCAAGCCCATGCGCCCGCCGCTGCTGCTCAAGAACTCGCAGCCGAGCCTGCCCGCCATCGACGGCGTGCAGCTCCGGCCCTCGGCGGCGGCCGCCACCGGCGCTCAGGACCTCGCCTCCCCGAACCCTTCGGCGGCGGCGGCGGCGGCGCTGACGCCGACCTCGACGCCGGAGCCGTACATCGTCATCGGCGCCGACTCGCAGCCGCTGAACCTGCAGCACTCGGCCATCACGCGCAAGTTCTACAGCAAGAAGCCGCCGCCCATCGGCATCGGCGACTACCTGCTGCGCATCCACCGCTTCTGCCCCATGAGCACGGCCGTCTACCTCGCCACGGGCCTCTACATCCACCGCCTCGCCGTCACGGAGCGCGCCGTCGCCGTCACGCGCCGCAACGCGCACCGCCTGCTGCTCGCCGGGCTGCGCGTCGCCATGAAGGCCCTCGAGGACCTGAGCTACCCGCACGCCAAGATCGCCAAGGTCGGCGGCGTGAGCGACGCCGAGCTCGCGCGCCTCGAGATCAGCTTCTGCTTCCTGACGGGCTTCGAGCTCGTCGTCCGCGAGGAGGAGATGAGGGCGCACTGGGTGCGGATGCGGAGGGAGAGCCTCGCCGGCCGCCTGGACGGGCCGCCTGTGCTTGGGGAGCTGAGGCTGGAGAGGAGGCCGAAGAATGAGGGTTGATGTTGATGGGGGGTGGGGTCTTTTTGGGCGGTTTGAAGTATTGGATATTCTGCGTGGAGGATTGCCTTAATTTGGTGTTGTTTGGGGGTGAGAGGATACAAGCCAGCGAGAGATGAGGGAGGGGAGGCAAGTGGTGATCATTTGACGAGACAAATTGCATCGACAGCAGGAGCAGAAGAAGCAGCAGCATTTTCCAGCGACTTATTTTATGGTGTGGCCATCCTTTTTTTTTCCTTTTTTTCCATTCGAGCATCATTATCATTTGTCTCCGCATATCATGGCTCGGGTAGAAGACAGGAGCATTGACGGGGAAAGGCATCTTGGCTTTTTCCTTTCGCTGGGGAGCGTCAAAAACAGATCGCATCTTTTTCTTGGAGTCGCTTCTGGCGTATCATCAACACCATCGGTTTGCTCCGGATGAAGCGGCGCAGGCTCTGACTTGATATCTACGTTTGAATATGATTAGGTAGTGAGCACCTTGTTGTTACATTTCTTGGTGCTTCTTTCTCTTCTCGATACCCATTCTAATACAGCTTTGAGCTTGAGCACCTTGGGCATATAATGGCCGGCTTTTGGGTGCATGATCGACGGTTGGCTTATCCTCGCATAAGCACACACGACTCTTAAGTATGTAACTAAGCAGTTAGACTACCAGCACGGCAGACGATCCGAGATGCCCTGCTCTGCGCCACGAATCTCCTTCCAAACACGTTGGCCGAAGAGAAGCGGCGTGGATCTCGGGCTTCCATGCCAGGGTAGCGTCCCTTATCAGGAAGGTCGCCCGCTGTGGCACTTCGTAATCGGCGTCAGCGCGGGGCACTTTTCAGGGTCCCCGCACCACCCGTAGCGCGCTGGAGCTTGGGCCACCCGGCTCGGATGACCCGAGCTTTCTTCTCTCCAAGCCTTGATTAATTACTTGCTGCCATGCCTCCCGCTAAAAGCACCGCTTCCCTTCCCTACTCCTCCAACATCTCAACCAATGCGGTTATCGCCGGCACTGACCTCCCGGTGCAACTTTGACTTTTCGATCATATCATATCCCTGCACGACCTCGAGAGCAGTTGCCAGACCGGCCTTCTCGACCCGTGCAGCTTCTTCACCCCGCCAACCTCCAAACCCCGCGATCCGCCGCATTGCGACCCTCCGACCCTCGGCACCGTGCCCAAGAAGAAGCTTTATCAATCCGTCTGTACTGGGCAAGCTACCCAAAGCCACGATGGCGACCAACTACGAGGAGATCCTCAAGGGCAAATACCCGGCCAAGGCCCACGCCAAGCATGTCGTCGAGCAGCTCCGCCTCAAGAACCCCGATGCGTCTGGTGTGATCTACCTGGAAGGTCGTGCGACCAAGATGCTCGAGGACAGCGACGCAGCCGAGCCCTTCCGGTAATCGATACCACTCTATTCCATGCTTGGCCTTCCGATTGACGCTGACGAACCCTCTCTCTTCACCCCTGCAGGCAACGGCGCCCCTTCTTCTACATCACCGGCTGCCCGCTGCCGGACTGCTACGTCATCTACGACATCGACAACCACCACACGACCCTCTTCATCCCGCCTATCGACGCCGACGACGTCATCTGGTCCGGCCTGCCCGTCTCCCCCGAGCAGGCCCTCGAGCTGTACGACGTCGACGAGGTCAAGTTCACGACCGACATCAACGCCGAGCTCGCACGCCTGGGCAAGTCGACCCCGTCGCGGCCCAAGACCACCGTCTACGCCATCCCCGAGCAGGTCTCGGACCACGTCAGCTTCCTCGAGTTCGACGACAAGAGGCTCGACGCGCTCCGGACGGCCATCGAGGACGCGCGCGCCGTCAAGAGCGACTACGAGGTCGCCCTCATCCGCAAGGCCAACGAGGTCTCGAGCGCCGCCCACCGCGCCGTCATGGCCCGGGCGCGCACGGCCAGGAACGAGACGGAGCTCGAGGCCGTCTTCAAGGGCACCTGCATCGCCCTCGGCGCCAAGAAGCAGGCCTACGACGCCATCGTCGCCAGCGGCCGCACCGCCGCCACGCTGCACTACGGCCGCAACGACGCCGACATGGCCGGCCGGCTGAACCTGCTGCTCGACGCCGGCGCCGAGTGGGACTGCTACGCCGCCGACATCACGCGCACGTTCCCCATCTCGGGCGCGTTCAGCAAGGAGTCGCGCGAGATCTACGACGTCGTGCTGCGCATGCAGCTCGAGAGCATCGCGCGGTGCAGGGAGGGCGCCGTCTGGGACGACATCCACGCCGACGCGCACCGGCTCGCCATCGACGGCCTGCTGCGGCTGGGCATCCTGCGGGGCGACGAGCGGGAGATCTTTGACCGGCGGGTCAGCGTCGCGTTCTTCCCGCACGGCCTCGGCCACATGCTCGGCATGGACACGCACGACACGGGCGGCCACCCGGACTACGCCGACAAGGACACCATGTTTAGGTACCTGCGCATCCGGGGCAAGTTGCCTGCTGGCGCGGTGGTTACGGTGGAGCCCGGTGTAAGTCCCTGTGTTTTCTAAGCAGAGGATTGTGATGTTTTGTTTGCTGACGTGCAGATTGCTGAAAAGATTTACTTTTGCGAGTTCATCATCAAGCCTTACCTCGAGGACCCGGAGCTGTCCAAGTATATCGATGTCGATGTGCTGAACAAGTACTGGGATGTCGGCGGTGTCCGGTGAGTATTTTGCATGAGTTCTTCTGGTTCTTTGAAAGATCAATGCTGATAGTGTGTGTGTGTGTGTGTGTGTGTGTGTGTGTATAGTATCGAGGACAATATTCTGATCAAGCCTGGCGGATACGAGAACCTCACCCCGGCTGTCAAGGATGTTGCTGAGATGGAGAAGATTATCTCTTCGGGCTGAAACGAGAATATTACGGTCATGTTAGTAATATGAAGTTTTGCAAATCTTTTTTTTTTTCGGCACGAGCTCAGGTCTGGTACCTATGAAATGTGTTGTAGAGGACAAGGTCTAGTTCGCGGAACTTGGCAAGGACGCCAGTGAATTCTGGGATGTTCTGTTTGGGTAACACCCCTGCCTGACACATAAGACATCTCCTTTGTGATTGTAGTCAACAGCTTTATCGGGCAAGTGGAACAAGATCTGCCCAAGCCAATTGGAATAAGATAACCACGCGATTGTTGGATTGGGGAACAATCATGTCATGGGATATCTAGCTACAAGGATTCTCTCGAGTTTTGCACACCGGCATTGAAGTGGTTGAGTTCCCTCTCTACGTTCTGGTTCGTGGCCAAGAAGGGGTATGTCCAATAGTTTGTGCAGCCATACACAGCTTACCTAGGTAAAGTGTAGAGGCAGGGCAATCCTGCAAACATTGAATCGCACTTATTGTTGTGAAATAATCGGACTCCTGCTATCACTTATATTTGTCAAGATGAATAAAAGCACCTTCTTGAGCCAAGTGAGAGATTATGATCGGAAATTGCTACTATAGACCAAGCCTAAGCATGGTATCAAGAGCATGTTTCCACGTTTGACTCTACCACGGTTTTGGGCAAACAAGGTGTTCTTTTATATTCGCTCTCTGGATTAAATTTGTTAGAAGAGTCTGATCTTTATCCAACTCAATGTGGTGTGTTATACCGACCCTCCGCGAGATTTCAAACTCTCCATATTCCCTACCGCTTCTTCAGCATGGCCTCGGCACGCGAAGACCTCTCCTCTGACCATCGCCTTCCTATCTGCCCTCGAGAAGGGCATCCACTCGTCGCACTTGACCTTTCCAACAATGCAGTACCATCATCCTCAAGCACTCGGAATGATACCTCCCTCTCAGATCCATTCGCAGACCTACCTGCCGAACTGCGCATGGACATCCTGGCCCGCCTCACGACACCGCACGACATCTACGGCATCATATGCGCGAGCCGGGCAATGTGTGAAGCGCTGATGGTGAACGACGGGTTCCGCAAGCAGCTCGTGCGCACCCTGCTCGCGGCGGGCCGTGCCGACCTCGAGACCTACCTGAAGGCCGTCTCGGCCGCGGTGGTGCTGCTCGCGGTGCCGCTCTGCCGGCGCCAAAACGCTACGATGGCAGACTGGAAGTCCGCGTTTCTATTCCTGTGGTGGTGGCGCGGCCTGCAGGTGCGCCTGTGCTTCCGCGGGGCGAGGCACTTCGACTTGTGTGTCGCGGGAATGCCGGAGCTAGACTCTGTTGTTGATCAGAGCCAATTTTACGTGCCCCGGCTGCACTGGAAACCCTGGGTGAGTATGTTGGGGAAGTATGGCCTGATCACGGGGGGCCCATGCTGGTAGAGGAGTCTCTTTTGTTTTTTTTTTGGTTATGGCTTGGGTGGTCGTTGCGTCCATGGGGGACTGGCCTTAGGAACCGAATGAGATGGGGATGGACGAGGTTTATTGATGGATGGGGACTGGGCTGGGGTCTTGAAGGGTATCTGGCTTCGGTAGCTGGATGCTGAAATATAAGGTCTCTCTACTCCAGAGCCAAGTACTAGTACATTTTTTACCAATGGATTTGGATGCCAACATAGATACACGGCGGTGTCTTTTGCAAAGGCAAACATTGAGGCAATCAAGATTGCTTTTGCTTCATTCTAGTCTATGAACAAGTCTATTTACAACTTAATGAGTACAAACAGAACAACCTCTGGTAAGTCTGAGGAGTTTGTTAAAAGAATGGACGGGAAGGTATTGGGGACACACGCTACACAGGCTCTGAATGGACATAAAAAAGAAGCTTTTCGTGACAAAGCAACGTGATTCGACTCTCAACCAACACACGCAGACACATCATTACCCACCTTCCCCACTTCAGATACCCTCAATGACCTTGGGCAGCAGCACATCGTTGTACACCCACAGCACCGTGGAGAAGCCGGCCGAAAAGGCGGCGCCGGTGTAGTAGGTCGACCGGCGGCCCTGCAGGGCGTACTGCTGCTGGACGAAGCCGGCGCGCAGCTCGTCGGCCGAGACGCGCGCGTGCATCTTGCCGTGGTTGGCAAAGATGGAGAAGGTCAGCCCGCGGCCGCCCTCGGGCCTGGCCAGCGTGCCGGCCTCGATCAGGTTGTCGATCGACCGGGCGATCAGGGCCTTCATGCTCTCCTCGGTGTCGGCCTCGGTGCCCACGGCGGTGAACTGGAACAGGTCCTCGGTGCCGCCGACCCAGTCCATGCGGCCGAGCTGCGCGGCGGTCGGGAAGACGGTGTAGTTGGTCGAGCCCGGCAGCGGGGAGCGGTTGGTGTAGGCCTGGCCCGACTTCAGGGACGGGTGGCGCAGGATGCCGGCGTAGACGGTCGAGTACTCGATCTTGTCGAAGACGGCGCGCTCGGCGTCGTCGAGCGCGAAGGGCGCCATGTTCTCGGGCGTCGGCTCCATGGCCACGACGAGCCGCTTGGCCTGCACGCACGTCAGCTCCCCCGAGCCGGACCGGACGCGCAGGGTGACCTTGCCGGGGGACCGCGACGCCGAGACGACGGTGCTCGAGTAGAGCACGTCGCCGCCGAGGAACTTGGCCACGGCCTCGAACAGCTCGAACAGCGGGCCCGAGGCCGGCACGGCGGCGGCGCCCTGGCCGAGCAGCGCGCGGACCATGGGCACGCCCGAGGCCTGGAAGACCCACAGCGCGGGCACGTGCATGGTGTCGGCCAGGCCCTGGGCCGTCGAGTCCCAGATCTGCGGGACGGCGGCCGACATGTTGTACTTGAGCGCGAACTCGCCAAAGGGCATGAGGAGGTCCTCGGGGATGTCGGCGCCCTTCTTGGGGAAGTTGAAGAAGCCCGGCAGGACCATGTCCTCGTACTTCTCGAGCGCGGTCAGGTACCGCTGCAGGGCCGGGTACAGGGTGTCCGGGCCGGGGGAGACCCAGCCCTCGACGGGCTTGCCCGTCTTCATGTCGACGTAGTGGTAGTTGAGCGTGGCGAACTGCATGGAGCCCGACGTGGAGACGTTCATGCGCTTCGGGAAGTCGAAGGCGTCCTTGTACTGCATCCATGCCTGGACGCCGACGTTGATGACCTTGCCCGTGACCGGGTCGGTGTAGTCGGCTGTGTGGCCGCCCTGAAACAAAGTCTCAGATACGAGATGATTCATAGAAGGCGTGATGAAGAGAAGACGGGGTACGTACCAATCGGTCATTCTTCTCGATGAGAAGGACGCTCTTACCATGGTCTCGCAGCCAGACACCGGCGTGGGCACCGGCAGCACCACCGCCGACGACAACGACATCACGGTGGATGGTCTTTGTGCAGCAGTTCGGGGGGGCGGCAGCGACGCCACACGAGAGAAGCGCGGCCACGAGGCCAGAGCGCATCTTGTTGCTTCGCATTTTGTCTTGGGGACTCAAAAAGAATGAAAGAGCTAGAGAGGTAGCTGGGTGTGTGAGATCGGACAAATGATCGGCAGCCACCAAGATGCAGCGAGATGCACGCTTCCGGGTTAAGCCACTACTTCTTTGGGGGATTGCCCAGAGATTTTAAAAGAGACACGCTCGACGAGAACCCCTTATCGGCTGCTTAGAGCCGACTGGCCTCGTGGCAACAGGCATCATGACCAGGTTGGACTTGGATGATTTCCTATTGTGCTGGGAGGCTAAGTCTGAATCCTGGTAAATAGGATTGTGTCCCGCCTGGATTCATGCTCACAAAATCAACACGTAAATTGACTGGGTTGCCCGGGTCTCATTGAAACTGGATACTGACGGACTTGGGAGAGCAGACTATTGGGCCAAGGGCCGGAGCAAACGGGTGGGAAATGTTTACTATTCCCCATGTACGTAGACGCACGTGTGTCTAGCCTATTCTGACTGGTCACAGAGCAGTAAGGGGGGATGGGGATGCGGCTTTTTCCATCACGACTCGGAGTCCAAGAGTCTTGGTTGTTGGCTGTTGGTTCTTGGGGTTGACTATGCCACATTAGGCTGTTATCTGCAGAGTATCCCGTATGAGCAAGCGAGAGGACGGGGGTAATGGAAACATCAGACTGCCCCTTGATCAGTGCATAGGGTTGCACGATCCGAGCCGGGATCCTTCAGGAACAGATGGCAGGTAATATCAACCCAAGTCCTGTCAACATGGGACAGATGCCAAGAACCATTTTGTCCTGTTTTCTCGGTTAAGAAGGCGAATTGTATGGAGGAAGACAAGACAAGGGCTATGCAGGTCTAGTCTTTTGCATACCGGACAGGGATGAGCTGCCCCAGACCGACTCCGGGCTAGCACGGTGGCACAGGTGGATATTGCATTGTGGATGCGTTCGCTTCAGCTTTCTGGGATCCTTCTACATTACAAGTAAATCATAAGACAAGACTGCTATTAAACATGGCCAAAGCAACCGCTGCGCCAGATCAGGAAGTTCACGACAAGGTCTGTCAAGGTCTGTCAAGAAAGATAGATGCTTTGCCTGTTGGCCTTCATTTCCGGACGAGAGACCACGCTCAAACCGGCACTTGTTGCCGCCTTGATGAGACGGTGCTCTCATTCGAGCCGAAACAAGAAAGAATCCCCGGCGCGATCTTGTAGGGGCACGTCATACTACGAGAGAAGCACCAGGACAAGAGACGACAAAAACGATTTACGGATTAAGGGACGAAGGCCTCTCTATCAGTAACCAGGTGTGTGGGGTTCGGGGCAGGATCGGCTCGTCGACATACCCGGGCGATTCCCCAGAACTGCTCGACCCCCTTACTTCCACTCTGCTAGTTCACCCGGGTCTTCCGCCAAAGTCCGACCACCGTTGAACATCAACGGGCCGTCAGCTTACCCGCGCCTCGGGGGAAGTGGCGTTTTTCGAGAAGTGCACCGGCGTGGTTCGCCAAGATTCTCCTGTCACTTCTGTCACGGACTCCTTGTCCCTGGTACTTTTGCGACTGGGGCCGCAGCATGGCGGCGTATCCCTGCTGTATCCATGCTCCGATTTGTGGCAGATATCTGGCAGGCTGGGAATCATCCCTTGATCTGCCTCTTTCCCCAGCTGTCGTCATAGCCTGGACAGTGATTGACAAGATTGACGAGGGCAGCGCCGATCACTTGCCCTCACATCCTCCGCTTCCTTTCTGCCCATCATGGCGCCAGTCGGCCCTAGAGCTCTCGGGCTTTACGAGATGGGGCAGCTGGCGTCCTGGGTAAGCGGCTCTTTCGTCCCGGCCCCTGGACACTAGGTTGCATTCGGTGGCTCGGCCAGATTGCGACATTGCAACCCAAGCTGAATCTCCTCAGGCGGCTCCACAGGTTGGATACGTGCGCACTATCCCTGCGCCGCTCACGAACCCCCCGGCCACCAGTGAAATCTAGACCCAGTAAAAGGACCCCGCGACTAGGCCCCATCAAGGTGAGTCTGCTCCGTAAGTCTCACCACGCCAGAACGCCTTCTACCAGTGTATTGCCCGAATGTAGTCTGGTGTTTTACCTCCCCTATCCTGAGACCGCTACAATAATGCAAAAGCTACCTAGGTACAGGGTCCCTGGGCAAAGTGGCTGCAAGAAAAGTTGAGGGGTTGCATCAAGGTGTACTTCACACCTCAGACCTTGATCAGGGGCAATACCATGGAGCCAGAGTGAACAAGAGCCATCCAGTGCGTGTATGTCCGTACTGTGCAAAGAAATTTGGATGATTTTAAATTCATAAATGCTGGGATCCCTGGTTCGTGGGTATGACCAGATGTTTTTCTGTTACCAGTCCGTCAACACTTCTTCCAGCCACTTGCCTGAGTTAAGGAGCTAGTTACATGAAGGCGCGCGCTATCGTATGTTGCTAATGCTTCAGCGAGAGGTATTAGCTCGGTGAACGCCGCCACAGGCGTTGGATATTGGCAGACGCCAGGCCGGATTCGTCGACTGGCAGCAGCCCAAGATGGTAAAATTCTTGTCCTTGGTCATTGCAGCGACGATCCTTCAGCCCACCCACCCGGAGGTGGCAATCACCCTCCACCAGCACCTGTGGTCTCTTTCCGGGTTTCTACCAGGTTGGAGAACCCAGAATGGGAGCTCGGCTACGTACTTGCATGGACGCTGCAAGGGGCACACGTTCTTTCCTGGGTTGCCTTCCCGGGGGTTCTGACATGTTCTATGGGTGCGGCCGCAGGAGAGATGGCACTCTCTTGTGCATTCTTGTCCTCGTCGAGGCAAGCCCCGGAGGTATGCTGCACCTTTGTGGGCCTCGACCCCCAAGGATCATTTCAACCATGTAACACCATAAGATGGGAGTGTGCCAGCTGTGCCTCTTTTTGACACTGTTCCTGCGCTCTGCTCACTCCCAGGATCAAGCGAGGAGAGAAGAGAAGCACATGCAGTGTGTAAATGAGTGTGTTTGTGTGTGGTGTTCTTGAAGTGTTAAAGCGAGACGCGGGCCCACCTCTGTCGAGTGTCGATCAACATAAGACAATCCCATCTTCAGCAGCAAGGATGCCACGAACCCTCGACTCCTGATCTTGGCTTTCTCTTGATCGAATAACAGAGTGATTCCGCCGCCATGGACCCGGCGGCCGTCCCAAACTTTCCCCCGGAGTACGTCAATGCAAGCAACGCCGGGACGATTGTCGGCGTGGTGGGCGTCTTTTACTTTATCGCCCTCACTTTTGTCGCGCTGCGCGTGTACTGTCGCCTCTTTCTCGTCCGGACGCTCGGTATCGACGATGGGCTGATTATCATCACTGCTGTAAGCTCGCCTTGTAGTCCGTCTCCTCACGACCACCGCCGTCGCTGACTAACAACATTTTGTGAATCGTCCAGGCCCTCGCATTCGTGTCATGGCTCTGTCTGGTCCTGCAAATCCCGTACGGCTTGGGCCGCCACGGCCTGGTTGTACCGGTGCCAGATAGGATAAAGTTCGAGCGAATCACCTTCTGGAAGACGGTGCTGTCGGACGGATTTGCGTTGGGTTTGTTGAGGATATCAATGGCGATCAGCTTGCTGCGCCTGAACAGGGATCTCAAGTGGTACAAATACTCGCTTTACGCCTTGATGGGTATGCTATAGTTGCGGTCTCAGTCGCGAAACAATTTCTATGCTGATTTTGGACACTGCTGACATGCAACCGCAGCCTTCGTTGTCGCGTACTCAATCCAAGCTATCACCTGGCTGTTCGTCTACTGCACTCCATTCTCCGGATGGTGGGAGTTCCAATGGATGAACCCGTTCGACCCCAGGTGTAAAAGCTTCACCACATTTGTCAACCTGGTTTATTGGAACATCTGTAAGTTGGCTTCGCTGGGTCGGACGGTTCCAGCCTACTGACTTGGTGGCTTGCAGCCTGCAACATCTTCACTGATGTTTGTCTCGGAACACTACCAATCCCTATCATCTGGAATCTCAAAATGAAGCTCCGGGTCAAGCTATACGTGATTGGTATTCTCAATCTCGGATACTTGTAGGTCTTTCTGCCCTGACCATTACGTGGACAATTACTCACCGAGAAAACATCGCAGTGCCGTATTGATGGGCATTCTCAAAGCCGTGTTTATGCTTACTACCGGTGGCAACCCGGACGCCATCTTTCACTACTATGTCCATTTCTGGGAGAAGTGAGTACTCAAACACACACTCACATACATTCACATACATACAGGCCACTCTAAACTCGTAACATCAATACTGACTGACGTATGAAACACAGCCTTCAACTCAACATCGGCATCATCGCCGCATGCGCCTCCTTCCTCAAGCCCCTTGTCGGCCGCCTACTCAAGATCAACACCTCTGCCGGCTACTACCCCAGTGGGCAATATGCGTATGGCCGGAGCGGGCGCACTCCCCTGGGGACCAACCCGGGAAGCCGGACCAACAACAAGAGACGCACTGGTATGGGACAAGACGACTTCGAGCTGCACACCAAGAGCGAGGTCACCGTCGGAGAGCGCGGCGTCTCGGTGTCGCCAGGCACCACGCGCGTGCAGGGCACTCGGTCACGGACCTCAGACCTTCATCCGGATGGAGGTATGTATGCTAGCGAGGGCAACGCTCATTCGGATGCGAACAGCGAGGAGATTATCCTCCAGAAGCCGGAACCGTCGCACGGGATTATGATGAGGCGGGACTTTACGGTGGAGTACGGGCAAAAGTAGACTCTGATTTGTGTTGATGGTATACAAATATGTGGTTATGTAGTTGAGTCTAGAACTGAGAAGTGACCATATTAATATGTTTCCCTCGGAGCTGAGCATCCTTTTTGCCCAGTCGTTGCGACTGTTCTTGGCTTCCGTCCTCTTCGAACAATAGCCTGGGTGTACGAAACTGTTCCCTGTCAGACTTGGGACGGGCTTTATTAAGCACAACGATCCACCTGGGACTAGAGATTTCTCTATTGCCAGTGTGCCGCATCCGACGATTCCACATGTGGACGTGCTATCCCGCGGTATGATCGAAAGTAACCAATCACCACCTCGTAATGGAGTCCGAAGTCGGGTTATGCGGCTCCACTGATGATCTGATAAGATAAAATTCCCGCAGGATCTGGTAGTCTTCAATCGCTCCCTTGGCTCGGTTCATTCTGAACGTTCTGGACCCGTCCACACTCTTCAACGGTCTTTCCCAGAAATGTGCAGACCACTTTACAAGTGGCAGTCATGCGGCTCACACTCTTTCCCGGGCTGTTAGCCGCCTCGCTGCTGGCGTCATGGCCGGCCCCGGCTCAGGCCTGGCGCCCGACCGACCGGGCGGGGCCCATGTGCTTCGACGCGTGCCAGATGACCCTGCGCGAACCCTTCTTCGAGGACGTGCGCAAGGGCTCCTCCAAGACGGCGCGCAACTGCCTCAGCCGCCTCGCGCTCACCTCGCTGTACCTCTGCCTCGAGGTGCACTGCCGCCCGGAGTCTCGAGCGCCAGGGCTCGCCGCGCGCAACGAGTCATGCGTGCGCAGCCTGCAGACGCCCATCCTGCCGTACGACATCATCGCCAACTACACCGACGATGTCGTAGCGGGCCTGCGGCACGTCACCGACGACGAGGTCGACCACATCCTCGTGCTCAACGAGGTCGTGCTGCCGTCGGATGAGTTTTATGCCGACGCCCACGACACGCTCGCTGCGGTGGCTTATGTGCACAAGTACCACTATCTCTATGGGTGCGTGACCTTTCCTTGCTGGGACGGGTGAACATGGTGCCCGTGGTGGTGGCGAATGCTAACGGTGTCGTACAGTGGCGCTGTCCTAGCCTATTGGGTGTGTGTTGTCGCCATCGGCCTGCTAAGTCGCGTGGTGGCTGCGGTGTGCATGGTCAGGCGAAGAGACTGGCGACCTGTACCACAGAGGGAACAATTCGAGAGTGACGATCCAGCTTCGGAAGCCAAGACTATCGCCTGGACGAGCAGACCGAGCCTATGGCTGAGGCGGCATTTGACTGTCCCGGCAACGTTTGGCTACAAGTGCGCTCAGAATGTTGGATGGTGCACTGTCCCGCCAAGGATACAGAGCTTGACCATTGCGGCTTTCATTCTCCTCAACACCTTCTTTTGCATTCATGGATACACAGTCTTTGAAGGCAATCTTTAGTATGTGGCGCGTGCTTTTGATCCTTCAGAAGCTCAGGCTGATAAATTCTAGTTTCGGAACCATCTCGAAACAGATCTGGCGCTATCTGTCAGACCGTACCGGCATCATCTCGTTCGCCAACTTCCCCATAATCTGGCTCTTTGGGATGCGTAACAACGTGATGATGTCCCTGACTGGCTGGGACTTTGGCACCTACAATAACTTTCATCGCTGGGTGGCCCGTGTGGCTACGTTACAGGCAGTCATCCACTCGGTCGGCTATACCTATCTCATCTTTGAAGGTTTGTTACCCAAGCAGGTCGGGTCGAAAATGAGACTCAAGACTGACGACCGACAGATGGCGGCTGGCAATACTTCAAATACTTCCTGGCCCAATTCTACTTCTGGACTGGTGAATTGGTATGTCTTGTGATCGTCGATGTATTTTGTCAGCGCATGCTAACCCCGCGAGAAGGCTACCATATTTATGTGTTTCATCCTCATCTTCTCGGTGTTCTGGCTGCGCCGGAATCTTTACGAGCTATTTCTCATTGTGCATATCGTGCTTTCAGTCTTGGTTCTCATCACCATGCTGGGGTAAGTTTCAATTGTAGCTTCTCCATTCAACGTCGTGACTAACAACTATCTGTAGACACGTCTCTATTTTCAAAGGCCGTTTTGACTTCCTCTTCTGGATCCCGGCCGTGATCTGGATCTTGGACCGCATCTTTCGAGGTCTTCGTGTCGTTGCTTTTAATCGCAAATTCTGGAACACACCTGCTACCGCCACATACAACCCAGAGTCGAACATCATCCGACTTAGCATCCCTTACCATACCAGCTTCTATCAACCCAAACCGGGTACCTTCTATTACCTTCACGTCCTCAATGACATACGCTTCTGGGAATCACATCCATTTACCGTAGCATCTACGACAGCCACCCGCCAAGTCCTCGGCGGCCACGCCGCAGACCAGGACGCCGCGCTCGGCGACGAAGCGCCACTGCTGCTCAGCGGCGGCGTCGGCTCCGACGGACCCGCCGGCAAGGCCCCGTCGACAATGACCTTCCTCATCCGGCCCTACGACAGCTTCACGGCCCGGCTGCGCGACAGCGCGGCCGCGGCCTGGCCCAAGCCGGCGCACCTGCGCGTCCTCGTCGACGGGCCGTACGGCCACACGCAGCCCTTCCACCGCTTCGACCACGTGCTCTTCGTCGTCGGCGGCAGCGGCATCGTCGTCCCGCTCTCGCACATGGCCGGCCTCGACGCGCCGCGCTCCGTTCGCATCGTCTGGGCCGCCCGCGAGCGGGGCTTCGCCGCCGAGGTCCTGCGCGAGGACTTTGGCGACTCCCTGGACGCCGCCGTGGCGACGCGCGCCGTGGACGGCGGCGCGGGCGAGCGGCTGTCGCTGGACGTGTACATCACGAATAAAGAAGAGGTAGACGAGGAGGGCGGCGAGGAGCAGTCCTCCGCGCTGCGGCTGCCTGAGGGCGTGAGGATGCTGTCTGGACGGCCTGACGTCGCTGGCGAGGTCGAGGCCGCGGCGAGGGCGGCGCAGGGCGGAAGTCTGGCGGTTGTTGCGTGCGGGCCGCCGAGGATGGCGGACGATGCGCGGAGGGCGGTCGTGAGCGTGCTGGGCCAGGGTTTTGTTGGGGTGGAGTACTTTGAGGAGAGCTTCACTTGGTAAAGAAGTACATGGGAATACAGGGTTTGACACATACTTACGACATAGACGCATGATATCTATATAGCATACATGTAGATCGCTAGAATGACTGCACTGACAGCGCATAGTAGAGCGTTCGAAAGCCACCTTGATAGGCTCCGATAACATGTGGGCTTTCTAGCAAAGGCATCGATCGTCCTGTGTCTACCGGGTCTATCTCTGGACATCTGCGACTTACTCAAGGCTGCCCGCTCGAATTATTGTCTTGATCGCCGGATGGAGCTGCCAGGTGGTCAACGGCAAGAGGCGAAATGGGATGTGAGGTGGAGGTGACAACGCCGCTGTGCGGCGGGTAGCAAGGATGTACATACACGGTGTTAAGAGGTCGGGCTTGAGGGCCTTTGCGGTCGGACCTTTGCTGTCGGGGGACCGTGGTTGATCAATCCACGATAACAATTGTGTCCTTATCATTGGGAACTGTCACAGTGTCTCTGGAACATGGGTCTTGTGTTCATTGTGTCTCTTTCAATTGTGCCGTATCGACTGTGTAACTTGGCTTGTACCTAACAGGTAGACCAAGAAGCAACCAAATAGATAGACGATGTTATGCTCGGCGATGGTGAGGAGGACTCTCGACTCATCCGCCTCCTTGATGCGCTGGAGAATGTCGAGGATACCCGAGGCCTTTGGGAAGCGGTTCGACTGGTACATCTTTGTGGTGACAGGCAGGAAGATCAGGCCGCCGACGCCAAACTTGCGTGCCAGGGCATACGGGTATGCCGCGCGAGCCATGATCGTTTGCCATCCGACGTCGTTAATGCCGACTTGCATTTGCATCGCCTTCTTGGCGTGGGAGATGTATCCCACTCCACTCGTAAGCTCACCGAGGACTTCGGTGAGGAAGCGAATGAGACCGACCGTCCTAGCATCGCGAACTTGGGCGAGGGTCTTTCCCTGGCAACTTGGCCGGCCTGGCCATTGAGGACAGGATGTGCAAGGCCGACTCCTGGACGCCGGTTTTGGGTCTTGGTCTGTTTGCCGCAGGCTTTGTACTTGCAACGCGGCTTGACGGAAGAAAGCTCCTGCCACATGCCCAGAAGGCTGAAACCCTTATGCACCTGATCGCTCTTGTCCAGTCATAGCTGCGGCGGCCGGTTCGAAGATCAAGGAGGGGAAGGAGTATGCTGTGACGGTCACTAGCCAACCGATGTGCGTTCTGCTTCCGGAGTCTCTCGTTCTCGGCCCTTGTCTCTATGCTAGTGAGACGAATCTCAACAGCATCCAGCCGAGCAAGTATCTGCTGGAGAACGTCCTGCTGGGCTGCTGGTATTTTGACGAGACGGGGCAGTTGGGTACCGAGATCATCTAGGGAAGGTCTGATGACAACGAAGTCGGGCTGGGGTAGGTTCTGTGGTAACTGATGCGGCAATTGATGCGCCATGATGATGTCTCAAGGTAGTAAGAATGAGGTGAGATCTGGAGACAGCGCCACCCTTCATATCAAGCAACAGAGCCGAGGAGGAGTTAAAGCCGCCGATTATCGACGACGGATACGCCGGATGATGTGAGGTTCAGACTGAAGAATAAAAGAAGATGAAGATGAAGAAGACGAATAACAGCTAACCCATGACGGACGAGGATGGGAGAGCTTTTTTATGGTTGCTCTGGCACGGCTTGGCCTCGGGTTTCAATTGATGTGCTCCTGCTTCGTCTTGCGATGAAGAGACCCAGGTGCACATTCCTGGGGATACTCACAGGCACATGACAGCGGGAGCCTGCTGGAGTGATCCCGAATTTCAAACCAAGGGGAAGGCGGCCGGAGTCCAGATTGGCAAGAGCTGCCCTCCGGATTGAACGAGCTCTAGTTTGACGCTGCCAATATCAAGAAGGAGCACGAGGGCGATTGCTGACCGAGTCCCTTCCTCTCCGGTGTATGGCGCAGATGTCCGTTACCACAAGGATTGAACTAAGTCAACCCAGGGAGAAACCCATGTCAGCAACGTATATGCCTGCTCTGGAACTCGCAAGGGTTATCCCACTGCCTAAAGCTGATGGATTTGATGCATGGCTGGATGCTTCAGTCAACAGCACGTCGACTACAAGTACTTTGGCCGTGACTTGCCTGGCAACATTTCACAGATTCAATGTGGGCAACCGAGATGCCAACGGGGGTGGAAGTAAATACATCACGTTGTATGCAGCCTGCTGCTTCTGGACAGTGAACATGTATTGCACACAGTGGTAGTCACCCTCGATCGCATCACAAGCGGATTCGGAGGGTAGCGGTTTTGCCGCCCTACCTGCCAAGAAGTGGTACCTTCTGGTCCATGGCACATCTAGGATAGATGGAAGGAAGGTATGAGGTAGGAAACAGGTGCCCGGGCGGTCTCCCTTGGGAAGTCCAGGCGTCTTCATAAGGCAGGCTTGTTCAAACCAGTCTGGCGCTCTACTGTCGGGGAGGCGGGAGCTGTGTTGGCTGCATGCTTGGGTGAAACGGGCACAAGCGTCGCAAGTGCCATTCCAAGATCAACTCGCAAAGTGCCAGACCTTCCGTTGAGTCAATATTCAGGCAGCCCGGAGCATCATCACCTCCAGTCCAATTGCACTCCCACTCCCCACAATTGAAGAATTGGCCCTTTTGTCATGATCGGTAATCAAAACAGGGTAATTTGTGGCACAGCCACAAGTATCTAGATGTCCATGGGGTTGGCCAATCAAGAATGGAGTCAATTGCTGAAATGGGTAATGTATTGTGGTTTGTCCAACAGGTGTGACCAGTGCAGCCACCAGTGTTGAGGTCTGATACCCATGGTTGGTCAATAAACGCCTTTTCTAACTTGAAGCTACAACCACATCCAAGATTCTCATCGTTTCAGGAATGGCTAAAGCATTTAGTCGGTCTCTATCATTAGTGTGTGATCATCTGATCCGCCGCGTATCTCCAATAGCGGGGTGCAGAGTTGATCCTCAACGCCTTGCCCTTCCAGATCATTGGCAACACCATCATGCCACTGACAAAGGCAATCACACCTACCGCGATAAAGGTGTTCTGAAGGCCCGAGGCATTGATCCACGGCGTGATGGCGTAGCTAAATGCAAAGGTCATGGTGTTTCGGCAGAGGATCAAGGACACCAGGGACTCGCCAGCAATCTCCTTGAACGAGTCGACGTTGTACGAAATCGCGTAAGAGCCGCCGGCAATAATCCCGTAACCGCAGAACACCGAGCCCACAAGCAGAACGGCGAGGGATGTTTGATGCGCCGCGCCAATGCCCCAGAGCAGTAGTCCAATGGGAAGGATGATGGCATAGGACAGGAGACCCCACAGACGATGCTCGGGCTCTCTCAGGCCGCCGGCACGGTGTGCCAGCCTGAGCACCATTTTGTCCGACAGAGGTCCGGAAACGTATGCTCCGATGGCAGCACCAACCAGTGGTGCGAGGTAAGTCACACCCACCATCCCAGAGTTTAGGTTGTAAGGGGGTGCGGATAGGATTGCCGACGCAGTTGCGTTATAGACAGAGTACCTGTGACAAATGTCAACGAAAGCTTCCAGGGGAAGATCGTGAGGATGACTGACCATGCATTGGTGAAGCCATACTGAATCCCAGCCCAAGTGATGTTCGGGAACTGGAAGAAGATGAGAATCGGCCTCCAAGAAGTAGTGAAACATTGCTTGAGAGTAAGATGAGTCGGCGAGAAGAGCGCTAGCTTTTCCTTGTACGTCTTCCGCCGCACTTCTGTAGACTGTCCAGGGATCTGTGACGCCGTACCCTGCACGGGAGTCTGGGTCTTGTCCTTGGGCTCATCCCCGTTCTCGAGAGATCCAGCCGGTCTAGGTACTTCCACCAGCTCAGCCGAGACATCAGCCTCGACAGTACCTCTGAAGTACATGGACTCTTCAAGTGTAAAGTATGAGATGATAAAATTGGCCAGAATGAGCAGGGCGGCCCAATGCTGCACCCATCGCCACCCCACAGCTTCATTCATGAAACCCGCGATGAGCGGTGCAATGAAATTGCTACCACTCAGAACGAGGGAATAGACACCGATGTAAGCACCACGCTCATGGGCGAAATATACATCCGGAATGCTGACTTCGGGAAGAGTCTCGACAGGTGCCACAAGGAAGCCGTAGAGGATACGGACGGCCGCCCACTGCGGGAAATTGGTAACCCAAGCAGTTCCTTCGGTGACTGCTGCAATGCTGATTAGACTCAGGAGGTACGCAGGTCTGCGCCCGACTGAAAGAGCGAGCGGCTGCCAGAGCAGATTGCCCCAACCGGCCAGCAAGAAGATGAAGCCGGTGCCGAGATTGAGTTGCGTGAGAGTGATGCCGGTGTCTTTGGAGATGTCGACGAAATAGGAGTAGGTGCAAGTCGCGCCGATGCCCACAGTGAACACGTACAAGTAGATGTTCAACACATGGACGAGCTTGCGAAACTTGGACCAGTTGAGAGGGTCATCGGGGTGGTCGGACGGCTTGGGAACCAGCACGATCTCATCGGCGCTGAGTTCGCCATGGACACGAAGGATCTGCACTGTCCCTGGTGGTAAGAAGGTAGAAGCTTCGGATGCGTCGTGCGCCATTGTCAAAGAGAGTACCAATACAGAAGGTGGTTGACTGCCTTGGCCATCAATGCCACATATTGAATTGGTAGAGAGCCCCGGCAGTTATATATACAACGACGGGGGCCGGGAGGAAGTGGGAGATTGGGGTTCTGTACTTTGGGATCTACTATTAGACAGAAATGCATTGGAGGCTTAAGAATTGACTATGCCCAGACGTGAGAAAGACGGCATTGGTGTGAGGGCTATCGGAGAATAGTTCAACTTGTGAGTTGATCGTCACTCAATGCGATCAAGATAAGCGTTGAGCATCCAGGACTGCCAGTTATCTTGTGATGCTCTTTAGTTCCAGACTCATTTTGATTCCCTTCCTAATTGAGTTTGGCGCTGCTCCTTATCCCAGCTCACTGGTCTTGATTTCGACGCCACGCCTCGCCCTTGTGAGGCGTGGACCCCCTTTAGCGGCATTGTCTTGATAACATGCAGCTTACCCCGCATTCAAGGCAAGACTTGACCGTTTGATTGCTTGCCAATCTGAGGTTAAATATTCCCCGTTCCCTTGTCTTGGTCCTAAAGGCGATCCTTCTCACTTCCCCTCATTGTCCCATCTTTGAATGGTTCCCCTTTGGGGAGAAGGCTGGGTCTTCTAAGTCTTGATCAGCCCGCTTGTTCCTTGACAATGGCGTCCCAGGGAATTGTCAAGCAGGCACGGGGTAAACCACGCGGCTTTCGTCGGGACCGGGACTGTTTGACCTGCAAGAGCCGCGATGTCAAATGCGATCTGAACCGTCCCACTTGCACACCTTGCCTACAGGCTGGTGTCGTGTGTCGAGGATACCGGAACAAGATCAAGTGGACCACAACCGCAACCACAGTCGCCACAACCAGTCGAGAATCATCACGGCTGAACAAGACCTCAAGATGGCAGCCCAAAGCCTCGGACAATGCCACAAACCTTTCACTCATCCGGCAAGAGCTATGCCTTATCGAAAGGCCATTGCACGTCGAAGACCTTTACAACGACACGAACTGGGCGACTCACCACGAGATGTTTTTGGACTTTTTCGAAAGCAAGTTTGAGAATGCGATAGATTCCCTCGGTCCATCAAGCCCACCGGCGCGAGCATCTCTTACCAGCGTATGGAAGTTGATGCAGCAGCGTGTGAGGCACGACCGGTGCTTGTTGGCAGACGGACAGGATGTGGAGTATCTCACACTACGACTGGATGCCTTGCGCGGCGTGGGCAACGCGATCAAGGACGGCGACATCATGGCAATCTTCGGCGTGGTCACACTGGGCTTTCTCGATGTGTACGAGGGCCCCTTTGGTGACTGGCAAGGCCACGTCTCTGGAGCCGAAGCCCTGGTCAAACACTGCTGTACCACCAACCTAGACTTGGAGACATGCTGTCACCAGATCCCTGGGTTCAGGCAACTTCTTTCCCTCATCATGTGGTACGACCTCTGGAACGTTCTCTTGAACAAGGGAAGAACTCTATTTTTCACCGACCAGCAGCGCTGCATCATGGACCCAGAGTTCTTCGGACTAGTGGACTGTCCCATGGACACCTTCCACCTCTTCATCAAGATAGTGCGCGGCATGGAGACGGGAGAGCTTCCGGACTTGCAAGTCGAGATATCAAATCAGCTCCTTCTCTTGACCAAGGACGACAGCAATTTGTCATCGATGATGAGAGACGCCTGGAGATACTCAGCCGTGATGGCGGCATTCGCCACCGGCAAGCGAAATCAGCAAGCGCCTCACGCACCTATGGAACAGCTGATCAAGACGCTAGGGGATAACATTTGTCGCATCACCTGGTCGATATCTCCCCTGACGGGCAGATATCGGATGTTATCCGGGCCATTAGCCGTCCTCGGGGCCATCTCCAGGAATCCGTGGCACATGCAGACGGTGGAAATGTATTGGAATGTTTGCGATTCGCTGGCGCGGCCCATCTACCCGGACGGACGCCATGTCCGGCCCTGTATCTATGGAAAGGTTATCTGTGTGTAATGATATCATCAGATTAAAAGATCACATATAAGCTCAATCAGGGATTGAAAAAGTTGATTCCCTTCCACCTTTGGAAACGCACCATGTCTCAACGATGATTAATTTCACATGTAGCTGCAATGCCCGCTCCACTTTGAGGGAGCAGATCATCGTTGGTGCCGTGGAGATGTGCTCAGATGGGACACCATAGTCTCATTTGATTACTTGCCTAATCAGGTAATGCGCTATCGTACTGTCTGTCAGCCGAGGGTCAAGAGCGCGGCACCTTGGGCCAAATTGGCAGCTATAATCTCCAGGTGTCGGTGGTATCCCAGCACCCGTGTCGATGGAAACTATCACTCAACACCCCAGCCCCTTGTTACAAACATCATGACTCCTGCGGAGACTCCAGAGTGGAAGCAAATTGCACGGAACAAGCGCGCCGACCAGCAGCAGCTGATCCCGAAAGAATGGCGACTTCCATCGATGGAACATCTCCCCAAGAATGCCCTTGCTTACATTCGTGAGAGCTCTATTCTCACCCCGGAAGAGCTTTCCATAACTGAGATTACGGATGCTCGACATTTGTTGAACAAGATTGCCACTGGTGGTCTGACAGCTGTGCAAGTTTTACGCGCTTTTTGCAAGCGTGCCGCCATTGCTCAGCAGCTCGTTGGCTGCTGCACCGAGTTGATGTTTGATGAAGCACTCGAGCGTGCTGTTCTATTAGACAATCATCTTGCGACTACTGGGAGGGTGATAGGGCCTTTGCACGGCCTACCTATCTCGTTTAAGGACAACATTGACGTCAAAGGTTACGATACTACTTGGGGTAAGAACATTGGAATAAGACATTGGAACAAAGCGTAATGTTCTCACTGCTAATATTCTCCATTTTATTTCAGGATGGGTAGGGCTCATTGACAAGCCAGCTCCAGCTGATTGTGTGACAGTAGAGGTTCTAAAGTCCCTAGGAGCTGTGCCATTCGTCAAGACAAATGTGCCACAAACGATCATGGTTGGTGCCAAATACTTCACACACAGCTTTCAACCATTTTCTAACTGACCACTTCACTCCAGATGTCCGACTCGTACAACCACGTGTTCAAGCAGACGTTGCACTCGTGGAATAGAGAGCTTGTTTCGGGGGGCAGTAGCGGCGGCGAAAGTTCCCTGATTGGAGGCAGGGGATCCATTCTCGGCATAGGAACCGATACGGGAGGTTCAATCCGAATACCATCTATTGTTCAGGGATTATATGGGCTGTGCCCGTCTGTCGGCCGCATTGCATTCGATGATTCAGGGTATGTGGGCTCGCTCCGAGATATCTACATCCGCCCTAATGCTGATGACATCTTCAGAAACCGCCGATACATTGCACCTCCAGTATCTGGGCCTATGGCTAGCAGTTTGGCCACCATCGAAACATTCATGGAAGCATACCTAGGTGCCGAGCCCTGGAAGAAAGACCCGACCACTGTACCGCTGCCATGGAACAACACCCTTGCCCAGGTACCAAGTCGCCCACTGCGTATTGCGTACTACACAGATGATGGGGTGGTACTTCCTCAGCCACCTATTCGGAGGGCTGTTGAGACTGTTGCCCAGAAGCTCAAAGAAGCAGGACATCACGGTATGTACAGCCCTCAGGGTTCATTTCCGTCATCTGGGCACATTTTGACAAGTTGGTAGTGACAATCTGGGATTCTTCAAATCACGGGCAGCTTATGGACTACTGGACCAAAACTACCTTGGCCGATGGAGGGAGTTTAGCCAAGTCATATTGCGATATGAGCGGCGAGCCGCTGATTCAGGGGCTGATAGTAGGCTCTGAGAGCGACAGGCTCTCGATCGCTGAGATGGAACAGGTGAGAAGGCATCAAGCTCAGGAGATCCTTGTTATCGATAAACAGAAATTGACAAGATAACCGTCCTAGATGGCAGAGCTGAGAATCAAAACCCAGAAGGAGTATCTCCGCAGGTGGAACGACTCCGAGATAGACGCGCTCATTACACCAGCCCTGACGTTCACGGGATTGCGACCGCGCGAGTGGGTTCAGTCTCATGCCTGGGTGGGATACACCGCAGTCTGGAACTGGCTTGGGTTTGCATCACTTGCAGTGCCAGTCACCACTATCGACGCAGACAACTCAGCGCCGGACACAGAGTGGGCCGCTCATGTGCCAAGAAACCCAAGTGATCAATACAGCTGGGAGCATTGTAAGCAAGCTGCAACATTTCTTTTTTCATGGCGGTGATCCTAGCTGACATGCAGGGTGCTTTAGATGATCCAGAGTTGGCATCAGGCATGCCGGTTGGGGTTCTTGTTGTTGGAGGACGATTTGGAGAGGAAAAGACCATTTCTGTAGCGAAGGCGATCGACAAAGCGCTCGGAAGGTGATATGCAGCACCAGATATAGCCCCCTTTCATAGACTCGTCTTGTCTTGCCAGTATTGCATCTAATCCAGACCTATTGGCCAGCCCTTCTCATTGTGACGACTGCACCTTAGAGTATCTTGCAATACCCCAAAGACCCAAATCGGTCTCTGAAAGCAACATACTGGGAGCCAGAGTTGGGCTGCGGCTGGCACGCCGGGTTCTGGCCGCATGTTCCCCAGCAGCCATTGCTGCCCTTGCAGTCGCAGGCACCATGTGTGCATGAGGCGGTGTGGAGACCGAACTAGAGTATGCGGACTTGCAGCGCCTCTCGCGATTCTCCCCGCGAGCCTCGGGTGAGCTCTAAATGATACGGTCCTTGAGCATGACGTCTCCCGATGTCATGGGCAGAGTAGAAAACTGTTTAATTCGCCCACTCGCCTGTCTTATTACTATCCATGACGGGATCATCAAATTCGGTGGGAGGGGCGGCAGCCCAGACCTTGCAGGAGGTGGCAACGAGGAGAAGGAGGATGGCATGGGTGTTCTTCTTTGTCGTACAGATTGAAGTTGAAGTTGGGGTTCGAGAAAGCGTGAGTGGCAGCTAGACTGTTGGCTATTCGTTTCCCGAGATGGTTGGAGATATAGACGTAGAAGATGAGGACTATGACCATTCTTTACCGGCCCAAACAGCATTATTGGGACGCGACACCAGGCCACATGGCATTGAGTCTCAACGATGTGCTGGCTCGTCCCGTATGGTCAATGCTAACAGCATATCCCTGGCATCAGGGGAGAACACATCCTGGGTAGTCGTTCTTGCCTAGCGTCGTCAGACTCATCGAAGCTGTGTTGGCAAGATCTGACCAGATGTATCTAACTACGATAGAGGATTAAGGGTCCGAGCAGAGGTCTGCGGGTTGTATAGGCAGTACAAGGTCCTCCATTGACCGTTTTGGTAAATTCATACGCAACGCGGATGTCCAAGTCACCAGACTGCGAATGTTCATTGAACTCTATTCACATTTGAGCCATGTCCATCTCCATCCAGTCTTTCTACGTATATGAGACAAAGTGTCTAACAGTGTACGAGACTTGATTGCTCCGGAAGTCATGCCCCGAACCCAAGACACTGTTCCATCTTGACTCGAGAATAAGAAAGTCAACTGCGCAGATCATAGATTTAATCATAAAGCAACCGGTTTCTTTTTTCAGCATCCCCCCATATTTAAATAGCCAAAAGTGTCGATCCACCAATTCCCACTCAAGCCCGCCGCATTCCCACGGAGTAAACCTTGGGTTTTGGAGAAAGAATGTGCAACATAGCAACGGACGAACAAAACCATGGCGGAATGCTGTGCTTCTCCTCCAAGCTATTGGATCTTGGCAAAGCAAGTTTTGTCGATCACTTTGTCTTCCCCAGACTCTGTGCTCCCTCGTTTACCCCATTCATGCAAGCACTCACGCGCGCGCATCCTGCAGAGCCCTGTTTTTGTCTGCCCCCTAGCACTGAGCTCATAGGTCATCATGACATCCACCAGACCCCTTCGTTGTGCGTCCCGAGGTCTAGTTTAACATTTAGTGCGATCTTGGCAGATCCGTGTGGGTTGCATCTGGCTTCTGTTGCTTGTACGAGCAAAGAGGTATCCGGTACATTCTTATCGTAGCGCCGGAGGCTAGGCCGGCAGTGGAGAGCCACCGACGTTATTTGCCCGTAGTGTCGCCGCTTTGCACCTGCCTTTGCGCTAGGGATCTTCGGAGCATCAAAACCTTGAATCAGCAGGGGAAAAGAGCCTCGGCACGCGTACCGCGAGAGGGCAACACTGGAAGATGGGTAGCTGGGATCACGATGTCAATGGAATAGCACGAAATGGCATGCATATGACGAATTGAGTGTATAGAATGGAGATGAGAGAACACTTAAGGATGTCATGGAAAAGGGGTATATTGATGCGCCAGTCTCAAATCTCCAAGAGACATAAATACCCAGTAATTCACTCCCTTCTAAGCAGAGGTTCCCTAGTAAAAGGAAGGGACCCTAGTAGATAACCATGAAGAAAATCACGAACTCCTTTTTCGCTCTTCGACAGTCCCCAAGATCTACCCGTCCTTCTTGGCCGGCGTAGGCTCTTCGATGGGCGACTCGGCGTCATGCGCCAGCGGCTGGTTGTTGCCCTTGTACTTGGACCGCGCCAGGTTGTTCCAGTGGTCCTCCTCCTTGTCGAGGTTACGGAAGCAAAACCAGAAAACGGTTCCGCCGACCACGGCTATGCAGCAAATGACCACGTAGTTCCACACCAGCAGGGGATCGCCTGAGAGAGGGGTGAAGGCCTGGCCGATGGCCGAAGAGATGGCGCTCATGAAGAGGTTGACCGACATGACGAGTGACTTCATGTTCTCGGGCGCCTTGGAGTAGGCGTACTCGTACGAGGTCGTGTTGGTGAAGATCTCGCTGATGCCGACCAGGATGTAAGGGAGGGACTGCACCCACACGTTGATGGGCGCGGTGCAGCCCTCGTTGTCGGTCGGGTACTTGCCGCAGGGGCCCATGGTGTAGATGTAGTGCTGCGTGACGGCGGCGGCGACCATGGACAGGGCCGAGAAGAAGAAGCCGACGGTCATGCGCTTGATTGGGGTGAAGTTGATGCCCATCTTGCGCAGGCCCGGGTAGACGATGCGGTCGAGGATGGGGATGAGGATGAGGATGGAAAGGGGGTTCAGGTTCTGGATGATGTCGTTGGGCACGCCGTGCAGCTCCATCGTCGACGCCTGCGTCGTCAGATTGCCCGTCATCTGGTTATAAGCTAAAAAGAACACCGGCAATGCCAAGAAGACGCGAACACTTTTTAAGCCGCGGCGCACTTCGTCAACCCACTCGTCGTCGTAGGTCATCCAGCTGGGGCGGTCCTGGGGCGGGATGTTGGACGGGCGGGCGACGTCCCACGTGAACTCGCGCTTGATGCGCGCGAAATTGAGGGTCCACTTGCCCTTCATAACCCAGGCGAACATGTGGAAAAATTTGGAAAGGACGGAGCCCGTGGGAGGGTTGAGGGTGTAGCGTTTCTTGTTGAGGAGGAGGACGATGGGACAGGCGGCGAAGAGCACCGTGGGCAGCAACCACGCGAGCCAGAAGCCGATGTACTTCTCCACGTAGACCATGGACAGCTGGCCCGCCAGGGAGCCGATGTTGATGGCAAAATAGAAGTACAGGAAGATGCGGGTGTTGGTGACGGCCGGGTCGACAATGACGCGCTCGCCGCTCTTGAGGACCTTGATGTGCATGCCGCCGCGCTCGTGGTTCTGTTCGGCCAGCAGCGGCGAGATGTTGGCCTTGAAGAGGCCCGTGCCGACGCACAGGCACAGCAGGCCGACGATGAAAGCGGCGAAGGAGCTGTCCTTGTGCTTGATCACTTCAGGGGCAGCGGAGGCGACGAGGATGATGTGGGCGACGAAGGAGGCGAGGATGGCAATGTGAATGGTCTTGTACCGTCCGAGACGGGCATCGGCGATGTATGCACTGCGCAAAGGCGGGAGATTGTTAGTGAGTGGTGAGATGTGCTACTGAGAGAGATGTTGCTTCAGACTCACCCAGGAATAGGCATCAGATACGCGAAGAACTGGTTAAACAACGAGATCCCTTGCGCGGCTTTCGCTCCCATCCCAAGGGCACCTGCGACGCCATTGGATGCAGGGTTGGAACCCGTGGTCGATCCTGGGGGCAGAGGGCTTCGGACGAAATTGGTGTAGAGGATGGTGGTGCCGTAGTACGAGAACCGCTCAGCCAGCTCGCAGAACGCGATGGTGTAAGCTGGCCAGTAAATTTTGCCCGAGACACGGCGCAGAGTGTGCAGCTCTTCCTCAGTGGGCTTCTCAAACTCCTCATCCGCTGAGGCAGCGAAGCCGAGGGTCACGTCCGCCTGTGCCGCGTTCATGGTCGTCTCCTTGGCCTTGGTCTCCTCTAGGGATCCAATGGCAGGCCCCGGATTGACGCCCTCACTAGCAAGAGCGGCCTGGGCAATCTCAGCCCGGTCGAGGTTGACGGTCTGGCTCATCTTTACCTCCAAGACAGATTCAGGCTCTGGCTGGGAAGTGACAGGTCAGGGATAGGTACAGTGTGTGGAGAGAGCACAGCAGGGGAGAAAAGGCTCGAGACTAAGCGAGGGACAGCGGTTCATAAATAGTTACAAAGATGGGGCAAAAGCTATCATTCGGAGTAGGTAATAATGTTGACAAACGAGGTGGCATGGAGGTAGGGCTGGGGCACATAGATATCGACCACACGGCACATGTCAGGTCGGAGCCCACGCAACGGTCTGGACAAAGCACACCATACAATTTCAGCCTACATCCTGGTCGTCCACACTGAGAGCAACGAGACGGGATGAGATGGTGTCCAACGGCAGGCTGGTCCCACATCGCCTCCCGGAGTGAAACATGTGTCGAAGCGATTAGGTTGAAGTAGCGTCAAGTCAAGGCCATGCAAGGGTCATTGGTCAATTACCATCTGGGGGAGAGGGACTCGCTGACGGCCAGGCACGCTGGCCTGATGATATCCGGCGGCGGCGACGGTGGGAGAGAATCCTCTGAGGGGAGCACCACATCGGCCCATCATTACCAGATTAGGTAGAGCAACAGACGTGGGAATGATAAATGATAGCCGTCAATCAGTGCCGGTATTCTTCTCTTTTTGGTTGGCAGAGGCGTATATGTTCGCCCGTTGTAACGTTGACGTTGGTGCTGCTCTCCATTGGCGCACTACTGTAAACCTGCAAACTAGACCAGAGACGGTGATGGCGTCGGAACTGGGCTGGACCGACCTGGAGAACTCGAATTTATGCCTATTCTAGCGCTTCTGGAAAATGGAACTTGGCCCGGGCCAGCATCCGACAGGGATGTGGCTTTTTAGGTATCGTCCAGTACAGGCACATTTTGGCAAGTCTCGTTTGCCAACGGAAGACACCGGCGCCGGACAGGAGATCAGTAGCGCCGGAGATCAGCAAAGAGCAGTGGCCAATGGGGAAGAACTGGTTGATAGTGCTCTGAAATGAATGGTGAAGCGCAAAGAATGGCTCTTGGTTTATCATGGTTTATGACGCAAAAGCAGGGTCGCGTGCAGACGAGCTGTAAAGAGGGGTCCATGCGAGTTGAGATAACCATGGAATATCATAAGATTAGAGCTGAGATAGAGTGCCCCAAGAGCCCTGGACGAATGGCACGCTGCACAGATAATGTTCGGGAGCTGGAATGCAACACCATTTGCGTGATTGTGCTGGTGGTGTGACCCGCCGCACCCTCCAAACTCCAAAAACAAGTTACCGTACGGAGTACACTGCCGAAAACCTTGACTCGGTAAGCTAAAATAGTTAGCACGGTGGTTCCAAGCCACAGGTACTCGGTACACATCCATCACTCTATGGAAATCGGGCAGACTCCTTATCTTAGCTACTGCCCCCCACAGTCTCCGACTCGCCTCTCTGGACTTGGATCTGGCGTCTTCAAGACTCGCTGTCACGACATTTCCAGGCTGGGTCTTGCATGTTAGCCCGTAGCGCCGGGGACTGCTAAACCTTCGCTCCGGAGTGTCTAATCATTTCGCTCAGCTCACATGAGATTTGTGTCTTGGCTCGCGATTGGGTGATCAAGTCAATGGGTAGCGTGCATTGAATCCACTTGCCGTTATCTGAAGGAGTCGACTCCGCATCCAGACCTCAGACCTGAGACTGATCTTCTGCCTTACTGCCCTGCCGAGAGATGCGACTGCTCATCTTGGCTTGCTGGTATTCTGCTTATCTATCCTGGTTTAGGAACTTAACGTCACCCCGGGCAGGGTTCTCGACTGTCATGTGCGGTAACGCTACTCTGCCGCGTGCTGTCAAGGATCCTGAATAATATACTAGCCTGTGCTGCAAGTACTTGTAGTCAGCACGCAGGTCGAATCTTTCACTTCCAGGTAGGCAAATAAATCTTGATCCATTCAGCCTCCTGTAATACAAAAAGCAACTTCCTGTTAGGGCATGGTGGGCGAGTGGTCGAGGAGTGGAGACTTCTCCATAGGCAAACCTTCATACCTCCATGCTGGCGCCCACCGTCTCGAACGTGGCTGGCACCATTACGAGATACTTGGGACGCAACCCCAGATCGGCTGTGGGGATCTTGGTTTCGGAACAACCCCGTTCAGAGTCCAAGTCCGTCAAGGAAAGATACGCTTCGTCGCGGCTCAACGAGGTGCGGAACGATTACTCTGGGGAGACTCGAGTTGGATTCTGGGGCAAGGTAGATCACTTCAATGTTTAGATGGTAGATGTATTAGGTAAGACCTTACACCACGTCAGGCTATTCCATTCAAGACTACCGTTGGCTATTGGGAGAGAAACATGATAGTGAAATGGTCACCTTGAACCCAGGGATCATGGATAAACAAGAACATCGAGATGGACCCTTGGCAATCTGTATGGCGCCTGTATTTAGTCGAGAAACAGTGTGCCATACATCTTAACCACTTTCAGTTCTATTTGATCCGATCCAACGCGATGACAGAAGCTGTCTACAGTTGGACAGTTCCTCCTGTATATGCCAATCTGGCATCCTACTCTGCAATGAATCGTTATCTCTAGGTCTGGTCTGCAGCTCTAGAGCTTTCGAGACGATGCTCAAAGCATCATCACCCTTCAGATCTTTGTGGAAAGGGACTGCCCCTCGTCCCAAGAGCCACTTGACAATCGCAGAGTTGCCTGAAGATGCCGCCCACATCAGCGCCGTGCGGCCTTCTTCATCAAAGCTATCAATATTTCCCCCATCGACGAGGAGCTCTAGGACCATGATATTAAATACGTAACAACTCGAACCTAGATACCGCACAGCCGATACCAGAGGTGTTGCGCCAGAAAAGTCCCTCGCGTTGACGCTAGCACCTCTTTGAAGAAGACACTTGACGGCTTCGACATTAAGGCCTCGAGCATGCCAGTGCAGTGGTGTCCTCCCTTCGTCATCTCTCGACTCGATATTTGCACCAGAGTCTATCAATAATTCCATATGGGGAATAGGCCTCACCAGTGACAATGGTGTCCGGCCGAGTTTATCTTTGCTTTCAATGTCCGCGCCTCGGCTGAGGAGGATCTGTAGATTTGTGGCGATCGTATCAACATCTGGATGGAAAGACTTGAATGTCTGAGCGGCACAGGACAGAGCTGTTCGGCCATCCTTGTCCTTACTCTCGATGCTTGCTCCTCGATCCAGAAGTGTCTCCAAAGTTCTTCCGGCTAGATTTTGAGAACTGCAACCAGCATAAAGCAGCGCTGTTTGGCCATTGATGTCTCGGGTCTCAAGGTCTGCCCCTCGGTCAAGAAGCAATCTTGCCATCATGTTGGATTCACCACAATGTGATTGAACTGCCAACATAAGAGGCGTTTGTCCTTTACTGTCGATAGACTCTATGGCGGCTCCGTGGTCCAAGAGAACCTGCGCGGTATCAAGTTGGCCAGAACGTATCGCACTAGTCAATGCGTTGTGGCCATGACATAACTCCTTGTTGATGTTAACGCCATTTGCTATTAATAACGGGATTACCCCATTAGCGCCATTCATGACGGCTTTGTATAGTAGATGCTGCCTGTCGTCGATCGATGTCAAGGACGGGTTGGCAGTGAAAATATGCTGCGCGAGAAGTGTCTTATCTGCTCTTACTGCACCATCCAAAAGCAGATACATCATTTGGTAGTAGGTTTCCTCATCAACACCAGCCTCGAGGATTGACGCGAGATATATCCAGTCTTCTGCGCTCGAGACCTGAGACGCTAGAGAGACCTTAGGCTCTAGTCTGAAGCTACGCCTGTAACAGGGTTCTGGAGTGTCACGAGCGTAACTTTGACAAGCAACATGCACAAGTGAATCTGGTGGTGAACTATCGAGCGTGCGTTGCCTCAGCGCGCAGATGGCCTCAAGACTGCTGGTGGCGTGTGCTGCGATCCAAGGACAAGTATACCGCTCGTTCTCGTCATCAAAGCAGGACTGCCCCGGTGGGTGATGTCGAATAAGGTTGCCGAAATCTCGATCGGCCATGATGTAGAGCAGGCTGGCGTCTGCTGTGTAACGGCGAACGGCATGCCTCTCGAGAATATTGGCAACTTTAATCCAGTCCCGACGTGCAAAGTTCTGAATGAATTCCGACTGATCCAGTCCAAAACCTGCGGCTTGACCGGCATGCCAGAGGACATTGTCAGTGGCATATCTGAGCAGAGGCAGACGTTTCTTCAATTTCTTGCCACCATCGTCGTGTAGCCGACGATCGTCAATGACTCGGTGTGAGATGCTGAAACGAAGGTAGGTCAAGCAGCTCTTCACTAGGATCTGGTGACCAGTTCCGCGGCCCTTTTGGACTGGATCGGCAGTAAGGATGTTCATGCCGCCATCCCGAAGCAAGAAGTCCACAACTGATTCATGAATAAACTGAACCACTGGCCTTTCGGTTTTAGTGAACTCAATTAATCCTTTTGAGTCGTTCAAGAGACGCTTTTGGATCAAGTCGTCTGGCAACTGCTTTTTATCCCGGCAGTCCAGGTCCTCTGCGCAGGTTCCCGCCAAGATTCCGTAGTATAGTTGCTTTGGAGTCAGTGGGTTTCGAGCAAAAAGAACCCATTGAAGGCAAAGCAGAAGCTCCTTGACATCTCGACGATCCCGAGTCAGGATGTCACTGAATAATGCGTGTAAATCACTTGGAACCTCTCTCAACTTGCGAAGAAGTTTGTCGCCTTGATGCCCAGCGTCGTATTCCTTGTTTAGAATATCAACAACCAGCATGACCCACAAGAAGACACCTGAAGCTTTATCGTATAGACTGGAGCGGATTGAGGCGGCGGAGGAAGTGTCAGGGCCTATCACTAGCTCGTTCTCGATGTAGTTCCTGATGTCTTCGTCATGGCCCTTTTGACCACTGAGGTCCAAGTGTATACAGCGACGGATGCTGATATGTGGGTAGTATCGACTTGCGAAGCATATGCGAAATTCATGATGAAGCTCTGCTGCCATTTCACTGAGTTGCTCGAGGTGCTTGATCATGTCTCGAATCTGAAATTCGTCGCACTCATCAAGGGCATCGATAAAACAGATGACGGAGTTGTCCTCCAGCCCTTCAACCACTAATTCAAAAAGATGTTTGAGCAATTCAATCGACCATCTGACCCGAGAAAGGCACTTGGCATTGAGGCCAAGAAGATCGAACCTTTCTTGGAGAGCGGGCATTTGCTCGAGTAGCTGTAAAAGGAGAGAGCGGTACATCCCTTCGGTGGACTTCTCCAGATCGTCACCGCGTGCGTTGAAGAAGAAGGAGACGATGGTCTTTTCTTTCATCGTTCTCCGAGCACTAGCTAGAGCAAACTTCATCAAAGTTGATTTCCCCGCTCCAGGCTTTCCCTTGATCCACAAGAAACCGTGGTGCTCGGGTAAGTTTTCAGTGTCTAGCCAAGCGAGGAATGTGGGTTCCGTGAGAAGCCATCTACAAGTCTTCCGATGGGCGGACCGTATTGTGAGATGTCGTGAATCAATTTCGTCGAAACGCAGACTGTCAAGAAGGCAACTCCTCTGTTCTGAAGTGAAGTGTGTATTGTCAAATGGGGAGACTCTGGAGAGTTGGCTGAGTAGAGGCTGTGTCTTTCTGTATATGTCCAGCAGCCCATTGGCGACCTTCAGATACTCGACATCATGTAGGCTAGTGAAGCGACACATGTCTCGATGATCCCTGCCAATACGCAGTACTGTTTCGATGGCTTGGTTGCCGATGCAGGACGAGACATCTTCGACGACCTGCAAATCGTGATCAGGTCTTGAAAGCTACAGATAACAGAGGGTATCTCACCTTTTTATTGTTTAGAACAGCCATTCCAAGATCCTCTTGAAACGAGTAGATGGACCAGTTTTGCTGCTGTGCCATGGGACCGAACTCGTCTCTCAACTCCTTCAATCTTTCCGAAGACGGCAGTAGGGAATGCACAATGTCCTTTTTGACACGAAATCCGAGCGCCTTGATTGCACTTTCTGCGATGTCACGTAAGTGGCTTCGAGGGTCTGCTCCAATGTGCGGTGTTCCAAAGAAGACAATGCCCTTGGTGGCCTTGAAAATCTGGTGGCGATCTGGTTGTAGAGTCTCGCAGTTCTTGGATCTTCGTAGCATTTCCTTGACAATGATGCCACCGAGGCTGTGAGCAACGAAAATAAGAGCGCGCTGAGGTTGCTCAGTGCGTTTCGATGCGAGTTCTACAAGGAACCCCCCCGAATGATCATAAACGGTGCTCTGGCTTGAGGCAACTCCCAGACGGTGACTCATGCGAGTGTCATAACCGTAGGTCAAGACACGAGCCTTTGGTATGGTCCTAGGGAGCAAGTCCCGAGGCCAGTAGACCTGACCAGTCGCAGGCGTCGTCCGCGAAGGCCTCGAAAACGGACCCAGTTTGCGCGATTTTGCGGGCGGTTCTATTGGCGTGTCGTCATTGACTTCGTCCTGCAAAGCCCCAACATCTCCTTTCATATGAGTCCATGTCCGCTGAGGATGGCCTGTGAAGCCATGCACAAATACGATACTACCCATGTCGTCAGCTCTAGTCATGAAATCTAGCACAGCCTTGTGTATCCTAGGGGAACACTACTTACTCAACTGAAGGGTCTGGCGGGTCGTATACAACGGAAAGCCCGGTCGCTGGGATTTCCATGACGTGCTACTGGAGCGGCCAATGTCGCGGACGTATTTCACTTGGTTGAAACCACAATAGACGATGACCAAGTAGTACTCGTTGAAAGTTGAAAGGAGGAGAGTGAGTGGGAGGAGGGCACAAAAGAGTGGGAGGAGGGCACAAAAGAGTGGGAGGAAAGTCAGGTTAGGCACACAACTGGGCTGTCTCTACTGTAGGGCGCGTAAATCGCCGAGAAGCGATTGGATCACAATGCATAACTCGAAGTGCAGCAGGGGCGAAGTGCAGCAGGGGGCGGTGCTGGTCGAGTGGTTGGATCAAATCTGCGCCGTTTCCAGCACCGTCACGTGTTCGAATGCTACATGGACATTGAAGGATTCCTGGTCCCCTCTCCTGATGGCTTTATTTATTCACCTGCTAAGTTGGAGATCCTTGAGGCAGCTCCCACCTGTGCTCTGAACACCCTATATGTATCCTAACTGCGCTCACTTCTAGTCAAGTCCTGTGAAAGCCATACGACTATTTCACGGCGTCTTTCTTCGTATCAACTGCGATTACTTTCCTTCTGACTTTGGCAATATCCTTCGTGTCCTCCAGGTTCTTCGACCTTTTCACTCCTCCAATAGGGGGGTCTATATCCTTTGCTTTACTAGATGCATAGAGGGCCTCTGCTGTTGAAGCTATCGAGATGTATAGCGTGTTAAGTCGTTGTTCGTCATCGGGCGCAAACTTGGAGAGAAACACATTGAACGTTCTGCCTTCGGACTCGACGTCGACAGTCTGTCTCCCAGTAATGATGAACTTTTCCATCGACGACAGAGCAGCAATATTCTTCTCAGTACTTTCCTCCAACATCTCAAAGAGGTGTCCTATCTCGCTCATGCTGACCAAGGCATAGCGTAGTGACTGGGTTGCCGAAGCATTCCTCTGGCAGATCGCGGCGAACTCTCCCCTTGTCTCGTTGTTATGGGTCAACCGGTAGACGACGATGCAGGTACATATCTTGGCACTTGTGAGTTGGAAGTGCTGCGGCCCTTCTCGCCATTGGACCGCTGGCCAGCACCTCACCGGCACAATTCGGAAAGCCGGGGGTATAGGGGAAATGACGAAGGATAGTCTCAAGTCCATGTGCTGGGCCAAATCTTGGTCCATCCGTCGGTCCACGGTTTTAGCTATATAAATCAGCTTGTTTTCCACCTCGGCTGAGTCGGAAGAGACTATCATATGTGGCGTTTCTCTGATGTACACGTTGTCCCGGAAATGCCGAATGGGAATGAGCACGACATAGTCATCAGGTCGTAGATTGCATCTTAATGCCTTGACTATCTGACCTCCCGGTCCGTGAGGGGTGCTGACAAGCTCGGCATCGATGCGAATGCCTTTGTTTGTAACCGCGAATTCTTTCTCTGATCCGACCGAGGCCCAACTGATAGACTTTCGAGAGTCCAAAGCGGTCCTGTAGTATGAGGCAAATTCGCGAGGTGAATCTGCCAGGAGACCGCGGTATCGCGTGTCGCCGCGCTTTGCCCTCCAGCAGAACAAGGACATATCGGTACTGGTTTTGATGATCTCCTCCTGCAAGCGCTGAAAAGCACGCATGCCCTCTCCGTACAGCATAGGCATGTTGACTGCGACCGCCAGTTAGTGAAGACTCATAACCAAGAAAGCAGACTTTCACCTTGAAAGATTCCAAGTAGACAATACGCGATGTCTTCAAGTCTTTTGGTCTCTCGATTTGAGGCCCACGACATCCTTTCTCCCACGGCAATCTCCTGAATTGCGTCACTATTACGGAACACCTTCTGATTGCGGATCCCAGTCATTGGGAATAGTTGCTTCATCACCCCTGGATCTGTCTTGAGGCCCTTGTAATTCCACCCACTGTCATAAAATTCCAGTCGAGCGGGAGCCAGGAGCTCTTGCAGCGTCCAGCCCCGCCGAAACCAACGGCACACCGTTCTCTTCTCCTCGTCAACCCACAGGGAGTTTAAAGAATTCACCTGGAGATCCGACAGGTAGGCAAAGCAAACTGTGGCCAGTTTGTACCACTCAAACATCGAGTTGATCGCCTCTGAGAGCTCGGCACTGGATGACTTGTCGATGCAGCACGTGTCCACCCAGACATAGTCGAGGTTATTGGCCGTCGCCAGCTCACATGTCTTCTTGATCTTGGCGAAGCCAGCCTTCTTCTTGGCCAGGTCTATGTTTGAGAACTCCTGGAACGTGACCTCCTCCTTCTCCCAGGTGTGCGACAGGATGGCGTATCTCGGCAAATCGGGCGGGGTAAACTCATCGAGCCTCATTGATGTTATGTTGATCAGCCACATACTGGGCAAACGCACTTGCTGACGCTCGCATGGAAGGGTATCAAACCCACATCAGTTCCTTGCTGCGGTCTTGGCGCTCCTTGCTGCGGAGACTGGAGTAGAAAGGACCAGGGACGGCGCGTGATCCATGAGCACTTCGACCAACCTGCAGCAGCATGCAAGGCGATGAGGGGCCCAGGGCGGTCAAAAACGGCAGGAAATAAGTAAGGATTGCAACCCATCTGATTGGAAAGGATGTCACAGACGCACTCAGCTCGTAGTTTCACCGCATATCCCATCCCTCACCTCATAGACCAGAAACGGCCTACATCCCACTGTCCAGGAGGACTCGGCCGCCGAGAAAGACTGCGGTAATGCTCAGGTGTCATGACCTAAAGGATAAGTCATCTGAGAGACTGCAGCCAGCCTTCTTGCAATCTTACATAGGGTTGTTATGGTTCCATCTGTTTTGCTGAAGCGCAAGCATCAGACCGGCACGGGACAAGATCGGAATCAACTTTAGAAATATCGATCCCGCATGGAGTGGCCACGGAATTAGTTGAGATTACTAGCCACGTTTGAAATGGAATAAGAGATGGATTTGCCTATGACTTTCATGAACGACTCGCATGGTCCAGTAGTTCTCTTCTCCCGACTTGGCGGCGGTACAAATTTGACTATAGTCTTGATAACTAGACAACAGACACGCTAAATGTGCCCCAATCTGATGTTGCTGATTTAATGTTCAAAAGAATCGTGTAATCAAAGTGCATTAACATTCAGGACCATCTGCATTAACCTCGCGGTCACCCAGGGGTCTTCAAAGATCCGAGAACTATCACTGGCTCGAATCAGTCTTGGAAACTTTGCCGACTTTCAGTCCCGGCTCCTCAAGCTCGATCTTGCACTGCGGAAGCTCCACACCATACGTCTCCACATTCAGTCCCTTGGTGGCCGGGTCGGGCGTGATCCACCGCCGGTTCTGCAGGTCCACATCTTGAGCCTTGTCGAAGAAGTTCTGCGGCGCAAACATGATGCTGCTCACGGCCTCGGTGAACAGAGTGACGGGGATATCCTCGGCGCGCGTGAAGTGGTGCATGCCCAGGTTGAACCAGACGACCAGGTCCTCGCCGTCGATGCTCTCGCCGTCAAAGAACTTGGCAAAGTCCTGCTGGGGCTTCATGGGCAGGTTCAGGTTCTGCACGCTGTTGGCGTACGGCTCGTTGTCGTGCTGGCGAGTGACGGCCGCGTGGGACTTGGCGAAGGGCAAGTTGCGCAGAGAGAAGGGCGAGTTGAGGGTGCTGAGATGCATGTTCATCAGGCGCGGGATGATGCGGTAGCCGCGCGGCTCGCCCCAGGCGTTCTTGGCAGATTTGGAAAGCACGCAGTACATGGCCTGGCTGTTGTCATCCCAGTTCCACTGCTTCTCCGTAGCTATGATGCTCTTGTTGAGGGTCAGCTGCTCGAAAGTCCCCAGCTCGGGGAACCACGGCTGGGTGGTGTTGAGTGCTTGCAGACGAGTCAGCTGGAGGCTGTTGTTGGAGTCGATAACGTCAAAGTCAGCTTTCCAGGTGAGCACATGGTCGTGGAGGGAGCCTTGCGTGGCCTCGGCGATACGAGGCCCCCAATTGCCTTGATCTTTGTAGTAGAACGACGACTGAAGGTACCCAGATGCGCGGACCATGACTTCTAGAGAACCGTCGACGTGGAACATATAGTCAAAGAGATAGTCGTAGTTGCCGACAGTTGCAATAGACCTCACAGTCAGGGCCGAACCCTTAGTGGAGCCAAGATGCTCAAACCCATACTCGGACGAGCCGCCGCCGTAACGATGCCGCGAGAGAGGGAAGCCGCTGTCTTGCTCAAAAATGCAGATCGCCTTCTGATTGATAGTGGTCTTGTTGCCGGTATGGTAAGTCATGTTCCAGAAGGTACTTCCAAAGGGACAATCATAGCCCTCGACAAGGGGCGAGATATTTGTGCCGAGCTCAAAGTATGTGTCGTGATAGACAGTGCCAGCTGCTTTTGGAGTGAAACCACCGTACTGCGCCGCGGCCTCCTGCATCGAGAGCTCGTACAGAATGCGCTCGCCCTTGAAGCGGATGTCGTAGTACATGATGCCGAGCGAGCGGGTGTATGCAACATAGAATGACCAGCCCAGGTACTCGACATACTGCTGCTTCTCATCGAGTTTGTACCGCTTGCCGCCAATCTCCAAGTTCTGAGGTGCAAATTGCTCCTCGAGATCACGAGTGCCCATATCTGGGTGGTAATTGTCGAGCAACCAGCTGGAGTCTTTGCTGTGAGCGAACTCCTGCACGAGCTCACCAGCCTCGAAGGCGGCCCGAAGATCAGCGACTGTAGGGAAAAAGCGAGAATTCGTGACAATTCCCTTAAGCTTGTACTTGGAAATGTCCGTGCCGGGACAATCCACAATGACGTAGAGATCTATAGGGGTAAGATAATTTGCCAGACCAGGAACTCGGAAGATGATGATTTGAAAGCCTTGACTCCCATCAAAGGATGTCGGCGTAATGTAGGGATCGGCCATAAGAGTGGTACGATTGTCTCTGGCTCCGTAGTAGACACCACCCTGGAACAGTGCGGCGGTAATGTCGGAGATGTTGCCCATGACAGCATTAACGAGGGTATCGGTAGCCGACATCTTCTTGAAGTCGTTGTGACGGCCATTATATGGGACAGCGCCCCCCATGCCGCCATTGTACATCCAATCGAGCTTCTCGACCTTGGTCTGGGCAGACACTGGAAGGGGCCCGACCTGATACTCTTGAGACACAGGTTCTTGCTTTCCGCCTTCAAAGATGATAACTCTGGCGTACTTGGAGGGCGGCACGCCGCTGCCGTCTAGGTAGGGAAGGACGGCAGATTTGTTAGTGTGAAGTGTGTCAATCCAAAACACGTAGTTATCGTTGATCCCCGCTGTAGCGGGATCGGTCAGGTTCAGCCCAGTTTTGGGATCATGTAAGAGTTTCCAGACAGCTAGATTGTCCTCCGGGGTGATCTGGGACCACACATTGAGCTTGGGTGCAGCCACGATAGGAGCAGGCTTACCCAGGCCACACGCCGAGCCTGAGGTCTTATTCAGTGATCGCCTTTCCATTTGATCGTGGAGAAGACGTCTGTCCAAGCCCAGCGGCGGTACAACTGTGGCGCCCGCCAGGCCTACAGAAAATAATAAAGTCTTAAGCTTCCACATTATGAAAAAGGAAGGTAGCGTTTCCCGGGAACTGCTTCTTGACTGATCGAGTGCTGTATTCAATACATGGGAGCCCGATGGGAGATCTTATATACACGGCCCTCGACGGAATGTTCGCGGAACTTCGGAGCTGTCCGAAGTCTAGCTTTTTTAGACCTCGCCCGGGCATCTCAATCATATTCCCGTTCTTGTCGTCGGTTTGATCCCTCGTGAGGACTGCTGCGGAAAACATATCTAGAAATTGCAAGGTGGTATCAGTTAGACGAAGACCTTCAGTGTCGGTATTAGCCTGCATGTGCATGCCAAGACCTGCAACTCCGCTCGAAGTGCACGTTCAGATCGGTCAACAGACCGCTGGTGCGGGGAAGGTCAAATGTTGCCCAGCTGAGATTGGACAATCTCACAAGAGATTATCAGTCACTGAGGGGAAAGATCTATGCGAAGATAAGCTCTTTCTCGGCAGCTGGAATGCTTATCTTTGGGCTTGGAGTTTTGAAGACGTCGATGCCCGAATTTTAGAACACTAAACTCTTTTAAACCATGACTCGCATGCATACTATTTCCGCCAAGCCGCCAAAACAAGCACCGCGATAAGGGAGAACCTGGAGAGGTGTGATCACAGCACGTGGCTCAGCATCATGTTGAGATGGCAATACGTCTCTGAGCTCTCTCGTCTAGAATAGCCCAAACAGGTCGCCATCATATCGCTCGGGAGGGGGGCCCATTCTTCCGTTCCGACACAAAGAACGTACCCCCTCAACAAAGTCAACATCAGCTATGAACCCTTCCAAATTACCGTTGGTCTTCAGCCCTGAATACTTGCATGTCCCGGCTGAGTCGCAGCTGTGTCTCATCTCTGCCTGCCTTAGAATGGGACTCTTTACGAGGAAATCGGATGACCTCAGGCAAATGCGTGCCCATTTATTGAGCCTGAGTCCTTGCCCTGGGTGGCCGGAAGTGCTTATATTGGCTTCTTGGTAAGACAACCCCAGAAGAATACCCCGTATCGCGGATGCCGCTGGACGGCTATTTGCACTATGGATTTCGGCACTTATGTTCTCCGGTTCTCTCGTTTCCGGTCCCTCCTGTAGACTGGAGGGTGTTGATCGGGCACGGTATCAGAGTAAATCTCCTTACACCTGAATAAATAGGTAAAGAATATCAAAAGGGGAAACGAGATTGTAGCATTCAGTTTGCGAAATCAGCTAGATGTAATTACTGAATAATGCCAAGGCACAGGATAAATGCAGCAGGGCTGCAACGGAATTTGCTGCATTGGAGAAAAGGCGGGAAATGAAGAAAAGCGGGGCAACCTGGTGTGCGGCCCGGAGTGCACGGGCCACCCGGAAAAGTGGCCCCACGGGTGCCGGAACCCGGCATGGCCCCTTGCGCAATTGTCGGATAGAATATCCGCCTAAGGCACACGGGCAAAAGAGAAATCTCTTAGTACCAGGTGGGTCGTTATACTTTATAAAGCCCTATACCGCTGACAGCATTGCATCTGTATAAGAGCCAAACGTCCGAGTTTGGTATGATGTGTGCAATGCGGAGCGAGCTGCAAATATTTAGTGTGCAGTCTCCTGGAGACGCTTGTCGAGGCCCTGAATGTGCCTGAGCTTCTGCTGCTCCATCTCGGCCGCCTTGGCAGCTTCGATATCGATGACCTCCTTGTTCTGCTTGCCCACAAAGACACTGTCGGGCAGCGCGTTGAGCTCTTCCTCCTCCCTGTCGAGCTTCCTAAATGTGATCCAGAAGCCTATACCGCCCAGGGTGGTGATGATTGCAATTGTCGTGTACAGCCAGACCAGAAGAGGGTCTTTGGCAAATGGGACAAACGCCTGGGCGAGAGCCGCGCTGAAGGCTTGGGCAAACCAGAACAAGCCGGTCACGAGGCCGCGCATATTCTTGGGAGCCTTCGTAAAAGCGTACTCCAGACCGGTGATAGAGGCCCCGATCTCGGAAAAGGCGATCAGCACGTACGCCGGGGTCTGGACCCAGACGGAGATATCTGGGGGAGTGTCGCAGCTGCTGGCATTGGTGCCGCAGGGGGATTGCACGTAGATATAGTGTTGAATCAGGGTGGCGACGATCATTGCGAGAACGGCCATGATGAAACCAACGGCGATCTTGCGGATAGGGGTCACACGGATGCGCGCCCGGTCCATCCAGGGGTAGAAGAATTTGTCGAACAGGGGGATGAAAATAAGCAGGGCAATGGGATCCAGGTTGTTAACTAGGTCATTGGGAAAGCCGTCAAGCCTCATAGTGGCTGCCTGCGACGTCAGGTTATTGTATAATTGGTTATAGGGCTAAGCAGTGTTCTCAGTCAGCCGCCACATGTCACAGAAATACCATGCAAAGAAGAAGAAGCACCACTTACAAGCCAGAAGATTGGATAGAACAAGAAGACCTTCGCGGCACAGAAACCCCTGCGGACCTCGTCTACCCAGTTGTCGTCGAATGTCATCCAGTCGGGCTTATTGTCACCGAGCCGGCTGGGCTTGACCGCTTCCCAGAAGTCAGCAGAACGCATGTTGCGAACAGTCCTTACGGGGTTCCAAGACCAGTGCTTCTTCATTGCCAGTGCCCAGAGACCGGTAGCCTTGCTGGCGACTGACCCAGTCGGCGGGTTCTTGATGTACTTGTTCCGGCACACGACCATGACAATGGGGCAGAGGAAGAAGAGAATCGTCGGCAGAAGATATGCGAGCCAGAAGCCGACGTACTTCTCGGCATAGACCATGGCAACTTGGCCGAACAAGACGCCGATGTTGATGAAAAAGTAGTAACGCATATAGATGATGGCGTATGTCTTGTGGGGGTCCACGATCACGCGTTCGCCACTCGGAAGCGTCTGGACGGTAGCACGCGGGGCTTTTGCCTCATACTGTTCGGCGATCAGCGGAGATATGTTGGCTTTGAAGAAACCGACCCCGACGCCGAAGAATAAAAGGCCGATGATGAAGGCGGCGAGCGAGCCTCTCTGGTTGTTCAAGACTGCAGGGATGGCAGAGATGACAATGAGAACATGGCCGAACGTGGCCGAGGCGATGCCGACGTTGATCGTCTTAAACTTGCCCCAGTAGGTATCTGATAGGTAGCCTCCCAGTAGAGGCATCAGATAGGCAAAGAACGAATTAAAAAGAGTCAACCCTGTCGATGCTTTTTTGTGGAGGCGCCCCAGGTTAGTGTTGAAATTTTTGGTGTAGAAAACAGGGGTTAGATCAGAAAATCAACAGAACACCACTACCCCTGATTTCGCTGATTTAACTTAATTAACTTAACTTGCTGCTCATGTCGGGGTTAGCACAAGACTTAGGGTTGGACTTTTACTGAATATAAAGTAGTAAATATCGCACCCTTGTTGCCCCATGCCCATGGCGCCTGACTGTCCCTCGTAGCCGGCGCCGGAGGGTGAGCCCTCGGGCCGAGGGTGCTGGATGAAGTTTGTGACTATACAAGATAGGGTTTGCGATTAGCCAGATTATCAGGGCAAAATCAAAGCACAAATAGGGAAAGAACCCAAATCTGCAGCAAGTACTCGTACTATTGGTGGTCTCAAGGCCTCAAGGCCTGTTGAGTTCCGGTACCTGGGACGGACGTGGATGAAGAAGAAAAGGGGCCTGGTGAGGGCACGTGACACCACGCAGACCATTCTCGCGAAACATCATGTCTGGTGTTGGTCCACGTCAAATCCAGATGTCAGTTCAACTTACAGATAGTTGTAGTCCCATAGTAGGAGAATCGCTCGACCATTTCTACGATGGCGATCGTGTAGATGACCCACCCAATCTTGCCTTTGACAGGACGAAGGGTGAGCAGCTCCTCGGCGGTCGGATAAATCTCGCCATTGGGGCCACGAAGAATGTCTGTCTGGACGACGCGGCCGACCTCCTCGGCACCGTCAGCCTGCCCGGCCAAAGTCTTCTCTCCGGTGGGTGCGGTCCCGGGCGCGGGCGGGGCGCTAGTCACGGTGTCGGGCTGAGAAGTTGCGACCGGCTGGGGCTCCACCGCAGCCGGACCGGCGGATTTTTCGCCAATGGCCGACTTTTCGGCGGGCGCGTCAACCTTAGCCATTGTCTTGTATTCGCGTCGTCAATCAAGTCATAAAGTCGCACAGGATTGCGGACCTCCTTGCTGCGAAAATGGACTATCGCCAGCAAGCAATGCAACAATGCGCAGCAGGAAGGATACGCGTGCGTCAGACGATCCATTTCCATTGAGCCAGTCAGCCATTTATTAAGATGTCGCGTTGTAGGATTCGGGGTACCCCTCCAACAACGTTTCATTGCTCCGTCCAATGCCTGTCACGCCCAGCCTCTCCGGGCTTACTGATAAGAGGGTGCCAAGACTGCCAAGAGCGGAGGAAGTGAGGGAATGGCACTCTGCCTTTCCGACCTGCCAGATGTGGCGATGTTAACTGCCGATCCACTCCGCAGAGTTTATGTCTAATATTCCTAAATACGGGTCAAGCCCCCGGAATGGACACTGCGAAATCTACCTATGTACTTGTATGCCTGAAGCCAGTTCCTCGGGACCATACCAGGATGCATTTATGGATAACGTCGGTTGAGCTGGAGTGGCACCAGAAGCGGCGCAGACTCACTGAACGGTGAGCTAACTAGGAAAAAGAGCATGGGCTGTCGAGTGTTGCCTCCATTCCCGGCAAGGCACGGGCTTGACCATCTGACATGGGCAGTCCTGTGCCAATGAAACCAACGGCGCTCGGCCTTGGCCTTGCCCATGCATGTCTTGGTCCTTGCTCTCACTCTGAGCCTGGCGAATCGGGTGCCGTTTCGGATTACGAATGCACGGCCCACAGCGATTCTCTGATCACACGGCTGATATGGTACCAATCATCTTTCAATGTGGCACCTTTCCCGGCTTTTAAGCCCATGACGCACAGGGGGGGAGGTATGGTTGGTGCGGGAAAGAGGGCATGACCTTCTGCAGCTTAATCTTTGCTTGATATTAATGCTTGGGGCAATCTACCGAAGGGAACACCACTAAGCATCATAGAACAAGTAATCTCAAGCTGTGAGATAACTTACATGGGTCTCACAAACCGAGAACAAAGTATGAGTCAATCAGTACTTAAGAGACCTGGAGAGCATCTGAGGAAAGTCTTTGCTATTGAAGACCATTCGATTCTTTAAAAGGCATCTAGCTGAGCAGGAAAGATAATGCATTCGTCACGCGGGTAGAGTATTGTTGAGCTACGTTATCTGCAACCGCTATCAACTTGACCCTCGCTACTGGCAACGTCTCTTGCGATGCTTGCGATAAACACGCTAGAGCTGGATACAGGAGGTGCATTGCTTGGGAGACGGCTGCAACATGAACGGCGCTGAGATGTGGCCTCCAATGTTTCGTGCTGCTGTATATCTGCCCCAGAACTCAGTAAAGGCCTCTGTTGTCAGTTCCTTTTTCAACATGTCCCTCACAACATATCCACCTCTCGCGACCTTCTGAGCCTGCTCCATCAGGAAAGCCTCGAGGGCCTCAATATGGAGTGGCTCTATTCTGCGAACGATTGAGCCCGTCCCTTCCCGGAAGATGATGTAGCTCTGACTCCAGGGCTGACCTTCCTTCCAGACCTTCTGAAGACGACTGAGGTCCAAGGTGTTGAATTTGTTCTTGATCTTCTCTGAGGGTCCGACAACACCGAAGCCAGGCAGACTGGTCTCTGCAAATACCAGTAGCCCGTGGCGGTTGACCGAGTCGAAATGGATGGCCCCAGCGTGGCGCCAGTAGAGCTGCGGCTTCAGCTCCGAGAAAAGTGCGAATGGAGAGGACACTTGGTCAAGAACCATTGCCTGACTCAAGGAGAGTGGCTGGAGGGGCGGTGTGCCAAAGACTTTCATGTCTTTCGCCGTGTTGAGCTTGATTCCGGGGTATACGTCTCCTCCATATCGACTCTCGCCCATCAGCGCATTGTTCTTCGGGTAGGACTGGAGGTGATCGACAATGGCGCGAAAGTCTCGCATGTTGAGGTGGTCCGCGTACCTAACGGCCAAGACCGGGCCTCTCCAGTCGTATGCCACGCCCTTCAGGTTGCTGAGTGCCTCAATCGAGGCGTTGCCGTCGTAGGCATATTCGTCTTTGATCGCTGAGTCGACGTAGATGAGATAGATGGTCTGTGTGCGGATTCGAATCGCCGGGCAGGTTTTGTCTTCCAGCTTGGTCATGTTGTGGCTGTCGGTATGGATGCCCAGGATGCCGTCGCAGTCCCAGTAGTCGTTGCGGAGCCTGTTGATCCACACGAAGCGAGGGCGCTCATCGTTATCCGGAAAGAGGATAGCTCTGCCGTGGGTTGGTGAAGGAGGATTGTGAGGATCGAAATCGGCGAGGGTATCGCAGAGCAGGTCGTGGACCGGTTTGTCGAGCTCTTGGCAGTCGCTGTCGCAGTAGCGGATGTCCTTGCATTGAGGACACTCGATCGATTCTTCTTCCGATTTCACTTCGCCACAGGCGGCACAAGTCAACAGGACTGAGACTGGGATCGGCTCGGGCCCCGCCATCTTGGAGATGCAAGTTATTCCCCCTAAATCGTTGGCATCAGGAGATTCGGTGAAGCGGCGGAGAGAGATAAAGAAGCGAAGTGAAGTGAAAGGGGAATTGACGAGATCGCTGCCTGGGCTCACTAATACCCTCTGCAAAACCTCACTATTGTTTTGCCCTTCAATTCACTTTCCCTTCAGCTTGATATCTTCCCATCAAGTCGATCTAGTACTTGTCTCCACCCCAGCAATTCCGAGGTGTGCGAAATAATCACCCCAAAGATGAAAACTGATCAGGAAACAGCCATCGATCCATATGTTGCTAGCCAATATCGTGTTGAGACTTGGCTGCACTGGTCGCCATTCTCGACGCTATTGACTGATTCTCCAAGTGTACTTGAGATGGTTGCAGTAGTACTCTCGACAGTACCGTAAGTTGAGGCAGCCAACAAATTTCGTATTTGTACCTCCTTGGTGGGTCTCTCATCCTCGGGCCATGTTAGATATGCAGTAGGAAACAAGGGTTGAGCTCTTTATCGGCTATGATCACATTGAAAGGTAATTGAATGCTTGGTCAAAGCCAGGCAACCGAGGATTGCTAATTATAACCTTCAAGACTGTATCCATGTGAGTATCAGACCTCAGTGGGAGGCGGCGGCATATCTTGTAAAAGAACCTAGAAAAGATACCTGTGATATCGGGAATAGACTGAAGCCTTTCTTAGACTTGTTCCTTTCTATGACTCCGCAGATACTTTTTGAAATGGTGTCCACTCTGAATGCCCGAATGGGGTAATGAACGTCAACGCTCTCATTCCTGAGACCTTCATTAATCACGATGAGGCAGGAGTTTTAACTCTCTCCATTCTTTCCGCCCAAGACGACACTTCACGTTCACCATTATCCCTTTTCATACGTGCTTGTAATTGTCCTCTTGTCTCAAATTCTATGGAAATTAAAACCATCATCGCCGATTCATTGCATCGACTACCATGGTAGCCACGGAGTGGAACTCATGCGCTTCGACTCATGACCTTATAGTTTCCAAAATTGTTTTCTATCAACCACATTGTACTGACATATACACGTGAAAACTTGTAGATCAAACATGAAGCTCCCTGAATAACAGCCGCGAACCATCCGGGCGTATTGCCTTTGAATTATATCAGTTTTTCTTCAAGAAATGATCTAGTATAGCATAACAAGCCGCAGACGTCATGATCATGTTGTTTTGGGACTAGGTGAGACAGGCATGGGAAAGGAATGTCTGACTCTATCCCTTTACCGACGTCAAACACGCCCCGCGGGACTGGATTATATGGACGTGAGGAAGATGCTTCATACTCGGTGGGGCTACCCAGCATATTCGCAGTCATTTTCCAGTTTGAAACGATGTCTGTTCCTCTACCCTCAAAGTGGCAGAGTTCATTCAAACATCTGCCTAATTGGGCGTTGCCATTGGTTGGCACTCATATCTGACAGCGATCTACATGCCAAGTTCCACAACCTCAACCTTATCGAGCAGGCGGGTCCATAACACCAAGAAGAGATCTTCGCCCTAATGGAATGCCCATCACCACATTCGCAGAATGACAATGGTGATCTCATTCTCTCACGAGGTTGTCGGAAACACGCACGAAAAACACGTGAACCGGTGAGGATCACCAAGCAGGTTGAGTGACGTTGGACTGGATGTTGAGAAAGTTGAGCGTGATGCTGGGAGCTCTGGGTATAAGTATCGAGCTCTTTCTCCTCGACGATCTTGCTGTCAGATACATTTCAACAGAAGACAGTGTCCGCAATTCATAGCTCTTCACGTTCCACTTCACTCCACAAATCATTTATTGAACGGTTATTCTCGACCATCCGCTCGAATCTTCAGGAAACAAAATGCAGTTCTCCACTCTTTTCATCGCCGTCTTCGCCGCTGCCGGTGCCCTTGCTGCGCCCGCCCCCAACGAGGGTGCTGGCCAGCCCATTGCCCCCAGGCAGAACGGCACAGAGCCCGGCATCGGGGATATCCCCGGCGTCAACAACCCTACGGGCCAGAACGACCTGTGTGGCTTCTCGAAAGACATCTGTCGTCCTGGCAGGGGCTTTGCAGACTGCGATGCCCAGTGCAAGACCTGCGCGGGCAAGTATGGCAACTACAGCTATGGCCGCTGCTGCGGTCAGACGAGTCTGTAAGCTTACTCTTATGCCCTCTATTACGTCTTGTGCATATGCTGACAAACCTCGTATCAAGGGCTTGCTGCTGCTACTACTAGTTGCACCGGGGGAGAGAACATTGCCTGAAGTCAAGGGGCCTACTGTAACGACCGAAGATGGCCCTGGAAAGCGCAGTGAAACTTTCGTGGTTCTATGTATGAAGCTCTCAAGATAGTCAACGCTTTTATGAGCCAACGCGACAAAGTAAATCTCGTTCACCGTCTCCGCTTCTGTGATGAAATGCAAATGCAAGGGCGCGGATTATGGTATTGTGAGCGTCCAGGATATGCCCTCGCGAGAGTCAACTGTTACATTCAGAAGGAATGTTGTTCCTGAGCTCTGTTATGCGGTTACAGCTTTAAGTCTACCTTCGCTAGAGCCGTCGCTTGCCTCAGTGCCAGATCCGCCAGGATCTCTTCACTTCCTCCTCCAACAACCTGTGTGGCAGGTTAGACTTTATTCACCACATTCTTCTCAATGAATCGACTTACCAGCATGCGAAGATCACGCGTGATTTGCTCCACGGTCGCACCGCGTCCCCCCTTCTGATATCCGGCACCTCCAAAGATCTGTTGCGCCTCACGCGCTGCTAGCTCCACCATCTGGCCGCCCTGCACCTTCAAGAGCGCAATCTCGCTGGCAATCGCTGCATCTTGCCACCCCTGGGGTGACTGCTGGACCTGGTACGCGACCTGTTCGAGCCAGGCCCAGTGAGCCTCGACGCGGTGCGCCACCTCCGAGAGCTTCCGCCGGATGACCTGGTTCTCGAGGAGCACTTTCCCAAACGTCTTGCGCTCCGTGGCGTACTGGAATGCCAGGGCCAGGCACGTGCGGCTCTTGCGGTTGCACTGCACAGCGAGGAGATACCGCTCGCGGTTGAAGTTCTTCATGATGATGGAGAACCCGCGGTTCTCGCGCCCGATGAGGTTGCCGGCGGGGACCCGGACGTTCTCCAGGTCGACGAAGCTGGCGCCCCCCGCGTTCTGGCCGCTGTTGTGGATCTTGGTGATTGTCACGCCCTCGCTCTGTAGGGGTATGACAAGGACGGAGATGCCGCCGGCTCCGGGCCCGCCTGTCCGGACCGCGGTGGTCATATGCGTGGCCCACGGGGCGCCGGTGATCCATTTCTTTACGCCGTTGACGATGTAGTGCCTGCCGTCGGGAGACTTCACCGCTGTGGTCTGGAGACTCGCTACGTCAGATCCTCCACCCGGCTCGGTGACCCCAAGGCAGAAATTTGTCTCGTTGGAGAACAGACCCGGGAGCCAGCGACTCTTTTGCTCCTCGCTCCCGTGGTGGAGAACAGGTGGGATGCCGATCGGCGTCGCGCCGCCCAGGGCGACCATCACGCCGCCTTCCACCCTAGCCAGCTCATCGGACGCGATGAGGAGGTGGAACGCGTCCGTCTGGTCGTTGGGGATACCGGCTAGCCTGGGGATGTCCCTGGGCCGGTACTTGTCCGGCACATCGTCGAATGGGATTCCGGACCGGCAGTAGTCGAGCGCTGCCTCCCGCGGCACTTCGCCTTGCTCCTCCCAGCTCAATGCATGGGGCAGGACTTTTTCGTCGACGTATTTCCGGATGTTGTCGCGCAGCTGCCGATGGCTCTTGTTCAGATACGGAGACTTGCCAGTGCGGTACCAGGCGGGCTCGCTCCAGGGCACGCGCTGGTCGAGGTTGAGCTTCGGGTCCGGGGCCATGCTTGATGTTGAGGGAATGCATGTACCGACAAAATCTTTCCCCCAAGTTCATAAATGGGTAGACTCAGCCTTTGCTTGTCATATCATTTGGCTTGCTGGCATCCTGTGAAATTAAGGTAAGCTTTCCTGGCGCTTCTGCATCAGAAAGCGGGGAAGCATCCGGTGCCTCGGCACCCTCAAACTCAATGCAAGTGTCGTCATCCTTCTCTATGTAAGTGGCTCCGTTCGAATAGAGCAACGTTAATTATTAGAACAGTCTATAATTCTAGTTTCAGAAACGAATATCTAAGTACCTCCTATGATATTCAGCCCTTCGTGCAGTTTCAGTGCGATGTACCCAGCGCTTATCCTGGCATCACCAAAGTCAAGCGCAGCAACCTCTTCAATGTCGACAAAGTCTTCAATGGGAAGCCGGAGTATAGTTGTGACACGAAGGAACTGTTCACAGATCCAGTCCTGTTGGCCAATCCGCAGCGCATCCGTGACAACCCAGCCATGCTCGCCAGCGAACAGATTCAATAGTCGACATAAAGGCCCCATGCTATGCCACGATCCTTGAGCTATGACGTGGCGCTCGTGCTCATCTTTCGATAGTGTATGCTCGGTTTCTATTCTGCGGCGCCTTGGTGAGCCGGGGGGCAGTGAGTGATGACTGGGAAACTCGATTGCTTGATTAGTGAAGTCGGCGATGCTCGATGGTCGCGTTCGGTTCCCAAGGAAGTATGGCAGCGAGAAACATATATCGTCAATGGTTTGCTGCATCGCATCTTGACAATCGGCTACGCTCATGATGGCAGCGGGTTCAGACTCGTATCTTGAAATCGACACCCCTTGTTGCAGAGCCAGCAGCATATGTAAGAGCAACAAGCGATACCATCTCCACAAGTTCCACACAGATGCTATCTGGCAGGAAGGATAGACGTCGCACATCTTCATGTAGCTGCTGATGGACGGGTCGAAGTCTAGGTCACTTCGAAGTCTCAGCGGAAGCCAGTCGGCTGGAGCGCACTCAGCCCAGGCCAACAGTCCCAGATGTGTTTTCAAGGCGTCATTAAACCATATTGTCCTGGATGTGTGCGAAACCGACTGAGCTTTCAATTTTGACATTCTGATGAATCTGAATCGCAAGTCGGCAATATCCGCACCCAGGTCATCGAGGATCGAGCTTGGGTTCGGCATCACGGTCGCATGTCTGGCTTTCGCCTGCGCGAGGGTCCGTTCCGAAAGCGGTCTGCCTTCGCGCAGTGCCAGCGAAACCTCGAGGTGGATCAAGTATCTTGCCATATACCCCGTCCAGCTCCCCGCCGTTGTCTGCTCGGGCATGTACTCGGCGACCGGAAGCAACGACAGTGCGCCATTGTAGTGATGGCGTAAGACCTTGCGACCGCCAAAGACGCTGGACACATTCTCGTACCAATGGAGTATCAACGCGGCAAGGATCGTGCTAGGCTGGCTTCTCTGGGCGGGGTCTTGTATCGCTGCTCGAAGACGGGCTAGGCTGTGGTTGAGACTCTTATCGGGCAGCAGGAAAGCTTTCGGTCCTTCTGTCCAGAGGACAAAGTACTTTGAGGCGACACTGGCGACAGCTGTAGATAAAGCCGAGTCTTTGGGCTCCGAGTTGAGCAGCGGCATGATCACCTCGAAGAGTCCATGAGAAGAGTCAAAGCTGCGGCCCCCCAAACAGTCGCCCAAAAAGAATGACACGGCATCATTCTCAGGCCCAAACGGTACGGTTGACGATAGTGGCGAAATAGAAGGCCGCCCTCGGTCTGGAGTTCCAGCTTTGCCTGAACCAGTGTCTGCTGGTCGTGGTGATGCTCTGCAAAATTTATAGGTTTGATCCTGGATCTTGAATGGCCGAGGTAGCTTCTCATAGCCCCCGCAGTTCCTGTCGGCCTTTATACAACGGTGGCACTCTGGTTTCGCCTCATCGCATTTGACGCGCCGCTCTCTGCAAGTATGGCACCGGCCGGAAGGTCCGAGGTTAACCATGCTGGTTAGTCCGAAAGCGGTCCGCTCCTTTCCAAACAGGCAAAGTTTATGCGAAAGGCATCTCCCTACGGGATGGATGGCGTGGGGTACTTTATAACATGATATCTTGGAGTATGTGTGGCTTAGCACGTTCGTCAGTCAGCTCCAGGCTGCCCACAGGTAGTCGAGGATTCAAAGCATACAGAGAACGGGCCCTGAAGAATGACTAGGAACGACAGCTGATGAATCATTCTGATGAGGCTTAGGTGTAGCGTATGTTCCCCACATAAATCTGACATGACGTGGGCTCTCCAGGCTCACCTCGCAAAGAGATTACTCCATTTGGATTAGCAGCATGTCTCCCATACGCCTGCCAAGACAAGCCTCGACTGTTTGCTTATTAAAGAACATGCCCCAGACGGTGATAATATTCATTAAAGAGTCATGGGAAACTAGGGCTTTTAGTTCAATCTCCTATCTGAAAGAATGAAGCCACTTTCTCTCCTGTCGATCTAGTCTCTTTTATTTCACTGCTTGTCTTTTCTGCTCAGTCTGGTCAAGTATGATGGGGGCTTGGATCACGGCTTGTGGCCCTTCAACACACATTCGCCCTAAGAGTGGTTGAAGGTGACGCAGGGGTTTCGCCATTGGGAGTATTGTGGACAAGATACAGCAGGGATTTGTTTCCATTGCTGATGCAGGATTGAAAGCTTCTTCCGGACCAAACTTAGAAGGTCAAGGATGCCTTGGGTGACAAGGCAATTCTACAAACCTTCAACGTAAGAGCCAGATACCATTGCCAGATTGGTGCCGAGAAGGAATGGCCAACTGTGATCTTTACTTGGTTGAACAAGACCTTGAACAAGCTGTGTGCAGCTGGTGCTGTGCGGCGCAGGTAAAGAATGGAACACAGCTGACTAGTTAAGGGGCTGATGCTTGAGTTTGAAGGCCAGGATTGTAGCCAAGTTGGCATACAATATTCTGAAAAGTCACCTTTCTAGAAGAAATTCTGCGTTGCGACATATCATAGATCGTTCAATTCTCATGGATTGCGAGCCGGCCCTCCCCCCCTCTCTCCCTTGAGGCGGGTGGTTTCCACTCACATCAACTACGCCTCCAAAGCCACAACATCCTTCCCACAAATACCGTCACGATTTCAACAAGCCGCCTTTTAGAAGTCTTCCTCCTCTGCCGGAGGCTCCGAGGGCTCAGGAGCAGGCGTCTGCACTGGCGAACAGCTCACAAGCCTCCGGGTCGCGGGCTCACTAGCCGTCACAGTAGCCGTCGCTCGGACAGTCCGGGTGTAGTGCCTCGTCGTCGTCGGCTCCTCAGGCGGCGCCGCCGTCGCCGTGGTCGTGGTCGACGGAGCGGGCGCGCTAGTCGTAGGCTCAGACGAACCCTGCCTGCGCATCATGGTCATGGACCCTTCCGCCGCGCCGTCATCCAGCGTCGGCACGGGGGTGCTCGGCCTCGGCGCCGGGCGGGTCATGGTCGGCCTCGGCGGGCGGGCCGGGGCGCCGCAGTTCCGCAGGCTGACGACGGTCGTGGTGGCCGTGTAGACGGTGCGCGTGCCAACGGTGCGCGTGACGGTGGCGTCGTAGCTGGTCGTGCTGCACACGTAGCGCGTGCGGGTCGTCGCCGTGGCGCTGACCGTCTCGAGGCTGTAGGCCGTGCGGGTGAGGTGCACCGTCGAGGTGACGGTCGCCGGGGCTGCGGCGCTGGCGGAGTCTTCCTGGCGCCGCTGCCTCACGGGCACGATGGGCGGGGATGCGGTTGCTTCGGCTGGAGCCGGGACCGGGGCCGGGGCCGGCGGGAGAGCCGCCATGCCGCCGCCGAAGCCGAAGCCGAAGCCGCAGCTTAGTGACGAGGTGGCTGTCGCTGTGGTCGAGTACCGCGTGCGGGTGATTGTCATGGTAGTGGTTTTGTCTACGGTGTAGAGCCACGCGATAGTCGACTCGCAGGCGTAGGTAGTACGCGTGAGAGGCTGGGTCTGGGTGATTGTCGTCTGGACCCAGACTGTGTGGGTGACCACGACCGGCGGCGGGGTGGTGGCGGCCGGAGCAGAGGTCGTAGTTGGCGCCGGCTTTGAAGACCCGGTGCCTTGTCGCTTGATGAACTCGGGAGAGTCCGGGCCGGGCATGGTCATTGTGGGCATGGCAGGCTCAGAAGGCGTGGTAGGTAGGGCTGGAGGTGCGACGGTAGCTCGGCTTGTCGGCGACGGCTGAGCAAAGATAGACCGAGTGCAGTTTAGCTCGACCACGGCAATGGCCGTCGAGGTGTAGGCCGAGTAGGTGATAGTCGAGGTCACAGTTGGGTCTGCCGAGTTGATCGAGGTGGTAGTGCTCGGCTTCGGCGGGTCCTCTTGACGAAGGCGGATGTTGCCAGTTGGGCTGGCCGTGGCCAATGCGGCACCCAGCACAAGGAGGAGCTTGAACGCATTCATGGTCGCTGTTGTCACTTGACAATTCTTATGGCTGCTGAGCAACTTCATTAGTGCTATCATCAGTTGATCCCGGATTGCACTGTAGTTATATACTTCACACCGGGAGCCTCGGGCCACTGGCTCCTCGTAGAATGTGACAGGATCATGTACTATCTCATCTGGATTTCATTTCGAACCCCTCGCTTGTCTCAGGTACCCGCGTTACTGTGAGCACTAATCTCGAAAACTTCCATATTGACAAAAGCTTGTCGAGCCGGGATTTGCGTTGGCGGCAGTTGGCTGGGTGTGCCTTGTGCCTGGAGGGTATGACCTGTCAAATGGAGAAGATGCGGGGATGTAATTTGGTGATATTGATTAGACTGGAGTTGCCGGATGGGTGATGGGTGATCTTGGCGGCGGCTTAATGATCGTGGTTTGTTTTCTCGGATAAAAGGCCTCGTTTAACCCGAAGCGAGCATCTCAACTCTGAGGACTGTTTGAAACATGCGGGGGAGATCAGCCATGAGCAAACCGAGTATTTCCAACCGACCAAACAATTCCGTCGGATCGATCCGACTGGTTGTTTTTACTGCAATGAGTATAATAAGTATGCGCAGTGTGTTGAAGGCCCGGTCAGATTTGTTGAAACATTGAGCTGGCCAAGATCAAAGAATGGAATATAATGAAGAGATATCTTGAGCATGGCATAGAGTTTCCCCAGAACCACAGTCTCTATTTCTGTACCTTGAACGCTAAAACCACGTCTATCACTACCTATAATGCTAGACAACTGACAGGTCCTTGGAATTTACGACATCTCCAATATCACAGATTCCTCCAACAAGAAGGTCAAATGTCTTGGGGTCGACTAATATCACACGAAATAGGCCATTGTGCGAGATTTATGTCATGTCTCCGCCCGCATACTATATAGTTGTGAGATAATCGATCGATCGCAGATTGTGTGTAAGTGGTGTGCCATGATGCCATGATGTTTCTGCGTGGAATGACTGGACAACCCAAGAAGGCATTTTCCATTCACAACCAATGATGTACATAATCAAAGCTAAATCAATTCAAACGAAGCTGCGCTTCTTGTTGGTGGATGTTCCTCACGGTGGTTCGTCTCGGGGATCTTGCCGGAGGTGTTAGTTCCGTTCGTCTTTGTCAGCGGCCGTGTGTGGTGGTGTCTTGATCCCACCGCGTTAGCTTCTGGGCTTCTACCTAGACTTGCTAAGGCTTGGTTCCTCCGGGGCAAATTCGGCAAGTTTTTGCACGGAATAGAATGAGTCAGAAGCTTCCATTACAGTGGACAGCTCTCACTAAACATGGCCTGGAGCGTGCTGAAGAATTATTCTTGTCTGTGATGGGTCTAGGTGGTCAAATTTTCTGCCACATGCATTTTCCACTCGTGTCGCTCAATTAACCTCTCACCCCGTGGACATCACTGGACGTCACGTCAAGACTGACTGCCCCGCGATACGCAAGCAGCACGCAGCACGCACGCATATTCAACGTTGTGCCACCCACACAGCCAGGATCATTCAACATGGCGACCAACAACGACCACGTCCTGACCTTCACGTGCCCGGACAAGCCGGGCATCGTGCACGCGGTGACGGGCCTGCTGGCGGCCAACAACCTCAACATCCTGGACCTGCAGCAGTTCAGCGACCCGACCTCGCAGAGATTTTTCATGCGGGTCCATTTCGGCCCCACCGAGAGCACCGAGCACCTGCGGGCCGCCCTCGACGCCCTCGAGCTGGCCATGGACTACGAGCTCCGGCCCGTCGCCCGCAAGACCCGCGTGCTCATCATGGTCTCCAAGATCGGCCACTGCCTCAACGACCTGCTCTTCCGCGCCCAGTCCGGCCAGCTGCCCATCGACATCCCCCTCGTCGTCTCCAACCACCCGGACTTCCGGCCCATGGTCGAGGGCCACGGCATCCAGTTCCGCCACCTGCCCGTCACCAAGGACACCAAGGCCGACCAGGAGCGCCAGGTGCTCGACCTCGTCCGCGAGCACGACGTCGAGCTCATCGTGCTGGCCCGCTACATGCAGGTCCTGTCGCCGACCCTGTGCGAGGCCATGTCCGGCCGCATCATCAACATCCACCACAGCTTCCTGCCCTCCTTCAAGGGCGCCAAGCCCTACCACCAGGCCTACGACCGCGGCGTCAAGATCATCGGCGCCACCGCCCACTTTGTCACGGCCGACCTCGACGAGGGCCCCATCATCGAGCAGCGCATCGCCCGCGTCGACCACAGGTCCAGCCCCAAGCAGCTCACCGAGGAGGGCTCCAACGTCGAGAGCCAGGTCCTGGCCGCCGCCGTCAAGTGGTACGCCGAGAGGCGGCTGTTCATCAACAATGCCAAGACTGTCGTCTTTAGCTGAGCGCCATACTCCCTGCTGCCATGATTTACGGTTAGATGAAAAGCGAATCTCTGCATTAGAACGTGGTCCAGTTTACACAAATATTTGTTCCAAGAAATGATTGACCCCACTAGAGACTGGTAGAGATGTGACTCTTGATGCTGATCTCACTAATGATAGACACTTGATTAGTCTAGGTCATTCAGTCCAATGGATGACTGCCTGATCATCCCATCCACTGCCATTTTGATACACCTTTTCTTTTAATACTGTTGACTCATCCGGTATGATTCACAATGAGATGAGATGAAAGAAATGCCACCAAGGTTCCCTCCCAGGCTACCCCGCCAAAAATTTCGACATGTTGACGTTGCTTTAGCTTATCGATAAGAGATTAGATAAAAATTATTTAATGGGAGGCGCACCGTTCGCTGCCCAGAAATTTTGATCCGCGCCCCTCCATCAGTGACGCACCGGTGGCCTCGCGATCAAACATAAACAAGGCGCTTGTTGCGAATAGTGCATGGTGTCAAGTTCTGCCCTAGGATACTCCGACACAGACCGCACAATGTCGCAGCAACAAGACAACGGCGCGGCCCTCACGGCGCCCCACGAGCCGCCCTACACCTTCACAGCAAACCAGGGCTATGGGCCCTCCGAGGCCACGCCCTCAAGTTTTGCCAACACCAACCGACAAAACGGCCAGCTGGCTCTCGATGCGGACGACGATGACGACCTCGACGACATTTTCGCCGACGAGGACGACGAGACGGAAGAGTGGGACCCCACCGCGACCGACCTGACCAAGAACTACAACCGCCAGCGCCAGCTCCAAGACGGCTCCTCGCCGGCGGTGCCCCGCAACAACGCCCAGAAGCCCAAGGCCAACACGTTCGCCAGCGTCGACGACCAGATCTCCGCCCTGTCGAAGCACGCCGCCAAGATCAGGCTGGACGACGTCAAGCAGGGCCAGGACAAGGACAAGGACAAGGCGGACCGGGCGACGAGCGAGCTGGTGCTCGACCAGAGGACGCGCATGATCCTGCTGCAGATGATCAACAACAACGTCGTCAGCGAGATCCACGGCGCGATCAGCACGGGCAAGGAGGCCAACGTCTACGGGGCCGTCGCGTACACGGACGCGGGCGCCGCGGTCCAGAGGGCGGTCAAGATCTACAAGACGGCGATCCTGGTCTTCAAGGACCGCGAGCGCTACATGACGGGCGAGCACCGCTTCAAGTCCGGGCCCGAGAAGGGCAACAATCGCAAGATGGTCAAGATGTGGGCGGAGAAGGAGTTCAGAAACCTGCACCGGCTGCGGTCCGCCGGCATCCCCTGCCCCGAGCCCATCAAGCTCAAGCTGCATGTCATGGTGATGAGCTTCCTCGGTGACCGGAAAGGCTGGGCCTACCCCCGGCTTCGAGACGCCAATATTGTAGGCGCTGACGTGGAGCAGCAGTGGAGGAGTCTGTTTATCCAACTTGTGGCGACCATGCGGCGGATATACCAGGTGTGCAAGCTTGTGCACGCCGATTTGAGCGAGTACAATATTCTGTATCATGACGGTACGCTCTACATCATCGATGTGTCTCAGAGTGTCGAGCATGACCACCCGAGGTCGCTTGAATTCTTGCGGATGGACATCAAGAACGTCGGTGACTACTTCAGGAGGCAAGGTGTTGACACGTTGGCTGACCGTACCATCTTTGACTTCATTACGGCACCCGAGGGCACTATCGAGATGGCGGAGATGACGGAGGCTATCGAGCAGCTTTACATCTCTCGGCCTCAGGCCGCCACTACCGAGGAGGGCCTTGCTGAGCTGGAGGTTGACAACGAGGTCTTCAGGAATCAGTACATTCCTCAGACCCTGGACCAGGTGTACGACATCGAGAAGGATGTGCAGCGGGTAAAGGAAGGTGAGGGTCAGGATCTGGTCTACCGCAACCTGTTGGCCGACCAGGTTGTCTTGCCTAAGAAGGAGGGTACAGAGGAGCAAGACGGCGCTAGCTCAGACGATGAGTCCGGCAGCGGTGCTGCGCTTGACAGTGACGAGGACAGCGACGACAGCGGAGATGAGAGTAGATTCGAGAAGGGAAGGCCGAGGGGGAGGAAGCATGAGGACAAGGACGAGAAGAAGGTACGTCTACCCGAATCCAGTGATGGGATGTGAGAACGCATGTTAACACAGCATACAGCAACACAAGCAAGCGGTGAAGGAGGCGAAGCGTGAGAAGAGGAAGGACAAGATCCCGAAGCATCTCAAGAAGAAGCTGGTCACGTCGACGTCAAGGAAGAAGAAATAGATAGCAAAATAGAAGGGCTTGGACTGTCCGGATGCACGGATGGTTTGAAACATCGCGATCGGATGATGAGGCTTCAAGGACGCCTAGGACTTCGAGCCTGTTTGCGTTTCGGCACCTCGGTGCTGTAACCTCTGGCGCGGTTCCGGATAGAGCGTTCCTGATATGGCTACCATAGCGCGTAGCTATTTTGATGAACAAAGAGAGCACTGACAATCGCGAAATACCAAGCCTTGCCTGATGAAACGTTGCTGATGTGTAAAATCAAGTCTCATGAGCGTCGAAGTACTGTTAGGGCGCGCGATGTAGTGATGGGCTGCTACAAGCACTGATTGGCTTTCACTAACGCAACGAGCCCCCACTTGTCAGAGTCCCCAATTGACCCGCCAAAATTTCATCCGCCCAAAAAGTTTCCAGCTTTGCGCAGTCAAGCATCTTCGAGGTTTACTGTGCAGGAATGACATTTCTGCGTCGATTCTCACCATGGCAACTGATCAAGAACCTATCATCACCGACAGAAAAACTGCCGACACCGCTCCCGCGAATGACGGCGAAATGGAGCAATCCCAGCGCGGCGACAACCGACAAAATGGCCGAGGCGGCGGCCGGAGGGAGAAGAACCTGTCAAGATCAAAGTACGTCCCCCCAATTGCTTTTTGCTTCTGGGGTTTAGGGTTCCCATACCGATGGCTTACTGACTCCCAGCTGGCGGTAGTAGACGCAAGAACTTCTCCACGAGGGAGCGCACGCAGGACGGCTGGGGCAAGCAGAAGCGAAGGCGGCTCGACGAACACGGCAACACGCTGCCCGGGCGCGACGGCGAGCCCGCGCAGCCGTCGCACATGAGCATCCCCTTCTCCGCCGAGGAGATCGCCGCCGAGGAGCGCCGGCCGAAGCGCAAGGTCGCCGTGCTGGTCGGCTACGCCGGCACGGGCTACAAGGGCATGCAGATCAACCACCAGGACAAGACGATCGAGGGCGACCTGTTCGCGGCCTTTGTCGCCGCGGGCGCCATCTCCAAGGCCAACGCCAACGACCCGAAGAAGTCGAGCCTCGTGCGCTGCGCGCGGACGGACAAGGGCGTGCACGCGGCGGGCAACGTCATCTCGCTCAAGCTCATCATCGAGGACGAGGGCGTCGTGCAGAAGATCAACGACAACCTGCCCGAGCAGATCCGCGTGTGGGGCATGCAGCGCACCAACAACTCGTTCAGCTGCTACCAGGCCTGCGACTCGCGGTGGTACGAGTACCTGCTGCCGACGTACTCGCTGCTGCCGCCGCACCCCAGCAGCTACCTGGGCAAGCAGATGGAGGAGTCGGCCAGGGAGCGGGGCGTGTACGACGAGATGATGGAGCGCCTGGGCGAGGTGAGGGACTACTGGAGCGAGGTGGACAAGAACGAGATCGTGCCCATCCTGGAGCGGCTGGACCCGGACGTCAGGGCGGAGGTGCTGGGCAAGATGCACTCGTCGGCGGAGTTTATAGAGAGAGGATGGAAGAGGCTGGACGATATCGAGCATCCGAGGACGAAGCCCGCAAAGACTGAGACCGAGACGTCGAATACGACTAAGGCGCCTAGCTCAACGGAGGAAGCCGCCCCCGCAGACGACCAGAGCAAACCGAACGAGGAAGGCGAGGAAGCAGAATCAGCAGATGCAAAGGCCAAGGCGGAGAAGGAGTTGAGCCCAGCGGAGCAGGCCCTCCGCGAGATCAAGGCAGCCTACGTCGCCGCCAAGCGGCGGTACCGCATCACGCCCGCCCGGCGCGAGCAGCTGCAGGCCGCGCTCAACGAGTACGTCGGCACGCGCAACTTCCACAACTACACGGTCGACAAGTCCTTCTCGGACCCTTCCGCCAAGCGGCTCATCCGCTCGTTCACGGTCAACCCGCAGCCGATCCAGATCCGCGACACCGAGTGGCTCTCGCTCAAGGTGCACGGGCAGAGCTTCATGATGCATCAGATCCGCAAGATGGTGGCCATGGCCGTGCTCGTGACGCGCTGCGGCGCGCCGCTCGAGCGCGTGCGCCAGAGCTACGAGGCCAAGCGCATCAGCATCCCCAAGGCGCCCGGCCTCGGCCTGCTGCTCGAGAGGCCCGTCTTCGAGCAGTACAACAAGCGCGCGACCAACAACCTCGGCAAGGAGGCGCTGGACTTTGCCAAGTACGACAAGGAGATTGAGGAGTTCAAGCACAAGCAGATCTACTCGCGGATGTGGGACGTCGAGGAGAAGGAGAACGTGTAAGTTATGGCTCTTTTTCTTTTTCTGTTTTTCCTCAAGGCTGACGGTTCGTTTCACAGATTTCACATGTTCTTCAATCAGCTCGACAACTTCAAGACACCGTACTTCCTGTGGGTTACGGCGGCAGGGTTTGATGCCGCGTACGAGCGGGTTGAGAAGGGCGGCAAGTTGCCCGAGGGGCTCGAGGACGTCGCTGGTGACGAAGGTGGAGAGGTGGACGAGACTGGGTCTTGAAGATAGATGTATTTTATTCGCAGAACAAGCATCGCCAGGGCTTGTATATCAGGCTCATCCTCCCCAAAAGGCTAATAGCTAGACCAATGCACTCCAAAAGTCAGGAGCTCAGACGAGGCTTCATCATCATATCGATTTTTCTTTTTTCTTCTTCTCCGGTGACGGGGTACGTCCCGTCGCTTCGTTGACGATATCCTCGTGCTCCCGGACCCAAGTATCTGCCTCTCGCTCCATCTCCTCCCACTCTTGAGAGTCGATGCTGCTGCTCGATAACTTCCGCTGGTGGGATGGCGAACTCATCGCTTCGCCATGCCCGTCGACCACCATTAGCTCTCCACCCCCGTAGATATTTGTATCTCCACCGCCGCCAAGACCAGGCTGATCCTAGTTGCCTGCCTGCGGCGGTTGTTGCTGCTGCTGTTGCTGCTGCTGTTGCTGCTGCTGCTGCGCGGCGCCACCGGGGCCGTCGAACCTCGGCGGCTCCAGCGCCGCCGTCACGTACGCGCCCGCGCCGTCCCCGCCTGCGCCGCCGCCGCCCACAAGCTCGGCGCGCGACCGCTCGCGCAGGCCGTCGAGCAGCTCCGCGACGCGGCGGGCCGAGGCGTCGATGCGCTCCGAGGCCTCGCGCTCACCCTCGCCCGGCTTGCGCAGGGGCCCGACGACCCAGAGCTCGCGGAGCTGGCGGGTCAGGGAGAGGAGGTCTTCTGTTGATTTGATCTGCGCGGTTGTCCGATGTGAGTTTATTTCCCCCGCCCAGGATAGATGGGCATGTGTGAAGGCCTTGGGGTGGGCTTGGGGAAGAAGGGGGAGAAGGAAGGGAAGCTTACGAGCCCGCGCGTCTCAATCTCCATGTGCATGGCGCTGTAGGCGGAGTGGCCCACCGTCGAGGAGCGGTTGGACACGCGCGACGTGGCCTCGAGGACGACGTTGCGGAAGCGCTCGAGGATCTCGGCGACGATGCGGCCCTCGCGGTCTGGGACGTGGGGTCGGGGTTAGCTTGAGACTCGATGGATCTTTGATGAAGTCGCATCGCGGATTGGATGAGATGAGAGCTTACCGAGGAGGTTGGTCTGGGCGGCCTGCTGCCCGCGATCCATCTTGGCTGGCGGTGCTCAAGTATTGAGAAGGGAAAATAAGGCAAGCTATGACATCTGGTAAGCGTTGAAGGAGACTCGGAAGTGATGGATATCTCCAGGCCTGGTTTCCGACAACAAAGAGATGCTTCCTGACCAATGTCACGAGTGAGAAATAGGTGCGGGGGTTTCTGCTGAGGCTCTAGCACGGCTGGACTTAGCGTGGGGATGGATGCTCTGCTTTTCTAGTGGGTTTTTTTTAGTGTAGCGCGGTCGTGGACCTGGGGATCAGTCTAGCGCTCGGGTTCATGAACGGAAAAAACTGATGAGCTGAGATTATTGACGAGGTTGATCTGATTGTTAATTTAACAACAACATGTAACTTTTGTAAAATTCTCCCATATACCCAGGTGCATGGTCCTCTATCCACGGCTCCCCGGTCTTCACTCCAATGTAGGGAAGTTTCTAGCAATGTTGGAAACCATCATTAGAATCATTAGAACAAAGGAAGTTGGCCAGTGAGAAAGGAAGAAACTAACGCCTGGGTATGGCGGGGAGGGTGTGGGACTCGGGCTACTGCAATTTCATCGAGGACGACTTGGCAATGAGTATCAAACAAATCTGCTATGCTTAAGGCCAGTTCGACACGAGGACATGAGGACTAAGACTCGAACGGTATTTACAAGTCTTCGACTTCGCAATATGATTTACATCGCTTCATGGGTTCAGTCATAGGCGGCCAACCAGGGTTCTCGGGCAAGAAAGTACAGACAACTAGTATGCATCATATCAATCTCATGTATGGCCCGAAATGGGGAGCACGAACCTGGGGTTCTCAATATTTCTCAATGTTGTAAGCACCCAGCGATATCTCCCCTTAGCTGAAAAACCTGCCCTTACAAACATGTTCCATTCAAATGCTCAAGTCGTGATTAAGAAACCATCCTCCCCGTCTTGGGTATTCTCATGACCGTTCACGAGCTGAGAACCTTTGTCAGATTAACGGGCCTCCTTCGACGAAGACCGGGGGTTTGAAAACAAAGAATACCTTCTCCTGTATCTGGGCGTTCATGGTGACTGAGTGAAGTCAGTGCTTAGAATCACTTGGATCAATTAACTGGAATGCTTTGCTGGGCATTGACCAACCTCGGTATTGAATTACTGCTGTCCGCGCGTGTTCTCTTGACAACTATTATTGTTGCTCGACAATGTGAGAAAGCAAGAGAGGAGCAGAACGTACAATCCTGGGGCGCCACCTTGATTAAATAAACTTGGATAGTATGGGTCACAACACCACAGGGACCAATGCCATCGGTATTCCTCGGAGAGTCATACATTTGATTCGATAATGGACACATCTCATCCCCGCCGTGATGGCGTGTTGCTGCGGGGAAATTGACGGATGCTCGGAAGCATGCTGGATTGGTCAAAGATATGTCAACGATGAAAGCTTCGCTTTGTGGACACTATCATCCGCCACTTTGTCAGGCAGCAATAGGTAAACCCTTTGGGTTGGGACCCTTTCTCATCCGCAACCGCCTCCTACTCCCCCATCCATATCTGTCACCAGTCAAATATGATATTTAAGCAACCGTTTATTCGGAACAGCCCCTTTCTAGAATTCTGTCGCCTGAGTCAATGAAGTTGTATGCTACGACTAGATACAAACTCCTCGAAGAGGCCGGTTCTGCTGTGCGCGTAAGATGTATCAAATTAAGAGTCGCAAGCGAACAGCAAGGCGGCATCGAGAACTCCTTATGCTTTATCCGACCACTCTTCTTATCGGAGCTCTTCAATTGATGTTTTTGGGGTATTCGGTCTTCACCCATGTCGTCCCTGTATTGTGCAAGTACAAGTACAAATAACGACAAGGTAGTGATGGCCGGACCAGGACTCGATCGGTTCAAGCGCAGTGGAGCTAGCCGTGAAGCTATGGGGCTCTTTCTTGTTTTCAGCGGAGAAAACCTTCTCTTCACGTCATGACAAGCGTGAACGCATGAGCAACGGCCGTGGAGGTCCGTGGACTGTTCCCAGGCCGCGGAAGCCCTGCTGAATACGGCCAGCTTATCAAACCCAGACGCAGTCGATTCTAGTAGCCCGGATAATGCTTGATGATGGGCCAAGTCATGCACTCACGGACCAGATTCGAGCTGGATGGCTGGGGTTCTAGGACTGGCCTCGGCGACCGGCAGTTTTTCCCATCCAGACTAATTGGGACCCCAGGTCAAGTCAAAGTCCCAGGACAACCATGATATCTGCGCGGCCGAACCATCGCAGACGATATTCCTTTCGCCAATACTGTTCAAATGCCCTTTCAAAGACATCGATATTTGGAAGGGCATTCGCCAAGCTTAACGCCGATGGGACCTCGAGACCACGGCACGCGGCGAAACTCCACTTCTCTCGGAGCGCTGCCCTGACTCGGGCGTTACTAAAGCATCATGCCGAGGTCCTGCAAATTTGTCATCGGGTGGAAAACTTCTCAAACGTAACGCCACGGAGAACTTGACGTATGATCTAACATGATGAAACATCACAGTCCCGTTGCCACTCAACCGGGCCCGCTGGCCGGCCTAGTTTAGATAAAAGATGTAGTTGATCTTGAAAAGCTCCAAACGTAGACAGCACAGAATTCGGATGCTCTGCAGGTAATCGTATCTTCTCGTAGACATCATCACACACACATATCATGGCTCCACCACGTTTCCCATCCGCCCCTGTCGACCCGGCACCCCTGGGCGCGCCCCTTGAGCTGCCCTTCTCGGGCCGCAAGGCACCCAACCGCTTCCTCAAGGCCGCCATGTCGGAGCGTCTGGCATCGTGGCATCCCACGAACGAAGCCGCGCGAGGCATCCCCTCCCCCGAGCAGGTGACGCTCTACACTCACTGGGGCGCCGGCGGCTGGGGCCAGATCCAGACGGGTAACATCATGGTCCATCCGGGCCACCTCGAGGCGCAGGGCTGCCTCGTCATCCCGCGCGAGGCACCCTTCGAGGGCGAGCGGTTCGAGCGGTTCAGCGCCCTCGCGGCCGGCGCTCGGAAGCACGGCAGCCTCATCATCGGCCAGGTCAGCCACGCCGGCCGTCAGGTTGACGAGAGCGTGCAGAAGCACCCCATCAGCGCGAGCGACGTGCAGCTCGTCGCGCCCAGCATGAGCCGCTCGTACGCCAAGCCTCGCGCCGCGACCAAGGGGGACATCCGCGAGATCGTCGACTCGTTCGCGCACGCGGCCGAGTTCCTGGACAAGGCCGGGTTCGACGGCATCGAGCTCCACGGCGCCCACGGGTACCTGCTCGCGCAGTTCCTGAGCCGCAGCACCAACAAGCGGACCGATGAGTACGGCGGCTCGCTCGAGAACCGCGCGCGCCTGATTCTGGAGATCGCCGAGGCGGTCCGCGCTCGCGTGTCTCCGTCGTTCATCGTCGGCGCCAAGATCAACATCATCGAGCTGCAGGAAGATGGCGTGCAGCCCGCCGACGCTCGCGACCTCTGCGCCATGCTAGAAGCGGCGCGCTTCGACTTTGTTGAGTTCAGCGGTGGCAATTATGAGAAGCTGGCTTGGATGCATGTTAGCGAGGAGGCGCGTGCCCGGGAAAACTTTTACATCCAGGCCGCCGAGGAGGTCATGAAGTGGCAGCCAGTGGCGGGCGAGCGCAAGATGAAGTCGTACACCACAGGCGGGTTCCAGACAGTCGGGGCTATGGTCAAGGCCTTGGAAGTGGTTGACGGCGTGGGCATTGGGCGCGCGGCGTGCCAGGAGCCCCGCCTGCCGCTGGACATACTCTCCGGTAAAGTCACCGGCATTATGAAATACGCCATCGGCGAGGACGAAATGTTCAAGCGCCTGTTCACCTCTGGCACGCAGATCCGCCAGATCTCCCGCAACCAGGAGCCGGTCGATCTGACGGTGCCGGAGAACGTGGAGAAGATGTGGGGTGATATCATGGCACAGCTTCAGCGGATCGGCCAAGACAAGACGGGTGCTACGTATGGCCTGCCCGATGTGACCCAGGTTACGCACCCTTACGCGGAGCCCGGTGCTCAGATCAATGGCGCGTAGACTATGGAAAGGTAGCATGTAAAGCGATTGCATAAAGTAGAACTGATAGTTGAAGAAGAAACGATAGAATAGCGCGCATTGCTTGTGTGATGTATATCTTGATCAATAGACCGTCAGATGTAAAGCTCACCCTCCTGTGGTGGCGACACATTTTGTTCTTCTGTACCGAAACCCAAGTGACGCACGCCATTCTGTTCTTCCTGCAGTAGGCTGGCTAGTCCTGAAGGCAAAGGTATCACACCCCATCGCAACCGGCTTCTGGCAATAGCTTGCCGAGCATCTCCAGCAGATAACTCTTCGGAATTTGATCTGTTCGGAGCATCTTCGCAGCTTTCTGGTCGAGAGCCTCCGTTTGAAGTCTGCGACCGTGCTTCGTCTGTATTGTTCGTAAAAACATGACATGCTGCAGAGAGCACAAGCGAGTTCGAGCCCCCTACGACCATATCGCCCGTCCGCTTCTTCAAACCAAGCAGGACTGGGATAAAACATGCAGTGACTGACAGGATAAAGCCAATGAGTATTGCTGATGCGGAGTACCGGATGGCAGCCACGGCATCTGGTGAAAAGGTGACATCATTCCCGATTTCTAAGATCGGACCGTCGGTTTGGTAGAAATCTTGAACACAAATGGAGTCAACATCTTGTCTCAGGAGAAGGTGTAAGCTGTGCGACCACTGACCTCCCTCCGTGACAAACACATAAATTGCATTCGATACGAGCCAGTGCATCAGAATGATCAATGCAAGCAGTGGAACACTATATCTATACGGCAGTTGAAGTCGATAAGTGGATATCTGATCTCCCTGAGGGTGAGAAACGCGAAGCGGTCGGTAGTTTGTACTATACAAAGCAAACTCTTGCTCTGCGAGTAACCGTGTCAACAGAGAGTTGTAAGCAAAATAACAAAATGACAGAAGAAGTTGCGGGAAATTTGCAATCAGAAGCCCTGCTAGGAAGCTGATCCCCCATGTTGAGATGGATAAGATTTCGGCAACGAATATGTTCGTTTCGACCTGACCAAGTCTATCTTTGCTGATGAAGGAGCACATTAGTACAATGGTACGGGATTTAGACAAGATGGGCTTGAACATATCTAGCAATCATTACTCACAAGTCTGAGCCGTTCGTAGCCACAACATAGAGAGCCACACCGGCGAAGCCAAGAGATATTATTATCGGCACATAGGTTAGAATCCACGCAGATGGCATCACAACGCTTATGAGACGTTGTGTCTTGGTATGCCATCGCTGGGGCCAAGCTGTCCGACTCATTTGATCCTCGATTGACAAACCCGACCAGCGCTCTCTCAGACTGTACTCCAGACTCTGAATATCAAACATATCGCAAATGACGAGACCCCGGGTAATCGGATCCGGCAATGTGATGAAAGACTCAAGAGCGTCTCCTGGTGTCACTAGGGAATCGGATGGCAGCTTCCATGCCACAACAACACCAATCACCACCTTCCCACAGATGCAGATCAGAGTGATCAGGAGCAAGAGATTGCTTATTTGCACTTTGCAAGATCGGCCAGGCGCTGGATCAGCTAAGCAATACTGAACCTTGAAGGTATCAAACGCATGATTCCATCCTAGGTCATCCTCTAATTTGGCTTCGCTTGGAGAAATATCCTCGAGCCTCTTGAAATGTATCATGGTCTTGTCACCTGGTGATGCGTGAAGTTCGAGTGCGATCTCCGGGAAACCGAAGAGACGTGCACATGTGTTTGTACACTCATCTCTTGTATTGTCCTTCGGGCTGGGCTCGAGACGTCTGTAGGTGTGACATTGGGTCGAGTACCACAACGCGTTGCGTGCAGAGGGAGCAGCAAACGGATCCAGGGTTCGAGAGAGATTTTGAGAAAGGAGGGGAAAAGTCTCGGCCCTGGTCCATCCGACCAGCTCAGGTGATCGAGTGTTGACAACGAAGATTACATCGCCGTAGGTCGTTCTCGGATTGCAGGACCCATATTCCTTAAGACAGTCCGCCGTCTTAATCCGAACCCAGTGTTTCGAATCTCGAATGGTCTGCCGGAGACTTTCTGCCGACTCCGACGATTGATTGAAGTATTCCGTCATATTGACGGCCTTGCCGTAGCCAGTTACTTGGACCATCGCATCCGTCGATGCATAATAATGCCCATTTCCTTGGATTGACCGGATTGACGAATACCATTCGTGGTCTTCGCTTGACGAGTTGTAAACAAAGGTGGGCCCAGGTGATCCAGCAGGAGCTAGACTGGCTCCCAGTACAGATGTCGCAGTTTGCTCGGACAATAATTCGGTAGGGATAGTCATTCGCCACTGTGAGCCTTGATAAACTGTTTTGAAGATAGAGCTGTTGGATACTAGGTGGATCGGAACCGAGCTGAGCAAGAATAGTGTCCAACCCAAAAGTTTGAACCGACTTATGTACCGAAGGTTTTTAAGAGACGGAACTCCCAGGTCAAGGGATTGGAGTTGGAGATGCGCCTTATCGATCTCTTGCCTGGATGGCGCGCTAAGGATCTGCATGAAATAGTTTGAGGAAGCAAATACGAGGCTTGATAACAGGTTCAGGAGCAAATGTAGTGCCATGTTGATTCTTCCCGCTTCGCTACAAGAGCCAAGAAACATCATGGTTGATCCATATAAAGAGGAATTATCGTGTGACACACTAACCAGAAGACAAATCAAGAGGGTAATCGCGCAGGCAATGGCAAGAAGAATATTGAGCAGGGCTACCCCTCGCCAGATTGTCCAGAGAGGATGTTGGAAAAGACATGGCCCCTGATTCTTGGAAAGTGGCGCCTGGAAAGCCATACTGTCTTGCGGTTACAAGAAGAGTGAAAATCAGAGATGAGGAGGGAAGGGCAGACGTTCACAACACCATAAATATGTTACAGTACAAAGATGACCAAAGGACCAAGGCGGTGCTTCTGTAGTATCACATTCGAGCTGAGGTGAGTTAATATAATTCTGCTCTCAGCTGTAGTTGACTGGCCAATACATGTCAGAATGAGCAGTTACACAGATGAAGTATGCAGTATGGATTGTGCAACCGTAAGACACAGGGGTTGGCAGCACAGTAAGCCTCACAATGAAACATTGCCTTCCACACCATTTCAAAATGTGCCCAAATGACCGAAGGCCAGCCACATTGGTTCCTAATAATGTAACTTTGTCTACCGCCTTTCCTACCCGCCGACCTTAACTCCATGTTTAGCCATCAAACTTAGCAGTTGAAACGGTGAGATAGAATAACAAGTGAGTATGAGCTTTATAATGAGTCATATTGCATGGGGAAGTGTCTTTGGAATAATTTGCTGTACGATTTGTGTCTTTCTACCTCAATAAAAGCTAACTGTTCTTCCCAGTCTTCTAAATATCACGGCGAAATGTCTCACTAGCCAGAAGATTCATCGGCGATCTTGTGGATATCATTATAAGCGATCGCGAATCATGTTTACTGCTCTCGGTAATCCGGTAGCAGTTGTGCTCCAAGTCTAATATAATCTCAACTTCACCACGGTTCGTGAGCACGCTGAGCCTTCTGTCCACCGTGCTGACTGGCCCTGTCCTCGGTAATCTCGAACTCGCTGGACACAACAATGCCCTTTGGCTTTGCCACCTTGTCATCAGCGTCAGAGGTAGCGTAGACGTTCAGAGTCTGCAGCTTGACGTCTTTGACAATGCGCTCCTCGCTCTCGGTCAACGAAAGTGTGGTGTTGGCACCGCTGTTCTTTGCGCTGGTGGAGGCGGTCATGCGCCGCCGGCTGCTCATGCCTGTGCCGTGTTCGTGACCGCCGATGGTACGGAAACCGCTCGGGTGCTTGTAGGATGTTTTCACGGAAGAGAAGGCGCTACCGAAGATGGGTTTGAACCATGTACGAAGGAGAGGGAAGATCATGGGCAGGTTGGTGGTGACGACAGAAACGAAGCATTCGCGAACACCCCATTGGCCAGCGAGCTGGGCACCATTGACAGGATCCTAGTTGATCAAGAATCGGTCAGAGAAGTTTTCGCTTCGACGGATGAGAGGAAGAGGGGATTGGTAATACTAGAAGGTGGATGATCAAGGGCAAGAAGTAACGTACAATTTCAACAAAGACTGTTTTGAGAAGCGAGCACACCAGCACAAATACACCTGCTCCAAGGACAAACGAGGAGAGGATCTTCTTGACAAGCTTCAGACTCGTTCCCCAGAGCATGGGCAATGGGATCAGGATGAGGTAGATGTCCGTGAGAACGCTCGAGACAAAGGTGACCCAGACAATCGGCGGAGCAAGGGCAGGTTGACAGATGCCTGAGTAGAAGAGATAAGTATTTGTTTTCAAAGGTAAGCATTGCTGTGCCGAGGTGTCACGTACTACCAGGGTTCGGGTTGATCTGCCAGTACCTGTCCAACGGTCTGCAGGCTCCATAAATCGTTATGACGGACGCGAGAAATGTTCCACCGACGAGTGCAAACCCGATCCAGATCCGTTGGCGGTAGCGTCGGTCAAGTCCTTCCTGTAGCACAAGAATCAGTAAACCCAGGATGTAGAACATTGGAAGAGAGGTATTGGAGCTTAGCTTACTGTAAGTCTGATATAGAAGACACAGACCGCGATCTTGAGCGTGCAGATCAGGCACACATAGCTTGTCCATCCAACCACCTGGATTTTGGAACCGAATACCCTAGGTGGACCGTCTTTATTAGCGTAACGCACAATTTGATGAGCTCTTTGCATCTTTACACTACCTCAAGTCGTATTCCTGCGAATTCGGAGATAGAGCTGCTCGTTGCTCGTCTGTCATGGTATTGTTTGCAAGCCCATGGCCATGGTTGACGGCAAAGTATGCCAAAGTTGACTGTGTGGTGTAGAGCAACTATCGGAGAACCGCTGTTAGCTGTGGACAGTCGCTGGAAACAGCCGCAGAAATATGAGGGGCACTGACAACTGCAAGCCAGACGATGTAGTCATCCGCCCGCAAGTTTGAGAGGCCCACAGAAGTGATACGGGAGTACGTTCTCAGGCAAGTAATCAGAACTCCAAACGAGTACAGAGTCCAAAGCTCCGTGTTGAACGCTCGCAGCGCTGCCTCCATAGCAGCCTGCATTGCCGCCGCGGCAGCGGGCGACGAGGGTGAATCGGCCATCAGTGCCAGAAGGACCTTTGCTGGGTCTGCCCTTGAGATCGTCGATTGTCGAGATTGTCCACCAGGTTGTCAAGTCGAAGGGGGCAAGATTCACTGAAGATCGGAGCCCTCGTAGGGCCTGCCTTTGTCCATTTGTATGAGTCCCCGGGCAAACCCCAGCGTCACATCGCAACTTTCAACCTGTTTCTGACTGGCAAGATTGGTTCATGGGATAAAACGACACACGTGGCCGGGAGATGGGCAAGGTTATTGCCGAAAGCAACCTCACAGGCACGAGATCCACAGGAGGTTTCGAGTTGCACTACACGGCACATTCCTTGTTTTAGGTATCATCAATGTGCGAATGTTGTCACTGTATTAAGCTTAGGGATGGTCTTCGTCTACAGTAGACCCTGAAGATCCCGACGTGCGGAGGAATACCGAATCTGGCCTGAGTCAAGTGACTAGCTTCAGGGGCCAGTGGAACCTCCTTCACGAAAGGGTGTCTTGATTTCAAGCATAATTTGACACATCATCTGCTCACAGCGCCAGGCTTGTTTGTCAATTTTACAAATCGAGTACGCAGTACACAGGACACTGACATGGGGCCCAGTTTTCACAGCCTTTGTTCGAGACAGACATTGGCAGGGGTTACCGCTCGGCGGCCGTTACAATCTTGGCTCGGTAGACCCATGTCGTACTTGGCATCGGGCTATTCTACAGTGCACATACCTTTGTTTTGTCCTGATTGGGCATTTTTATGACGAACGACTCGTCTTTCTGACTCGGTGGTTGCGCTTTTGGGATCCACCAAATTCCCATAATGATACACTGATATGATCGGCCGGGTTTGGTTGCAACTAGAAACTGATGCACACCTGATCTGCTTGAGGTCAGCGGTGACAGAGGCGCAACAGGTTCGGTGTGGTTGGAACACTTCCTCGGCACTTCTCCGTGCCTGGTCCACTATCGCGGCTCGGGGGCTCAATGAGCCAGGGTCAATCGCGCGAAGGGGTTCGTGCACCTCTGCAGCGTAGCATCGTGGAAAAGGCGCAACGACTAGTTAAATATCTAATTGGACCACCAATTTATCAGCTACAAAGTCTTCAAAGGGTAGTGGGATGTGCAGATATGTCAAAAATCATATTTCGACTCTGGTTGTACTCCGCAAGCAGCGGCCCCATGCCTTTCTTGCAAGCATTGAGGCGGTGGGGCCGGATGGTCGCGTTGCTGATAGATAGGTATTGTGTCAGCTCAAGCAAGTCGTTGTTATGATGTCCACCACGGACATATACCCCAAATTGTGCTATTGTGTCGAGGAGGTGGTTGCCGTTGGAAACTAATGCAGGGGAGCACCGGTTTTCAGGGGCTGTGAACGAGTACAAAAGCGAGTTGCCCTTGACAAGCTCGTTGACTTCGGCCATCCCTGGACTTATAGGTCGTGGGGTGAGAATTTAGAGCAGGTCTAACTACAAGTACTTACTGAAATGCAAAATACCCTGTGTGTATCACTCGCTTGCACTTAGCTATCGTCGGCGCATCGGCGTAGTGCCACCGTTCGTAGACGCTCTCGGGAGGGGCAAGCGAATGCAACCTAGATCCGTCGAAGATGGCTTGATTAAACTGTCGCAAGATAGGAGATGGCAAGTGTATTTCTCTCCGGGCAGCATCGCTTGCAACCCATGTCGAAATAAGTCCCGCCACGCACACCATGAGCTTATGTAGCACGGCAGGAAAATGCCGCGAGAGCCAAGCACAGGAAAGCGTGGGAGCCAGGCATACGTTACTGGAGACCGGGAAAGCGCTCTCCTGTGCCTCACAAGTACCGTGCCTGTTGCCGTGGCCAAGCCACGTCCCGGGATCCTGGTTCGGCCAGGGACGGAAGATGAAAAGGGGAGACGCAAGCTACCCAAGATTTGCCTTTGCGCCGGATGGTCTCAGCGTGCGTGCTCCACACCATGTCCCCTTCCTGTCACTGACAAAGCTCGCTGCCAGGTCATGCTCAGTAGCCATGAGCCAGGGTCTTGACGGGAAAGCAATATGCATATATATGCTACCTGCGCTTTGCGCTGCCGATCACACGAATTGTTTGAGCTGCGTGCATGGTGCATCACACCTAGTAGTTCATCACCCAACTACAGCCACTCGTTTCCGTTTATCTTTTCCACTCGTTTCTCGCAGCCGTGCCCATGCATTCCTTCAATCTCAAGCTCGTGGCCCTTGCGGCCTGGGCTGCTGCCGTCTCTGCTACGGAACCTTCCGCCTCCCGCCACCAGCTCCGGGCTTCGTGGTGCGACTTCAGCAAGCTCGGCTCGCACCTCTCCAAAGGAGCCCAGATCTACCTTCCTGGGACTAGTGACTTCGATAATGCTGTAGCACGTTGGTCCAACCTCAAGGTCCCTAAGTCGAACGCCGTTGTTGTTCCGGCCACGGAGTTGGACGTCGTGGAGACGGTAAGCCCCTGCACGCATCGCAACATCTTTTTCATGGACCATACTAACATTGTCGTTCTAGATTAAATTTGCCAACGAACAAAAGGTCCCATACCTCGCTGCTAATGGCGTACACGGGTCCATTACTACCCTTGGGAAGATGACTCATGGTATTGAGATCCTTCTGACAGGGCTCAACTCTGTTGAAATCGCCGCGGACGGCCAAAGTGCCAAGATTGGCGGTGGGATCCGGTCCAAGAACCTCACTGACGCCCTCTGGGCGGCCGGCAAGCAGACTGGTATGCCACAGCTGTGTATTATTCTGGTTGAACTTGCTGAACTTACTAATGTCCTCACCTAGTCACCGGGACTTGCGAGTGTGTCGGCTATCTCGGGCCTGCTCTTGGTGGCGGCCACGGCTGGCTTCAAGGTCACCATGGCCTGGTGTCCGACCAGTTCCTATCCATGAATGTTGCCCTGGCCAACGGCAGCTTGGTCACCATTGACCAGAAGTCGGATCTCTTCTGGGCTATGAAGGGTGCCGGCCACAACTTCGGCATCGTCACCTCGGTAACATCCAAGATCTTCGACATCCAGAACCGCAACTACGCTGTGTCAACCATCTTCTTCAGCGGCGACAAGGTCAAGAAGGTATACCAGACCGCCAACGAACAGTGGCTCACCAACGGCACTGCCATTCCCGAGGATCTGAACAACTGGTCATACTGGTTCTATGATCCTACCATCGATGCCTCTGGCGTGAGTGAATGATCCACACATAGTATGTTCATAGCGGTTACTAACATATGATAGCCTGTTGTTGTCATGTATATCATCCAAGAGGGCGTGGATGCCGTGTCCGAGACCCACACTAAACCCTTCCTCGACATCGGTCCCATCATGGTCCAGAACAAGACTGGCGACTACCGCGATCTGGCCAATTGGACCGGCATCTCACTTGCTGATGGTCCTTGCCAAAAGACCGGCAACGCCAATCCCCGTTTCCCAATCTACCTTAAGTCATACAACCCAGACGCTCAGGCCGAGGTCTACGAACTCTTCAAGCAGGCCACCACCAACGCCTCCACCCCCTTCGCCGGCGCCCTCTTCATGTTCGAGGGCTACGCCGTCCAGGGAGTCCAGGCACTGAGCGACGACGCTTCTGCTTTTGCCTACCGCAGCGATAACCTCCTTGTGGCTCCGCTGCTTAGCTACAAGCCTAACGGCCCTGCGCTAGAGCGGAGGGCTGCGGACCTCGGCAACCGGATGCGTGATGTGCTCTTCCGGGGCAGCGGCGAGAGCAGCTTGAACACATACGTCAACTATGCTTACGGTAACGAGAATGCCAAGGCTTGGTATGGCGCTGATGAGGCTCGCCAACAGCGCCTCCGAGCTCTGAAGAAGGCATATGACCCGACTGGCAAGTTCAGCTTCTATGCACCCATCGCGTAAGTAGCCTAAAGCACTAGAGTTGGAGAAGTTTCATGATGGCCAATCAGATTTAGAGAGATGAGAAACTCTGAATACATGAAAGATGTCCACACATCCTCCTTATTTTTTCCGTCTGATTTCAAGATCTGCGAGATGATGGGTACAGCTCAAGAACTCTTCTCGAATACGCTCAACAGAATATGTCCCTTGCTAGTTCAGGCTAGTCCCGCCGAAATCTGCTGTAGAAATTAGCCAGAGGGCTTGGACGTGGAGCACCACCAGCATTATTGGACTGTTGCGGGTGCTGCTGGTGTTGGGTGCTCGCCCCTTGGCCTGCTTCATACTTCGGACCATACTGCTGCTTCAGCGTATGCTGAGAGTAATCTGTACCACGATACTGCTGAATCATAGCAGGCGAGCTCTGGGACTGCTGCACGGGAGGTGGTCTCGGCGGCGGGCCAGGCGGTGTCGAGAAATGCGGCTGGCCGTTCACCGATCCGTATTGATGGAGAGCCGGCGCGGTGCCGCTCACACCACTGTCGTATCTAGGAAAGCTAGGCTGGGACTGAGACCAAGAATTTCCATCGTACGAAGCAGTACCCCTATACTGTGGCTGTGCCGTACCGACCTGTGGCCGCTGGTCGTTCATGTATATACCTTGCGGCTGGTGTTGTTCTGGATTCGTGTTAAGGGCCATCGGAGCTGACTGCCGGTCATACGTGCTAGGGTTGTAGCCGGGCTGCTGGCCGGATGGCCTGGGTCCGCCGCGCCCATCACGGGCCGCTTCGGGGCCTGGTACATACGGTCCGTATGAGATCGGTGCACTGTTGATGAAGCTGGATTGAGGGCCCCGAGCTGGGGGGCTCGAAGGCTATTGCACTGGCTTTCTCTTCGGCAGGACTTTTGGATTCTGAGGTTGCGGTGGACTGAGTCGAGAATCTGGAGTGATAGGTTGGTTGTTAATGCCAACTTCCCACTGGGCCTGGCGATGCCAGTGTGCATGTGGATGGATTGCCTGCTCATGGTGACCGCTTCCCGGTTCTGGCGAGATCCTGGAGGCCCCAGGCAGTGACGGCATTTGCTGATAAGTACTTCTGACAGGGGCGTTGCCGAGGAACAGCTCGTCACGAGAACTTATTTGTCGGGGTCCTGGCGTAGTGTTGACCTCGGAATGATCCGTACTGTGTAGACCATCGTCGAATGTTCTCATCTGATCTCGGATCTGAACATGGAAAGACTCTCTCTCCTTCAGCGACGCGTCGAACTCCTCATGGATTGATAATCCTTGTTGACCTTGGGCATCGGAGGCAGTGTTCTCGGTAGACTCTGGTCCACCATAGTCCAATCCTTGTGTCGCTGCAGTCGCAGAGCGGACGATGGCTGTAACAGCCATGTCTCCAGAATCCATAGCCCGTTTGATGGCTGATAGGATAGAGGAAACATGATCAACGAGAATGGCCATGCATTCTTGAGAGTCCGAATAACAGGCAGCTTTGAGCGCATTGGTCCCGTCCTCTGTGGTATACATTACATCAGCCCCATTGTCAAGTAGGAACTTGACTACTTCATCATCGCCAACTTCTGCTGCCGCTATAAGTGCTGTCTCGCCATCTCCGCCAGTCGCATTGATATCTGCTCCTGCATCAAGGAGCTTTCGTAGCGAGTCGGTTCCCGGAATGGATCCGGCCGTGTTAGCCAGTGGCGTCGATTTGTCTCTGCCGCCAACAACGTTGACTTCAGCTTTAGCATCAATGAGCATGTCGAGGATCCCCTCCTCGGCGCACATTGCGGCTGCAAGGATGGGCGGTGCGCGCGCCCCGCCCCCTCGGTTGGGATCTGCATCGTTTTGCAGGAGCAATGAGACGACATCCTCTCTTCCAGCTTCGGTAGCTGCTTGCAAGGCCGTGCCTTCTGGAAAGCGCGGATTTGTAGTGCAAGCATTCACGTTAGCCCCACGGTCTATGAGCTCTTGGACGACTTGAAGATGCCCCTGCCTAGCCGCGGTCTGAATCGCCCACCCGTCTTGCGAGTTCACATCCGCTCCATGGTCTAGAAGCAACTTGACAATATCAATCGTGCCATCGTAAGCTGCAGCAGTCAATGCGTTGCCGTACCTTGAACTTGTTAGTCTCTCATGAGGAGCAATACCAGGATGAGCACTTACGTCTTGCCAGTGGCATTTGAGTCCGCCTCGAATTTCTCCAAAAGCACCTTGACTGTATCATACTTCTCTCGATCTGTGGCCACATACAGTGACCTGTCTCGAACACGGTCTGTGATTCCAAATTGTGAATATTGCCATAAAGACTCCAGAGCATCGTCTTTGTTTTCAAAACCTATGGCGGCTCTGTAGAACGATTCGTCGCAGTTCAACCCTGAATGTTGCTCCAAGACATAAGTGACAATATCCCACTTTGCCTTCTTGGCAGCCCGGTCCATGGCGTTCTGGATATCACTGGCACTATGTTGCATAGACAAGAGTTCCTTGAATGTCTCCATTCTCCCCGCACCGGCAGCACTGATCAAGGCCTTGCTGTACTCTCCAGGAGGATGTTGATCGGCATACTCTTGCATCAGATACTTCAGGACAGAGTTGTCAGACATTGCAGCTGCCTGTGCCAAGGGTGACGACCTGGTGTCACTATCCTCGGGGGTAAGAGACACCCCCTTGTCGACGAGAAGCTTGATCGCATCTACCTTGCCAGATGATATCGCAGAATTGATCACCAGACCAGAGAACTCCGAGTACGCGTTCGGATCCGCGTCGTGGAAGATGAGTTTTTTCATGACGTCAACATTGCCGTTCTCGGCTGCCATGTGAAGTGGCGTGTCCTCGTCTAATTCGCGTTTGTCGACCTCGGCGCCTCGATCCAGAAGCTCCTGCACTATGTTTGGCCGCCCAAAGTAAGCCGCCAAGTGAAGCTTGATATCTTGTCAGTCTCTTGACCTTTACTTGAGGTCTTGGATAGATGGTGGCACCTACCGGTGTATTCCCCAGCGAGTCATACTGGTGCATTTCGTCTTCGTGCCCATTGTCAATAAGAGAGGTGACTAGTTGGCGGAAACCTATGGAAGCGGCCACATGCAATGCATGGAAGCTTTCTGGCTCAAAGTCTTGGTAGTCTTTTGTCATGCGCGTGTATGCCAGAAGCCAACGCCGAAGGATGGGGGAATTAGGCTCCCAAATTTCATCGCCACTCAAGTCATCGGCAAATTCCGCAGTCGCTTTGCTTCCATGGTGCAGCCAATGTTTGACTGGGTAAGGCTCCGTCAAATATTCGAGCTCGTCCATCTCCCACTCCATCTCGTCATAGCCTCCCTCGGAGCTCGAACCGTCATCGAATTGAAGGCTATCGTCGTCGGATTCATCCACCTCAGTCCCGCTGTCATTGCCATTGTCAAAGGCATTGTCGCCCCCCCTGCCGCTGTCTTCTTCCGATTGAGCACCATCATACTCTATACCTCCCTCAATCTGCTGGGTCTCATTGACAGGGGGCAGCTCGTCACCATGGTCTCCGGTGCTCGATTCGGCCGATCGCGGTGTATCCGAGCTGATCTCGCTATCTATGAGGTCGATCATATCCTTGATATGCGAGAGACATCGAAGTGCGAGAACCCCATGTTCCCACCTGATCACTTCGTCGGTTAGACCTAGCAGATCGTGGGAATTCTGTTGAAGGTGCACTCTGACGGCGGGATTCATGAAGTTGACGGTCTGGTCGACCACTAAAAAAGGCCTGCATTGGTCGATCAGAGCATGAAGCGCTTCTTCAGGATCTTCGGTTGCTGACGGTTCCAAACCGGCAAGAATGAAGAGTTCTTTCACGGTTGGATCCTCAAAAGTCAGAATCAAAGCTCGAAGTATCTCTTTGATCCTTTGACCGTTGTCAATACTCGCGTGGAAGATCTGCCTCCAAGCATCATTGAGCAAGTCGCTAAGATCCTGGGGCGTCTCTTCGAGGACTCTGCGGACTTGAAGGTGACTCTCGGTCTCTGACAACTCTTCGAGTTGTACGCAGGTGATGTCAATCCAATGAATGTTTTGCGCATGCTGCCCTATTAGACTGCTCGCGAAGTATGCAAGTGCTTTATTGTAGTTCTTCTTGAATTGCAAGGCGGCAACCCTTTCCCTGGCGTGTCTTCTCAAATCCATTTGCACTTGATCCCCGTATTTGGCGTTCTCAAGATCGACGAGTCGGACCTTGGGAATGCCGAGAATTTTCCGCAAGACCTGGGTGTCTCTGCTCGTGATGAACCATTTAGTGGAGATAATACTCTCATCGGGGTCATACTGCCTGGCGTATGTATTGTGAAGGGCGCGTTGCATGTAATCCATTAGCTTGATTGTTGAGTCAGGGTCTTCAGGAAGGACATGAAGGTTGTTGATGATCAGATACACGCAGCGTCCGACACATTCATCAGAGAGCATGTCCTGGAGACATTGCCAGAGGTTCTCGACGGTTGGCTGGGCCTGGGACTTGGAGGTCCCTTCTCTATGAGACTTGCCCGTGTTCTCGGGAGCGTGTGACTTCCCTTTGATAAACATCTTGGCATAAGTCGCGAGACGAGGTTGTTGGTTGATAAGCTGGCTCAGAATAGACTTGAGGAGGTCTTCAGCTGTCGAGAACTCTGCTGCTGGCTCGCAGAAAAAGTAGGCGAATAGCATAGCGTCCTGTTCACTAGTCTGCTTGGAGACATACTCCTCGATGTTATTGAGAGCTGAGATGGTCGCACCAGTTTTGCCTCGACCTTCTCGGGCGCGAACCCAGATACAGTCCACTGAAGGTTCTTGGGGCGCTGTTTCATCATTTGGAGCGTCGGTGCTCCTGAGCCACTGGGAGTACTCTGCAGCTTTCGTAAGCCACGAAGAAGGGTTAACACTCTTTGCGAGCTCTGTTCGCTTCTTCTCCACCGGTGTGCCTCCTATAGCATCCATGAGGCCTTTGATAACCGACAAATCTATTCCCCCAGCAGCAGCCAGGCGAGATTTGCATGTACGAGGGGCTTCCACAATGACCGGCTTGATTCGCTCCCGCACAATCTGTCGCCAAGCATCATCCTTTGGCCCGTCAAACTTGACGAGGTTTCGGTGGTCGGAGTTTAGTCCCTGTGTTTCAGCACCATCAAGCACAGCAGACTCGGCAGTAACGAAATCAGCCAGCCCAATTGGCACTAGGGACCTTGTAGCGTCGGTATGACCAGCTAGGTTTCCCAGCTTGGTAAAGTCGGTAGGCTCCTGCTCCCAGAAGCAGACGACTTGGATTTTGGGACTGAGTTTCACAACGAGCTGCGTGAATTCTTGCCTGAGCTCGCGCAATGCCTCATTCCCTGGACTGATGAAGTCCAGCAATTTGGACGATAAGGCGTCGCCGGTCTTTTCAGCCTCGCGAGCGTAAGCGGTTGCCCACAAACCAAAATCCGGGCCTTTGAATGGAGTCCCAAAGAAGATCGTGGCTGATGTTGTTTCAAAGATTCCAGGATACAGGTCGCGGCGCTGATTCGCCATGGATATCGCCTTTGCGATCACAAGACCGCCCATGCTATGGCCAATGAAGACAATGGGTCTTGCTTTGCAAGTCTGCAGTTCTGTGTCAGCTCCGGGAGCTGCATTAGAAGTTCAAATCAACAGACCTTTCGCTTGCTTCTCAAACAGACAAGTAAAGACGCAGCGATATTATCCATGAACTGTTGCTTCACTTTGAGGCTCCCGGCCCACACCGATTCGTACATGAACAGTAGGACACGGGCCCTGGGGAAGTCTTTGACAATACCATCCTCGCTCTTAATCCAGCTGAATCCCGTCTTGTTAGATTGCCAGCTCTCCTCTGGATGCGCGCCTAACCCTGGTACAAACACAAGACTGGAAATCGTCAGCGCGAATGGCAACATTGCGTCGGAGATGGGACTGAACTAACTCTATGTCTGACCTCTCACCCTCCTTATCCTCTGCTGGGTGGAGCTGTTTGAGAGATTGATGCACATTGTCGTAGCCCTTTACTCGCTTAGGTGCGCCGTTGGCCCCCTTGCGCGTGCCGCTTCGGCGAATCGTACCGCCTCGCGCTAATGGGGACTGCAATGTCTCCATATTGATGGGCTCTTGGTGGTGCTGGGAGAGGAAGAGTCAAGACAACCTCCTATGAATAACGATGGAACGCGGAACTGAAGGCATTGTGATGTGAGACGGACATTCTAGATCATTAAGAATGAAAGTGAGATCAGGCTCGGAATGCTGAAAGAGCAGTTATTCAGCTGCCTCAGGTGTGAATGACTGCATGGGCTTGGCTTTGGGGGCCAAAGGCGTGCCAAGATGCACCCGCAGGACGAGGTGACAGCGAACCATGCACAAGCCAATGAAACCTGAGAATGCACTGCCTTCAGATGCAAGTTGGGTGCTCAGCCTCCAGGAGTGGCTATCTCGGCACCGACAACCCAGACGTCAACCCGGAGGCGTCAACCCGGGATGTACTAAATATAGTCTGTTCTATGCAACACTTGCTGCACATACTACCAGCCTTCTGCCCAGGCTCTTGATAGCAGTAACATCAGTAGATTGTCTTTCCGAGCGTCAATGTGGAGTGATGTAATAATGTCTACAGCGGTTTTAGAGTTCTAGCGCTTTATTCAGTAGGAGGCTCGATTGTGAAGATGGGAAGGACCAGTACCTCGCCAAGCTCTCCATTGCTATTGGCCCTGACGTGACGGATCTGCCGAATCCATCAAATCAAACCTGTTATAGGTGGCATTCCCCAAGGCAATACAGTCAATCTTCCTTTCCGTGAATTTGGTATAGCTCTTTAGGCCCCGAGGTGGTCACCTTGTCCTGCATAATTCTATCTTGAGGGTAGAGCCCGAATCCTTCAATGCTCGAGGTCTTCCCAGCCTTGCCACCCACGACCTTTTACTTGCTTTAGATCTTCCTCTGTGTACTTCTTTGAGGTTGTAAAATAGCCAGCATTAATCTTCGCGTCAATTTCAACATGAGAATCAGCCGGAATGAGTTCTGGAACGAATGGTCAGTATTCCAAGCGGTCACAAGCTGAATCTCAGGGACATACCATCCGGGATGGGTACCCTCTCTAATATCGGAATACCCTGTGCGACTATCGCATCGTGCTTCATATTAGACATCGAAAGCATCCGATCTATCTTGCTGATTCCAAGCCAGTGGAGAATATCCGGCATGAGTTCTTGGAAGCGCATCTGTAGTGGATTAGTAAGTAGAGATTCCAAAGGATGAACAGAAAGCAAGTGGAACACTAGGTCTCCTTACATCTCGCACACCAGCGACCCCCTCCGTACGAGCGAAGTATCTGTCGGCGGTGTCTCCGCCACGTTTGCGGGCGTTGTAGACAAGGTACTTGACAACCTCACCTAACGCGCGACCTTCCTTGCGGAAGTATATGACCACGCCCGAACCTCCGGCCTGCGCCTCTTTGATGGCTTCCGCAATGCCGAAGGCCAGGTATGGCCGACACGTGCAGATATCTGACTGAAAGACGTCGGAACCATTACACTCGTCGTGAATACGTAGCGCGAGTTTGACTGACGGATCCGATACACGCTCGGGAGGGCCAAAGATGTAAACTGTCAGCCCACCGATGGGCGGCAGGAAGACCTTGATATCGGGCCTCGTTACGAGCTCAGGATAACTGCCACCCATATGCTCAAAGAGTGCACGCCGCAGAGTGCCTTCGTCCACGCCGAATCGAGCAGCAACGCCAGGGAGATACCAAACAGGCTCTACCGCAACTTTGGTAACGCGAACATCACCAGCATCGCTGATCACAATGTTTCCGTCCACAGGTATTTGGCCTTCCCGGATCCATTCCGAGATCTCGGCAACTCGCATGTTGGCCCGCGTTACGGCTATAGTGGGCCTGACGTCGAGACCATCGTTAAGGTGGCGTTGGAAGTGACGTACGATGTCATGGCCAAACGGATCCATCGCCACGATCTTGGAGGTGTCAGACCATGCTGCCTGCTGTGGGAAGTCAAATGTCGGCTCCGTGTTCTCGAAACTAGGCTTGAATCCGGGAGGAAGTCCTCCAGCAGCAATAGTAAGGGCCGTATACACGCAGTAACTGCCACCGTGCGCACCTATGGCATTCCGTCGTGACAACGTCTTGCCGTTACGTGAGACCAACACCGGACCTCGATTGTCCGGATCCGCTTCACCCCAGTTTAGAGGTATGGGATTGACGACGCTTTGTCCAGGGTAGGTTGTGAGCTGTACTTGATGTCAGTCTGAACCCAGGGAAAGAAACTTCCAGGCGGCAGAGTAGGTATGGGTAGCCGTACCACCACTCGACTTGAATAGCCCTTATTCGCTTCGGGTGACTGAGCCTTGACACCACTGACAGCAGCACTAGTGCCGTTCGTAGGTTCAATGTCTACAGCCATCGTAATGGGTCGATGTCTCTTTGCTGGAGGTGTAGTGATAGTATCGACAAGCTCGATAGAGTACGTTGTGTTCATTGTCCCTCAAACAGCAGCGAGAGACGTACTCGGCTTTGCTAGGGCCGTATATAGGTTGAAAGATGCGAAGGGCTTTAGAACCTGAGTTAGAAATTATTCACCAATGAGGCCCGTGAGATCCTTGAACATTGCACTCAATGTTAGACTATGGCTTCCCTGACAGTGGCGAGGAGGCTTTGCCTGGCTGAAAGCCGATAGTAAGCTCCAGACGTAGTGACTATCCGATACGAGCTTAGTTTGATAGGATAGGCACATGGCGAACAATGGCATCCAGCCAGATAAGGAGTCCTAGGAACGATTGAGATCTTATCAGACTGGCTTCTTCCAGATAAGAGCTGCACTGTTTCAGTGCAAGCTGGCTTATCTTCCTATAACTTGGCGGAGATTTCGGGGACCCACCATCTAGTTTGTAGAATCACGCCCAGTGTGGCTTTCAATCGTTTGTGTCAGCCCTTCTGTTTACATCCATGGTCTGACAACATACAGCATCTTATTTTGAGACACAGATGTTATAACAATAGTTAATCAAGCGACAGACTCAAATTAGTCTATGATGCGGACTGAATTCTCTGAGCAACCCTCACGGCAGTGGCCTTAGGACTCCTTTATCAATTATGAGAATGATTTTAGTAAATAAGAATTTGAATATTGAGAAACTTTTGCGTTATAGAACTTAGAACAATGACCCATCACCGTCAATGAGAATAGGACTTGACTTTGTTGTCGGACGGTACTTCGCCGCCAATTCTCTTCCCCCTTTCCATGTCCCTGCTTCCAGCATCTGAGCCATGGTGAGCTGAACACCTTGCTCAGTAAATCGTGCTGATACGATCTTGAAGAGTTCATCAAGTAGAGCTACCGTCATACCTCTCCACTCGATGATAGTGTCAGATGTCGCACTGAACATGGGTAGTTCTTGCTTGGAGGCCAAACAACCCGTCTCGAGAGCCGGAGCTTTGAGCTGAAGGGCTCCGAGATCGACGAAGAGACCACCATTCCTATATTCAGGGAGCCCCGTTCCCAAGTCCTGGTTGTGAACCGCGACCCCAAGTATGCGGGCGAAAGGCACAGTCAAAGAGTACCCGAGCCACTGCGTGAGTTTATGAAACGGCTGAACACTCATTGACAGGTCATCACGGCATCCAGCCTCGACAGCTCTCTGTGATAAGACCTTGACAGGCCAAGCATCCCCGATCGGACAACCTGCAATGGAGGGTCTATCCTTTGGCCAGGCTGGAATGAGAATCATCTGGAGGACCGACCACATCGTCCGATAGTCAATCTGACCATTGGACTTTGAAAACAACAGATAGTCTGCAGCGAAGAGATCAATAGAAGACCCTGAGATATGGAAAGGTTTCACCCACCGACCAGGTTTCCTGGACGCCCCCTCTTGCCCACCACATCTGACAAACCGAGGAGGGACCTGCCAACGTTGTTCAGAAGTTGTACTCGCGTTGAAACCCCAACCAGTGGATTTTCAGGACTAAGTTGAAAGAATTTGCTGAAAGCGCTTTCGCTGAGCTCGACCAGACCCTGAGCTATGGATGATAAGCTTGATTGAATTAAGGGCAGTAGCTGAAAAGCCTTGGGTATTGAACTCACCATCCACACTTGCTGCCCTCTCATCACTAGTAGAGAATGCACCGGCTAAGAACATGTAAAGTGATGCAATCGCAATTCCCTCACTCCGATTGTAAAATCGACCCGTAGACTCCTCTTCGAACGTCCATGCGTCGCCCGCACCAGCGTCCAGCAGGACTGAGACAAAGAAAAGATCAACCAATCTGCGAGTGATCTCAACATCGTCACAGCCTTCTGACTTCCACTCTTTTAGGAGTGGCGAGATTCGATCGATACCTCCGACGTTGAAGTGCTGCCAGCGGCCATGGGGAGGAATCTCGGAGTACCGGTCAGGCCCAAAGTCACGCCTGATGATGTCGCAGACAAAGTCGGCAACGGCCGGCATGCGGTCACTATTGTACTCGAAGCTATTCAGTCTGCCATCCAAGGCAGCCTGGTAGACTAGTCGGGATCGCTCCCGGATGGCCTCCAGCGTCAGGAGGTATTCAACTTCCGAGTTCAGTGCATGAGGCATACTGGATGATATTTTGGCAGATGACTCGAATGCTTTCTGCAACTTGATCAAGGTCAAGATCAAGTTATCAAAGGATTTGAGCCGCCTCCCGGCCAGGCCGGGGTGTTCATGCAACCTTCGGGGCGGACACCCCTCAACCCCCCGTGTGTGGACTTGTTAGTTGTTGTGGTGTGTCTGGAGTAAATAGCCAACTCGTCTTATCTTCCCCATCTTTGTTCTCCCTTTAATCTGGAACCCTTATCAGCAGTGCTAGTATCCATATTTCCCCCGAACGTATCCCAACTGTGCAAGATTAACTCTTTCAGTATCGATGTCATATCGTGGCATTATCGATAACGGTTGTACTAGGCCGGTATCACGATCCTCCTATAATCACGCGCTGGTTGCAGCTATTGAATATCATAGTCATAATGAAGCATGATTACAAGCCAGCACGATTGATTGTTGTAGGATTTTCCTGGGGTGTAGCGATCCCGGATCCCGTAGATTGACACTTTGATGTACATCACACCGCGTCACGACCATCACCATTGACTGGCATACCTATCCAGTGAACAAAATTACACGAGTCCAACACTCACAGGTGGCCAAGCTACGACAGATATCTCACCACAGCCTCCGCCACCGCCCCCAATGGCCCCAAACACCTTTCTCGTCAGCGATCCCAAGTTCGCCACAGTACTGTCTCGGCTCCGAGACCGATCGTTGAGACCCTCGGCGGTGCGCTCCACTGTAGCCGAGCTGACGAGAGTGCTTGCCAAAGACGCAGTGGCGTCGCCGCCTAAGCCAGGAGAGAAAGTTGCGATAGTGGTGATCATGAGGTCCGGCCTGGCAATGATGGAACCTTTCATTGAGGCGCTCCCTGAAGATACGGATATGGTCATTTACCATCTTGGCTTGTTTCGTGAGCGGGAAACTCTGCAGCCGATTGAATACTACAACAAGTTTGCCAAAAAGACGCCTAACATCACCCATGCCTACGTTCTGGACCCCTTGGTTGCCACGGGTGGCACAGCAGGTGCGGCTATCAACATCTTGAAGTGAGTAACCGTATCTTGTGTTTGGTTATTTCCTAGTCAGAAGTCGTTGTTGGTACTAATGCTGCTGGACATTCAGAGACTGGGGAATTGATCAGATTACATTTTCGTGTCTGATAGCAAGTCAGAGTGGTCTGGAAGCCGCTTCAAGAGTCTGGTCCGAAGGCACTCGTTTTGTGGTAGGTGCGGTCGATGCAGAGTTGGATAGCAAAGGTTACGTCAAACCAGGAGTTGGGGATATTGGTGATCGCTTGTTTGGAACGGCCCTTGCGTAATCCAGGGGGGGGCACAATTGTGAAAATGAACACGACTGCATTAAAGATTCCTTGTTTTGGTAATTCCTGAAACACCACGATATAGATTCTCAGAAAACAATACCATTCCACAATTAACCTTGTTTAATGCCAAAGCGACGTCACCGTTTTCGTCATCGTGAAAAATTGCCAAGGTGAACGACCTTGGACATTCAAGTCTATGAGGTGTCAGTGTTTTCTTCACGTTGTACTTAGAAGGATAGATCCGAATGTCACTAACTTACCGCCCATGAAAGAATCTTTGTTTGCTGTTCTCAAGACTGGTCCGGATGGAGCTGCGAAGCTGTCAGTCCCAGACCAAGACAGCAACTGAGATGTGACACTGACCAAGGATTGGTACGTTGATACCAATTTGACCGACGTTTACTGACCGCTGGAATATTTGAGACTTCACAGGACTGTTTGTGAATAAAGTGCACCCGTTCCCATCTTCGACAGTCAGCATGATATACCACGACAAAATCAGGAGAAAACCGCCTACATCGATTCGTGTTGATCAACTCGATCGCCTCTTCCAAGGACTCTACCTCCATGCAGCACAAAACAGGGCCGAAGATCTCTTCCTGGTAACATGACATGTACGGCTTCACGTCGGTCAGGATAGTGGGGCCTACGAAATTGCCCTCTGGATACTCGGGCACGCTATAGTTGCGACCGTCGAGGACTACTTTCGCGCCCTCCTTCTCTGCAGTGGTGATGATCTCCTCAACGCGCTTCTTTGACTCTGTGGAGATGAGCGGGCCGATTTCAACCCCCGGGTCAAGCCCGCATCCAATAACAAGCGATTGTGCGAGCTTTACCAGGTCATCAAGCCAGTCCTTGGTCGATCCCACCAAGATGACGACACTCAAGGCCATGCAGCGCTGACCAGCAGCGCCAAATGCGCTTCCCGCAATGGCATATAAAGACTTCATCTTGGACGCATCGTCAAGTACCACGCCGTGGTTCTTGCCGTTACATTCGGCTTGGATACGCTTGCGCGTTGCCCGAGCATGCTCGGTGATGCGCTCGCCGGCAATGTCGGAGCCAACGAAGCTGATAGCTTGAATGCTTGGTTGAGCGAGAAGAGCATTGACCACGCCAGAGCCACCGTTGACGACGTTGAACACTCCCGGTGGGAATCCAGCTCGGAGGAAGCAGTCGGCCAGTGCTTGCGACACCGACGGTGTTCTCTCAGACGGCTTGAGAATCACAGTGTTGCCAGCGAGAATTGCATAGGGTATTGACCAAAGAGGGACAAGGAACGGGAAGTTGAAGGGGGTTATGGATAGGCAGACGCCCTTATGGGTGTGTCTGGTCAGCAAAATGAGCGTGAGGCATGTGCTGGGGGAGAGAGCTTACTAGAGGCTCGTTGACGGTATGTATCTCCGACGACTGATTAACATGGTGGCTTCCACCGATGTCATTAGACACAGAGCATGCTGTTTCTATCGCGTCCAGTCCTCGCTCAAACTCTGCGTCCGCATCAGACAGAGTCTTTCCCACCTCGACGCACAGATAATGTCTCTGAGAAGCCAAGTTAGCGAAACTCCAATACGATCGAACAGGCCTGTGGGAAGAACTACAATTTGAGCAGAATTTTGCTTCAGAACATGAAGCAGACTTATCATCTTACTTCTCCTCTTCAGTAAGGATATCGATGCCCAAGAGTGTTGGGCAGCTGCGGCAGCCATCACAGCGCTCTGAATCTCGGCACTTGTTGACTCAGGGACCCTTGTTATGAAGCTCTGTGATGCCTTTGGCAAGTCAGACCCGAACGCCTAACGCTGGCATTCCATACGATCATCATTACTCACAGGATCATGGACTTTCGTCCAAGTCCGCGACTTAGATAACACAAATTCATTGCTGATGAAGTTGTAAGTGACTCCTTTGGCGAGTACCACGTCGCTGTAACTCGACTCTGCAAGGGCATGATGCTATCACCTCAGCCGTCCGTTAGCAAAACATACTTTGTTCTCGTTCGCAGTGTAATATAGATGATAAATGCAAGAGCAAATGCAATACAGGGTGGCTGAACTACTTGCATCTGTCCTTGATCTCTTTCGCGATGATTCTGGTTTGATAAGTCAGCAACTGCCTGACTGAAGACAATCAATGGAACCGTACCCTGGTCTGAGCTCATTGATCGTGGGGTCTCCATATCTCGAAATTACCCGCTCATAACGAGATAATACAGTGCCTGAAGAACCTGATTGAAAGTGAACAGTGGCATCTTCAAATTCGGGGTTCCCAGTCTCACATCAAAAAACACCCCTCGACCAGGGTTAGAATCGTCTCCGATTCGGACCGTGACCCGAACCGGGAGTCTGGGGTCGGTCAGTCGTGGGCAATTAGTTATCCATATCTCATGTGGATATTTTCTTATCTCTTGGCCAACTATCAGACCCTCTCAATGAGGAAGAATCGTCGGGAAAGATACGATCTTGACATTGATAGTCTATAGATAACACCAGCCTGGTGCTACTCCTTATTAGGCTACGAGCATGGCACTAAGCCCAACTCCACACGCACCCCAATTCCCAATTCCCCGCGCCTCCTCGCAGGCCTTAAGTCTCACTACGTAGTCCCATAGTACCTGTCGCCAAAATCGCCGACGCCTGGCGCAATATGGCTGCCGACGGCCAACTCCATTAGTTCTCTCCAGGAAAGTGTGGGGAAAACGGACACTCACTTGGATGGTGTCAAATCTTCATCTACTGCAGCTGTGACCAACTTTATGCCGGGGAAGCATTTGTGCAGAATTGTCAATCCTTTCCTTGAAGCGACCAAGTTGACGAATATCATATTCTCCTCGCTGACCCCGGCTTCTTTCAGCACGTCTAGAGCCTTCATAGCAGACCCACCAGTTGCCAACATCGGCTCTAAGATTAGGACAGCTGAGAGGTCTGTTAGTAAGTTCAGACAGAAGGCTCTGATTTCATTTTGCTGAATGACACACTTGTTGAAGCAACGTTCTGTGGTAACTTTGAATACAAATGATGTGGCAGACTTGTGGCCTCGTCTCGTTGTATCAAAATTTTGCCAAAGCTTAATGGACCACTGCAAACAATTTTAGTTTGTGCAAAGCGCCGCGAGTGCTCGGGGCTCATACCTGTAGGCCTTGCGTAACGCATTCTCAAAACTGGAACCGGCTCGCAGGATACTGACTCCGCATACAGGCCTGCTCTGGTAGCAGCCATGATACGTGCTCCCGGTTGGCGTTGAAATACTCAACGGCTCTGAAGGCACATGATCAAGAGCTACCAGGCTTTGATCAGTACTCCCTCCGTCACGCTACAAAGTTAGACATACCAGCCATTAGCAATTGCGTTGCTACCTTTTCGAAAGCATCTACAAAGTCTGAGCATTCTGTATCGGAGCTTCGTATGCGCGTCATGCAACTAAGGAGATAGTTTCCTTGTGGTAGGATAGTGACATTATCGAAAGTGTCGAGGGTGTGATCTCCATTGAGGCTGGGCATCCTGGGAACGGGAGTGAAATCTGGAGCTTCAACTAGGGCGGTAAATGGTGTATTGATATAAAAGCCATGTGCGTAACGGCACGTCTTTGATGATTATTGTTGTGTCTATCATAACGGCCCAAAATTTAGTCTTTCCGATGGAGATGAGCTCGGTCGGTATTGTGACTGATGAAAATCGAAATACTTGTGATAACACCGTGGGCCACGGGTGAGACGGGTAGGCGAGGACAGGAACTCATTATCAGTTCGCTCTTGATAACAGGACTATAGATACCATACTTAGGCCGGGATTCTGAGATAAGCCACTAGGGAGATAAGTAGACACGAGCTTCAGCCTAGGATCCATCAAGTTTCTGGGCTATCAGAACTTATCCGTTATCAAATAGCTGTTAACTTCGAAACTCGGAGAGATTGTTTGAGTCCACTGGAAACCCGTCAGAGAGATGTCGTATTGAAACATGACACTAATCCAGATAAAATTTTTGCTGGTTCATTCAGCGTAAGCATTCAAGGCTGAGATGGCAAGGCGCACTCTTATCCGAACAAGATGCTTGGATTTATCCAAACAACGTCTGTGCAACTGGCTGATTTGAATGAAATCTGTCTTTCGTACTATTTGCTACGGGTCTATTGTGCTTCTTCATCTATACTATTGCTATTGCGATACAGTGAACAGACAAAAGCGTATCGAAACCCATCATTCGCTCAAAAAGTCGAACTATGGGAGCAGTATGACAGACTTGTACAACACACTATGATTTTTATCCTTTTTGTGCTGGGAATGCTAAACGTTACTGCACTCTTCCAGGCAGATCAATTTCTTTTTGTAGACATCTCAGCGACCTCACCGTCCTCAGTACCTATGCCCTTAGATAATGATGCTACTACTCCTGATAACAAGCAAGCTCCGGTGAGTCCCAACTATCCTCTTATTAGTATTCTGCGAGGTTTCGTGCCGGGCTATATATGGGTACGTACGATAGAATCTTGCCACTGAGCTCACTGAAAGGCGCGGCCACTACACCGGCGATCACGTTGGCAGGCTGCTCCGGCCTCAGTAGTCCTCCTTGGTTAAAGGTATCGACAAAGTTGTCGTAGATCGCAGAATCCATGCTCTCCTTGCCCTTAGACCGTATCCCCGCTTGCATGTCGGTGTCTACACGTCCAGGCTCGATAGACACGGAGATGATATCCGGCTCCTCCGCTGCGAGGTGGGTGGCGATGACGTTGACGGCGGCCTTGGATGAGCTGTACGAAGCCCATGCTACGAAGGTCAGGTTTACAGTCGCGGCTGATATCCAGATGATGCATCCCTTGCTTTTACGGAGTTGGACCAAAGCCTCTTTCGCCTGTGGCGGGTTAGCAGAGTCAACGATGGTTAATTGGCATTCACTTACAATGGCAAGCTGGCTAAAGACGTTTACGTCATATACTTGACGAAACTCGTCAACCGATACTTCGGACAGCTTTTTCGGCGCGAGGACTCCGTGATTGAGCACGAGGCCGTTGATATGCCCAAAGGACGTGATCGCAACGTCGATGATCTTGCGAGCAACCTGTACGCGGTCAGCAGACTACATTCGTCTCGTGGGAGCGGCGGTGGAAGCTTTACACTGGCATCAGTCACGTCGCCTGCGACGTATTCCACCTGGCTCGAGTGCGACTTTTTCACGGCCTCGAGGGGCTCTTGCGATCGCGCGACGAGCACAACATTGTGGGATTGGCTGAGGAGGCGCTGGGCGATGGCCGCGCCGATTCCTTTGCTAGCGCCGGTGACGATGAAGACTTTAGGAGACATGATACAATCGCTGCTCAACCAAATTCTCCAAATACATCGGTGATTGAAGACCCAGTTCCAAATGTGCTCATCGCAAGACTAGCACAAAGTTGTAGCAATTCATTTCAGAAATTCTTGAAAATCTGACCAGGTTTACTTTGATATATTCCGAAGGCGGAGATTTGCGAGCCTCCAAATTCTGCTAGTGTCGGACATTTGCGAGCGGAGCCCTGGATTGTCTGGCTGGCGTATGGTATGACTGGAATGGAACTCAAGCTTAGTGTCATTCACATTACAAGACGGCTTGAAACGGTAGTTCCCGGCAAAGTTGGAGCCGCAGCACAGGGGGAACCATTTGGTTGAGAAGTAGTTTGCATTATGTGGCTCATCAACGATAATATGGAACGAAAAGTCATTGGTATTTTGACATAGAGTGATATGATGATCACTCGCTCTGTAGGTGAAGAGTAGTGTTGTGAAGCGGGCAAGCAGGCAGCCATACTATTCGTGATACGAACTGGGAACAGTTGAAGAATGATCAATCCGAACCGCCAACCTGGCCGTCTCAGAACGATTTGAAGCTCACTCCAGGTAGGCTGGTCTTGTATAGAAATCACCATCCGCGATTGTCTTGGCGAATTCTTCGTCGCTGTAGAGCTGTACCCGCACATCAACAAGGTCGCCACCGTGCTGCAAGAAGAACTCCCTCTGTGCGTACGGTAGATGTAGCCTCATAGTGTAATTGGGGTATGAGGGGCTCTGAAAGAAACATCATCAGTCGGACTCATCTCCCCGGCCGCCCTCATCATGGACATACCTGGTATCCTAACCCTAGCATAATCCGGTGCTCCCCGCTCGAGTTGGGCATGCCGGCATGCCAAGTCCGAATGTCGCGCACCATGATATCTCCCCTGTAGCACGCCGGCTGGATAGGCGGACGGACCTTCAGGCGGCGCTCCTTGGCCTCTGTGGTGATGGGCGGGATCGACTCGCCCACGCGCGCGACCGGGTACGGCCTGATGGACTCGGGTGTTGAGGCCACCTCCTGGTCACGGCACGTCGTCTGCGCGTGCGAGTCGAGCTAGAACTCGGTGGCGCCGTTCTCAACGCTGAAGTCGCAGAGAGGGATGTTGGCGATGAAGATGTAGGGGAATAAGGGGTGGTCAAAATTGCAGTCCTTGTGCACGGGCTGGCGCATGCCGCCTGTGTGGGCGAGGGCCGTGTTAGCTGTGAGCCAGTTCCACACGGGGCGGTGGCCGAGATAGCTTGCGGTGTGTGAGTTGGCCATATAATATTTTACGAGACGGACTGCTAGAGAGCTCACGCGTTGGCTAGCTGGAGAAGGTACGGGTTGAAGTAGACGTCCTTGCTCAGATACTCTGGGTCATTGACAGGGGGTCGCTGTAGAATATTGGCTGTGTCTGGTAGTGAGCCCCTATTGAAGACAGGACCTTCAGCGTAGTTTTGACTTACACTTGAGGCCGTGGTTATACGATTGAGATGGATCCAAGATTCTCCTGTCGGCGTCTGCACACATGTTCTTGTTGAGCTTGTTGATAGTCTCCACTGGAATGACGCCCTTCAGGACCACAAGCCCATCTTGGTTCATTGCCTCCAGAACCTCGACGAGTGTCCTAGGCGAGTACCTGCCGTTCTTGCGCTCCTCTTCAGTCAAGAAAATCTGCTTTACGTCGTCTTTAGAAGCGACAGCCATTCTGAGTGGTAGTGCGTAGGAAACTGTCTTGGGTAAAGTTGAAACACGTAGAAATGCTCCTGTGGTAAGATAAGACGCTGCGGGGTAGATCAGATCAGCAAGCCCGACATCCGCCGTTGATCCCTACCTGCACTCCGGATTGAATGGCCGGATATAGCCTTAAGAGTAGATAGATTGCCAACGAGAGGATAGATGCAGCCTTCATTCAACGAATGTTATCGTCCGGACATTCAAGGTGTTTCGCGCTGAATGCATCTACCAGTTGATCTCGAACTACACATCAGGGCCATATCTCAAGATACCGAGTCTACTACCGAGATGACAAAGGGAGGAACATCCAGGCTATGATTGCCTATATGGTCGACCATGCCCTTTCCATCCCGAGCCCCACGCCGGCTTTGGGTGTGAAGGGTGTAAATCAGGTTGGCAGGGGCATGTTCTATCTTGGCTGGCTTCTCTTCTACTCCGCTCCTGGCATCGCGTACATCTGCATTCACAACTCTTGGCGTACACACACCCCGAAACTTATCCGCGAGGTTAATCTGACGTGGGAAGAGGAGGCCTACGACTTGGCGATGGGCGAGGATGGTGCTGGTGTCACCGCGGTGGACGTCGGACCAGGGTGAACGCAGGCGTGGGGTACTGGTGCTTTGTGTGTCCGTCCTGATCAACATCCCAAATGGTAAAGACATTAAAGGTTCGTCCTGATTTGCCCTCGATCTATCTCGAACTCGATTATCTTCGACGAGATCCCTGTTTTGCAGTGGGAAGGAAGTGTGAGGGAACAGGGGGGTCCAGTCTTCCCCGCAAAGAATGGATGATTCAGGTTGAAAGGATCTCCAGACCACTCACCCGGCTTCATAACAGAGCACCGAGGACCAAAATAAGACAAGAAGATAATGGCGCCGCATCAGGCTTCCCCGGGGGAGTCATGGGAACAACCGGCATGACGAAATGGTGTAGGCACTCTCGTGCGGGTGGCAGCCTGCGTGACTCACGACTGGCCAATCACAGCGTCCGCGGGGTGGCGCAGTCATCCCAACTCGCCCAGCTCGGTATCAGCAAGGCGTTGCAGCCTGCGAGAGCTACCAAATCCTCTTCAGCTCTGCCCGTCACCTAAACTTGATCGGGCCCTGCGTGCAGGGGCTTGTGCATGAGGTCGATCAATCAGTCATGGGTCCCCGCGCCCTGGCTAGTCATTCATATACGCCCACTCGAGTCTTCTCGAACTCGCCTTGCTTTCCACACTAGCAAGACAAGACAAGACACATCTCCGCCAACCTCTATCAACCCTACACTTACCTTGTCATGCGCAACTGCGCAAAGGGCGCACTCTTGTAGAAGAATCTTCTAGTTCTGAGATCTGTCTTGAAGCTTTGACGCTCTCTAGTCACCCGCAGTACGCACACCGAGATCAACAGCAAGAAACACCTGTCCAACTCTGAAGAACAGGCACATAAAGCCCGACTTCCCACCCTCACCCAACATGGGCCTCGCACTTCGCGATCCGACCGGCACATCAGCCCTCCCGGGCCTGCTCTCAGAGCATAGGTACATCCCCGATACCCGAGGGCCGTCCAACACGGCCCGCCACCGCAACCTGCTCCAGGACCAGCAGATCAGCCGCGCCAAGTACGCCCGCTGGGCCGAGCGCCACAGCACCCACCAAGATGCTGTAGCGAGTGCCACGGGCCTGACCCGCCCGCGCAAGCTGCACCCGCACCAGATCGCCGTGCTCAACGCCTGCCAGCGCTCCAGCGCCGCCGGGAACGTGCGCATGAGGAAGCGGACCACCCGCGCCGCGCGGTCGTGGCTCGATAACGAGGACGAGGGGCGGGACCTGGCGCGCAGCCGGGTCCCGCTGCCATCGGACGGGGACCGGGCTGGCCGCCGGCGGCCGCCTTCGCTCGAGAGGCAGGAGGCGTTCGTCGATGCCGCGACCAAGAAGATGAGGCTGCCGAGTCCGGACGCTCGTCGTGCGGCCGACGAGGACGCTGACATCAAGGAGCTATACCGCATGGGGCTATTATACGATGATGAGCACCAGCGGGGGTCGGCCTTCAGCTTGGATGCCATTGTCCATGACGAGCCTGTGTATACCCTGAGCATCCGGAAGGGGAGGAAGGGGCAGAAGAGGAAGGCTGTTGAGGGTATCGATGAGGCATGGCATACGAAGTTGCCGCTGGACTTGTCGTTCGCTGCGTTCGGTGACGACGATGCGCTGGCTCAGTGGCTCATCTCCTCGAGCTATGAGAGTGCTGAGGACCAGGATGCATGGGAGGACTATCAGTCTGCCACTACGAGTGACAAGCCATTGACTATTGTTTATGAGCTCGACGATCTTCCTGCTCCTGAGCTCCTGGCTGACGACGGCAACAGCGACGAGTGCTCGGAGGACTGGGCGATGTTGCAGGAGGAGAACGATGACGGCGCGATGACACAGATGGAGGGGGGGGTAGTGCAGGCAACCGACAACCCCGACGACTGGGTTATGTTGATGTGACGACTCGCAGCAGGTCCGCAAACATTCATGAGATCTCCCGCGCGCCCTTGGGGTCTTGGACCGCATTGATGGTCGTTCCTTTCGTGGCGCCATCCGGACTGGTCCTCTTTGTACATCAAACCTAGGCGTCGGGGTGGCGTGGGTCCCGGATTTCATTTCATTCTTGTTCAATTTGATTGTCTTTATATGTGGAGATATAGGCGTGATGGACGGTTGTGTGCTCGTGTCTGTTGGATACTCGAGCTCGCTGTTAAGTCAATGTATATAGATACGGGAGGTGTTCTTTGATCGGTTTATTAGCATTTTTACTTCGTTCTTGCAAGTTTCACCTGTATCCAATGAGGCATAGTGAGCCATTTCTTAGATGTTGCTTAGCCCTGTCACGAAAGATCAGTCTGTGCATTTTCTTGTACTATCCACGCCCCCCGTCCCCCTTCCCGCGCGTCTCCTCCCCGCCATAATTCTGCTTAGATCACTGACGAGTCTTAGATCTTCTCGTCAGTCCCTAAATGTCCACTATGAGTGGACAGTGCAGTACCACATACTGTCAACCATAGTGACTCCATGGTGCAGCATTAGTGAGTGTTTCGAAAGTATTCAAGCTTTTCTCATCCTCTTATCTCTCATTTTGATATATTCTTCGTCTCTTTCTTACGCAACTACAACTTCATCTCTAAACCTAGAATGTGCCTTTTGTGCTCTATCCCGTACAGGGACATCCATTTTTATGGAACACTCATCTCAACCGTGGTCGGAAAGTCTGATCAATTCCGCTAACTGGCTATGGATGGTTGGAGGAGGAAGAAGTGAACTCGACTGTGGTGGCAGAAGGGAGGCGCGGAGGGGTTGTGTCTGGGTGGTCACTGGTGGGTTACGTCAGACCTGGACGTTTTGCGCATTGTCAACCTCGATGCATTTTCCCGCCAACCATGACAACCTGCGGGTTCGCCCTGGATCTCGGCCATCACTAAGCTCGAGCAGCAAGTAACTGGTGGAGGACATCAAATATGCCGAGGAATCACCTCGGTATTGACGGACTGTGTCTTTCAGAGCGAAGGTATTGACGGACTGTGCCTTTCAGAACGAAAGGCGTCTTCTGGAAACAATAAGGATGGGGGAGATTTCATTATGGTGCAGAAGACAGCAGGTCCCAGAACCTCTCAACCGATCAGACGAACTACTTAGCTCTCCAATCCAATCAGCTCCGTTTTTTCAAGTCCTGCTGCGCCACGCGACTGCTGGACCTGGGATTGTCCTTAGGATTTTGGTTTGCGGTGTATCAAAACTGGCCTTCCTTTCGGACTGTAGCGTGATTCTATGGCGAGTGCTAGTGAGTTGCGGGATCGTGCGCAGGTTCCGAAAGGCTCCTGTGAGGGGGGAATTCCCCGATCTCCTGTTGGCAAAAAGGTGTTGTTGCAAGAGATGGAAAAGGGTGCTGTGTTAAGTCAGGAATCAGGATTGAGGCCTAAGATGCGCCCATGCATCAGCGCTCCGGGCTGCCTGGTTCGCGCCCGAGCAGTACCTAGGCGCGGGGCCCGTATGGGTCCGAAGGCGTAACTCAGGACGAGAATTGAGAGAGTGAGCTGCGTGGTCGCGTCGTCGGTATGGAGATATCAAGATATGGAAGACAAACCGGCGCGATCATGGTAGAAGATGCCATGGTGGCCATGCTTGAGTGTTCCTCCATCCTTGACCGTGCTGTGCCTTGGTATCTAGAGTGCCTCGAACACTCAAAATGAATGGCAAATAGTTGTAAGGTCGGATACATGTACCGTTGACTCATACGCTTTGTTCTAGTATTCATTGCATCCATCTACTTCGGCTATGCTGTTACGCTTAGCTTTGAAATATGCTATGCCCGCTTGGTTGTGGAGTCATGGAATTGATGTCGTTAGAGAACTTCAAGAGACAAAGTTACTAGAGTCTTATAAACCTATGCTGAGGTCTATTTATCTGGCTTAATCCATTATCGTGTTTCCCTTCAAACCCTCCCCGGCCTTTGAAGTCGTCTGCATCGAGTGCTTGGGAGACCTTGCAAGTCGTTCAAAATGTCTGGTCCGGGAGTTTGGCTTGCGTATGGTAGGTATTGGCGGCAATGGTGGTGCCACCAGTGGTAGGGTGGAGGGTTCCTTGAAGGAGGCGATCCTGTAGGGTGGAGGTGTCGTAAACGAATTTATCGAGCATGGATTGTTCGGAGAGGGCGTGCCTGTGTTAAAGGGTGTAAGTGGGAGAATGGGTAGGTCTTGATGAGAAGACACAAAAGCCTCACAGATAAGACCCAAGGGCAAGGGTATTGCGGTGATCTGCAGGTGTCCCAGCAGTATTAGAATCAAGACCCAAACCACTGCGGCCCTTGGAGCTGGTCATCGTGGGTGTGGTAGGCCGAGAATACTATGTTGACTTGTGCAAGTGACTGTTGAAGGGTACAAGAAACGTGAGAGACTCCTGAGAAACATGCGATTCTGGGACATGAAACGAAACTTGAATTAGGAAAAGAAAAGAAAAAGGGAATGGGAAAGCACAATTTTTATAACAACTGGAAGAGTACTGCACTGCAGCATTGGGAATTAGAAGGACGAGTATGTGCGACGAAGAACGAGAAGCGCTGGTACCCACCCACCTAATATCATAGTACTGCAGTCCTTACCTATCATGTTAGGTGGATAAGTACCTATATGCGCGTAATTTTTGGGTACGCCAACATTTCCTCGGAACAGCACTTAATGAGGCATTGGCTGTCCAATCAATTCACTGACTGCCCAAATCGCAAAAGACCATCCAATACTAAGGGGTTTCTCACAGGTGTGGGCCCTTGTCTTATTACTTTCAGGCAACTCTTTTCACAATTGAGGTGAGGTATGCGGCTCAACCTGGTCCGCGGACGAAGCGCAACCTTGGAATTGACTCTAGTGGGTGGGGCCCTCACCAAATGACGGACAGTCACGATTCTAGGCGCATATGCACCTATCACCAGATAAACACCTTAACCATTCCTTCCCCTCTTTACATAATCTAGAATAGTGATGTTGCGAGTTTTGAGTTGCAGATGATGTGTCAAGAGGGATCCAAGAATGGTTGATGGATTGGTCCTCACACGCCTAAAATGATAGGCAGAGGCTGCAGTGATGATATGTTAGGTGATTGGGTACCAGTCCGTCAACCATTCTTGATCCCCCTTGTGTCAGCATGTGTGGCATGCGCATATCAAATTGTAGTCGACTTGTGTCTGCTTTGATTTGATGTGTGTCTCCAAACTTTGACTCTGTTAGAGTTTTGACGTACTTCCGTGCAATTCAACGCCTCAATTCATTGTGTGATACCACCCCGATAGAAAGAAGTTCTCGATGATTGCTCCCAGAGCTTGCGTCTATCCACCAAATCTCACCATATCCTACCACGGATTGAAGGCTGTTCCCCGAATCCGGGCAGAAAGCAGATGAGCTTCCTACATAGACGCTTATCAAGCCTCAGTTCAAGAGTACATTGCGTGCCTCACACCAGCATGGGATTTGCCAGTACGCTTAGGATGATATTTCGCAAGTTGCCCGCCTACTCAGTGAAAGCAGTGTATGCACATCCAGAGCATTTGACACGGTAAGACATCTAGACTAGCGGTTCTCCATACGAGAGGACGTTAGACGGGTCCTCGACCAGCTTTAGCCAGCCTTGAATCGACTTGGCAGAAATCTGTTGGAACCACCACCACCTCCCACTCGCTAGCTCGCGCATGCTGGCTTTCTCAGTTCCTCAGCAAACTCTGGCGTACCCTTACCATGAGAATTGGTCATCCTAAATGAAAAGACTAAATATTTCTTCGAAGACTTACAAGACGTTCTCAAGTCCGTTGACAGCTGCATGCATTTTTCACTTGAACCAATTGGACAGGATCCTTTGCGTAGGTAATCTGAATTCTTGATGGAGAAACAGTCAGCGCGATGCTCAGCTAACCCATAAGTGTTTTTCAATGTCGCTTGTGTCGTGATGCAATCGTAGAATTGAGCAGTGTCCGCCAAAGTGCGGTCACTTGATTGGGATACTGTAGTTTGAAATAAAAAAAAATGAGATTTCATCTAGCAAATGCTACGGTCACGGAGCATTCAATACACAGAGCATGTTGAGGTCTTAACACCGCCCTACTCAGGATATGACGCCCACACCAAGCGCAAGTACCATGCCAATCAGTGCCACCTTGTTGAGCCGAGCCCCTTGCCAGGGATATCAAAGGCAAAGCTGCGCACCACTCCTGTCCCAAATACATCGATTCCGTGAGAAATCGCAAGTGCCTGGATTTCCAAACATTGGCAATCTTGGCATTTTCTACCTCTTGAGCGCAGTTCCTGTGACAAGTATTCCTCACACTACCTGTGTCGTCAGGGAAAGACAAAGGTGCAATGATAAGCAGATTGCATCCCTAATATGAACGCCCAAGCCCTATAAACCAGGCTCCCAAAGTCACAGATATAAGAAGCAGAGTTATTGATAAGTACCCGGCTTTTTGTGAAGTTGTGTTTGATGTCTGTGAGGCAATCGGACCAGATTGGGTGCGAATCGGGGTGTATTCCACCTTGGAGCCTGCCGGATCGGTCACGGTATTGATAGAAGAGCTGACAGGTACATCGGAAGAAGACTTGGACCTGTCGAGCGCTGAGAGTCAAGACAGTAAGCAATCATACGACGATTGCGCCAGAGAAATCAAAGAACACACCATGACAATAGCTGTTGAAGACATCGAGTGCGCTGCTCGCAGCCGACACCGGGTCCACAGTGTTCTTTGCTGCGCAGGATGACGCAACAGCGGTACTGATGATGCTGCTGAACTTGGACGAGCTGGCGGTGCAGAAACAGTTGTAAGACGTGGTCTTCTGACCGTCGCCACAGCCGGAGCGCATGTCGCGAACGATGCCGCTCAAGGGTACCTCTGCGCACGGAGGTAGCTGTTTGTAGGCTGGCTGGCCATCTATGAAAACCCTTTGTGCGATCATGAAAGGAGTCAAGAACAAGATAAGAGAGATCTTTCGCATCTCCATGGTTTGGGGTAATCTGGATTTCACTGAGAAGGGTTGTGGGGCTGGAGAGGTCGCGTCGACCGCATTCGGCTGTGCTGCTTTCGGGCTATGCTGGACTTTGCGTGAAAGTGCGTTCTGAAATTGGATGAGTAACGGCGGCATTTATTTATGCAAAGGTAGTTGGTTATAATAGCTTCCTAATATACCCTCGAGGGGGGCAGCAGATCAGCCCGTAGGCAGTGCTAGATCATTGGAAACTGCCTAACATAAGATCATCGACAGGCAAGACTATTACCAAGTGGATTCGTCAGTTGCTATTTTTTCCCCTTGGGGGCCAGCTTGATACGGTGGCGAGGGGAATATATGCCCAAACGCGTGGACTTCATGCAAAGAAAAGCCCGAGAAGGTCCGTGACAGACCAGGCTACCAATGAAAGCGTCTCGCTAATGCCTCTAATTGAGGCTCAACCTGCCAACGCGGAGGTTCAATGTTACGCTGTGGTCAGGCAGAAGCTAGAGCTGGGATGCACAGTAGAGTTCTGCCCAATAGTTGAATTTTATCACACCACGCCATCACCTTGGCTGTCTGTAGGTGGGAAAAGGAACGAACCCAGTGGCCACGAGATTTGTATGTGTATGTGATGCGGTTGAAGTCTCAATCGCGGGCAGCAGTCAACCAGGGGTCATGATACTTAAGGGTGGTCGAAGAACATCCTTCAAAGAATTTTTCATTGAACAGTCAACTCCTTCTCCGGATACCCGCAAGTTCTACTTCCCTATAGCAAACCGCTATGATCTCACTTTCAACATGGCACAGCAGGTGGTTGCACGCGCGTTATCTGGTCTCAGTGCTGCTCTATCCCAAATTCGCCATAGATCCGAAGGCTTGCGACAGAAAGCCGAGAGCGTTCTTCCCCTACTCACGGAGCAATGGACTCGTTCCACTACGGTTGTAGCACCCAAGGACAACACGTTTCCCTCCCGTGGAACGGTTGCCCGCTCCGTCGTCGCCTTCTCCTTGTGGTTCCTTGCCGTATCGCTATTCATAATATGGCCCATGTCGCGCTCACATATGAGGGTCATAATAGCATCTGGGGTCTTCTATTGTTTAGTTGTTTTGGAAGTCCTATACCACTTGAGCAGGTATTACAGGCGGAGAGAGGGCCTCAGGCGAGACTTTTCTCCAAACAGGCTCAACACTGTTCTCTTGGTATTTGTCACGGTTGCCATCCTTCCGTGGCTCTACCTTCTTCACTGGCGGCCTCAGCAATTGGAACAGACAATCGCACTTTCTCAAGATACAGAGGTTGGTTGACTCAATTGGTGAAGATGCATTGATGCTGATCAAAAGTTCAGACATCGGCTATCTTTCCCTCATTCGCATTATTCCAGAGGGCGGATTGGACGTCTCAAGCAAATCTCAACGCCGCATCCTCGGGCAAATGTTTTCTTGACTGGTTCGATGATACGGCCCCAGATTGCAACTCGGTTTCTAGAGGAACATTTCCCTGCCGGTGTGACGGATCGTGGGGAGAGACGGTCGAAAATTTCAATTATCAGAACACCTCTTACAGAATGCTGAAATTTCTTTCCACCGGGGCATTGCTATCCGTGAGACCAACAATCACGATGATTGCTCAGGCGTTCTGGACTTGTAAGTATGATTAGCAAGTGCCCACACCACAACCACACTAATAGATGCGTTGCTTCACATGGGTAGACAACTCTGCCCAAGCTAAGCAGGACTCGTCTCGCATCCTTATCCCAAGCCTTTGGATCGCTGTATATGACCCCCATCTCACCCTAGAATATGCGTTGAAAAAGGGGTATACACGGATGATGCTCATCAATGCGAATGGGATTGTACAGATCAATCTTGGCCTACACTGGAGGCAGGACATCGGGGTGCCAGCAGCTTACGACTATGATTTAGAAGTAGTGACCATCCCTGCGACGAAATTCAGCGAATGTGACACCTCCCCAGGTTCAAATGGCATAGAGCACCCCTGCTTTACTTCCTTATACATCCAGTTTCCGACTTTTCAAAGGCAAATATCGACTCAAGTCTATTCGGCTGGATTCCTAGTAAGCACCCTAAAAGTTAGCTCGGATCATCTCCTCTTATTCAGGTTCTGACATGTTTGTGCAATCTAGGACGTGGCACAGTATGCAGGTGCATTATTCTCTTTTTTTCAACTACTAGCTTGGGTTGTATCATTTGCGGCAATCCGAGCTTAGGGGTTCTGTGTGTGGAATGATAGAGAAACGAGCAGTAGTCTTACTCTATCATCTATCCTGGGGTAGCGGGCTACATAGTATGCGGTGTTGTGTCGTCGCAACACGCCCTGAAGACAGGTGAGACGGAATATGTTTCACCCCGACACTCTGTTCATGCCAAAAGGCCGGTTTCAGCCGTGTGACTTCTTTGTGGCTCTTCAGTTGCTTAAAAATGTCGACCCCAACTGTTTGGGGTCAATACACAGAGTTGGGGTAAGTTAGTGGAATCGGTACATCTCAATCCAACCAAAGTGGCACTAAAAAGTGTAAGACCCCAAACTCGACCGTGTAGGTGGGCCGGAAATACCCCAAACAAGGCACGATTTCAGAATTTTGATGAATAATACTAGCGGAATTTGTCTGAAGGGTCCTTGCACTTTTCCCGACTTACTAAAGCCGGCGGTGTTCAAGTCAACCCCTTGCTATCTATCCCTGATAGCCGTGCCAGCCCAAAGGACTGAGGCTTGACCATGGAACCTTACCGTCTTACTGCGACCGAGATCCTTGCCCGGTTTCGAGATGGCTCGTTAACGGTGGAGAAGTATGCCGAGTCACTGCTTTCGCGGATTGACGAGCGGGATCCCGTTGTGAAAGGGTGGGAACACATTGATCGCGAATACGTTCTTGAGCAAGCTCGCGCTCTTGATCAGGTACCTATCGACAAGCGAGGTCCTCTCCACGGAGTTGCCGTGGGTGTCAAGGATATCATATACACAAAACGTAGGGTCATCGTTCGGAACAGCTCACTGGCATGATGCTGACTCGATGCTGATAGGCATGCCGACGCAGCATAATTCGGCCATTTACAAAGACTTTAACCCCGGACTTGACGCCTCCTCAATCGTAGTGCTAAAAGATGCCGGGGCCCTTATACTTGGTAAATTGCCTTTACAACTTGATTATTGCTCCTCCATTACTTACTCCAACTGGACAGGCAAAACTACGACTACGGAATTTGCTGCAACCAGCGTTGGTCCAAAGACCTGCAATCCTCATGGCCTGGATCGCACACCGGGTGGTTCGTCTTCTGGATCAGCTGCAGTTGTAAGCGACTTCCAGGCACCCCTTGCATTGGGCACTCAAACAGGTGGAAGCACGATTCGACCGGCATCGTACAATGGTGTGTTTGGCCTCAAACCGACGTGGAACTCGATCTCCCGTGAAGGTGTCAAGTTCTTTTCCATCATCTACGACACCTTGGGTATATTCGCCCGCTCTGTGGATGATCTCGAGCTTGTAGCAGATGTCTTCGGCCTGTCCGATGATGAGCCCCTCACAGACAGCTTTACTGTTAAAGGCAGCAAGTTCGCACTTGTCCGTACGCCGATGTGGTCTGATGCTGGCCCTGGGACGACAGCCGCCATGGAAAATGCAGCCAAGCTTCTGAGGGAGAATGGCGCCGAGGTCGAGGAGGTCTCGCTGCCGCCAGAGTTTGAGAAGATGAAAGAGTGGTACTGGATTGCGCTACAAGGCGAAGGAAAAACTACGTTTCTTCAAGAATACCGCACTGGCAAAGAGCACCTGCACCAGTACCTGGTGGATCAGGTCGAGAATCGTCGCAACATATCGCACGCCATGTACCTGGAGGCGTTTGACGGCATTGCTGCCCTGAGGCCGGTGATTGACAAGATTGCGAACCGATACGCTGCAATCCTCGCGCCAAGTGTGACTGATATTGCGCCGCTCGGTCGAGGCTTCACTGGGAACCAGAATTTCAACTATATGTGGACGGTAATTCTTCAAATCGCGAGCATTTGAGTGATGCACCTTGCTGACAGGGTTTCCAGGCTCTACACACCCCCGTGATCAACATTCCGGGCTTCAAAGGAGAGGCGAACATGCCTGTCGGAGTGTCATTGGTCGCAGCAAGATACCACGACAGACATCTGCTGAACGTCGCAAAAGAAGTTGCAAAGGTCTTTGGGGTGGATTGTGCGCACAAGCTCCCCTGATAAACATGAGGACTTGAAACATGACCAATAATCAAAGCGCCGCAGCATATCTCTGTTAGAACTACAGTATAGAATTAGAGCAATGAGACTACCACGATCAGTTCTTCCACCAAGGCTTGGCCTGTACGCCTGCTGACAGGATAGCGGCTTGAAAGGGTCATGACTTATCCTCGACGAGTATTCAGGATAACCATTCCCAATCAAAAGCACACCAGATTTGACATGCTCTGTATGATGTTGTTTTGGATGTGCAACGACCCGCAACGACGCAACGAGTGTAGTCATCATCGGAGCTGGCCCCATGTCGGCATCCCGCCCCCAACAAGTGGGTCCTCGGCTCCTCCACGAAAGAGAGTGAGGGGAACGCCAATGGGACCGATGAACCTAACTCAACAAAATCATTGTCTGTGCGTTATTCTAAGTAGAAAATAGGGCATTCGCCTTGCAACTCCGGCACCAAGATGTCCAAGTCATTGCTATGGCCAATGTGGCGCGTGAGTCGGCTGTGCATAGCAAGCAAGACAACGCGTCGGCTAGCGACCAGGCATGATGCGTTCTCAACCTCAAGCCCACGTCCCAGCATGGACATGCACGGCTTCACAGACACGCAGCTCACCATCCGGGAAGCCGTCACCCAGCTCTGCTCCCAGTTCCCCAACACATATTGGCAGGAGCGCGACCAGCAAGAGACAGACCCCAAGGAGTTTCACGCCTCGGTGGCAAAAGGCGGGTGGCTCGGCACGGCGCTCCCCGAGGAGCTGGGCGGATCCGGACTTGGCATTTCCGAGGCTGTCATGATGATGCAGACCATCGCCGAGAGCGGCGCTGGAATGGCGGGCGCGCAGTCCATCCACGCAAACGTATATGCGACGCAGCCGCTGGCCAAGTTTGGCACCAAGCAGCAGTTGGAGGTGACCATCCCCAACATCATATCGGGGAACTGGCGGGTATGTTTTGGCGTTACGGAGCCCAACTCAGGCTTGGACACGTTACGCTTGAAGACGATGGCGAAGAAGCAGGACGATGGGTCGTACTTGGTCACCGGCCAGAAGATCTGGATAACTTGTGCTCAAGTGGCCAACAAGATGATCCTGCTTGCCCGCACCTCGCCGCACAAGGAAAACTCTAGCTCGGGTCTCTCGCTGTTTTGCATCGACCTTGACCGCTCCCAGCCAGGGCTGGACATGCGCAAGATCAAGAAGATGGGCGGCCGAGCTGTCGACGCCAACGAGGTCTTCTTCGACAACTACCGCATCCCCGGCGACACTCTCATCGGCGAGGAAGGGAAGGGGTTCAAGATCGTTCTGCACGGCATGAATGCCGAGAGGTGTCTCCTGGCTGGCGAGGCTCTCGGTCTGGGCTACGCTGCGCTCAACAGGGCCGCTGCATATGCTCGCGAGCGCGTTGTGTTTGGCCAGCCGATCGGCAAGAACCAGGGCATAGCCCACCCGCTCGCCGATGCGTACATGTCTCTCGAGGCGGCGAAATTGGCGACGTATCACGCTGCTCGGCTCTATGACGCCAGCCAAAAGGACTCTTCGATCCGTCAGGACGCTGTAGGAGTCGCGGCGAACAGCGCCAAGTATCTGGCCGCGGAGGCTGCGTTCAAGGCGTGCGAACGGGCTGTGATGACGCATGGAGGGATGGGCTATGCAGCTGAGTACGATGTTGAGCGGTGGTTCCGAGAGTGCTTGGTTCCGCGCATCGCCCCGGTGTCGAGGGAGATGATCATGAACTACATTGGCGAGAAGGTTCTCGGACTGCCACGAAGCTATTGATAAGGATTCCAGGCACAAACGGCATGTGATCCCCTTAAATTACATGGCGCAGATCTGCATAGGTCCATGGGAAACGGTGACGCACCCGAACTACTCTCTGATGTGATTTGGGGGTGAGGACGGAGAGGGGGGATCCACCAGCCTGGTCTGGTCTGTATATAAGACATTAGTGAGGAATTTCGACATCCAGATCCGGTAGCCGCATTCCAGCGTACTTTCCGATTTGGTACCATTCCGATATGGTGTAGTGGCTAACATCCGGCACTCTCACTGCCGAGCCCGGGGTTCGATTCCCCGTATCGGAGAGTTTCTTTTTTTGCTTTTCTACGTCTTTCTTCCTAAGACGGCTCTTTTGTCTTTATTGAGACAAGTAGAAATATTGTATATGGAAATATTTATCGCGCCCAATTCCAAGGATTCGGGTGCTTAAACTGTTGTGCTCGTCGGGCGCTGACACGAAATTTGTTGGCTGTGGGGAGACGACCTTCTCGCCAACGGCAGCGCCTCAATCAGCCCGATTCACCCTTGTCGTCAACAAACCCCTGAGCGGTATGGCAATTTTTCTCACGCGCGCGGAGATGCGCCGCTCGATCTTTTGCATCGTTTCAAGGAGACTACACGTTACCAAATCATGTTCATTCCCTACAGATACTGGTCTTAACCACAGATCGCGATTTTCTACCGCGTTAACCCATCGCCCTCTTTATAAGCACATCGATGATGTCGAAAGCCTCGACTACTATCGGCCAGGAGGCTATCACCCGATTCAGATCGGCGACGTATTTTGCGCCCGGTATCGCATTGTGCACAAGCTCGGCTACGGCAGCTACTCGACCATCTGGCTAGCTAGGGACGAGAACAAGGCCCGTTATGTCGCTATCAAAGTAGGCATAGCTGAATGTGACTTGAAAGACGGCGAAGTGCTTGGTCAAATTTCTGCCTCTGCAGTCAAAGATGTAGTATTTGGCAGCAACCTGATCCCCTTGGTACTGGATCGCTTCAGCATTGACGGGCCGAACGGGACACACCCATGCCTCGTCACTGCGCCGGCAGGGTGTAGTCTTGTTGATTCATTGCAGGCCGCGGACAGTAGTCCCTTCCAACTCAATGTCGCCAGGTCTATGGCGGCCCAGCTCGCAATGGCGATCTCACATGTCCATGAGAAACGCTACGTTCACGGGGATCTTCATATGGGAAACATACTTCTCAGGTTACCGAACTATGACAGCCTTTCGCCCGAGCAACTCTACGACAAGTTCGATGCGCCGGAACCCGAGGCTGTCATCAGGGCCGACAATCAGCCGATATCGTCACCAAATATCCCTACCTACGTCTATGCCCCAACGTGGCTCGGGAGACCGAGTGACGAGATCGCCCTCGATGAGGCCAAGATCATGCTCACCGACTTCGGCACGGCATTTCAGCCCGCACTGGAAGAGAGGTTCGATTCGTACACACCTCTCCAGATGCGACCTCCTGAAATTCGATTCGAACCGACAAAGTCTTTATCATATGCATCTGACGTCTGGAGTCTTGGATGTGCGATCTGGGCGGTTCTTGGAGTAAAGTCGCTTCTTGATAGCTGGTTAATCGGGCTGGATGACGCCACGATAGACCAGATTGATTTTCTTGGACCGCTCCCAGACGAGTGGTGGGAGGCGTGGGAGCGGAGGGAGAGAGCTTTCATCAGCAATGGAGTACCTAAGGAGGGGAGGGAAGTTCGGACTCTCGATCAACGGTTTCAAGATGCGATCCAGGCGCCAAGGCAAAGAAGAGGAATGCAGGGGATGGATGAAGAAGAGAGGGATGCTCTCCTACAGATGATAAGGGACATGCTTGTTTTCAGACCGGGCGATCGCCCGAGTGCACGCCAAGTCCTGCAGACGGAGTGGATGAGGAAGTGGGCAATCCCTGAAGCTGAGAAGACATGGGGGCGAAGGTTCCCCTAAACAGCCACTCATAAGCTTCAGCTAATGATAACTCCCGGTGGATCTTTGGCAATTCTTCGCCGAGGGATGGCATCAAGTTGTCAAAGGAGTAATGGTCAAAGAAATCAAACAGTGACCAAACAAGACAAGCAGGTCGATGTTGGTGATTTGGACATAGTCTATTCCACCTGAAGCGAACTCCATAGCATTACTACATAATCCCATCTTTAATCATCCCAAGTTCATTTACCATATCAGAATCGTGATGCCATGCGCCGTGACCATTGAACGCCTCAATGCCGATCCAGACTGAAAGCAATCATGTATCTCCAGTTGCGAAACGCCGATGACTCAATCCCCGGGCCACCAAAGACACGTAAATGCGAGAAACCTGCGCCGCCAAATCGCTATTACTCCCCCATTCCTCCTACCCGAGCACCCGCACCCTCAGGCTCACGTCAGCCTCTTGTTCGCAAAGCCGAGGCGCTTGTTGCCATAGTCAAAGACGACGAACTGCGCCTTGAGCGCGATGTCGCCAAAGATGGCGAACGAGAAGCCGCCGGAGCTCTGGATGCCGCCGAAGCAGTGCGTGGCGTTGATCTGGCCGTAGTTCATGTACCGGCCCGGGATGAAGCCGCGGTAGGAGCCCTGGCCGAAGCGGAAGTCGGGCAGGAAGGAGCCGCAGGGGAAGACGACGGCGCCCCAGTAGCTGTCGAAGCCGGCGCCACGGACCTGCGCGTAGTAGGCGTTCCTGATGCTGTCGGGCAGCAGCAGCAGCGAGGTGCCCGTGTCGGCGATGGCCGGGAAGATGAGGCTATTGAACCGGCCGCCCGAGCCGATCTGGAACCCGGTCACGTAGAATTGCCAGTAGATGGAGTTCTGGTCGATCCCGCCCCAGCTGATGGCCCCCGTGTACTCGAAGCCGGCGACGTAGCCGAAATTGTAGTTGCCCGGCGTGCCGTGCTTGAGGTTGGCGGTGAAGACGGGCGAGGCGAGGCTGCGGGCGATGTTGTCCATGAAGGTGTTCTGCTGGCGCGGGCTGATGGTGTTGCCCTTCTTGAAGCCCAGGCCGAGCAGGCCGGGGATGTTGGGGTCGTTGGTGAAGGAGGCGGAGATGGAGGTGGCGGAGCCGATGGCCTGGCGGGCGTACGAGGCGGAGCCGATGGCCATGCGCTCGTAGTAGACGTTGCCGCGGGCGCCGGAGCCGTCGCCGTAGCCGATGTGCCAGGAGAAGCCGTTGAGCCTGGTCGCCGACCTCGACTTGCGGAGGTCGTAGACCTGCTGGCCCTTGACCTGGCTTGACGGGGTCTCGTTGGTGATCATCCAGCTGGGGTGTGTTAGCCTGATAGTCAAGATGAGGGGCGAGGCAATGTTTGAACTTACACATCTGCTGAGCCAGTGTCGAGGTCGAGGTTGATTGTTTGTGCAGGAATGCCGAGCTGGACGGGGATGAGGTAGGCGTAGTCGCTGTTACCAGGCGAGTATGCCACTGCTGTCCCCCACATGTTGCCTCCTATAACGGACATGCCGTATTAGTCACCGGTCGACACAAGGGCGGTAACGTCCCGGAGGCAGTGAAACTACTTACTCTTTTGCTGCTTTTCTTGGACCTGGACGTTAATCTTGACGGCCAGCTTGATGTCGTTGGGTATCGTAGCGTTGTACTTGGCGTAGGCATGCATGAGGGCCTCGAGGCCGGAAGGTTGTACAAAGCCCTCATTTCTGACCTGCTTGACGGTGAAGGCATCACTCTCGTGAGCCTCGGGATGGGCATCCCTGACGACCAATGGGATGAGGGGTTCTGATGCCGAGGTGTCTGGCGTGGGTGCTGCTAGTGCGTGCTGTGAGGCTATCGCCACCGAGAGAAGGAGGGTAGCAAAGGACCGCATTCTCGAGTGTGAATGACGGCAAAGGTGGGACAAGAGGGTCAGTCCGTGTTGGGAGTTCTCTGGCAGAGCGATCGATATGCAATATCCTATACTGAGCCTAGGCAGAACTGGACAGTCGACGTCGTTACTGAGTAAGGAGTGGACGGTTGACTTTGTCTGTCAACTTTCTATTGCCAAAATGAAGTAATGAATGGAAAGGAGGACCACCACTTGATGGACAGCAGGCAGAATCCTCCAAAGATAAAGACACAAAAAGGAACGGCTGGGCAGTCTAAAGCTGCAGAGAGAATGGGGAGGCGTTTGGGGAGGCGGCGGGACGGTGCTGGCCATTTCATCTATATAACCTCCTCTGGAAATGCAGCGAGCAGACGGCATGACGCGGTGGTTGCTCCAGCGGTCCCATTAGGCCAGCGAGGTGCCCGGGAGGAATGGCCGCGGAGCACCTGTAGGCCATCTATACGAGCCAGGAATGCGGCGGACAGCCTCTGGTGCCCACTGAAGTGCCATTCTGCGTGCGATCTGGAAGGCTGGCGGGCCCTTGGTGGATGAGCGGGTTTGGCTGGGTTTTGCATTCCAGTCGGCGATAGAGTGAAACCTCATGCCAAGCCCGCCAGCCGCTGCGCGTGGCGGCGGACCAGACGCCACGAGGGAGAGGGTTTCACGAATGAGATGGTCGAGATTTCAAAAGCGATGACGCCGTGGATTGATGCAAAGTGAGGCAGATGACCTTTTTGAGAGAAGTTCGTTGTCGAGGCTGGGCTTGACATGTATCACGAGAATCGTGGAAGCCTCCTCAACCGTCACTTCACCTCGGCGGGCGCTTCTAGGCTATGCGCTAAAGCTCCCATCAGCGTGTCGCGGGAAACAGCTCCGTTCTGCGGGATCGCCAGGCACAACCGAGGATTGACAAGCCATTAAAGCGCAAGCCGCCGGGTTCCAGAAAAGCGCGTCTTGAATGCGCGGGACGGGAAGCATCTCAGCAGTTCGCGGATCGCAATTGCGGACGGACAGACCAAAGGTGGCATTCTGGCCGGTCTAGCGATTCCCTGGAATGCGAATTCCGTTGGTGTGGTTGGACCCTCGCTTTAGGGCGTCCGAGGGCGTCCTAGCGGGCATTCCGGGTACCAACCCCCACTGGAACTTGGAGGCTCTACGCGGGCTCTCTGGCTAACTACCGGGCATGGTGGACATTGCTTGATGTCCTAAATTTAGAGAAATGGAAGGACAACCAACTTGAACATACTAGGTAGCTCTCTGGAAACAGACAGACGTGGCTGAAGAATGGGCAATCGTGAGGCTGTATCAAACGCCAGCGCTGTCTCTGATCGGGCGCCGTCCCGTGTGGCTCATCCCGGGAGACCACCCGGCCAGCTTTACCAGGCTGTCGCAAAGGCCTCTCTTCAAGATCGATTCATGGCGCGAAGACGGCGCCGGTGACTCGGCGCTACAGGCCATCCACGCCGAGAGGACTAAGCTTGACCTCTCATCCATAAACCACTCTCATAAACCTGTTCTGACCTGCCCGATTTGCGGATAGCGAGACCACTGTGCCGCACCGAGATGGTGAAAATGTGGGCGGGTGCGGGGATAAATCGACGTAATTGGCCTGCAAGTCGGGACTACTCCGATCTCGAGGACTTCATCCCACTCCGGGCGAGGAGAAGAGAATTCGGGTTTACCTAAATTTATCATCTCTCCATCGCATCTCTACGTAGGTTCGCATCTTTGGGTAGGTAAGAGCAGACCATGCTCGCCAAACACAACCGGCGCGCCATGGACGAACACACATCCTCCTCCGCCTCGGCCTCGGCCTCGGGCGGCCCCGTCCCCTTCGGCAAGGAGATGCGCAAGCTCTTCAACTTCAGCGACACCTACCGGCCCATGAACCACGGCTCGTGGGGCACCTTCCCACGCGCCATCATGGAGGAGCGCGCCGCCCACCAGCGCGCCTTCGAGGCCCGCCCGGACGTCCACAAGTACCGGGACACGCCCGCGCTCATCGCCGCTTCCCGCGCCGCCGTGGCGCCCCTGCTCGGCGCGCCCGCCGACGAGGTCGTCCTCGTGCCCAACGCCTCGACCGGCGTCAACACCGTGCTGCGCAACCTGCCCTTCCGCGAGGGCGACGTCGTGATCTACTTCAGCAGCGTGTACGACGCGTGCCGCCGCACCGTCGAGTCGCTCGCCGAGACGACGCCCGTGAGGGGCTGGCAGGTCGAGGTGGAGCACCCGCTCGAGGACGACGAGGTGGTGCGCCGGTTCCGCGAGGGCGTGCTCGCGGCGCGGGCCGCGGGGCAGAGGGTCCTGGCCGCGGACTTTGAGACGGTCATGTCGCTGCCGGGGGGCCGCCTGCCGTGGGAGAGGCTGTGCGGCGTCTGTAAGGAGTTTGGGGTGCTGTCGCTCGTCGACGCGGCGCACGGGGTCGGGCATGTCGATCTCACTCGCGTCGGGGAGGTGAGCCCGGATTTCCTGGTGACGAATTGCCACAAGTGAGTTGCACTTTGAGAGACAGTAACTTTGACGGAGAGAGAGAGGAGGGCAACCGCACAAAGTTCTATTCCAGCTGACAACATACAGGTGGCTCTTCACGCCCCGCGGCTGCGCGGCGCTGTACGTGCCCAAGCGCAACCAGCACCTCATCGCCACCAACTTCCCGACCTACCACGCCTACCAGCCGCCCGCGGCGCGGGCCAGCATGGACACCAACGCGTACTTCCAGTCGCTCTTCCTCGACCTCGCCACCCTCGACGTCAGCGCCTTCTTCTGCCTGCCCGCGGCCATCAAGTGGCGCGACGAGGTCTGCGGCGGCGAAGACCGCATCCGCGAGTACTGCTTCGACCTGGCGCGGCGGGGCGGGGACCGGGTCGCGCAGACCCTGGGCACCGAGGTCATGGACAACGCGAGCCACTCCTTCCGGAAGTGCTGCTTCGCCAACGTCCGGCTGCCGCTTCAGGTTGGAAGGGATTTTGCCGAGGACGAGGCCGGGAGGGTGTCGGATTACTTGTACGACGTGGCGATGAGCGAGTTCGACACGTACTTCCAGATCAAGTTCGACTATGGCCACTTCTGGGTCAGGCTGAGCGCGCAGGTGTATCTCGAGATGGAGGACTTTGAGTGGAGTGGGCGGACGCTGATGGAGCTGTGTAGGAGGGTGAGGGAGGGCAAGTGGAGGAGTTGATGCTTAGTCTCGAGCGTCTCGTCATGGTCACGTCAGGTATGTACAAACGAGTAAGAGAGGGTTGTCAAGATGCGTCTATTAAACTGTCACCAGGGATGAAACCCCTATTAGAGTAGATCTATTGTATTTCATTCTAGATCTCCAAGGAAAGCATTTGGAACAATACGTCTCAAGAGTCCTCCCTTCCTGAGACCATCTCCACGAATGAGTAATCGAGGACCTCTCGAACTTTCAAACATAACTCACAGCCATTTATCCATTTACAGGACAAAGGCAGCAAGACCGAAGATCGCGGCGATACCGACGGGAGCAGCGACGGCGGCACCGGCGGTGACCTGAGGAGGCTGGGTGGCCTTGGTGGTGCCGTTGGCGGGAGCGGTGGCGGTGGCCTTGCACGAGTTGCAGACGGTGCTGGTCAGGGTGCTAGAGACGACCTTGCCGGAGTCGGTGGCGCTCGCCGAGGCAGCCGAGGAGGTGGCCTTGGTGGCGGGTGCCGAGCTGGAAGGAGCAGGGGCCGAGCTGGAGGGAGCGGGAGCCGAGGTGGACGGGGCCGGGGCAGAGGACTGGGCGCTGCTCGAGGGGGGAGGAGCAGCAGATGAGGAGCTGCTGGCCGGAGCGGGTGCGGCGGCAGCGGCCTCGCAGTACTTGCCGGCGGCGTTGACGAACTCGCCTAGGAAGGAGGAAATGGGCAAGTCAGTCGGAATGAAGAAGGGGAAAAGGAACTGGGAAGAACATACCGATGGCGACGGTGATGCCGCACTTGTCAATGACGCAGGTAGTGGCGGCGTCGGCGACCTTGACGTAGGTCTCGCGCTCGCAGATGCACTTGCCGTTGTTGACGTCGCAGGTGGTCACGGCCTTGACGGCGTCGGTCAGGCAGGGAACGCCGCACGACGGGAAGTAGTCGCTGGGGTTCTGGGCGGCGGCGAGGCCGGCAACGGCGAGGGCGGCGGCGGCGATGAACTTCATGTTGGCTATCAGAGAAGAGTTGACGTATATATACACGCGGGTATTGGCTGCTACTGTGAAAGCGAGTGTATTTTGGGGTCTAGCGAGCGACGTTTTGGGGAAAGAAGAGAGATGGGGTGCAGGCAGTTTGGAGGAACGGGCCGGGCTTATATGGCTTCGGCTGTTGCTGTTGGGGGGGCGTGCGCAAGAGATCTTTTGTTTTCCTCATGTCCATGACTAAAGCTAGTCGACATGCTGCCTAGCTCCAGGCACGATGCTGAAAGCTGGAGCTGTTGGTTCTTCGTGTTGGACCTTGACGATGGTCCACACCAGCTCGGTGGCGTTGGCACTTTGCCGGATGAGGGCGTCATCAGAGTCCCGATGCGCGAGCTAATTCACTCAAGTGTGTCTCATTTCAGCGAAGCCGACGTGGGTGGGAAGCTCGGCTGGCTATGAGAGAGGAGCCGATCTCGCAAGCCTCAAAGCGAGAGTGGGTTGCTTTGAAGCCTTGGCAAGAGAGCACTACGGCGTAACAGAGCACTGCGAAGTACCTACCGAAATTACATCGCAAGTGTCCATCCTGCAAGCCACAGAAATCGAGAACGACCAATGGTGCATGAGACGGGCAAAGTCTGCCCACTCGGAAAGGGCGGCGGTAAGTGGAGTGACAGCCTCTAGGTGGGAGACATGGACTCGGATTGGGGGTGTGTATACGCAGATTAACCAGAGGACGACCCAGATGTCATGTTGTTGGCATGTCTGTTGGTTTAGGGGGTGAAAATTTTATCTGATGATCAGATAAGATCGAAAAGGTACCATCCGGCCCCCACTTGATCTCCGTGCTATTGACAACAAACCCACACACACCACCGCATGGCCGGGCGCCATTGGCTCGCCCAGGCTCAGCCAGAACTCGACTTGGACAGACAGGGAATGGCGAACGCTCTGGACGTTTAACTTGAGACCAATGCACCTCGCCAAGTGTCGAGTGGGACGGAAAGGGGCTTGCCGGGTCCGCTCAGTCGAGCCGGATCATCCTGAGGAGCTGAAGCTGAAAGCTGTACTGTCCTGTTAACCTTGGTATCCGCAGGTACATACATAGCACAGAGGATGGACGAAGCGCGCCGAGCTGAACAGCATACAGATGGAAACACTCCCGAAAGTAACCCTCAGTTGTTTCCTTCCTCGTGCATGTTAGTCTAAGCCGAGTCTAGGCCGGAAATGACCCCTGGCTGAACTGACCTAAACTTGAGCCCTTACTAGACACGATCCTGATAACGCCAGCTAAACTTAGAAGTGGATTTGGATGAAAATGCGTTATTGTATAAATCCCACTCCACTAATATATAAAACCTACATGCTTGATTATCATGACGTCTTTATGGTCTAAGACATATCGCTCTATTTCAATTTATCACGCTACACAGTGAGAATAGAAAGTTATCCCAACCAATCAACAAGGCCTGATCTAATGATTGAACTGGGGAAACACTTTTCATTTATCGTCAAGCTTAGGCCTTGTCCAAAACTCGAAGGTTTGGTTAACAATCTCCTAGTAATGGAAAAAAGAAAAAGTAACAAAGACAAAAGAAGCAGAACAAATATCAGTAGAAGGGATAGAAGAACATGCTGTCCCATCCCAAGCCAGTCTTGTCGTGTGAATTTCGTCCCAGTGCCATTCCAGAAGAGTAACCCCAGACTCCGTATAAATCATGAGTGGCTGCTAATCCGTATTCCAGAGGCAAATGTATTATTTAGACAAGAATAACTGGCATCCACTGTGGTTTGATAGCGGTCCATGCGATCAGACTCACAGCACCAATAGCCAAACGCGAATAAGGGTGCCCTTCGCAAGAGCTTATGTCACCCTCACAAGGGCTAATCATGACGAAAAGGCCCCAGGGCTCATTATATGCGAATTCCCTGTAACGCAAGAACTTGCTGTGAGAGCGGCCTGCTCCGATGACGAACACGTGGTAAGAGGCTTTGTCGGCTTGGCTCTTCGCCCAATCTCTATGCATCAAAGCGGTCTGTCCGACAAGGGTCCCATCATCCGTAGCAAGACCCATGCTGATGTAGGCCTCTGTCGTTCTGCTTTCTGATTCGTCCGATTGAACGTACAGTACCGCCATGGTAGTGTTGAAAGCCAAACAGTGATGTTTCTCTGCTATAAGTCTCGTCCTGGCGTCAAGGTTATGATGTTCTTGAGCCGTCCATGGATTGTGGACACAATTCCTCCATAGCTCCACTTCGTCGACCCCCGGGTTCTCGTATAGCCACTCTAACTCATTATGCATGTTGTCAGGGACTTGGTTGTCGATCTTGGTTTCACCAGCCCATATCTTCTCTTCCAATGTTGGCCAAACTCCTGCTCGACCAGGTTCACGTGGATCACTGTAGAAAGTAGTGATAAGAGTACCAAAGTCCGTAGTATCTCGAGGACCAGAAAAGCCACATATTAGAAAGCTGCCAGTCGAGTCATGTGTTTCTGTGTAGGCTCGGTCTTCATGCCACGCTGCCCAAGTCCATGTTGGAAGTTTTGGTTCAGAAAGAGGGTGTGTTCGACTTCCTAAGTGCGTCCAAAGTAGACTTTGAGATAGATACCTCTCAGGAAGGCCAACCAGCATCTCCGAGCATAAGTCAAAACTGATGAATTTCGAGAGCCCAGCAAATGCATTCAGAATATCATGACGGTCACCGAGAACGCGGGCGCGATAACTCAAGACTAGGTCGAAGTAATGGGACAGACCAAATCCAATGTTACTGCGTCCGTATCCAGGCTGTAGGGTCGAATAATTCGGCCTCGCCGCTATGAGAAAACCGTCTGCGTAGCCCCATCGATGCGACTCGGGCGATTTTGCGCATCGTTCCTCGGGCACTTCCGAGCATTGCTTCTCACACCTGACATAGGTATGGTTGTCGCAGAAAAAGACGCTTCGACGTGAAAGAAGTCGTTCCTGAAAAGTCCAGCCTCTGGTGTTCCATTTAGATTTATTCACAACTCCATGTGTGCATACACGTGCGGAGTTCCACAATGTCCACTCTTTACCCTGTTGAGAAGGTTGACGTGGTCGAGTTGAGGTGCCAGGGAGGCCGGCTCCTGCTCTATCCGAGCATGCTACAAAAGTGACGTTCGCTAGTTGATATATAATGTCCATGGACTCGATTTGAGATTGTTTCAGGTTGTCGTCATCCTGGACAATGCATAGCCTGTCTACCCAGAGGTACGAGATACCAATTTCCCGGCAAAGTTGTATGGAATCCGCGATCACCTCGGGAACTGCACTAGGTCCGAGGGATTGCGGCTGTTCTAACTCGTCCAAGTTGGCCGCCTTCAGCATCAGATCGCGTTTTTCACATGTCGTTGCAGTGCTCCACTGATAGCTTAAAGCTGCATATTCCACTTCTCCTTTGGGCCGCATTATAGCAGCATTGTGGACATCGATTAGCCGGAAGTCGCTAGGAAGGTGGAGGGTCATCCTAGGCTGTTTGCAAAGTCCGTCGTGATCGTTCCGGCAAGCAGCAAGCCAGTACCTCAGACCAGCTGTACTGAAACAGTCTCTATCCCATCTGTTGATCTGCCGGAGCCTCTTTCCGTAGGTCTCGTAGTGTAGTTCAATTTCTAAGAGCATGGGTGTGTAGTTCGTCGTGGAGTTCGTGGTGGAGTTTTCGCGTATAACGATAGGAAGGACGCACGCTTCAGTCAGGCCCGGAGCGCCATGCTCATCCACGGCTCGATCGTCCCTTGCCTGATGGGCAGGTTCTATCCAACGAGTTGGGAAAGGCCTCCAGATGCCAACCTGGTCATTCCGTAGCCCCAAATTGCGGTCATTGACAATCTTGCAAATGCAGGAGCATACCATACATGACGCTGTATTCAGAGGTTTAAATTCAAAACGACTCTGAATCACATCGTAGTACTCGTCATCCTTTCCGTTGCGTCCTTGCTCTTGAACATGCGCTTGAACATGCGTTTTTCGAAAAGTTCAGGTTCGCGGCACGGGCAAAAGACGACGTGGATGAAATCATCCCAGGACTGACATTGTCGGCAGAGGAGCGGATTCTCAGGGCTTGGAGTATCACAGGTGTCGCAGAGGGTACACTCCCAGTCCCTGTGGTCCATACTGCACCAGCTGCTGTCACTCATGCTGTCATCCACTGTGTCATCCAAATCCATGGTATCATTCAGACCCATGGTGTCATCCATATTCATGGTATCGCTCATGCTGTCGCTCATGTTGTCGCTCATGTTGTCGCGGATACTCTCGCTCAGGCTGCTACTCACGCCTAGAGGTTTGAAGGCTGGGAAGAATCGGTGATAACGTTCTCCAGAGGAATGAATAAGGATATCATGAGAGAGGAGAGCCAGGGCAAGAAATAGTTGTCAAGGAAGAACCAGGGAGGGTGGAAGAGGATGCGGGGGAACGAGGTTTTGTAGGCCGGGACTGTTGCTCCTGGTTCATTAGGCATCAAAACGGGGATGCCGAGTTGGCTACACGGCTGCTGTAGAGCTTTACGTTAGGCCGCAACCACGACATTTTCGGGCCTACTATCTCAAGCGTGGTACAAGCCGCCCACAAACTTGGCCATCCTTGTAATCTTACCGCCTCTTCTCTGCAATTCTCTTCCAACATATCCTGACTAGAAAGGCTTGAGAGAATAAGAATATTTTAGAACAATTATTGACAGGGTAGTGCAAGTAATTTTCAATTAAAAGTATACAATTATCTTAGAGTTTATGATCAACAGATAGCCTTTCCTGGACAAAAGATAGCATCCAACACTACTGTTCACCATACATCAGTAAGCCTTAGCTCTTTTTCAAGGACAATATGACCAAACCAAACTCACGCACTTCCCTGAGTTTGTGCTTTTACCCAGATCCTGAGTCGCGCCTGAGTCGAGCCTGAGGAGAGTGACGAGGGGATGAGCAAGCGACAGAGGTAAACTGTTGAGACATACAACAAGCGATGTATTATGGCCTCGAGGTTTGGAGGGTGTCATCCTTATCAAAACATGCAGTTCAACCAAACCGCTAATATCGAGTAATTTCGAATGCCCTCAGAAAGAGTCCAATGAAACATTGTGTCTCGAGGGCTAACATCCTCCTTGCTTCTTCACTCCCTACTGCTATCAACTCCATCTAGCCGGCAACAATATCTCCCACATTAATCTACCACCTTCCTATTGTCCTGCAATCCTCCCAAACATGTTCTGACATAATTGCACTAAAGACTTGACCATAGACGGCTTTGTGCAGTTGGACAGTTGAAAAGGGTTCTTGTTAGTGACAAGACGTATTCCAACCGACTGAAGGATTGCTATACCTTGCGTAATATTAGTTAACATTGGAAAGCCCTCTTAGACATGCGGACATCACAAGGCAGACGGTGGGCTGCGCCACATCGTCTCCACATTGTACTACATTTATCATGAAGTCCCGTTGGTCACAAAGGATGCTGAAACACATGCGACGTCACAAGGCAGACAGACAGTGCTTCGCCGCACGACCTCCCCCTTGTACCACGTCAAAATGCTGAAACACATTCCCATAACATGTCGCCGAAGGGCAGCCACGGACAGATTGCGCCATCTTTATTTTGTTCATGCGTTGTCAAATTCGCTCCTTAGAATACGTGAACTATCCATGGCGAACGGTCAACCACCAGCCAAACAGTCGGTCTGGGACGGCGACGGCTGGTTCCTAGAGGTCCTGTCGCTAGTTGCCGCGGCAGGTTTCCTCGGGGCCATGGTAGGACTGGTTGTCCACTACGACGGCCAAAACGCGAGCGATTGGCCATATCCTGTTACGCTCAACGCCTTTGTCGCCGTCCTGTCTCTGGCCGCAAAGGCCTGCGTCATGTTCGCCGTCTGCGCGAGTCTGAGCCAGTGGAAGTGGATCCTGTACACGGGGAGGAGCCACGTCTTGATCGACTTTGAGCGCATCGACTCTTCTAGTCGCGGTCCACTAGGAAGTGTCGCTCTACTTGCGACGAGCTGGAAGAGCGGGTAAGAGCCGCGCTCCTCTTCAAGTCTACTTTTCTGATTGTCTCGCCACAGACTTGTTGTTCGGCTAGGGGCTATCGTTACGCTATTAGCTTTAGCATTGGACCCCTTCACGCAGCAAATAATCCAACTTCGCCAAGACGTGGTCTTCACCCCGGCCGAGCGATACGCCCAGAACACACGGGTTGGCGCCTGCGCATACTACTGGGATGGTAGTCTGAACAACTCAAACTCAACAACGCTGACGAACGGAACTCGCGGGGAACTCCACACCTGGGAAGCCTCGACCCCGACGTATGTGCAGGCCGCGGTGCTCGATGGGCTGTCCAGGCCGATGAGCCAGCTCCAGGCTCAGACCCCGTACTTGTGCCCGACGGCTGACTGCCGCTGGCCCGCGTTCAACTCACTGGCCGTGTGCAGTCGTTGCAGTAACACGACATCGGAGATTACTCGGATCCCCGGCAACTCGATCGATCTTTACACGGCCTTTGCTGCCCAGTACGGTGGCCGAGATATGCTTGGCGACAACGCCACCGCGTTCCGTCTTCCGACAGGCCAATTCATCGCAAACATGGACAGCTATATGGAAAAGAGCACCGGATCCAACGGTGCTCCACCCTTTCTGATGAGTGCTTCTGGAACCGGTGTACCGAGCAGGACGCTATCCTTGCAAGAGAGCAAGAGCCTCATCTGGTCGATAAACATCCTGGCAATAGCTCCGCGCCATGACGACCTGTCGAACAAGACCAAGCCTGTTGGAGGTAAGTGGCCAGAGATGGGTCTTGTATCGGGTGAGTGTGGCCTTTATTGGTGTGTAAACCAATACGAGTCCGTGCTTCGCAACAATACTCTATCAGAGCGCGTCACTGAGCAGGAGACGACATTCAACATGCCATTAGACGACATCATCAATAGAACTTGGCCCTTTGACGGACTCCAATTCAAGCCAACCGTCGTGGACACCGGCATCTGGCCTGGTCACATTGGGCTGTGTGATACTAAGAAAGAGGGAGGCTTCGGCTGCCTCAATGTGTCGATAGATTCGGTCCTCTCACTGAACAGCTATTTTCAGACCTTGCTCACCACGGGCGCCCCGTCAGCGAACGCTACCGCCGGCCTAGGCCAGGATGCACTCCACAACGAGGGTGTTTTGGTTAATGGTCGATCGGTGCCAACTGCCCTCTCGGGTATATGGACAGACGCCAGCCAGGGACTCCAGGATCTGCAGTCGAGGTTCGAGGCCCTGGCACTGAGTACGACCAACGCCATAAGGTCTTCCGCGATGGACGCCTGGGATACTTCGTCAGTCGTGCCGGGGAGCACGAAGGGGACGGTCGGCAGGACACAGACCCTGTTCCACATGCAGTGGCAGTGGATGACGCTGCACTGTACGGTTTTCGTCCTCGCCATCGTCTTCCTGCTGCTCACTGTGACGCACCCGGGGCGGAACAGGGCGCCGCTGTGGAAGAGCAGTGCTCTTGCCATCTTGGCACGCGGTCCGAATGCGGCAGAGGTCTTGGATGGCGCGGAGACGATGCCGCAGATCCTCTACAGGGCGAAGAAGGGCAAGGTTGTTCTGTACGACGGCGCCGTGGCGGTACAGGAGGGGAAACCTGGTCTTGACCAGAAACTTCTAGGCTCGGGAGCGGCAAATGCTTGATGAGGGGGGTGCCAAGTAGGGGTCAGAATGGTTGGCGGAGGTCCATCGGGAGGTATCTCATTACTCGCGAGGAATTTCCTTGCTCTGGAACTTGGAAGGGCTGACTCACTGTCTAAAACTGATGGGATTGATGGATGGATAGTGAAGTACTTCTGTTAACAGCCCATAGCTACACCTTGAGCACATTCTACGGGTTTAACAATTCTCTTGGGGTGCTCCGCACTTCCACCTTGACCTGCTCGATCCTAACACTTGCGTTGCATCTGCTCGATTACCAAGGGTCGTTTCGCATCCCACTCATCCCACACGATAGAGTACGAGGCCGTGTGTCGCCCTGGAATCTCTCCTATTGTGCCATTTCGCCTTTCGAGCTTCTCTACAGGCAGTCCTTGAGCGCCTTCCCAGACACGTGCCCACCTGGCAACACCTTCGAACTCGAACCCCATCTTCAACGCAGTCTTTCGTGACTTTTCATGCCCAGCGTGGCACTTCCACTCAACGCGCCGAAGGCCCAGTCCTCCGGCAGAGGGCGGGTCGAGGGTGTAACAGAGCAAGAGGCCGATCGCGTTGGCCGTCACGTGGGAGCGTTGAAATGCTGGGAAGATGAGGATGCCCACCTCGGTGACCGCGTTCACGGTATCGGTGGCGGTCAGGAGAAGGATGCCCGCATACTCACCTCTGCCTTGCGGGTCCCGATGGCCACGACCTTCTGATGCCTTCTTGTCTATGACCATAAACAAACAAGCCGAAGGCATGGCGCTGATTGGATTGCAGAACTTTGTCAAGAGGTCCTCGCCTGTCTGCACATCGGGAAACGCGATGTATGTGAAGACTTCGGGGCTTGCTTTGATGACTTCCATGCATGGCGCAACGTGTTCTGATGGCTGTAAAGGTCAGGTCTCGAGGCCCACCTCGTCTTGTATGAATGGACTGAGCAGTGAGCGTACATCAAACGGTTCGACAGCGACAAGCTCGTTCTCTAAGAGCTTTTGCTCATAGTGAAAATTTCCGTCAGACATCTTCGGTGCTTAATCCTGTGCTGTTATGGTAATCGTATTGGCCCACTTTAAGACTTCTGCGACAGTACAATTTCTCGAACATCAACGGTATCGGTCGCGAAGGTATGGCGATGCAGAACGCAGGCAAGATGAACCAAAACACCTGAATTCATCATAGATATCTATCGTCTCACAGTTTCTCCAAGTAGTCTGGTTGATGGCACGCCAATTCAGTCAGACTCGACCACGATCTTGATCCTTCGCGGTGTTGGGTTGGGTGCGGGGGAACATGAAGCTGGTCTGACATAAGCATAAATTCCGTCCCGCAATGAACTCCGCAATACCCGCCGGTCACCCGGGAAGGAAAAGGGAAAAAAACCCAGCACGATGCACGTGACAGACAGCCGCTGAGTCAGGCCATCTGGCGCACAGACCCCGGCGTCATACAAGAGGAGCTGGCTGTGGTGAGCTTTCTGTGAAATCCGCGAGCAATTGGAGTTTTTCGGATATCAGTCGGCATTGCTATTTTCACCCTACACCCGCGAACACGCATACAATTGACCTGCCGGCCAGTCACACGACTACTTTGCGAGATCTCAGGACACCCTCGCGGAACCTTAAGACTGCCCGCCGTCCCGACCGAGGACATGTTGGAACCCCACGACAGTCCGGACCTGGAGCACCTCACTCCAGAGGAAGCCAGCCGCATCATCCATTCCCACCGCAAAGTCAGATACGGTAAGGCCTCCCGTCCGCCTCCCGTCGGGCCCGCTCCTCCTAGCCTGCGCCGGGATGCAGACCCCGATGCACCCCATCCTGCCTCTCCCCAACGGTAGGAGGGGAGGGGTCGTCGTCACGCTCCATTCACGTGCCAAGACCTGACCCCAGCTGATCATGTTATATAGGTACCGCATGTTGGCCATGCCGCCAGCGCAAGGTCAAGTGCGACAACAAGCAGCCCTGTGAGAACTGTATCAAGCGCGATCACGCCCAATTGTGTTCCTACAAGCCCAATCGCTCCTCCTCGGGCAAGGGAGGATCCGCCCATGCTTCCGTCGTCTCAGACAGCGTCCTGACCAAGAAGCGTCACCACTCGCCCGACGAGCATGACGACGCCCGCCCGGGTCCGGGTCCTAGCGCTGAGGCTGCTGCCATCAAGCCGTACGGTGAGTGAGCGTGACATCGCTACCCCTCTCTCGTCATCGTGCTGATGCCTCTGCGATGTGCGTGCAGTCGACGGTGATTCCGCTGAGGTATCACGGTATCTCGGCCAGAACAGCATACCTGCCCTCTTGCGAGAACAGACATCAGAGCCACAAGAGGGTGTTGAATACATTCGCCAAGACATGAGGTCCATCTTTGGACTCGACAACTCGGCGCCCTTCCCGCTCATGTCATCGCGGCACCTAGACCGCATGACCTCTGACATCGCCGCTGAGCTCCCTTCAGATCGCGAGGTCATGAAGTATGTATTTTCTTCTTTCTCTGTGATTGCGACGCTGTTCCAATGTTCCCGTGTTCCCTCGCACTAGCGATATCAATCCCGATTGTGCTTCGTCGTATTCCTCCTCTCCTCCTGTCGACCACTAACCAGCTCCCATCAGGCTCTTCCGCACCTACAAGGAGACGCCCCACAAGTTCTGGGGCTTTGTTATCGACATTGACGAGCTCGAATCGAGGTTAATGAACTACCTCGAGGACCGGGCAAAGAATGCCAGAAACTCCACCAAGGTCACCAAGCCCGTCTCGGCCTCCTGGCTCGCCATCCTATTCGCCGTACTGGCCGTAGGGTCCCAATATCACGACTCCCCATATCACATCCGTACCCGCGATTCGCAACGATATATCCAGATATCATTCCACTTCCTCATGGTTGGAAATTTCCTACTCCGGTAAGCATCGGCTGTAAATTTTGCCACCTCGGAGACCTCGTCGCTGACCGGGCCATCACAGACCCAATTTTGATTCGATCCAAGCGCTGCTGCTTACTGGCTTCGTCTTGCTCAACGACATGAAGGCCGAGGCATCATGGGCGCTTCTTGGGCTCACCATCCGTCTCGCACAGTCCCTTGGCCTGGACCGTGCGTCACATCTCGAGGGCCATCAATCTCCCGATATCGCACATAGGGAACTAATCAGGAGAAAGCTATGGTACGACTTGACCATCGGATCGACACGAATCATTTACGGCTAACACTGTCTAGGTGGAAATGCGTTTGGCACGATAACTTGACATCATTATCTTTCGATCGGTAAGATCGTTAGCTCCCACTTGTGTGGTCGCAAACAACACCACTAACTAGGTGTCTAGTGCGCCGATGACCAACGCAGTCACAAGCCCTCCACCAATGCTACCCGGCTCTGAGGGCAACTGGACCTACATCGAGGCCATGTACAAGCTCACCGACATCATCGCGAGGCGGCTCAACCCCGATGCCCACGCCAACACTACCTACGAACAGATCCTCGCCAACTGCGACGAGTTCGAGTCGATCCGCACTAGCGTCCAGCCTCAGCTCCGGTCCAAAGAGGCCTGCAAGACCGCCATGGACAGGCTACAGTACTTTGCCATTCGGCTGCACACCTCCTTCACCATCTCGGTCTGCTGCCGCCCCGCCCTCCGCCGGGGCGACGGCGGCAACCTGGACGCCGTCCAGAAGCAGCAGCTGGGCGAGAAGTGCAAGCAGAACCTCACCGAGACGGTGCGCATGTTCCTCTCCATGCACCAGCTCTCCGTCATCCCGACGCGGTCGTGGGCCTTCACCTACAACGGCCTCTCGTCCGCCGTTCTCCTCGGCATCCTCGGCGAGACCAAGACGGACCCGGAGGTCAGGCAGCTGCAGGGCGACCTCATAGCCGCACTGTCGGCGACGGCCGCAAAGGAGCAGACCTCGCCGCCCACGCATATCCAAAAGTCCGACAGGGACATCGAGCTCTCCGGGCCCTTGTCCCGCGCGCTGATGGCGCTCAAGAACATCTACGACCACGGCTCGATCACCGGCCAGAACGTGCAGAACACATCGTCGCGACGCAACTCGGCCGCCCTGGCGCAGTTGCAATCTTCCCAAGTGTCTGCCATCGGGAACGGCAGCGGGGCTGGCAGTGGGGCCGGGGATGCACAGAAGGGCCTCACTTCGTACCCGCGCAACAACACGCCGGCTGGGGTTGACCCTCACCAAGATGCTGCCTTGGCTATGGCCGAAATGCAGAATGGGAACAATTTGCAAGACTTTAACGCGTGCGTATCCTCTCCTCTCTGTGATTATGACACCACAGGTCCGAAAAATGCTAATACAGCAGACATAGAACGATGCCATACGTCCCCTCGTTACAGCAGGGCGCCACGACCTTGCCTGATATGACCAACATCGATCCGGCGACGTACATGTCTCCTATGGATCTGTATGACCAGATTTTCTGGGGTACGTAGTTTCGATGCGCATAAACAGTCGTGTCAATTAGCAGATGCTAACAACCCCTCGTGCAGAATCCCCCGACCCGTGGAACACGGGCATGGACACGATGAACTTTGACTTTCTTGCTCAGCCGCCGCCCGGTCAGCCGCCTCAGCAGCAATTCTACTTTTAATGCGGGCGAGATCTTCAAGGCAAAAAACGTTGTGATATCCCCGGATGCGGCTGTGGTTCAAAAGATGAAAAGTCCCAAATGATGTTATGCCGGAGTTATCGATGAGTGGTTTGTAATGGCGCTGGGCTGTGTTATCGGATATCCCTGAAAACAAAATTGCATGTTCTAGAAGTCACTGTTGTCAATTTGAGAGCACTGTACTCATATGGAGCGTTATGAACATGGTTGAAGTGCTTTGATTTTGTTGGAACTTGCGTAATCATGTGCAAATGGAACTGCCAGTCCGTCTCTTTACATGACCCAATAACCTCCGCTCTCGGGTCACATGCCCGCGCAAGGAAAGCTCGTCCTCTAACTTACTCCTCAAAAGCAGTAAACTTCTCCAGGTAGGCCTCGGCCTCCTTGTTTTCCCTCTCGAGCACCTTGCGGTGCGCCTCGCTGCGCACGCGGATGATGCACTGGAACTCCTGCGGGCGGATGTTGAAGCCGTCGGTGTAGGCAAAGGTGTCGTACCGCCGGCCCTCGATGGGCAGGATGTCGTACGCCCACATGAGCTTGGACAGCGCCGCGAAGAGCGAGTTGGTGGCCAGGTTGGCGCCGGGGCACACGCGCCGGCCCCAGCCGAAGGACGAGTGCCCGCTCTTGGCCGGGTGCGGCAGGCCGCCGTCCTCGACGGCGTGCTTCTCGCCGATGACGGGAGCGGCGACGCCGCCCTTGGCGGCGGTGTGCCGGGCGGCGACGGCCTCGTCCAGGAAGCGCGGCGGGTAGAAGTGGTGCGGGTTCGGGTAGTACTTCTCGTTGAGGTTGATGGCCCACGAGTTGCCGAGGATGGTGGTGCCGGCGGGGATGTAGTGGCCCTCGTACCAGTCGTCCTCGGTCGAGGCGTGCGGCGTGCCGCCGAGCACGGCGACGGGCCGCCAGCGCAGGACCTCCTTGCACAGGGCGCGCACGTAGGGCAGGCTGGCCTCGTCGTCGAAGGTCGGCGTGCGGTCCGGCCCCACGACTTCGTCGAGCTCGGCCTGCGCGGCGCGCAGGGTCTCCGGGTGGGTGATGAGGGCGAGGAAGGCGCTGCACATGGTCGAGGCGGTGGTGTCGGAGCCGGCGCCGAAGAGCGAGGCCGGGATGTACGAGAAGTCGCGGTCCGACAGCGGGATCTCGGTCTCGTGGCGCATCTCGAGCAGCAGCTTGCACAGCGAGTCGGGCAGCAGGTCGAGGCGGTTCTCGGCCTTGGCGCGCGTCATGTCGCCCTTGACCATGTCGACGAGGGCCATGTTGGCGGCCGACTCCTCGCGGCCCTTGGCCTTGATCTCGCGCTTCCAGGGCGCCAGGGCGTCGGGCACGTACTTGAGGATCGGCAGGGTCTCGACGAGGTACTTGCCGGGGACGTTGAGGGAGGAGGCGTAGTGCATGAACTGGAAGCGCTGGCGGATGACGTTTGCGTTGAGCGAGTCGATGCGGTGGCCGTAGGCGACGCAGAAGACGACGCTCGAGGTGAAGGTCTCGATGTGCTTGACCCAGCGGGCCGGGTCGGCGAGCAGGCGGTACGCGAGGCGCGCGGCCTCGGCCTCCTGCACGGGCTTGTACAGCTTGAGCGCCTTGGGGCTGAGGGCCATGTGCAGCAGCTTGCGGCGGACGGACCAGGTCTTGCCGTACGGCTGCACGAGGATGGACGCGCCGTCCCAGTAGATCTCGCCCATGGCGACCATGCGCGGGCGCGACGAGTACTTGGACGAGCGGGCCTCCATGAGGTCCGAGGCGACGACGGGGTCCGAGATGACGACCGTCGGCCGCCGCCCAATCCAGACGGTGAAGATGGGCCCGTAGACGCGCGACCACCGCTCGAACTGCAGCCAGGGCTGGCTCTTGGGCAGCTGGAACTTGTTGCCGAGGAAGGGCAGCGGCGTCGGGCCGGGCGGCATGCGCCACCAGACGTAGACGTCGCGCAGGAGGATGACGGCCGGGGCGACGACGAGGAGCGACAGCCAGACGTAGAGGGGCCACGAGGCCGGGCGGAGAGCGAGCTCCAGGAGCGCCATGGCGGGCGGGTTCGAGCGAGGTTTGTCTGGTGTGCTGTGTGTATGTGGTACAGTTCTGGCTGCGGTCCAAAACCGGAGGGGTTTCGCGGCCTAGAAGCCCGTAGGATACGTCGCGAGGTCTGGGGCAAACTCTTCAGTGGACTCCGCCACTAATTGAGGGACTGATCCGGGGAACACTTGTGATAATCGGCGTCGCGTAGCAAAGTTGCCTTATCCTTTCAGATAAAATGCGTCGTCCTCCTTGCGCGATGCAACCTCGTGCCATGGGAAGGGAGTAAAGAAGGTTTATGGGAAACGCAGAACTTGGGCAGTCCCGTGAAAATAGGTACAGAGCATCCCCAAGTGCCGATTAGCAAGCGATTTGCCCGCCTCCGTCTCTTGCAGCAGCACATGGCCTGCAACCGGTGGACCGGGAGGGGCGCTGGCGATGCTGCCGCAGCCAACCAGCCGCTGTCGAGAACGAAGGGCTTGACCAAGTTGGTGCAAGCCGCCTCTCTGGCGCAGTCCTGGCGACCCTCCGCACCCCGCCGCAACGCCCCCGATCGCTGCGTCGGCAAATCGAAAGCGTGGGATTTGTCTGCCTGCCAAGTCCAGGCCCGCCGCGCTGGGAGAGACGGCGCCAGTCCAGGCCAAGGCCGAGGGATCTACGGGACAGTGTTTGCCCGCCAACCCCAACTGACTCGCTGGAAAGCTGGGGTGCAGCGCTGCGTCGACACGATTTTACTGCTGCCACTCCGCACTATTGGGGTTGGCATGGCTCTAATTACCCCGTTATGATATGATATGGGGTAGCCATTGTAGGAGTGGAATTGGTCTCCCGCCCGGCAGTCGTCTGTGACCGGGAGCTGCGGCGAAACCACGGCGGGTCAGCCGCATTTCTCTCCCAAGACGACGCCGTCACCGCCGGTGACAAGACGGCATTGCATGGACCAAGTTCGCTTATTATTTAAACGATCACTACTTGTAATACCAGGGGTGAAAGGTAACAACATGAGACCATGACACTGCCAAGTCGCCCTAACTCTAGATTAATAAATTAATAGAAGGCCGAATGACGAGACAAGCCGAAAGTCCTGCGACGCATGGCTCAGAATGGGGGGGGGGGGGACCTACAGTCTATCAGGGTCGTATCTATTCAGCTGAGAAGCTGATTCTTCCCCAATTTAATACTGCCATCATGACTTGGCAGGCCAGTACTTGTGCACGAAATCCAGCGGCTCTCCCTTCAGCCAGGGTGCTTCCAAAGTATCATTCTTGTCAAAGACATGATCACCGTGCGGCACGAACAAGAGATGCAGAGGGACGCCTGGTTGCAGTTTCTTGAGTTTCTCCGCCCATGCTTGCGTGTGCTCCCACGGAACCTGTATTGGATGTCCTTGTTTAGTCGTTTGGTCCTTGATGCTTCGGCGTAGGGCAGACTTACAGACTCGTCCTCCCTAGACTGATATAGAAAGATCGGCGGCAATTCCGGCGCGGTGTCCAGGGCGTCCATCGGGTTGAGATATCTATTTGGGCCAGACGTGTCGACCCATTTGCCCGCCTGCGCCATGGCGCCCATCAGCGGGATGCGGCTGCCATACTTTGCTCTCGTGCAGATGGTCCCGGGGACACGGGTTGCTAGGTGCTCCTCAACTATCGAGTAAGGGAACTTCTCTCGCCAACAGGGGCTCAGATGCACGTTGCGCGGAGGTGGTTTGTGTAGGAGATTTGGCAAGTCCACAGCGGGATACTGGAGGAAGAGCACCTTGATCGGCAGCTTGGTCATGCCCAGAAGGGCCGTCTCCACGGCGTGATAGCCACCGCCACTCTCACCTCCGACGAGGAGGTTGGAGACATCCACATCAATCTTCGGTCTCATGCGGTGCAGGGATTCCTGCGCCTTGCCTTCTTCTACCCATTTCCAGAATGAGCGGGTGTCCTCGATTCCGTCAGCCACCTCGTGCTCAGGCCTGAGACGGTAGTCTGGAGTGAGGATGACAGCTCCGTGCTTGAGAGAGAGCTCTAGGAAGCTAGAAAGAGATTGGAGCTCATTAGAGTCAAGCTGGCCAGGAGTCTATATCCATACCCAGAACATTAACTCACAAGGGCCGCAACGAGGCCTCGGCCTCTCCTTCTGTCATTCCCCCGCCATGGAAACGGACCAATAATGGCCGGGGCCCGGAAGGAAGCTCCTTCGGGATGACGAAAAAGGCATTGACCGGCTGGTTGTCAACATACTTGTACGCAACACGATACGCGTCAAACTCGTCCAGCAGCTTCACCGAGTTGGAGTGTTGGGTATGAGGGTCGATCGTGTAAGGTTCCATGGTGGCTTACCCTGGTGAAAGTAATGATGTCAAGCAACGAGAGAGGCACAGAGGTAAGGTCCTATCCAATATGGCCCAAGTAAAATCGAGTACCCTATTTATACAGTGAAATAATCAAAGATGGAAGTTGTATATTTATAAGCGGGCTGCTTATCAAGCGTGAACAATTGCCAGATGTTATCATGTTCCCGGAACAGCAAAAGCCGAGTTTACGGGCCGGAATACCGGTAGTATCGCAACGACTTGCCCCACCCCGAAGGATGCCTCAAACGGATATATCATTCACGAGGAAATCTTGGCTTGAATCCTCAATCGTGCCAGAAATGGTTGTTTACTACCGCTTGTCGTGTTTTCTTCAAGACTTGATACCTCCTTTGCGAGTTCAAACCATCATATTACGCACCGGTTTTAATCCTCCAAGAAATGCCACCAGACGTTCACGTGAATTCCTAACTTACGATTAGTCCTCTCGTTGCTATTCCGCTGTCTGAATACTATTTTCTCACACAATAAGCGTGATTAGAAGCGTTTGTATATGTCTTCTTTCTATCTGCACGTGCGAATGGCTAGTTTATGAGGACTCTTCGACAATGTTGTCAGTCGCTGTGCATTGAAATCACGATGTGGTCTGGTCGGGCTCTGCAGAACTAATCGCAACAACCCAGTTTTACTGCTATGCCACTGAGTCTAAGTGCTGGGTTATGGTAGTGTATCCTTATCAATCCCCTTGCCAAGAGGTTGATCAATGGAGACAGCACAGGTTCTGTTGCAGCGTCTTGAGTCGAGTTCTATTCCTTGCTCCCATGAATGCTTCGCGACAAGTAGGCATAACTCTAATCTTGTTGAATTCATGTTCTATAAAGCACCGGACATCGAGACAAATCGGAGTACGGCACTGGTCAACCAGCAAAATCGGGTCGATAGTTCTGAGCAGCCTTCCAATGCGCGCATCGTGACCCTCCTCCGATAACCGGCCCGAGCGCCGTGCTGGTGGCACTCTGATCAGGGTTAAACCCGTCGTTAGATCACACCTACAGGATGCACCTATTCCGTAGTGGCCGTGCATTAGCATTTCTGTCAATATGCACACTTGCCGTCTATGCATGCACAAGACGTGGCACACTACTGGCTAACTAGCAGGAAGCAATGAAGGTCGCTCGGCCGAGCTTGTTGGAAGTTGACTGAAAAGCTCGTGAAAACCCCGCAAACTTTGGCGCATGCATGTTTGTCAGTGTGTGGGGATCACAACTACTAGTGCACCCGTTCAGGTGTGTGACATGCCCCTTTAGGCATGGCATCTGCTCGTGTTCAGGCTCAGCAGCTCAGGTAGCTCAGGTACGCACACCACCATGCGGCCACTGTGGACCACTCGGCAAGCTGTGCCGTACGCTGGTAAAAAGATCCCTACAGTGGTCCCCTCTGGACGCGAAGACGCGGTGTTGTTTGTGACTTGTTGTCTTTGCTTCTCGTCGCTGTTGGCTCTAGGCCGGCAAGGCCGGGGGACAATGCTTGATTGGAGGGTTCTCCGCTTCTCCAGGTCAAGCCACTCGATGGGGGCTTGGAAAACTGCTGGGGATATCCTAGGCAAACCCACTCCCCGCACCATCATCGACAGATCGTGAAAGACAGCCATTCGTCTTCCCAGTGGGCAACGATTGAGCTGCTGCATGTTTGGTTTCGGGTGGTGGAGGAAATGAGTCCAGTCCCTACCAGAGCAAGGAGACAAACCTTTGTGTTGGTGCATGTGCGAAATGACTCTCATTTCAGCCGCAGCATCGTGAGTGTGAGCGAGGTGCGTCCTTTTCTCACAGGCGAATACCCCCTTACTAATTCTCGCCCGATGCGGTAAGTGTGCGGCATGGGTCTCAAGCATTCTGGACATAACCTTACCCACTGGTGGATGTGCCTTTTCCATCTGGTGAACTTCATCCTACCAGTCTCCGGGTCTGTTGCAGTCAAAGTGGATGGGTTATACCAGGCTTTCTGGCGCTCTGATCAACCGTTTCTAGAAGCATGAACGTAAAGAAGGCAGTGTTCTAATATTATCATGCCCATCTCGAATAAAAGAGCGTGAGAGGGTTGTGCCGGTGCAACTCATGACCCGGGCAAACTCGACAAATTACCCTGCATTGTCTCTCTCCACACTGCACCGTTGCATCCACAACCCATGGACAATCCCCCAGACCCACTCTTGCCCGATATTAAGGCCTGCTGTGCAGGCCGTGGCCAATGCTGACAGGAACCTGGCTGCCAATTTCGATCAACGGCGAGACCTGCTAGAAGCGGTTGGTAAGCGCTGCATCTCGACCAATCGTGCATGGACCCAATGCTCCTCCACACCCTCAGTTCAGCATCTACCCCGGTCTTGGCTTCCTGGGACCCCGGTCCTAGACAGGGGTTGGTGAGGGCTAAGCTGTTCAAGTCTCTCTCGCGAATCACTTTTTGGCATAGCCCTCAAGGGAAGTGATCCCATGGGCTGAAGGTCGGGAATAGCGGAGTGTTACTTTAGGGGGATCCTGCACGATGCCCTGCACGATGCTATGTTGGTTTGCTTGGGTTGATGTTGCCCGGCTCGAGGCCGATCAGATGCAAATTTGCTCGTGGTAGCAACCATCTTGTCCGAGGCAAGTCTCGTTGGTTCAAGTATATAGCACGAGGGTGTTCCCCAAAGTGGATTGCTTGTGTCCTTGCTCCTTCATGGTCGAGTGACTCTCAGCACCTCCGTGTGAACAAGAGACTCCCAGCTAGCAACACCTTCGTTTACTTGGTCCTACGTTCGTTTGACCTCTTCACGATGAAGTCCACCCCTACGCTCTTGGCCATCATTGGCCTTGCTGTCGGTGATGTCGCCGCCCAGATCACTGCCGCGCCAGTGTGCCCCGGCGGACCTTGCTCTTCGGCTGTTGCTGCCGTTCCCGAGTGTGCCTCGAGCTGCATCTCGTCTGCTGCCAAGTCTGCCGCCAAGTGCGTTGACGGCGACTTCCAATGCCAGTGTGTCTCATCGGCCGTCATCCAAGAAGCTGCCGTCGGTTGCGTCCTGGGCGGCTGCACAGACCCCATCGGTGTGATCAACGCCGTCAGCACTGTCTGCGACTGTGTCAGCAAGAACCCGAGCACCTACTGCGGCAGCCCGAGCACATCAACCACATCTCCCACGTCCGAGACGAAGCCGCCTACCACCAGCCAGCCAACCACGGCTCCCACTTCAACCTCGCAGCCAACATCGGAGCCGCCATCCAGCAGCCCTACCTCGACGGGAGGCAACACCGATACCAGCAAGCCCGGCTCGAGCCCGCCCCCGACCTCGACTGGCTCATGCGTAGCCACCAAGTCCGACTGTGCTCCCGTCGCCAAGTCGGCCGTCCCCGAGTGTGCTCAGGCCTGCTTCACTTCCTACGCTCCCTCAGTTGGCTGCGGCGTCAGCGACTTTGCCTGCCAGTGCCAGCCGACTGCCCAAGCTTCCCTCTCCAAGCTTCTCGTCCCCTGCGTTGCCACCGCCTGCCCCGCGGCTCAGCTCCCCAGTGTCATTGCCGGCGCCAGCTCTGTCTGCGCGTGCGCCACGGCCGCCCCTGGCGGCGGTGACTGCTCCGGTGGCAGCAGCGGATCTACCTCTCAGCCTCCTCCCACTAGCTCCCCGACCTCAAAGGGCGGTGACAACAAGCCAAGCTCGACCTGCAAGGCCGCGACCAAGGCCGACTGCGGACCCGTGGCGTCTTCTGCCGTGCCCTCGTGCGCCCAGGCGTGCTTCTCCCAGTATGCCCCCTCCGTTGGCTGCGCCGTCACCGACTACGGCTGCCAGTGCCAGCCCACTGCCCAGGCTTCCCTTTCCAAGCTTCTCGTCCCCTGCGTCGCTACTGCTTGTGAGGCTGCCCAGCTCCCCAGAGTGATCTCAGGAGCCAGCTCCGTCTGCGCTTGCGCCAGTGCTCCTCCCTCTGGAGGCGACTGCGGCGGCGAGACCAACCCCCCTCCCGCCACGACCCCCTGCCCTACCAACCCGCCCAACAACGGCGGTGGAAACGGGGGCGGCAGCGGCGGCAACGGTGGTAACGGTGGCAATGGCGGCGGCCAGGCGACCACCTGCGTCGAGGTCACCATCGCCGCTCCCGGAGGCGGCTCCTCCGGAGGCGGCAACGCTGCCTGCGCGCCCCTCGCCTCCAAGATCGAGGCCTGCGCCCAGCCGTGCTTCAGCTCCGCCATCCCCAAGGTCGGCTGCTCCATCGACGACTACTCGTGCCAGTGCGAGTCCGGCCACCAGGCCTCCCTCTCCCAGATCCTCGTCCCCTGCGTCGCCACCGCCTGCGAGGCCGCCGTCCTGCCCTCCATCATCGCCGAGGCCAGCGCCGTCTGCGCCTGCGCCGCGACCGCGGGCTCCGGAGGCGCCGGCAACGCGGGCGCGAAGCCCATCACCACCACGACGTGCTACCCCATCGGCGGCGGCGGCAGCTCTGCCAACCCCACTGGCGGCAGCGGAGGAAAGGGCGGTGGCAACGGCGGCGGCTCGGGCGGCGGCGCGACCAAGTCTGGTCCCGTTACCGTCCCGACTGCTGGTGCCAACGCCAAGTTCGAGATGGGCGTCGTCGGCACGATCTTTGGTGCTGCCTGGCTTGCTGCTATTGCTCTCTAAGTCATGACGCTCGCTGTCTTATGGATTGAACTGGTGTAATGGTATCATGAGGAGGCGGAATTGGAGGGCGTTTCGGTTCGTGTGTACATATTAAAATAAGCTTAATATCACAAACCTACTGGTACATCAGGCATGCGGACTTGACTTTGTAGCTTCCCCGCAGATCATTGTCTCACAACAACCTGTGTGTGCATGTGGTTGCGACTGGATGGAATGTGAAATGCTGTCGCTCGGAGTCTGCTTCCTTGTCCAACATGGATTTTCCATTCATTAGCATCTGCCACGAACTTGGAATAATTGGTCTTCCACATTTTGCAAACTGGGTCTCCTACCTCCGTACTCATCCAGGTATGCGAAAGCTTGTCGTCCCAATGCGGATAAAAGCCATGTTGATCCCCCGTAAAAGGCCCGTCTTGTGAAGGAAGCACACAGGGGTGACTCGGTCCTGGCCGGGGAGAACTCCACCAAACGCGTCCTCTTTAGGGTGGTCATCAGCGACGATCCCACGCAATCACCCGTTCCACACCCCACACCTGACGGTGTGAGGGCGACGGCCTTGTCTCGGACGCCGTCATCGTCGCATTACATCATGTCGAGACATGCCCTCCCTAGATCCTTGTATAATTGTGAAGGGCATGAAATACAACAGAAATCCGTTCTCCCTTTAGTCGTGAACTATCTACACCTCATTTCTGAGCCGTTTACGCCGTCAACGCCCAGGTGCCATTTGTTCGGATGTAGACAAAAATGCTTTCTCAACTCGGAATCACAGGGCTAGCATCCCTTGCCCTCGCAGCCGTCAATGCCCAGGATGCGTACGACTATGTTATCGTGGGCGGAGGAACATCCGGCCTTGTCGTCGCCAATCGCCTTTCCGAAGATCCCGCCGTATCCGTAGCGGTCATCGAGCCTGGCAGCGACACGCGCGGCATCCCGAGCGTCGAGGATATTGGGACCTTTGGCATCTTCCTCCAAAACCTTGGCACATACCTCGATTGGTCTTATGAGTCTGTGCCACAGCCGGGAGCAGCGAACCGGTCTCTTGGGTTTGCTGCAGGCAAGGCGGTCGGGGGAACCAGCACTATCAACGGTATGTTTCGCGGGCGAATGCGGTTTATGTTGCTGTGCATTCCGTTTCCTGCACATGATAGCTTACAAAGCATAGGCATGACTTATATCCGCGGCGACAAGGCCGAGATCGATGTCTGGGAAACTCTTGGCAGTGTGGGCTGGAATTGGGAGTCACTGCTCCCTTACTACAAAAGCTACGAGCACTTTGACGCACCCACGAAAGCGCAGGAAGAAGCAGGCGGCGTGTATGAGCCCGAATACCACGGCGAGAGTGGCCCCATGCACGTCGGCTTTCCGTATGAGCTCACCAACGGATCCCTCCACCAGACCATCCAGGACACTTGGGAGAACCTTTCATTACCTTTGAACACGGACCTCTCGAGCGGAAGTGTTCGAGGATTCGGTGTCTGGCCTCAGACGATCAACCGCGATGCTGATATCAGATGGGACGCGGCGAAAGCGTTCTACTGGGGTGTGCAGAACAGACCGAATCTCAAGCTGATCAACAGTACGGCAACAAAGATCGTCTGGAAGGGCGGGGCGGGCAACGGTGCTGTCGCCGAGGGTGTGGAGCATGTTGGCCAGGACGGAACCGCGGCGGTCATCCGTGCAAGCAAGGAAGTGATCCTCTCCGCCGGCTCCCTGGTCTCTCCGCTCCTGCTTGAGGCGTCGGGTGTCGGCAATGCCAAGTATGTCTATGACCGTGAGAAGTCGTGGAGTCAGACAACAATATTAACACGAAGTCATCAGACTCCTCGAAAGTCTGGGTATCACTCAAGTAGTGGACTTACCCGGAGTCGGAGAAAACCTCCAGGACCAGCCAAATGCATCTCTCTTGTATGAAGGTGCCGAGAATGTTACCGGAATGGTCCCATATGTCACCTATGTGACAGGCCAGGACATCTTCGGAGACAAGTTCTCGTTTCATGCATCTTCCACAGAGTCTCAGATATCGGCGTGGGCCAAGACTATTGCAGATGCGTCTGCCAATCAGTCAGTATCCGTGGATGCGGAAGCTGTTGAAAAGGTGCTCCGTATTCAACATGACCTCATCTTCAAGAAGAATGTTACGTATGGAGAGATCTTGATCAGCGGTGGAGGCACTATCCTTGCGTCTCCGCACTGGAACCTGCTACCGTTTTCAAGAGGAAGCGTTCATCTTGGCAGTACCAAGAATGTCAACAAGCCCGTCATCGACCCTCGCTTTTTTCTCATCGACTTTGACTTGACCGCACAGATTGAGATCGCCAAACTTGCGCAAAAGTCGTGGATGACAAGTCCCGTCAAGGAAATAGTTGTCAAACGAACAGCACCCAACGATACAGTATTACCCCCAGAAGCCACAGATGAGCAGTGGAAGGCATTTACTCAGACCACCTGTAAGTGTTAACCCGAAGAGACCTTTGATTGGAATGTAGACTGACATTGGATACCTAAGTTGGCCCGAACTCACACCCGCTTGGTACTGCAGCAATGATGTCTCAGGAGCTCGGGGGAGTAGTCGATTCAAAGCTCAAAGTGTACGGGACAAAGAATCTGCGAGTAGTTGATGCTTCCGTCATCCCTCTACAAGTCAGCGGGCACCTTACATCAACTCTTTATGCCATTGCGGAGCGAGCAGCGGAATTAATCAAGTCAGGACCAGCGGCGTGTAGATAAGTCGAACTAATACTGATTAGATGTAAATCCAAGATGACCAGTGATTGAAGATGCCACTCGCTAGCACTGTATAACGCATGCCTGCCAGCGTTACATTGCTCGATAAGTATGCATCCAGACCTACCAGATGACACTTCTCGAGGCCATTGATAAGCGGCCCGAGCATCCCCGAAGCATACCCTGGTACCTGGGAACTGAAATTACCACCACCCGGTAGATAAACGGGTAAAGTAGATTTGAGATAAATACCTGCCAAGACCTCGCACTTGATCCTGAACGCACCGCGCTGAAAGCTTGAATGTGAAATCTGCAAGGACTCTAACATTCCAGCAAAAGAAGCACGAACAAACAAGCCACCATGAGACTCATACCGACCTTTTCCACCGTGCTAGCCCTGCTGGCAGCTGTTCCAGGCCCTGCACAGGCGGCAACCTGGTACTTCCTGCGATACTATACCAAGTCCGGACAAAAGTTCACCGGCCTAACTGGTGAAATGATCGTCCCGAGTTTGCCGAGGGCCGGCGTGTACTACCTGTGGCCCGGCCTGCAGCCTACCGACAACAGCGGCGTGTACCAAAACGTGCTGGACGGCCGCAGCGGCACGTGGTGGTTCGGCAGCGGTTGGTGCTGTGAGAACCCCAGCCTCCCCTGGGGTAGTGGGTTCAATGCCTACCAAGGGGAGACGCTAAAGTTCGAAAACGTCTTGGACGGGGATCAGTGGCGGACGACAACAGTCCATGAGAGCACGGGGACGAGCAAAACTGACAGGTTTCCACTAGGTAGGTGATGTGACTTGGCCTCCCGGAGAGCATCTACACCGTCGGGAGCTGAACTAACTAGATCCAACAGCTGGCAAATCTTTTAACCAGGTCCTTTTTGCTATTGAGCTGTAAGTTTAGACCAATATCCCCGGCCAGATGGGTTGCAGATGCTAGCTGACTCTTGAGGACAGGAGTGGCCCGAAGTGGGACTTTGGCCCTCTGGAATTTCGCAATATTGTCATTGTCAGTTGTTCATTCCTCCTTCTCTCTTATCATCAGCTCACAAAGCGGCAGACTGCAACCGGGACAGATGCGAGCTGGTGTAATGCATCGCCTGAGAATTACAACAAAGCCACAGTAGCTAGCATTTCCAGTGTTAGCGCCAGTGTGAGCGGCAATACGGTGACGTGCCGTATCGGAAGAATTGTGCTTCAACGTCCTGCTTAGCCAAATGTTGGTGGGGGAGGAGGCCTTTACAGTTTCTCTTACAAGGTGGGAGCACATCTTGAACTACCTAGGTCAAGGACCCAGAAAGTTCCTAGGAACACACAGATGGTGGGACACGCTTCCGGAGGGGTGGCTATTCTTTTTACATCTATGACTGATATCATTTACAATGACACAATCTTTTAGCTGGTATTGGTTCACTTGCTCACTCCTCAAGTCACCGAAGAGATTCGCGGTTTGAGTCACAATACAACAACATGACAGGAACTCGGGGAACGAAATTATCCTCTGAAGCGATCAAATCCCCACACGGGGAAGCAAGACTGTTAAATGATCTGAAGTCGCGGGGAAATCCGACCCCAGTGTCATTCTTAAGGCTTTAGCACACCAGGATTGGGTCAAATTTCTCCGCGGAGGAATTCCCTCGTACTCCCCACTGCCTTTAATCCCGGGGAAGCGTCCGAGCTAAGCCTTCGCTTGTTTAAGACGCCAAGATGCAAGCTAAATTCAAGTTAGGACGATGCGGTAAACTCTGCCAGAATTGGACTCACAACTGCAAATTGTGCCAATACCATGGCGAGCGGTGCTTCAGAATACTGTTTTGGGTAATGGGGATCGTGCTATGGGGACAGACTCTTCCCAGCTCGCTGCTAGTCTTCTCCGCGTCAGCCCACTCGGTCCAGACCATGGGCCAACATATCCCTAGGCGAGCATTACTCTTTCTTTGCATCGTCGAATGTCCATTGCCGCTCTCCTCGGCTCTACATATATACCCCTCAAAGCATCCTTGACAGAATTACTGTTGGGGATCATCACTATTCTCACAATCTAGTCTCACACCTAACAAAATCTCTGCGCCGCACGATGGAAGCGAAGACCACTGAGCCCGGTGCCATGGCGGCAGTCCACGAGGAGACTCGCCAGGATGTGACGAACTTCTTACCTCCCAGCGAGGCCAACGACAAGCTCAGTTTCCGCGACTTTTGGAAGAACCGACGCGTCTTGATGTTCTGTGAGTGGCGTCCGCGTGTAGCCCGCTGCTAGCCCGCTGCTAACCTTCTGAAGGCATGATGATCTATCTCCTTCCCATCAACTTCGGCTACGAGGTCTCGATGATGGGAAAGCTCCTCGCCGTGACACCTTTCGCGCAGCATTTCGGTTACAAGGCTGGCAACACTTGGATCATTAGTGCGAAGGATCAGCAGATCCTGAACGCTGCCAACACAATCGGCATTTTCTGCTCGGCCTTCCTGACCGGCATCGTCAGCGACTTCATCGGCCGGAAGAAGACAATCATCATTGCCTGCGTCGTCTGCAGTGGTGGCATTATTCTCCAGTACTTCAGCAGCTCCATATTGATGCTCTTTGCGGGAAAGGTTGTGTCTACTCTCGGCTTTGGCCTTGGCCATTCGCTTGGGCCTGTCTTCGTCGCCGAACTGGCACCTGTCAAGATGCGCGGAATATGCTTGGCTCTGGTGGTAAGTGTCTCGAAATGGGACTGACTGCTGATCGATTTTTATTAGCCATGATGACTGACATTCGTTCTCTAGAATACCAACATCGTCCTAGGCCAGTGGCTCAACTCCCTCGTCGTATATGCATGCAAAAGCGACCCTACCGATATGGCCTGGCGCATCCCGATCATCACGCAGATCATCCCTCCAGGCCTACTCCTTCTCTGCCTCGTCTTCCTCCCCGAGTCCCCTACATGGCTCCTTATCAAGGGTCGCCGCGACGATGCCTCCAAGGCCTACCTTCGATTCAACGGTCCAGAGTTCGACGTGAACGCCGCCCTCGCCGTCGCGACTGTCGCCATCGAGAAGGAAGAGGAAGTTAAAAAGGCCAACAAGTCGAGCAAGTGGATCGAGTGTTTCACGGGCACCAATCTTCGCCGCACAACGATTATCATCATGGTGTATATCTCACAGCAGTTCATCGGAGTTGGTTTCATTAGCGGCTACCTCACGTACGTAATATGATCACCCCAACCACACCATCTTTACTTACCACACACAGGTATTACTTCCGCCTGGCTGGCGTTAACGATCCTCTTGCTATTGGGCAGGCTGCCAATGCCATCCAGCTGTTTGGCAACATCTGCTCATGGCCGTTGGTCGATCGGCTGGGGCGACGGCCCATGATTGTCGGAGGGTCATGCGTCATGACTGCGCTCCTGCTTGTGATCGGTGGCATCAGTACTATCGGAACTGCCCCTGCATTGTCAGCTACCGTTGCCTTCATGGTCATCTGGGGATATCTCTACCAGGTTAGTCCGTAAACAATGTATCGTCTTAACGTGGGACTGACAGGGTAAAACAGGCGACCCTTGGAGCAGTGGCCTACACGATTGGCGGAGAGACAAGCAGCGTTCAACTTCGGCAGAAGACGTACAGTATCAACATCATGGTTGCGACAGCTGTCAGCTGCATGTGGACACAGATCATGCCCTACCTACTCAATACCGACCAGGCCAATCTCGGAGGCAAGATCTGCTTCGTCTTTTTCGGATTCTCCCTGCCGGTGTGCGCTTATCTCTACTTCTGCCTACCCGAGCTCAAGGGCCGCAACTATGCCGAGGTCCAAGAGCTGTTTGCGAATCGCGTCCCCGCTAGACAGTTCAAGACCTATGTCTGCAGTGTTAGTCTGGCTAATGAGGAGCTCAAGGAGAAGGTCTGAAGGGTTGATGTTACCAAGGGATTGATCTCAGTACAGCAGGGGGGTGAATATGGGTGAAAGATTGGCTCATGGCTTAAGTACGGCTGGTTTCTGATAGAGAGCTAGAAATACTAGGGTGATGATTTGAGGTGTTGAGCTGCATACTACTCATGTAAAAGTAATATGGGACTTGAACAACATCAACATGTTCAAGGATTACTGTGGCACGCTCATCTTGTATTGGGCATCTTTAACAGGAAAGTCTCAGCGAGATTAGACCAGTAGTACTCTACCAAGTGTAGCGGAATTCGGCGTTGCCATCAATCACGAGCTCTCCTCTATCTGCTTTCTTATTCGCCCTCCAGAAAATGAAGGAACACACGACGGTGAGGAGAGCACCGGCAAGTAGAAGCGCCCCTGAAGCTGCTAGACCTGGAATGTAAGCAGGCGCATCCTAGAAGCACGCAGTCAGCAACCTGATCCGATGTTGGAATATTGCATTTTTTATCTCTCTCACCTGCTGTCGGAATACAAGAGCCGAGTAAATGCCTCCTACCCCGGCGTTGAAGACTTGTATAATTGACATAACGCTCTTTTGCGCGTCACCTTGGATATTGTTCTGGCCCCATGCCAGCGAGATTGGGATAAGAGAAGTCGTACCGGCTTGGCCGAGAAACGCTCCGACGTAGCGAGGAGTCGGGGCAGTAAGAAACCCGGTCATTGCGAATCCAACAATCCCGAGACTGCAGGACAAGATGACGAATGGACCTCGCACTCTGTACTTGTCGGATGCCCATGAGATGGCCAGAGAACAGAGAAGTCCAAACGCAGCAGGAGGTGCGGTGAGACAGAACGAGGCGACTTGAGAGTAGCCAAGACCCTTGCGCAGGATCAGTGGAAGAAAGAAGAGAATGCCATAGAGACCAGTCGAGCCGCCCATGTAGATGAAAGCTCTGGACAGATAACCAGTTAGAGGGGATTGAGAAAATGTCATGGGTGTCTACTCACAGGGCCCAAGCGTGCCACTTCTTGGCAACCTCCTTCAAGACTGCGGGGGTGATCTTGCCTCCTTCAGCTTCACCCCGTTCTTGCACAAGTCGGCTGATGAGTATGTCCTTCTCTTCGGGCGCCAGAAACTTGTTCCGCTTAGACTCTGGAAAGTCGATGACGATCAACTTTGTCAAAATAGCTATCGCGCAAGTGATCGATCCTTGCACAATGAAGATCCACTTCCATCCATGCCGTTCCGGTTGCGAAGAGATTTGGGTGAAACCATAGGCCATAATATTGGCAAATGCAGACAGAAAAGAGGATATCGTGAAGAAGAACGCGATCCTGGGCATGCATAGGCCTCTCAGCGAATACCATTGCTAAACAAGAAGATGGTATTGGGGCCACTCACCGTTTGGAAACTTCGTACCGACGATACCAGGAAGAAATTAGGTAGATGCAGCCTGGGAAGATTCCCTACAAATGCCAATTAGTGATCGCCGTCTCGAAGACCTGATATCGACTCACCGCTTCCATGGTTCCAAGCATGACACGGAGAACCACCAGAGTGGCGTAGTTCTTTGACAAGCCAATGCCAATGGTAACCAAGCCAAACGCGAGTCCCAAGAATCCCAGCCAATTCGCGGCGCCGAATTTCTTGAGAAGGATGTTGCTAGGAAGCTCAAAGAACACGTAGGAGACATAGAAAACGAGAACTAGCCACGTGTATGTTAGTTGGGTTGGATTTGATGCACACATATAGGGAAGCATACCAACGACAGAATATCTGTTCCCGATATCAAGGCCAATGTCCTGATCGATTCCCGAGATTCGAGCACCGCCGAGGTTGGTACGATCAATGAGAGATATCGTGTACAAGGCTGCCAGTATAGGGACAAGTCTCCAGTCGGTTTTGCGACTGATTTTGTTACGCTAATGTCAGAAACTGATAAGATTGAGTCTGATGAAGACTTACGTGATTCTTCGCTCGATCACTGTAGTGGAAGCGGCGATTGTGCCAGCTGCAACATCATCTTCTGGCTTTGTCGAACCCTCGACATGCATGGCTCGGTCTTTCATGTCGTTGATTGAAGCCATTGGGACTGATTGACGCGTATTGTAAGAACATCAGAATTGGTAGGAAATGGAGAGAGGTATTTATCAATGTTCTAAGGGCCACAGCCCACCACTCTGTCCACGGTTTGTCAAAGGCAACGATAGTAGGAAAGCCTTGGCTCAGCAGATCTCACCGCGTCGACGCCTTGCTACAGATGAAAGCCATCCGGGGGAACCGAATGCCGGGGAAGAGCAGGGGACTGTCAGATGACTGAGGGTTCTGGGGTAAATCTCCACATCCCCAAGATTCCGGTAACGAGGCTGTGGATGCCACTAGTGTCATAATTTGCGAAGCTCCGACAGCATGTTCGGCAATCCGGCTCTCGGCTCACGGTACCGTGAGCCAAGGAGCTTTAGGACTCCCCGCACCCAACATACTACACACGTCATGTACCTATCACGTACTACAATCACGATTTTGAAAAACAGTGTCACTTAACAAGAGTCAAAAGTCGAGCCTGCAACCCCAGTGTTCCGAGAGAGTCACTAGGGATCCGATATCCTCCCTTTACTGTGCCCAGACCAAGTCTCAAGAGCAAAAGAAAATGACAACCGAGTGCGATTGGATTGTTCTGATTCCAGATCACGAAGGTGCTTTGGAAAAGCGAATGGCTGCACGGCCGTAAGACTTCGAACGCGACTTTCTATTCTGTGTTGAGGCCACTGACCATGTTCACAGAGCCCATCTTGATGGTCTTTCTCCGAGAGTGAAATCTGGCAAGTGGACAATGGGCGGTATGTTCTCCGAACCTCCCTTTAACTGCAGACAAAGCTAATCTTAGTCAATACATAGGCGCTACTCTAGCCAAGCCTTCTGTTGAGGGGCAGCAGAAGGAGTTCAACGGAAGTTGCATTGTTGCCCATGCCGCTAGCAAGGAAGAGGTGCTCGAAGAGGTCAGAAAGGACATTTACGCCACTTCAGGGGTCTGGAATCTGGACAAGATCATCATACACCCGGTAAGCACTGACCCCCTTGTTTCATTCCTTTGCTCGCCCACTACTAGCATAGACTAAGATTTCCTCAGCTTGCGACTGCATTCCGCAAAGAGCTTGCCGGTGCAGCTTGGTAGTGCGTGTCCCTTGCCTAGTTCGCCAGTGTTAGACTTTCAATAATGAATCCAAATTATACGATGAGAATGACCCGTCTTGATGAGTTGCTTTCGTGAATGTGCTACTAAACGTCCCTGGAGCCGAGGCCGACTGGAACAATCATATGGCTTCCCGTATTGCCGGCAGTACCGAACACCAATCACGTCCAGGGGAGTGTTCAAAGAAGGCAATATGCTCTCGGTTGTGACGCAATGTGCATAGACTCGGGACACCAAACTGGTGGATCGGTTATTCAAAGCAAGCCCCCTGTCCAAATGGCTACATGAACAACAGTGTGTATGCATTTCGTATTTGGTATTCTTTCTTATACTGCCGTCAATAAAAATACATATCCAGATTAAAAGCTGCATTGCTACATGGCGAGTGGAACACTTCTGTACCTTGATCAAGGGCGACATCTAGTCAATCATATCCACACCCTCGAGTGGAGTTAATTACCTTAGCCATGTCGTACCAAAGCATCGGATTCATTGGTGTGGGAGCCATGGGAAAGGAAATGGTTGTGAATCTGGCAGAGAAGCTACCTCGGCATATACCGATCTACATCAACGATGTCAACAAAAGTGCCACAAGGGAGCTAGCTGCATCATATTCCAACAGTATAATCGCCTGCGATACAGCACATGAGGTTGCAGCCAACTCGGTACGTACTCCTGGATATCCCGAAAACTCACAAAATGTGGCAGGTACTGACCAGAATCGCTCAGGATGTCGTTCTGACGATGCTGCCAGAAGGACGACATGTCCGTTCCGTCTATCTTGACTCGCATGGGAGCATCAGCTCGGCCAGTCTCTGCGGAAAGATATTGATAGAGTGCTCCACTATTGACACTGCTACGAATCACGAGGTTCGGTCGACGCTTCAACAGCTCGAACCTACGGCGTCTTTCTACGATGCTCCCGTTAGTGGTGGTGTCTTGGGCGCTCGGAAAGCCACACTCGGCATTTTTCTTGGCTGTGATGAGAAGGATCCCAACTTCGAAACCTTGAAAGCAGTTTTGTCGATGCTTGGAAACAACGTCATTGCCTGCGGCGGCCCTTCACTTGGGCTAGTAGCCAAGCTAGCGAACAACTATCTTTCGGGAACAATCGCTATTGCTACGTCGGAGGCGATGAATATGGGCATGCTGGGCGGTATGAACGCTCATGTTCTGGCTCAGGTCATACACGCTGGATCTGGAAGAAACCACATTGCCGACAACTTCAACCCCGTTCCAGGCATCTGCCCCGAGGCGCCCTCATCACATGGTTATGAAGGGGGTTTCAAGGTGGAGTTGATGAAAAAGGACATTGGACTTGCCGCCAGCATGGCTGAGAGAGTTGGCGCAAGATTGGTGTTGGGAAAGAGTTGTCTCGAGACATATCAGAATGCAAGTCAGGACCCAAGATGTCAAGGACTGGACTCAAGAGTTGTATATCGATACCTTGGTGGCCAGGAAGACTGGGAGTAGTAAAGAAGCAATTAAAATATCTTGTTGGAGTCATGAGATTACCTTGCTCAGGTCCTAATTCCGAAGCTGCAGACGAATTCATGTTTAAAAATAGAACGTGATGTCCATTTCGATTACCCTAGGGCAGCTTTCAGCCACAAGTGTATCAATCTGCCATTCCCTTTTCACTATCAACCACCCGTTTCACATCTTCGAGGGCAAGGTTCTTATTACTCGACCAGGACGCCCTGCCCTGTGGCCCTGGGTCATTCAGCATGTTGACCACACGCCAGCTATCATCAAGATCAGCCACCTCAAGGATAGTACCAGCCGGATAATTCAAGTCAGTAGCGACTGCGAGCATTGCTCGGGCAACTGCAGATGGCTCCAGCATACAATCCTTGCTCGAGTCAATGTAGCGCATCACCTCTGGATGATCGGTGAAAAGAGGTGACTTGATAATGCCGGGTGCAACGCCAACGACTCGAATACCTCCCATTCTGTGCAGGTCTGCCAAACACCGAACGAAGGTGCTGATGGCGCTTTTCCCTGCTTGATATAGTGGCGTGATGATGCTGGCCTTCTGAGCGCCTGTACTCGAAACGTGCAGGATGACCCCGGGCTGGTTTACAGCCAACATTTTGCGAATGGCCAGCCGCGTCATCTTAATCGGAGATAATAGGTTGATATCAAAGAGACGATAGTGCCCATCTATATCGTCATCGCTCCAGAATCCATGATGAGACTACGCCAAAGGGTCAGCAGGCAATCACTTTGTTCGGGTAGGGGGGATTGCATGCCGGTTCGTAGATGCCTGCGCCAGGGCAAACTATGTATGGAACTCCTCCAATCTCACGGTCATAAACTTGGAAAGCATTTTCAAGCTCCTTCCAGTCTGAAGCATCCGCCTCGTGAAAGTAAACCTGTGGTCCAATGTCCTTTGTTAATGTCGAGAGCCAGTCTATGGCGGTTTGATGTAAACCAATGTCCACGATGACACTACTGCAACCCGCCTTATAAAGTTCTTGCACAAAGGCTAGGTTGATTCCTATATTTTCTGTTCAGCCATGCCCATACACTTTGTGCAATGGTAACAACACTTACCAGACCCGGCACCTGTGACGATGGCGCCTTTGCCTTTGATGTCAAGCTGCGAGGTCATGTTGATCTCGAACCTGAGGACGGTGGTTTTATCTTCATTGAGAATCGATGACAGGACAAAGCCAACGGAGCCGATTCCAATTCGATCATTATATCCTTTATGTCTCGGTTGGCACTGGTATCATTGATGCCCCTCACGAAGTTGAACATTAGTGCATTTTCCGCAACGGGCCAACGGTTCGGTTCTCTTGGCCATTCCAGCACCACCCGGCTCTTTCGGCTTTGCCGGCTGTGTACAACGCATCATCGAACGCACGCTAATAATGGAGGGGGACCTAGTAATTGCTCTGGCTTGACCCCGCACTGACAGAACAACTTTAACCAAAGATCGCATGTATTTGAAGAGAAGACGAGAAGCCGTATTCCTCTAGACTGGAACTGCATGGACAATATTGAGGCCTATCTGTATCCTTTCCCACATCATGTCGTCCAAACCTACATTTGAGGTGCCGCCAGGGGCGGTGGCCCGTGTGAGCATCATCGACTCAACACTGAAACTGGATGCCCTACCAGTTTCGTACCTCATGACGCCACCAATTGATGGCTTCGAGACGTTCCCTACTATCCCCTCGTGGTCTTTCCTGGTCGAGAGCCGGACGGGCAAGAAAGCATTGTTTGACCTCGGTGTGCCTCCCGATATCGAGACGTTTGCGCCTGTGGTCACGGAGAGGCTCAAAAGTTTCGGTTGGGATGTCAAAGCAGAGAAACATGTTGCCGATATTCTCCGAGAGAATAAGGTCGATCCTGCTAGCATCAATAGTGTGATCTGGAGGTAAGTACTAGCCCAAGAAACTGTGACAATCAGCTGGCTGGTTGACATTGAACTTCAGCCACTGGCACTGGGATCACATTGGGGATCCTTCCACTTTTCCGGGGACGACCGACCTTGTAGTTGGGCCTGGATTCAAAGATGCATTCTACCCAGGCTACCCTGCAAAGCCGGGTTCTCCTGTCCGTGAAAAGGATTTCGAGTAAGTCCAATCTCAATTAATACCACAGTCCAACCTACTCAAATGGCATAGAGGTCGAGAGCTTGTTGAGATCGACTTTGGCACCCGATCCTTCAAAGTCGGAAAGTTTGACGCCGTTGATTTCTTTGGCGATGGTTCTTTCTATCTTCTCAACACTCCTGGTCATGCGATAGGTCATCTGGCAGGACTAGCTCGGACTTCAGCCAACCCGGACACTTTCATCTTCATGGGCGGGGACCTGTGCCATCACGGAGGTGAGATTCGCCCATCTCCGTATTTGAATATCCCAAGCCAGCCGGAATCCTACCTACCGAGCACTCTTCATGCCCCAGGGGCATGCCCGGGGGGTGCCTTGTTTGAGGAGATGAATGTGAAAAGGGGCCGGAAAGCAGATGAACCATTCTTCGATCCAGCCATGGGGTTAGACATTGGACAGGCGATCCAGACGATCAAGGATGCCCAGTTAGCGGATGCCCAGAAAGATGTGTTCTTCATATATGCCCATGATGCTACCATTAGAGGGGTTGTTGACCTATTCCCACTGCCAGCCAATGATTGGAGCAAGAAGGGGTGGCGTGAGAAGACACTCTGGGCTTTTTTGAATGATCTAGCTAGTACGCTTCAAGTAACTAAACACTAGACAGGCTATAATGATTCATCATAGATGTTCTTTAATCTTTTGGGGCCTAGCCCTTGTAAATCCTGGACCAAGCTAAGCCGACTCCTTCTGATGTACTTCACGAACTCTTATAGAACGTTGCGACGTACTTCTTGGTTTGTCCTGGTTTCTTTTCATCAAGTGCAGTCTATCAGGAAATCATGTATAAAGTGGTCTATTGACTAGATGTATGTTCTAAATAATATGGTGTTACCAGAAAGTATCAGTAATAGAGGTATTTTGGAACTCTTTCATCCAAGTACCACGTGCTGTCAGAGTTATCCTCCTCCCTTGTGGAGAACCCGTTCCCGAGATATTGGAACCGATTGCCGGTATCGTACTCATACTCAAAGTCCTCAAACTTGGGACGCTCCATAGTATGGAACCAGTGAATACGGCTGCCGGGATGAATGGCCGTGATGGGGCCGTCAATCTTGCCTCGCTTGAACCACGACCTACACTTCCCCGCCCAGGCTGTCCGGGGCATGAAAGTGTCAATGTGAGTAGCAAACTCATCCACAGCTTGCTGCTTCACACGAATTGACTTGATCATTTCGACCTGAACCTTAGTGATGACTTGCATGATATACTTGGAAACATACTCCGTGATGGTGAAGACGCTGCCGTGGGAAATAGGAGCGTTGGGGCCTAGGAACACTGCAGGTGTAGTTTAGCATGCATGTTCCGGGCAGACCAGGGAGGGGATACCCACTGAAGTAATTGGGAAACTCGGGGACTGCCAGGGAAAGGTAGGCCCTCGGGACATTGGGTTCGGTCCATAGCTCGCCCAGGTTGGCCCCATCTCGACCAGTGACAGGGAACCGGGGCGAGAAGGAAACGTCAAAGCCGGTTGCGCAGATGATCGTGTCAACTTCGATCCTCTTCCCGTTGGCCATGACAAGGCCGCTAGTGTCAACGTGATCGATATTTGCATTGGTAATCACGCGCACATTTGGCTTAGAAAAGCTTTCGAGATAGCCCACGCCTGGCGTGATACGGCGGCAGCCGACCGCAAAGTCCGGGATGATGTCAGGGCCCAGATCGGCAGCGCGCTCGCCTAGGAGATCAACCATGCTGTTGTATGCGTCCTTTCTGACCTTCTCCGCCATCGTTGCGCCATTCACAAGCATGCGGAACTTGGAGTTGATCTCGCGCTCGATCTGCTTCCGGAACTCTGCATAACGGTCGTCATCTGTGCGGAATATCTCTTTCTGTTCCTCAGAGAAGACATTGGGCATCTCGCCACCCTTCAGAGACGGGTACCGCGAAGCCGCACCGGGAGTGACCCATGTCGGTGAGCGAATGAGATGTACAAGCTCCTTGACTTCTGGTTGAATGGCCGGGACAATCTGGATACCGGTTGACCCATTGCCTATGACGGCAACCACCTTGTCTTTGAGGCTGACTTCATCAGGCCAGTTTGCACTATGGATAAGATCGCCTTCAAAAGAGTGTAGTCCCGGAATGTCAGGCCATTTCCAGTTATTGAGAATGCCTCCAGCATTGAGAAGGAAATGACACCAGTCATCAAATATGATTTGGCGCTCGACATCTTCAACCGTCACCTTCCAGATGGCCTTTTCATCGTCCCAAGTGGCCCCAACGATGCGGTGGCTGATCCTGATGTAATCGCGCAGACCGTGTTTCTCGACGCAGCGCTCCAGGTAAGCTTGGATCTCTGAGCTGGAAGAGAATAGCTCAGACCAGTTCGGGTTCGGTTCCCAGGTGAATTGATAGTTGTGCGAGGCTACAGTAAAGATTAGTGGCAAGACGCTGGCAATGTCTAGAGCGTGAGACGAAACTCACGTATATCACATTTGCAACCGGGATACCGATTCTCGAACCAAGTGCCGCCAAAGTCTTGGTTTTTCTCATAAACAACAAGATCAACTCTCTCCAGGAAGTTCTTGGCCTGATACGCCATGTTGATTCCACTAGCTCCTGCCCCAATGCATATCACCCGCATTGGTTTGATTGTACCGATCGGTTGGTCCCAGACCTGGTAGGTCCCAACTGGCTTCGTATGGCCATTGACTCCATTCATCGTCGATGATGGCATACTGCCTTTGGATGACTGTCTGTTGGTCAGGCTTTGGATCGTTTGAGCGCCCTCCGTAGCATGTGTTGTGGTTTCAGTGGTGATCGTAGCAGATGGCATTTCAAATCATGTAATAATGGATAGATAGTATTGATGGACCTTTTGACGCCAGCAGGAATAGAGAGGTTGCCAAGGATCGTTCAACAGAGTAATTGGCGCGGTACATCGCCTTGTGATTGAACATGGATCTGTGATTAGAGCTCTCTCATATCTAAATGGATGTTTGCGAGCCCCCAACTGCCATTGTAATACCGTGAGCTCGAGCAATCATGTTGTTCGTTGCGGAATGTCATTCTCCGGCGCTCGGCCAAATCACGAGGGCTCAAGACATGGTCTGCCGACCGGCAGATCCGATCTGACATGTCTATTTCACTGCTACACGACCAAGTCAGGACATTTTCACATCTCGGTAATAGTCTAGACCTAGCCTTGAAAGAGTATCCGGTAATCGTGGCTCACATCTGGGATGGGGAGCCGGGACGATCACGTGAACCGGTAATGGGTGGCGTCCTTAGCCGGTGAGCGGTTGTCGTCATGACTACCGAACTGCCGCCAGCAATCCCCCTCTCTGCACCACATGCGACGGCAATGATAGACTCGCTACTTTCCGCATCGACAACTAGGCACCGAGGGGCTCAAATTATACGCACTAGATTCAGCAGGAATCATGCAATCGTCTCTTGCCGGTTCTGCTCCCCCAGTTCTACGGTCTCGGAGGAGCAACAGGCGATCCCGGTTGGTGTGTCTGGCCTGCCACCAGAAAAAGGTAATTTAGCGATTCCCATAGCCCCTAAACTCTTTCTTCATTCTGATAAAAGCAGGTCAAATGTGATATTCAGCAAAATCCTACCGGTCCATGCTCGAGGTGCGTCGAGGCCGGTACGGCGGACGAATGCCGGTAAGCACCCCACTACCAATGCAACATGATCGGCCAGCTGACCGGCGATGACATCGCCACTGCAGTGTAAGACCGTCAAGGCGGGTCAAGACTAGCCAGCAGGCTGAAACCCACAACAGCAACAACGACTTGCAGCCGCGTCTGTCACACATTACCGACCTAGTTCCTGCATCTTCCCATGCCGGGGTAGCAAGTCCCCTCACCACAGCAAATCCGTCCCTATCGTTGCTGGCGGACGTTGCAGAACAGTGGACAAGCGACCAGCCGCAAACGATTGCCGTGCAGTCTCTACCGGCCGTACCAGCCAGGTCATATTCGGTTAACCATGTGTCCACTAGTGAAGCCAGCCCCGGCCAGCATGTCGGTCCGTCTCCGTCCTCGTCCATGCTAGGTGGTACCAGGGTAGCCAGCTATTTGGGAGACTCTGGGTACATGCAGATATTCAGTGGCAATGGGACAGTCGAGAACACCAACACGATCCCCACTGCCCTGCAGAACACCACCCAACTACCCCCGCCGGCGTTGCAGGAGAGTTATCTGGAAACATATCGAAACTACTGCTATACATGGTGTCCCGTCCTAGATCATACGGACGATGGCAGCATTACAGCAACACAGGAGTCACCTATCCTCCAGTATGCCCTAGCGCTCGTCGGAAGTCACATCGAGCCTCCCGTACTCCCCCATTCTGAGCCAGCTGTGTATTACAAACATGCCAAGGACGAATTTTACAACAATCAGGAGAGAAACCCGCTGCTTGCTATCTCTGCCATCATGCTCTTTTACTGGTGGGGTCCGGGCCCGCCAGATGTCATGAGTATTGACTCGTCTTGGTGGTGGACAGGGGTCGCAATCCGCCAATCCCAGCAGCTCGGCTTACATCGTGAGCCACGAGATGGGCAGATTTTATTACCTGGGGAGACACCAGAGTTGCGAAGGAGGATATGGTGGACATTGTTTGTGAGTGACATGCGATTGCCCAAGATTCTATCCTTAGTATCACTGACGTTTTGACTGACCTCGGAAGGCTCGGGAACGTCTCACAAGCATCTGCATGGGCAGACCATGCATGATTGATCCAGATGACTGCAATATCAAAGAGCTCACTGTTGCTGATTTCCCGTCATCATGTCGCAACCGAGCGGAAACGTTTATTTACTGGGTCAAGCTGTGCGCGATCATCGGCCATGTCAGCAAGTTCCTTGTCAGACGTACGGAGTCCAGTCCGTTTCCCATGCACCTCGCTCAGCAGCTCAAGGACTGGGTTGAGAGCCTCCCGCCGCGCCTTCAACTACCAATACATGGGCAGAGAACCATCAATTTCGACCACGAGATCCATCAGCTCCACCTCCCTTATTTAACTACGGTAACATTATTATACATGAGCAAGACGTCTCGATCACTGCCAAAGGCTTACAAGGCCGCTGTTCTGGCGTCTTGCTGCGTGGCACGTGTTTTTGAAGACTTCACGGCGAGAGGTTCACTTCGATTCCTCCAGGGCATGGCAGGATGGAGCATCGCTATTGCCATCGTTGCCTTGCTGCATGCACGTAAAGATGCAAGGCTAGCCGCGGCCGTGAATGTCGATATCCACATTTTGCGTGTTGCTCTGAGAGAAATAGCGAAGACGTGGCATTCGTCTCGAATGTTTGAGCGTGGGTTCGAAAAGCTCGATCATGATGAAGCCGCCCAACAAGCCCCTGTACAGAATGGCACCGAGAATGAGGCGGCGTTTGGTCTCATGGCTGAGCAGGGTTCGCTTTCTGATCCAGAATCACCTTGCGACATAATTGAATGGCGGGACTTTTTCCCTTATCTCACGCCGGACACAAGACCACTTGCCGCTATTGTTCTTGCACCAACCCCAACGATTCAGTTTGCCGACTTGGACTGGCCCGATGATATGAACTTGGAGCTCTCGGGACTTTTTGATCCAAGGATTGATCCAAACTTCTCCATGTTCTCTTTCTAATAGTCAACGTAGTCCAGCTATAGTTATGAGCCTTATGCTATTCCCTCTTGATACCATGGGCGTTGATCAATGCCGATATAACGTCATCCTCATACTGTCGAGCTTGAGGAAGAACCGAATGCATGTGCATGAACGAGTGTGGAACCTTGAGGTATCTTGAAGACCGTCAAAACCTGTGATGCATATTGATCTCAGGAATGCACGTACCTTCTCATTGTCACCTTGTTACCTCCTTCAACCAGTCTTTTGGCATACGCCTCTCCTTCATCCCTCAGCATATCACACTCGGCCGTCGCAACGAAAGTACTGCATAGATTGGTCCAGTTGGGAGCTTTCAGGGGCGAGATCCACCACTCTGGCACCATTTTCTGTAGCTCAGCCATTCCCTCGTCCGGGAAAACGTGCTTCTGAAAATATGACATACGCTCCCAATCAAGCAGTGGTACTTTACTGAACTCTGTAAAGGATGGCCAAGGAGAGTATTCGGGTACTCGATAAGTATGGTGATCTGCGAGAGGAGGCACAGAAGCGACAAGAAGTCTGAGGCTGATACCCTCGTCTCGAGCTCGATGCTGAAGAATGCAGGCCAGGTGAGCACCGGCAGAGATCCCTCCAATAGAAATGGATAAGGGATTTATATCAAGTTTTTCGGCATTGTCGCGGGTCTTTTGGTGAGTATTATTTTAGCAGTTATTACTTTCCAGCTAGAATTCAGAGAGGCATTTACCCATTTGAGTGCGCTCCACGCATCTTGGGCATTCAGGCCGAATCGTGCCTCTGTTAATGGGTCTGAATACTTGATTCTTTCTTTTCAAACATGATGCCACTTGATGGTTTAGTGCTCACCTGGGCACAGCCGATACTCCACGTCAATAATGACAATAGGCACTCGCTCCCGTAGTCTCAAGCATATCGCAGCATCGGAACCTAGATCACCAAAGACCCAACCACCGCCTCGATACCAGACCTGTCAATACCTCATGTCTTGTTGCCAAAAGATGATAGACGTACCATGGAAGTTGATATGAACTGGGTATGGCCCTAGGCCCCATTTCGAGGTGTCTGGATAGTATGTCCGGACTGTTATCGGCTTTGAGGACTCGGCAACAGGGACTCTCCACTCTCGAACATTGGGATCGGGGGCAGAGTCTCCATTGAGAGCCCACGCACGTGCAAATGCTCCGGGGCTTGAGCGTACTTCCTTCAATGGCACCTGATGTGTACCAGGTCGGTTTGCAAGATTCTCGTTGTAGTAGTCCACAAACCGAGAGTCGAGTCTGGGAAGCATGTCGGAATGGATAGGATTTACTACTCGTGAAGTCGACATTATTATCATCTGTGACATATGTCGTAATACCTAGCCTTGGCCATAGCGGTGAGAGCATGCTCATATCAGTTAAATTTTCATTCTTCATTACTACGTGCCTCGGCTTTCGGCTACGGGAGACGTTCAGTTTGTGTGTTGCCTCACCGAGCGAGTCACAACTGCCGAGAGGCGCTCTAATCGTTCTCTGGAGGGTGATCTGACCCGATTGAGCTTCTACAGTCTGAATATATACTTGTATAGTTTATGCTTTCTGCACATATGCCTCTGCATCCGGAGACAAGTCTTCCAGCTGTCTTTTGTGCTCGCCTGCTGAAACCATATCGTCAATGACCTTAGAGGCGACTTTGAAAGCCTCCACACCGGCGGGTACACCGCAATATACAGTCGCGTGGAGAATGGTCTCGCGGATCTCCACCTCCGTGACACCATTACGAATGGCTCCTCTCGTATGCACGCCTAGCTCGGGCCAGCTCTTCAAAGCGATGAGCATACCTATATCTATTAATATAGATGCCTGTATTAGTGGTCAAGATAGCTAAACGCGTGTCGGGCCGCTGCGCAGACCTACTCTGAAGGCTTCGCTGTTTTCGGCTCAATCCTGGCCGTGACCAGATGTTTCCCCAGCACCATCTACCGATGTTCATGAGCTACAAGCTCACATAAACTGATAACATGGCCCAAACACTACTTACTCCGTCGTAAGTTGCTGTCCGGCAAAGGCAAATTCGCTCGAGCCATTGTTCAGTGCGCGGTCGACATAGACATCTCCGACCACCTCGCGGCGGTTCTTGAGGCCCTGTTCGAAAAGCTCCTTGCTCGCAGACATCTCTGTGACGGTATTTGGCTATTCGATCCGTTTTTCTGAGTGATATACTGAGCTTGCAGCGATTTGATATTACGCCCAAGCTGCCTCTAAATATTTGTGATGTAGTGGCATTGACTAGGGCATTGCGCCGGTAGACACGGTAATCACGGCTCCCGTGTCTCACGACGTCCGACCAAGGGACCGATGACGCCGATGCTGAGCATGTGGGCCCCATCCCGGCATTTTCAGGAGCAATCGATGACATGATTGTCTTGGCTCCTCTTGAGTCTACCTCACCACTGGGGTCCGGCGCACGATATGAGACGTAAGACAAACCACACATCCTAGTCCAACTTAGCAAAGGAGAAGTATGTTCCGACTTTGAGGCGATATTCATGAGACCACGGATTGATGACTTTAAACGCAAGAATAATCAGACAAATTCAGTCAGTGATATCCCTAGTCAAAAAACTTGTTAATTCGGCTACTACTACTTCCGCTTCCTAACCTCTGCCATAGTTGTGCCTTGGAAGCCGATATTGGGATCAGCTGTACCTTCAATCAGTCCGATGTTGCATAACATGATTACTGTGAATAGTCTTACTAGGATTGTAAAAGGTGATGTATCCTCGATCGTTTGCCACCCCAAGATTCTTCTCTAGCCAAAACGTCAGGCCTGCTGAAAACCTAATATTATCTTCTGGGTTGAAAATATTTAAAGCCGTGACGTGCAGCATGAATGCTGTATGGCGATATTAGGGCCAGTCCTCACGGTGGTTATTTGACCAAAACTCACCAGGCTCGAAGCTTCCACCAAATGAGTACACCTGACCTGCTTGGATGCTGACCCCGAACAAGTGTGCAGGTTTGCCCAAAACGGTAGCCGCCGAATCCGTGAGGTTCAAGGCCAATGTTTTCTGTGCGTCCCTTGAAAGGTCGATATTGGTAATCAGTTGCAAGTACGGCATTTTTCTGGTACAGAACTCCGTTGACCTATTGGATAAAGACTACGAATAAGAAGACTGGAGGGATATATCTCAGGATAGTAGGGCTCTACAAATACCTGAACCTCCTTTGATGGACAAATCATGCACTTGCCACATCCAATGCTGATCAGCTTACCGACGACTTTGTTGTGCCAACCTTAGTTCGCATTCTTGCCGAGTTAGTGTGCTCCTCTCTAGGAACCTCATCTAACTAGAACCAACGGCCATGCGCTGAGTCGGCTATGTTAGCCGGTTGCCGAATACCTCCAGGGTGGGGCATCGTAGAGTACTTCAACACAATGATGGCACGTCTTACATAAGGGCATGGCAATATTGAATGGCCTTCTCACTCGCCGGTCTTTGAGGCACCACAGATCGTGTGCTTGAGATCTTCAACAGTCCACTCCCATAGAAATTAGGGTCATAGAGCAGACCTTAGCTATGGCAGGTGTCGTTTCCGGCTGCTATACCGCGGCTCAGACACTCCCAATCTCGTGTCCCAAATATATTGATTACACAAAGGTGAAAGGAAAGACTGTGCTTGTCACTGGTGGTAAGCTTCTATTCACAGGAGAGTTTGATGATTGGTCCCGTCTGACAGAGACTTGATACTAGGGAGTAGTGGACTTGGTGCCGCATACGTGAGACAATTTGCAAACTCAGGGTAACACCAATCCACTTCATCGTTACGTATCATCAGCTGAAGAATGGCTGGCAATAATTCAGGGCGACGGTGGTAAACGCGGACCTGAAAGCGCCTGTCGATGAGGATCTAGTTCGCATGTTAGTGTCCAGACAGTCTCGCAATCACACCGGTTAACAAGTTCAGTGCAGATCGCACTTTGTCAAATGCAATGTCAGAAGCTGGCACGACCAGCACGCTGCCTTTGACGCAGCCATACAGCTATCTCCTCGGGGTGGGCTCGATATAGTCATAGCCAATGCCGGTATCTCGGGATCTGATAAATTCTTCGAAGGTAGGAGGAACCACACCATGCATTGATTCAATAATGCCAACGTACTAACGGGGCCAGCACAGACCATGGCAACGAACCGACCGAGCCCAGCCTGGATATTCTCCGCATTAACCTCGGAGGCGTGGTATACACGTCAAAGCTAGCGGTATTTCACATGAGCCGGCAGGATGACAGCTTTGACCGATGTTTGATCCTCAAGTCCAGCATCCAAGGCTATCTAGATACAACTGGCTCGCCAACATACAGCGCAGCCAAGCATGGGCTCCGTGGCATCATGAAGGCACTGCGTCGCCGGGGCCCGGTCCGGGTCGGGCTTATAGCACCATGGTAAGTTTAAGTGAAAAGTCTCAGCGTCCAATGACTGACCGCGGTGGTACACTTCAGGTTCATCGCGACCCCACTTATGTCCCCGGCCGTTGTCGAAAGGCTTTCTGCACAACTTGCAGCACATGGATCTGGCTTTGCTGAGACAGAGGATTGCGTCAGGGCGGTCATGAGAATTGCGACCGATCCTCAAGTGAACGGTGTGTTGTGACCCTGTGTAAGCAAGAGATGATAGTCTCGCATGCTAACTCTCCGCAGGGCGGGCCTTGGCAGTCTTGCCTCGATCGATTTGCCCTTCAGGCTACACGGACCTAGACCTAGACGACTACAGGGCAGGAGATCTGTGTTATGACCTCTTAAAAATTACGACGCAGCTCACCCACCGACAGCTTCCCTCTCACCAGCAACTAGTCTAAGAAAATAAAGTGTACCAAGTGAACGACTATGTTCTTTACAAGATGATATCGTGAAGTTGTAGAGCTCGGTAACAATAGAGTACTCCTATGAAGACGATTGCTCTATATGGATGGAATGTAGTAATGCAGTCATATCTTTCTAGGAACAGCTTGAACGTATCGAGTCACATTTTCTTCGATGCCTTGCTGCATCCACCAATTAATTAGGCACGATATTGCCCCTGTTAGAGTGATATTCCTTATTCCAAAATAGGAGTCTCAGCAGAAGTCTCACTTCTTTCCCGATCCATTCTCTTCCTCCAAGGCTTGTACACTAGTACCGAACCAATGCCAACGAGAAGGAACAGCCCACAGATGCAACCGCCAATGACATCGTAGTGGTCGCTAATGGCAGAGAGCCCGTCCCAGAATGGGCCCTCCGGCTCCGCCACATTCTGGGCAAGAGACAGAACCTGGATAATACCGATGAAGGCCGAGACAAAGATTGTGATGGATGTCAACACAATAGAGTAGTACAGAATCGCAACAATATCTCGCGAGAAGCTCTTGGAGGTGTAGAGCGCCATCATCAAGGCTCCATCCGTTGTATCGAGCATGCACATGCCAGCTGTGATCATCTTTAGCTTCACTACCCCATCTTAGTCGTGCGGGCGGTCTACTTACCGGTGAAGAGAATAGGAAAGATGAGGATCACCCAGAGACTCGTCCCCTGCGCCCCCTGAACACTGGCGATACCGATGATGGCGATTTCAGAGCTTGTGTCGAAGCCCAGCCCAAACAGGAGACCTAATGGGAACATCTTCCACGGCCGATCCACGATGCGGAAGAGCTTACGAAACACTTTCGACATAAAGCCAATGCCCTCGAGTTGTAGCGCTGCAGCACTGGAATCGGCGTCCGCACCCTCAACCTCCTCGGCGTCGCTCCCGGACTCCCTCCGGCGCCGCTGCTCCTCGAGCACGGCGCGAAGGCGTTGGACAAGCCTCCAGAGGATCCACCCGTTACCCGCCGAGAGAAGCAGCAGGAAAGCCGCAGACACGCTGGTGCCGATGATGCCGCCGATCCTCTGAAAGTCGCCGAACCGGTCCCTCAGCGCCCCGGACGTGGCCGCCACGACGATACACGTGACGATCACGACGGTCGAGTGGCCGAGACTGAAGAAGGTGCCCACGGCGACGGGGCGCTGGCCCGAGGCGATGAGGCGCCGGGTCATGAGGTCGATGGCGGAGATGTGGTCGGCATCGAGGGCGTGGCGCAGGCCCAGCGTGTAGGCCAGGACGGCGGGCGTGATGAGGCTGGGGAAGAAGTGCAGCGTGATGCCGGCGCCGGCCCAGACGAGGATGTTGACAAAGACCAGCAGGCCGATGAGGCGGAGGGCCGGGGCGGGGACCGCCTGGATGGCCTTGGGGAGGCGGACGGCGGGGAGCTTGAAACGTGTCATGGTGACGGAGGGCGGGATGGCGGCCGGCTCGGACCGTGTGGGTGACTCGTTGCTCGGATGAGCTGGCGTGAGAGGAGCAGCTTGAGCCTTGGTTCAAGCCTGGCTGTGTGTCAACTACGAGTGAGCATTGAAGGGAGCTTCGATATCATAAAGCATGGTCAAGCTTAGAGGTCTACGTCTGATTTTTTCCACCGCAGAAGAAACACACCCCCACTCCGGTAGATGCATTAGATCCATCTTTGTTAGGTCGTCCGTAGTTGCGAAGAAGAGGGACGAGATAAGCTTATTAGCTTATCTCAAGTACAAGCTCCAGTCTTCTTCACGCAGGTTTGATCTCCAAAAAAGATTATCTAAACGCCGTGACAAAACCATTTCTATCAGATTCTTATTGGCCGGAACTCCGCATGTATGGGGCATCTTCTCATAGGCCAAACTGATAAGCAATGCAGACGGCCGCCGACGGCGGCACACAGATTTGCACATGTCAACCAGAAACATTTTCATATTGAAGTTGTTCATGCGACGATATATCATTGCAAGACCAGGCATACCGCAACGACGCTGAACGAGAAACAGTTCCTGGAAGCCATTTAAGACGAACACCTTTCAAGTGGTCAGAGACATAGGTATGTTAAGAGAATGACAGGAAAACTAAAGGGTTAAGAGGTAATCCACTCCAGACTGCTCATGGTTGCGCATCTGCGCCAAGTATCCGCTTGAACTCGCCATCGGTATGCTCCCAGACTCTGTCAACTATTCCTTCGTTCCTCATGTCGGCCAGAAGCTTCAGCGTTTCCAGACTTGCGCTTTCTCCATCCTGGTCGATTGAGTACAAACCGCTCCCCACTTCTCCATTGGAACCCATTGACACCTGCGCTCCGGTTTGCAGAGGGACCCCGGCTTCCGTGCCATCGCGAGGCGGATACTCTGCACTTGTGGCAAGGTACACATGCCGCTCTCCGCATTCGTCAAGTGGCACGAATTCCACGTTCTTCAGCATGTCTTCGGGCATGTGATCGAGAAAGGGTGTTTTGACGGTACCGGGGTAATCGTGAACGATGCTGATATCGGGAACAGTTCTCGCCACCGCTTCCAAGCCGAGGGTGACCAGCGAGGTGAGATGCCCACGTATTTCGGGCAGGGGGACCTTGTTCGCTTGCAAATCGCTCAAGTCGAGCTCTCCTTCCTTGGTGCCGCCACCAACCGTGACAATACGGCGAAGTGATGAAGCACGTTGCAGGAGAGGGAGCAAGTTGGTGATGATGCGGATACGAGAGTAGTAGTTTAAAGCGGCGATAAGATGTAGCTTCTCCGGGGTTTCTGTTTTCCCAGATGTGAGTATCATGCAAACAGTATTGTGCAAACACATACGAGCTCTGTCCAGACTCGGCTGCCCAGCGCTGAGGAACAGCAAATTCAATGACTTCTCCTTTCCATTGATCTCTGCACACAGCTTGTCCACGTTCCGAATGAGGCCCACATCGGATCTGATGAAGTGAAATTCACCACGTGGGTTAAGCCTATAGCACTCGGCTAGGATGCGGTCTGCGGCGTCTTGTGACCGGCCGACAATATAGACACGAGGCTTGTTGGCATACTTCGCAAAGGTCTTAACACTGACCTCACCGATCCCACTGGTTGCGCCTACAAAAATGGCAACTAGACCAGCAGGGAGGGCGGTCTTGATGAGAGCATTGGATGCTTGCACAGTAGAAAGGGCGACCATGATGATGTGTTAATTGAACTGGTATACCACTTCCTTTGACGGTCATGAACCCTCCCCGACTTTATACGCCTGGGTTTGTTGTTTAACATTGCTCGTGATCTCCTCTGGTTATTTGTCAGGCGCTCTAGCGAAACGCCGAATGTGCATACAGAGAAACGCCGACTCTGCAGTGCCCCATCTGTTTAGTGTGCGCGATTGGTCAGCCCATCATTTCACCACAGGCTGGGCTCCTCAAGTCGGGGATACGGTGTTCCTTCTCAGGACCTCCAGACATCTAACATCTGCCTTCATGCCGCATTTTCCAGTAACATGGCACTTGATATCTCTCTCCCTAATTCGGTGTTAGAGCAGGTCGCGGCAGAGCCAACCCCGCCGCCTGTGACCGCGTCATCATTCGCCGTCCCGGATCCTCCGATTTCAAGCCGCGGAAAGGTTCGGTCATCGTGCGATCGCTGCCACACGCAGAAGCTGCGCTGTCTGAAGAGACCAGAGCATACCAGCTGCGAGAGATGTATGCGGCTGAGATGTCCGTGTCGGTATAGTCCCCGTGCGTCGCGTGTGGCACGGATGCCACGGAGGCCGTCAAAACATTCCGGACCTGTGCAGGATACAGTCCCACCCGTCAGCGCGTCTGCTCTTTTGGAAGAGGTGGACGGCAGATCATTCGGCGATCTTGATATCGACTGGAGTTTATACCAGTCTCAAAATGAACAGCTATTTGACCCTTACAACGGCTTGGCCCCGAACTTCGCCTATGTGGAAGACCAACCCACTACCGCGCTTTCAGCTGCCATCCGAAGACTCGCCAGCCTGCATGTAGATACGCTCGACTGTCTTGGGAGCTTTCCTGTCATCGATATCTCTGAAGATGGAACGATAACACCTGCTGAGCTTGGGACATGCGCATCCAAAGTGTCCACTCAGTTTTCCTTTGACGAACTATTTCGTCTTACTACAGAATTTGTCGAGATCTTGGAGGCGCTCCATGCCATCCCTGCACAACGCATGCATGGTCCCATGGGAATGTTTAGCTACGAGATGGACTTCGCGAAATCGTCGGCGCTATCTCAGCCCCTTCCTGATCACGGAGCGGCAGCTGCCCAGAAGGGCATGAATACATCAATGAGGCCCTGGTCTCACGTGGACGAAGCAACCGTCTTGTTGCTGGCATCCTGCCACAGCCGACTTTTGCAGCTCTACAGTGGAGTCATCCAACGAATGCAAATGTGCATCGAGCATTCATTGCGGCCGGGCTCCGGGAGCGATTGGAAGGTCATCCTCCCCAAAGTCCAAGTCGGCTCACTCTCGCTGCCGCCGCTACAGGTAGATCAGGCTTCTCCGGCCCCTTCAAAGGCGACGTCCTCGATGTACATGGTCATGATCACGACGCTGTCGACGCAGCTGTGGGAGAGGGTCGGCTTGCTGTTACGGACAGGTGATGGATGCGCTTCCGGCATTATGGACTGGTCTGAAGCCAACGCATCAGAGTTGGCGTGGTGCAGAATGAAGGACGGGACTAATAATCTCAAGCTTGAAATCACTCGTGTTCAGCACCTGTTACAATGACAAAGAAGCATCGTGTGTTGGAGATCTTGATCTAGATGTAGATCCAAGGCATTACGGAATCTCCCGTCAGACACTATCACGGGCGGCCAGATCCTAAAGGCGCCGCTCCCGCAATTCGAACCCGGATGGAAAGGACAGCACCACGTCATTTGAATTGTCAACAGTTCAGTTAGATGAAGTTGCAAGATACACTTGAAGGAAGCGCAGACTCGCACCCCTACAAGCAGCCACAAACAGCAGTCAGGCCGGCACCAGTAGACCGTGCCTCAAACTGTTCTGCGGTGCCCAAAGACTGGCGAGGTCTCCTTTCACCGATACGACAGGTTGAAGTCCTCCAGAAAGTGGCAATGGCGCTGGCTGTTCCACACTGCTTGTACGCCGAGTAGGTAGGGAGCCCCGAGGAAACTGACGGCCTTTGGAAGGCACAGGCAAAGGTCCGATTGTCCACTAAAGTCACATCATGAACCAACTTCAGCAGCCAGGCTGCCCAGTTCGCCCATCTTGCCGTCACATGCTCGCATAGGGTTACTTCGATGGTCGCTGTCACGAGACAGGAACGTCCTCCCTCCATCTCCCTCCCTCCCTCTATGTGGGAGGAGCAATCCCGCCGCTTCTCCGCGTCATCTTCTCTCGATTTGATCATTTGCTGCCACCTGCAGGTCCGAGGGGCTGGAGGAAGGAAGTCTTTCTACCGACCTAGGTATGGCAGGGCAACTGCCCACCCCCAGGAAGGGCAAGTACGCAGTACCTTATCCACTGACTTGCCTGTCAAAGGAGGTGCGCATGCGGTCAAAATGACCAACAAAACACTTCGGTCCCCAACTCTTCCAGTCAACAATTCCTTTCCATGATCCTCTCTCGCCCATCTTCAATATTGCCAGACTTTGGCTGTCAAGTTCATCTCTCTGCGGCACGCACAATATGCCTTGGCTTTGCTCAAGTCAATCATCCCGAATTCTGCCTCGAGGTTCTTACGCCTCTCAGTTGATCATGGTCAATCCTTTGCCGATCTGTTCTCCGCCCGCTGCCATGCTCACACCCGATCATGTTGTCGGTTCAATCCCTCATCCTGGACTCGGACCCTGATCTATCACCTCATGGCGAGTCCGCCCGGCCTCATGCTTCTGTGCGAAATAGCATCAGTCTTGGTATGTCATTCATGTTCTGGCACTTCAGCTGCTGTGGTTTGCACACGAGGCTCGACCGATGTCCTCTCTTCCCACCATTTCCCCTTGCAGCCAGTCTATCTCGAGGCAATACTAATATTGTGCTTTGTAGCAATTCGCGGCGATGATATACGATCCTATCCGCAGGCCTGTCATCTCGACAATTCCTTTCTGTTGGTTTCGGCTTGGCCGACGAACGCTATCCGCCCTCTCGACTTGTACACTCAATCTGGCATCTCTGCTTTTCCTCAGCCTGGTCATCACTTCCACGAACTCGTTTCGCCAGGCCGCCCAATCCTCAACCGTCTACCCCGGCACGCGTCACCAATCCTGGGTACACCTCCAATCAATGCAGCACCTCGGTCTCCCGCTCCTCACACTCTGCTACCTCGCCTCTCTTCTCTCCTTCGACTACCAGAATCATCCTCTCAAAGCAACTCATGGGTGTTGTGTTCTCTCGGTATGTCAGTGTCATCAGTGTGTGTGTATGTGTGTGTGTGTGCGCGCGCGTGCGCTCGCGCGTATCTGTGTGTTGCGTCTCTTGGGTCTTCACCCTTCACCAAATACTTCTATACTCTTTTACATCATCTCTTCTTCATACTCTCTCTTTCACCCGACCTCCGAAGGCCGCTTTGGTCAGAGCTGGTCCGTCAAAGTGGCCTTCTCTCCTTGGCTCTCTGCCAACTATGGTCAACGCGGAGACAAGAGTTCTGGGACGCTTTGCTAGCGCGTCACATTGCTTGATGATATCAGGCTTCGGATCTAGGTCAGTACAATCGCTACGTTTGGAAGTCTCTAAATCTATTGAACGTCGCTAACACTACTACGCTTGTACAGTCTCCCGACTCACAAACGAACCTGCGACCCTCGCCTTCATCTCCCCAGATACAAGACCTTTCGCGCGCCGAGTGTGGACTGATCGAGCGAACAAATATTGGCGCCGGGACTTGGCCTGGGAAATGCGCAGCCGACCTTGAAAGTTTCTTTTCCAGTACATAGTCAAATCTTTCTTTCCTGTACTTTCGTTTCGTTTCCGTTCTCTGCCTTTTCCTGTTCTCTCGCTTTTTGTCTTGTCTTTCCCTTTTCTGTTCCCCTTCCATAGCTAGGTAATTTGAACAAGGGTGTGCTGTCCACTCACATATCAAAGACCATGCTAGCTTTTACTCGAGCCATATGACATAACCTGCTCTTTTTCAGCTGAACCACATGTGATCTAAATACCTAGAGAGTGGTATTCTTTTGTCCGAGCTCCCGTAACGAGCATTTTGGATCTGCAAAGCCCGTGGTGTGCCTGAAGATGCGTGGTTTTTATGGATCCGAATAACTTCGATTATGGGTTTACCGCTGACTTGAATCCATGGTACTTGCAAAATGCCTCATTCACGAGTGTCCCATTTTGCTATTTAAATCGCTTCTTTCTTCCTCTCTCCCCATTTCTCTTCCCTCTTTCCTCGGTACTCCTCCTTAGTCAACCTCAGCCGTCCCTCTATCCCCGCTTACCCGACCAAAGCGAATGACGATAGTGTTACAGCAGTCCCAAGAACTATCCCTCCTCTAACCATTTTCCAACATGCCGTCCCGAAGGCACTCTCCGAGCAAGCAAGCCAACACCGAAGCTCATGGCACTCAAATCGAGTCCTACAATCTGGCAAGGTTGCACCCCTTGATGGCCGCCGCATACCACAACCGAACCCAGAGCCCCCTGTGCCGACTTCCAGACAAGATACTGGTCAGAGTGATGCAGCTGGCTGACAATGTCACTGTCGAGTGCCTCCGGCGCTGCAGCCGCGTATTCCTGCGCCTCTTTCCATTGGCTTGCAGACACCGCCTGGATTACGAAGACGTACAAACACAGACAGAGAGTTATCATTCCTGGCCGGCATCTCGTCTTGCCTGGCCGCCGGGGGGACAAGACGCGTTCCTCTCCCTTCTGGAAAGAGACGCATACTGCAAAGACTGCCTGGCTGCGCGCCAGTCTCCAGGCTGGAAGGATAGAGTGGCAGCTCTCGTCGAGACGTATCTTCATTGTTCCGCATGCGATGCCGACCACCCTGTTTGCCTGTTCTCGGCCAAAGAGCGCAGCAAGCCACAATCAGAGCGGATCTGTATCGGCCACGAAGGGTATCTGCGTCTTTGCAACCACAAGAAAATAAGCTGGTCCTTCCTATGCTCCGAAGCGAAGAAGTGGCCGGCAGACAAGCGCTTCTATAATAACTTGCTCCGGTGCACACGACACTTGACAAGCTGCAACTATCACCTAAGATCTGTGCGGGCCCTTTTTCGGAGAGCGCCAGACCTCAGACTTTATGAATGCTCCTCAACACCAACTGCCTCATTTGTCTTTAGGAGGACCCCTTTGGGTGCCAAGAAGCGGGTAATGGAACTGGAGCTGGCGTGGTTGGATCACATTCCGGTTCGAAAATTGCAAGGGGGCCTTGTTCGGGCTGAAGATGTAGCCAAGGGGAGAGGCATCTTATACGGAAAACAAGGGCAATTTGTGTGCCCGCAGCTCAACCCTGGTCAGATACCAGGCGCAAGGATCTGCGACCCAGGTTATTGCGACTGCCTCCACTACCAAGGCATGACCTCAACAGATTGGGAGCGCCCCTCGCCTGAGTCGCAATTAGAGGCAACTTGCCGCACAGCGCCGATAGGCTTCGCCTACCAAAGGCCCAGCCGTCAACGAAATATTTTGCGGCATAGCACGGTTTGCAGATGCTTCGCTGACCAGCTCAACAGGAACGTTCTCCCAGAAGGGCGTTATGTACGATCAGTCAAGATCGCAGCCTGTCCCAAAGGGGAACACTGCCTGGTAGTAGGCTTTCAGTCGTGGTTCATCCTTGAAGCTGACCCCCAGAGTCGCATTCAGCGCATGAACTTGCACTGGTATCAGGCTCTTGACCCAGACTCGTTCAGCCTCACTAAGGATGCCGATGGCTTCGGGGTGTACTGGTGCAAAGATGAAGCTTGTAGGAACTACTACCGCTTCGCGCAATCCCGCCTTTGCCTGCTCGAGCCGACAAAATGTGTGCGTGCTTGCCCCAGCCAAGAGCCCGGGTCCGACACTTCGGAGCCTACTCATGCGGAGAGCACGCCAACCGTTCCGTGGACCCCGATGACTCCGCTGAGAAATGAAATAAGACTTACCAAGAGAGTCTTGGGGAGGCTTTTCAGCCGCAATAAATAAGAATACTGGTCCCAAAGGCAAAAAGCACGAGAGAAAAGAGAAAAAGGGAAAGAAAAAGAAAGAAGAAAAAACGAAACCGAAACTCAGCATCCACCCCCCAACCCCCCAACCCCCTTCCGCCGCCGCCGCCCCAAGGCACCTAGTCGTCTTGCGACGAAAAGCCGTGGCGACGACGCCCGCCGCCGCCACGCCCGCCGCCGCCACCCCGTTGGCCACCCCGGCCACCCCGATGGCCACCCCGGCCGCCGCCCCCCTCCTCGTCGCTGCGGCCACGCGAGGCACGCCAGGCGCTCCAGGCACGCCAGGCGCCCACCGGCGCCTGGACGGCCACGGGCGCCGCCAACAGCACGGCGAAGCCGGCAAACAACGCCATGGCCATAGTGGCCACCGCCCCACCAACCTCGATCCAGCCCTTGCGGGCGGCGTTCTCGGTCGCATTGACCAGCCTCTCCATCATGTGCACCAGCTCCTGGTGCTGCGCCGCGTGGGCCTCCGCGAGCCCGAGGACGGCCGCCGTGAGGTTAGTCACGGCGGCCACCACGAGCTCGGCGGAGCCGTTCACGACGATGTCGCCGTGCAAGCTGCCGATACCTCCGGCAGCAGCCATCTCTCTCTCTCTCTCTCTCTCTCTCTCTCTCTCTCTCTTGTATGCGTGTGTGTGTGTGTCTGTCTCTCTGTCAGTGTGTGTGTGTGGCGTATGGTGTGTCTCATGGTTGTTGAGAAGAAGAGAAACATCGGATCGAAGGGAGCGAGATGCATTTTGCACTGAGGTAGACCACTTCGGTGCCTTCCATGCATAGGGCTGCTCCTGCTCCTTAGTTTGTTGCAACAGATTTATCGTCACTCCACTGGCAGGAGCCAAGCTCAACTCCATCGCCATAGGAGCAGCCACCTAAAGTACGTGACAGTGGCAATCCTCCCGGCCGTACCTGCGTGTCTGCCAGGTGATCCTCCGCCGAGGGTAAGAACTCTATCCTCACCGATGGTGGTTGCAAGCACTACGCTGCTCTATCGAAGGAACCGGGGGAGACTGCATGATGGAACAAGGCTCGCCCTTGCAAATATCGGGCACCTCAATTTGATAGATTCATCATCGCCCTTCTTAGCAATTTCTATGTCGTGTGAATCTGCTTTGTCGTCAGTATAAGCCTCGTGAAACCTCGTTGTCTGCGACTGACGCTGAGAAATTGGAAACATCCATCACTCATGGTGTAGTAACAGATGGCATTTAATCAAAGTTTTCCAGGAGCAAATTGTGACTTGTGATGACTAGTGACTGAGCCTGCATGTCAAGGCGAGGCCATCACCATCACAGCCTTTCCCGCCTCCACATCCAGTCCTCACCATCACGTATTTACGCATCCTTCAGAGGTCAAGAGGAAGTACGGACAGGGCAACAGACACGGGCGGTACAGTGTGTGGAATGCATTTGTTAGGTTGATAACACATTCGCTGAAAAACGAAACACAACTTTGCTATGAGAGACTTGGGGGTGCTTTTTCGCTGTGGTACCTAAGAATCCTTCTCCCAAAAGCACACAACAAGACAAAAGAAAAGAAAGGAAAGAAACAACGAAAAGAGGAAAAAAAGGAACCCCCCCCCCACCCCCCCTCCCTCCCCCGCCCCCATCATCGTCTACTCGTCGTCCCGAGACGACCGTGACGCCCGCGAACGGGCCGAATGAAACGACGCCACGGCCGACGCCGCCGCCGCTGCGGATGCTGCGGTGGCCACTGCGGCGGCGGCAGCGGTCGCTGTCATTGTCGCCGCCGCCGCCATCGATGTTGGCGTTGACGTTGGCGTTGGCGTTGCCCTCGACATCGCCCAGGCGCTGCTGCTGGCCACGCCACCAGCTGGGCCGGAAGATGGCCCAGCGACTCATGACGTCGATGGCCAAAACAGCCGTCCCCACCGCAATGATGAGGGTGCTCACCCCCGTCACATCCCATCCCGAGGATGTGGCGGCGGTGGCGGAGTCGGCCCGCTAGGCCAGGCTCACACGCCGAGCATCTTCTGCGACTCGAGGAGAGCCCGAGCCGCTGCGACATTGTCGCACGCGTTGGCGACAACGATGTTGCCATTTAGACTGCCGATTCCACCAGCAGCAGCCATCTCTCCCTCTCTCTGTCTGTGTTAGTGTGTGTGTTAGTGTGTGCGTGTGTGTGTCTGTCTGCGTCTTGGTTAGTGTGTGTGTGGTGCGTCGTGTTTGTTGGGAAGAAGAAGAGAAGAAGATCAGACCCAAGGCAGCGAAAAGAAAACATGACACTGTGTCCTCCTCGCGAGCTCGCGGCTGCTACTGCCTCGCAGTGTCGGATGAGTGGTGGATTCGCCATTTTGGAAAGCACCAACCCCGTTTCCAGCAAAAATGGTAACCACCTAAAACAGGTAATGACCAGTGACCGCCTCCCGGCCGTACCTGCTCGTCTGCCAAGCAATCGTCCGACGAGATGAAACCGAGTGTTCAAGTGCCTCATCCATGAAAGCCATTGGCTTTAGGTAGTGGGATAACCCTCGTGAATTTCCTGAGAGATACCGAGGTATCTAGGTTGGTATTGGTACCTAGGTAGCCTGGGGCAATATCCCAATTCACGCCCATGCAAGGTGGCTGGGCCGGGGATAGAAGGCGGAAACATGGAAATTGACGACATCCTGGATGAAATGCCAGAGTTCAGCTCCGGCAGCCGAATCACCCAGGCAGAGATTCGAGCGACGAGCCACAATAGAAACAATACCGTAGAAGCAGTCCACAGCCGATACCGAACATATAGCCGCAGTCAAACCGCATGCCAGGTACGGATGATCATGGCAGAGGGCAACGATGAAGATGATGGAGACGGCGATGGGAATCGTTGCGCTGAGGGCTCTGATCACGACTCAGAGACTCAGACGCATCTGTCTACGGAGACAGCGCAGATAGAGCTGCACGAAAGATTTCCCACAGACAATTCCTTGCCGAAGTGAGATCGTGGGAGGATACTGATTCCAATACATCAAAAATCTCGGTATGCTTGGACAGAATTGGCCTGTGCTGGGAGTGCGCTCCCACAGGAACGCATCGTGATTTGATCACGATATCTCAGCCATTTTGTCGCCATGGAAGAGGCAATGAGACAAGCCAAGATCAGCAGATTGGAAGGCAAATTGGCATTCGCCAAGCAATTTCATAAGGGAGCATTTTCCCGAGGTTGAAAGGGAGTACGGACTCGGGAACGGACACGGCGGCACAGTCCGCGGATTGCGCCCGTCAGGTCGGAGGATTGGCACCCACGGGACTTGAAGCGTACGGAGTGCCGAAAGCGACCGACCGACTCCCGCTAACCGATCAAGCGCGCATCAAATTGGAATCCCTGGAAATCCATGGGGACTGTCAAATGCTAAAAAAGAAGTTGAGTTTTGTGGGGGGACTCAGGGAAGAAATTACCATGTGGATCTCGGCTGACATCTGACATTTTTCTGGATCGACAAAATAGCGACATTCCAGCATCCTCGCTTCAGACAAAGAGGCTCGACACGGAGGCAAACGGGCCAGCCGGGGCCGGAACAGTCGGCGAAGGGAGTGGTCCATCAGGAACTACCGCGATGCGAACAATGCCTGGACACGTAGGTATCCCTCGGGAACTCACGAGGGTGATCCCACTACCAAAAATCGACGGGTTTCTCGGGCAGGGTAGTGAGGAAGATGATCGTGAAGTATTTTGCTCAATGAAGACGAGTGGAGAGAGAGCGCAAACAGCCGCCAATCAATGACCCCCCCCCCCCCCCCCCCCCCCGGGCCGCGACATGCCCTTCTCTGTGTTATTGATGAGATAAGACGACTTGGTTTCCCATTTCGTATCGCATGGGCTTCGCACCAATGGCAGGCAAAAGGTAACTAGTCCTGGGCCGTGGCAAATACACCGCATGGGTTGGTGTGCAGGCGGGCCAAAGAGGGCCAAAGAGGGCCAGCAGTCTGGTTTGGGTTTGGATGAGAGTGAGACCTTGTGGGAAGGGAGTGGGGTGATGGGGTGATGGGCAAATAAGCTTGTGTGTGCTCCAGGGTGAGGGCTGCATGGATACGCACTGGGGGGGGAAATGAAAAGGGGAGGGTTGCAATACGGAGTGATGATGATGAGAGCCAGCCAGAGCCAGCCAGAGCCAGCCAGAGCCAGCCTTCACTTATCACACAACCCATCTCCAGGGCTGTCTCGCAACGGCGAAAAATCACAAGACCAGCAGCTGTCGTCGCCCATCGAGGCTAAGGCGTTAATTATCAGGAGCTAAAGCATCTTAGAAGGAAACATGGCGAGAGGATTACGTCGCCTCTGGCGCTCCTAGCCGCTGTCTACCGATTCGGGCGCCCCCTTCAGTACCTCAAGTGCCCTACATTGAGCACCTACCTAGCTGAGTAGTTAGTTGTACTTAGGCTTTCTAGAGCCATGCGCGCTACGGAACAGCCCCTGTCCAGGGTGGGATTCCTGACGCAACAGGTCCACAAAAGCCATCAATAAGCGATGGGCGATGCCCCTTCCAGCGCTAGCGCGCCATCCCAAGTAGCCAAAACGTTGTGCCAGGCTCTAAATTGAAGAAACCACAGCGAATCCACAGGGCACGTCTTGGCGTCTCGGGGTGGCTGAGCGCCGGCTGGGGGGGAGTGCGTGCGCGTCCCTTTCGTCCCTTTTCTGCTCTTTTTCTCCCCTCCAGTGTGGTGCGTGTGCTCTTGTGTCAAAGCCGGGTGGTGTGTGGGTTGGCAAGGTTGGTTGCAGGTCAACAAGAGAGCAGCAGGACGAAAAGCCCAAAGCCAAGAGCCAAGAGCCAAGAAGCCAAAGGGGGCGTTTCCCCACCGCAGATTTATTAAAACGCGTGCTGGCTGCAGGGGAGGGGGGGGAGAAAGAAAGCGCAAATGTCAAGTCCATCTTTAAAGACGAATCTCCGTCCTGTGCTCCTCCCAAACTTTTGAATGCCACCGTCCCCGATCACGACCGCGACCACGACGACCACGAGCACTACAAGCACGACTGCCTCTCTCCTCACTGCTCGTCCCTGCTAACCAACCCTCCTGCTCCTGCCTGTCGTCCGTCTGTTTGTCTGCCCGCCGTCGTCCCATGGCCGTTTGCCGGCGATGCGGTCCATCTGGCACGCAGTAGGCCAGTTCGGCCAGGGGAAGGGGAGCAGCAGCCCCTCGAGCTCGAGCCGGCGCAGCAGCGCGGCGACCCTGCTGCCCTTCGACGAGGACCCCCGGCGCCGCAGCAGCCCGACCCGCCGCCTCAGGGCGCCCCGGCTGCGCAGGGTCACGGCCTGGCTGCTGCTCATCGACCTCGCCATCATCCTCTTCCTCGTCTGGCTCGTCCAGCCCCTCATCGTCCTGCTGCGCCGCAACGAGGAGCTCTTCTCCCCGCACGTCACCCTCTCCAACGACACCCTCGCCGGCCTCGACGAGGCCGGCCAGCGCAGGATCCCGCGCATCCTGCACCAGACCACCGCCACCGACGACATCCCCGAGAAGTGGGTCAAGTCGCAGCAGAGCTGCAAGGACACCTACCGCGACTTTGAGTACAAGGTATGCATTGAGGCATCATTCACTTCATGGAGAGGAAGAGAGAATGGAGAAGAAGAGGGGAGGGTGGCGGTCGATGCGCTAGTCCCGTTGGCGCTGGGTCGAACGAATCCGTTCAAAAAGAAGAAGACCAAAATCGCTAACGTACACCCAACTACAGCTCTGGACCGACCAGCGGGCCCGCGATTTCCTAGAGCAGGAGTACCCCTGGTTCGTCGAGACCTGGGACAGCTACGACTTCCCCATCCAGCGCGCCGACTCGATCCGCTACTTTGTCCTGCACCACTACGGCGGCATCTACCTCGACATGGACACCATCTGCCACGCCCCCTTCCCCCTGCACCAGATCGACTCGGGCACCATGGAGCACCGCGCCCTCTTCGAGTCCACCCTGCCCACGGGCATCACCAACGACTTCATGGTCTCGACCGCCCGCCACCCGGCCTTTGCGGGCGCCATCGCCAAGCTGCCCCTCTTCTACAGCTTCACCCGCTTCTGGGCCCGCCTCGAGCCCTACTGCGCCATCATGCTCTCCTCGGGCCCGCTGTTCCTGAGCCTCGTCGTCAAGGACTACCTGCTCGAGCTGCCCTCCCTGCCCTCGGCCACGGTGCAGGTCATCGCGTCGGCGCGCCTGCGGCCCTACATCACCGACCTCGAGAGCAGCACCTGGCACCGCAAGGACACGCAGGCGCTCATGTGGCTCGGCCAGCGGCCCTGGTCCTGGTTCCTCATGGGCGCGCTCGGCGTCGTCGTCGGCGCCTACCTCGTCAACCTCGCCCTGCTCGCGTGCTTCCGCGCCGTGCGCAAGGTCCCCGCCGTCTCGGCCGGCAGCAAGCTGGCCAAGCTGATATAGCCGGGCCGAAGGAGGGGCGTGTGCACTCGCGCGCGCGCCCGCGCGAGCGAGCAAAAAGAAAGTTGCATTTTTGGGTGTACTTCTGAATGATGATGTAGTCATGACATACCTGGTGTTTTCTTTTTACATGGGAGCAATACACGGAGCGTTGATATAGAAGGGAGGAAGGGAGGGAGGGATGGGGTTTCCATATCTTCTCGTCTCTCCCCCGCCGTCTCAAAGCACCACTAATGCCAACATATTCCTTTCGCATTGATGATGGACGCCGTCTGGAATTTGTGCCACGCAACTGTGACGATAAACACATGATTGCGAGGTGACGTGAGCCTTACTGGTTGTGCGACTTACACCCGATTGCAGCTCCGCCTGGTTTGCCCATTTTTGCTTTTTTGTGTCTTGCTGTCAGCCATGTCCACATTCCTACCGCCTTTCTTCAGGCACGGCAAACCCGAGACCGTGGCTGTCGGGTTCGACGTGCCGCCAAGCGCTGCAGCTCCGAGACATGGCGTCGGGGAGGGCGGCACGGCAAGTCAGCAAGGGATACTGATCCCTCCAACTGAGACAATCCCGATCAGTTGAAGATTGTCATATGCCATCAAAGTAAGTGGCAGGTGTTCTATTTGTTGTACTCAAATGCCAACCTCAAAGGGGGGACGCCCGTCAGGCAAGAACCCATTTCTCATTATGGATCTGAACCAGTCTAACTGGGTGCTTTTTGTCTGTAGAGTATGAAGTAAGAAGATCTTCGAGTGCCTTGGATTCGAACAAGAACGAGTACGTACTTGTGAAGTTCGAGTAAAACGACAATTGGATGTCCCATCCTTACAACCATCCCCTGCCTTTTTTTTCACCGTTCTCAATCTTCTGCCGTACCTTGCCAGAGTCACAAACCAGTTCAATCTAATTCTTCGCCTTTCTAGTGGCAGCCTTAGCTAGGCTATGTTGTACTGTCTGATGATGCCAAGCTGGCTACTTGGTCCACATATACGAGATATGTGATGAAGTCGTTGATCTCATGGAAGTCCCTCAGAAAGGAAGAAGCTATCAAAGCTTTGCAAAGAAGAAAAGAGGGATAGGATCAAGGCAAGGGTGTCGTGGTTAAGATGTTTTAGCACAAGCGACCATCTTGGGATGCTTTAACCAGCAATATTGAAATGATTAGAATCTAAAGTCAAAGGTTGTGAAGACAAAGGTAAACAGTTATAATTGAGACATAGACATGAGAAAGTCATTTTGAAGTTTTGAAGATAGACAGCAGTGGGAATCGTGCCTTGGGTGACCCGGTTAGATGCCTATCACGACAGACAATCAAGTGTCCTCGCTTATTTCTTCACTATCACTAGCTTCGTTCTGTGAATGGAAACAGTTCTCGGCCTGAGGTGGTCATGGCTTCTCACAGGAACCACGTGACTGCTCGTATTTCCCTGCCTGGACCTGAGGGCGACCGAGACGCGATCGAACTCGTGCCCAATGTCTCTCACCGTAGCCTTCGCCATCATGGAGGCCTCACTCCTCACGCTGGATGAGGTCAGGAAATATGGCTATTGCAAGTTGGCAAGCGTCGATCACACCTTGGATGATGCCCAGCTCGAGACTCGGTGTCCCCTCGATAACGGACGGCACCACGGCCAGCCGAAGTATGGAGTGGGATCGCTAGACCGACTCCCCGCCGAAGTCCTCACCGAGATTCTGTTGGGATTGGATATCCCGTCTCTGACTGCCTTTCGGCGCGTGAACCGCCAGGCCATGAACCTCGTCGACGCGATACCCTCGTACCGAGCAGTGTTTGAAAACTGCGCCGATGTCCTCCGGGCTATCCTCAGCATCAACGCAAAGCACTTTGATTGCAGGGACTTGTTCCAGACTCTCTCCGGCACCAAGTGTGTGACCTGCGACAAGTTCGGTGCCTATCTCTACCTCATCACCTGCAAACGCGTCTGCTACTTCTGCTTCACCTGGGACCTCAAATTCTTTCCCGTCGCCGCTGCGCTCGGGGCCAGTCACGTTGAGCCTTTCAGAGAAGAACTAGACTCCCTGCCCCATGTCATCGCTCTACCGGGACGCTATACGCCGTGTGCCAAGCTGGTCAAGAAGAAGAGATGGCTGTTCGACCGCCAGGGCGTGGACGGCAGGCTATCGGAGGTCTGCGTTCGACGTTTGAAAAAGGCCGAGCGTCGAATTGATCGCGTGGATAAGGAAGCTATACGGTTCATGTCTATTATTACCGCACCCTATTTCACCTCGTCGGGGCGCGCAGCCCATTGGGGATATCATTGTGCCACCTGTAGAGACAGTGCGAGGCTAGGGCCATTTTTCAGGCACAAATTCACAGGAGATGAGTTTGTGGACCATATGGTACAACTCGGGCTGAATCATTGAGGGATACGATGATGGAAGCATGGATATAGTAAATTTGCTGTACCTTTCCCCAGGTTTGTTCTCGCTTCCGCAGTACCAGTTCATGGGATGAAAGAACATGTCCCCATGACGATCTCTAGCCCAATGAGCGCAGTTTCTTCACAGACGGTGGCGGCGGGCTTCTATCGTACTACCTGTTGCTGATTCTCGACCCGAGGGAGTGGTCATGGGGGTTTCTATTACCGTTTCCGTTTCACCCCGGCGCTTCTGGACAGGATATCATAGGTCTCAATTAAGCGCCATTGAATCCCCACAGCATCGACTGCTGAGTTTCAAAGTCGCTCTGGTCTGGAGCAATTGTAGACTCGACAACTCCGCATGGTCTGCTTCATCTGTACAAAACTCACCTAATTACGCTGCTGCCAACCACCCTGCTACAACAGTCAGTCTGCGAACTTCTTGTCGAACAGACTACCTACTCTCCCCATAACCCCTCTTTGAACACCCTCGACCATCAAATGGCATCACGCAACAGTAACATCAAGCTGCTCGCACTGCTGGTGGATTCCAGTGAGGAAGACGACAGCGATTACCGTTTTCTAGTCGACGGGAAGCACGTCAAGTATGTCACGGTCGCGCCGGGCGCCTTGCCCAAGGACATCCGGACCTTCACGCCGGTCCTGCTCGCGACGCTGCCCCCGTTCCCCCCGGGGGACTGGAACGAGGGCCACGTATCCAAGGACCCGGCCAGCGGCCTCCCGGTCTTCTCTCGCTGCGAGCGCAACGAGCTGCCCGGGGTCGTGAACGCCTGGCACCGCACGCGGATCGACCACCTGGAGCTCGCGACGGTCCGCCGCCTGCGCCAGAACATCCACGTCGCCACGCACCCGCATTTCGGGGCCCGGGAGGTGCTGGTCAAGTTCACCGAGTTCCCGTGGCAGACGCAGTACTTTGAGGCGGAGACGGCGGCGTACCAGTGGATCGGAGGGCAGGGGCTCGGCCCCAAGTTCCTCGGCCACCTGACGGAAGAAGGGAGGGTCATCGGCTTCATCTTGGAGTACGTGGCCGACGCGAGGTCCGCTGGGCCGGAGGACCTGGCAGCCTGCCAGGCTGTGCTGGGCAGGCTGCACGCTCTGGGCATCAAGCACGGGGATATCAACAAGCACAATTTCCTCATCCGGGCAGGCGAGGCGTTGCTTGTCGACTTTGACTGCGCGACGCGGTGCAGTGAAAAGGATGAGCTTGATGCAGAGTATGGACGTTTGGAGCAGTCACTGAATGACCCTTCTCGTAGGGGTGGAGGATTCTACTCCTAGACTCTCTCCCACAACATTTGTCACGGAGTGTAAAGTCATGAATTTAAAGCATTGACAGCCTTCCTGAAGTATCATTGACCACGTAGCAACAAGGACTCTTGAGTGGCTTAGTGGCCGGAGTCAATACAACTAATCAGCTTGACCTGCTTTTCTGACAGCTCTGGGTATCGAGGTATAAGATGAACCTCCCGCTCACAATACAGAGGGGTGCGCCGCCGAGGAAGACCAAGAGAGGTATGCCATTCATTACCAGCTGCGGTTACTCTTTACCGTGTCAGTTCATGGTCGATGGTCGATGGTCGATGGTCAAATTAGTTGGATGGGCTTTGACGGAAGTTCTTGGCCCTGCATCAAACCCATCGGAGGATCTCTCGACGAGCTTCCACCAACTATTTTGACCTCAGACTCGCACACTACATGCCGCTAGGGAGTGGTGGAGGAGAGAACAGCTTTCAAAGCAGCAGACAGGATCCTCACCTCTAGAAATTTCCTTGTGAGGCTAGGGTACTACTGGTCGGCGAAGTTGCAACACGGGAGGAGAGTCACATCTGAAGGAAATCGAGGCGAGGGATGCAGTCTCCCGTGTACCAATCACTCCCGCATCTTGATGACCAGGACACCATCCGAGATCGATACTTTTTCCGCGAGGAATTTTGCCAAGTCGGTCTTGACAGGTATTTGAATACCATGCGATGCAAACAGGCGCTTACGTTTCAGCCAAGCAAGCCAGCCAGTAGCAGCGTTGCAGCACACCAGAACCTGCATGCCACGTTCTCGTCCTGGGCGCTTTGTAAGATCTTTGAGGTTGTGGGGTGACTTCCCTAAAACGGCAAATATATTGCATTCTGCACAAGTGCCTCCTGCAGATATGCTCTTTTCAGAGGTTCTCCAACGGGACGGCTCAGCTGGTAGGTCGAGCGACGACGAAACAAAAACGAGGCGGCCGAGGCACGGAAACGTGGGCGGCGGAGACGTCCCCGGGCTCAGTGACGAGAATGCGCTAGAACAGCGGTCTTTAGTGGGTACACGCATGACCGTGGCGCTCCGGGTGTCTGTGGATGGAACTGCCGACGATGGCAAAAGCGCTAATCGAAGAACCCGAACCCCTAAATCCCAACCTTGCCTGCCTTTGAACGTTCACTGCCTTTCGCCATGACCAATCACTAGGGCTGTTGGGTTTAGCGGCATCCGAGCCGCCGGCGTGGAAGACGAGTCAGAAATCGGCGAGCAATTCCTCAAAAACCCGACCACTAACGCCGCCGAGTCTGCCTGCCATGTCACATCCTGATTTTCCTGCATTCTGGTTGGCTGTCTTTCTCGACGGTGTTATCAAGCGATAGGATGGGTGGGCAAATATCGGGGACGGACCTGCCAACGCCGCGAAGTGCTGATGCGTGCCACTGATTCGGTGCATCGAGTGACCAAGCTGCACAGTCATCGAGCCGAGCGTCCGCCAGCCTTGATGTTGCTTTTGGTGCTTTGAAGGTTGGAGGGATATCCACGAAATCACCTGCGCGTCTGATGCGTAGTGAATAAACAGGTGCAGATTTCTCTTGAGCGATCCTGAGTGGCCAAGAGAGGACGGCACAGCTCGAGGGAGGCCAGCTGGCCCGGCCGAGTCCAGGCTGGACGCCTAGCTGCAGGAAGGGACATGGAGCTGTGGTCAATGCAGGACCAGGCTGGCCAACAGTTGGGTTGCAGCGAAGGCAACCAACGGCACCTATGAGAATCAATGCCCAGAGGGCACATAAAACAAGGCGATGCGGGGAAGAAAATGCACAATCCAGGAGCTGCTTCTTCTCTTTGGTCCGGGGAAGGGATCCGCCTTCAGCGTTAAAATGTTGAGTTGGGACTCTGCGAATCTGTCAACACGCACACACAGAGACAGGGCGAGCAACGTTATCTGCTACGGCCGAATTTACCAGAGGAACAACCCACCGCGGATGTTGACTGCCGGTGATCCTCGGGGTCCTTGACAAATACAGAATAGCAACCGTCAATCTGTCAGGCGATCCGGGCGTACTGGCGTGCCTGGCGCCTGCAACTCTGACTAAAAAAGGGTAGTCCGTTGTCGAGTTCTTGGGTCGATCCCCCTCCTCCCCAGCCAGGCCTCTCGCGGCCCCCAACATATTGTGCGCACGAGATGCACTTCTCGGTGACTTTTTAAGGAATGGAATATACACGCCGTGAGGGTGCTGACCCATTGCAACACTCGCCGCAAGGTGTTGTGATCAATTCCATCCATGGACGCCCTTCTCGATATCTCGACACGTCCTATCAACGCTGTCCTGCACGGATGAGGGGCAACTAACGGCGGGGCCGGAACAGGTAACTATGCAGAACGGATACAGTGGGGAGTGAGCCCTGAACCGGACCCTCAGTGCCCCCCAATAGCGTCCAGCCCTGTGGCCGAGACTCCGTTTTCGCAGGCGCCATCCGCGCCATCCTGCTCCATCTTATCGTTCGTCCCACATGGGAGCCTCGTGAGCTGTGAGCACGAGTCCACCGTAATCCACTTCCCGGCTCCAGGCTTGGGAACTGGAGCCTCAACCAAGTCCCCTTTTCGTTCTCTCTGTTCTCCACCCCCAGACAAAGCGTCTGGCTGGCCCAAGACCGCTTTCGGAACACGCGCGTGCCTCAAATGAGCAGAAAGAGAGGACTGGACTCGACAGACCTGCATCTCCCCCCGGATTTCATTGGGGGCTGCAACGACCCGTCCCAAGTCCAGGATCCAGTCAGCGAGCTGCACACCTGTCTCGATATGCTGTGCGCCTCACCTGAAGAATCAATCGCCGTCAGTCCCTTGTGGAACGGGGTCAGTGGTCAGCAACCTGGGCCCCGGGCCACATGCAAGTCCCCGCAGCTCCTGCTTGCGACAGCAGAGGCGGCCTTGCCGCCTACGGGAGCCGATGGCCTACCGTCACCTGTCCTCATGCGTCTACGCAATCCCGTTGGCTGAGGTGCGAAACTCGTCGGCCTGGCGCCTTGGGATGAGGCTGACGCCCAGACAAACATCAACAGCCTCTCACGCGCGTCGTGCGTGCGGCGGAGGATGAGCAATGGACCAGACCCCAGAGGCCCCCCCTTACCCGAGAAGAAAGGGATGGCCGGGAAAAGAGGCAAACGGCGGTGACTACATATATCGAGGCGTGGTCGACATTCCTTGTCCAGGAAAATCCCTTATCTGGAAGAGAAGAAGTATCATTGCGACCTGGCGCGCCGGTGCTACACAGTAGATCCCGATCTAGACCACACACACCCCCATCCATCCCCATCCCGCCACCACCGACCGCTGGTGCCGGATCACCACACCACCCATCCCCCCACGAGTCAGACCCTCCTAGTGCGACCCCTTGAAGGACCCTGGATTTTGCAGATCGCCCTTTGTCGGATTCCGCCAAGGGTCCAGTCATTGTCTATCTCCGTCCACCTGGTGCCGTTCCTGGTGCTACCCCATCTCTTTTCAAGTCCGCTATCGCCCGGTCTCACCTTTCGACCTCGTGGCTTTTCCTCTCCTCCTTTCTTCTTCCATTGAGTGACCCGTATACGTTTTATCCTCTTTTTCCCATTTCCATCATTCATTTCGTAGGAGGGCCAGGAGCAACAGGGAGAGACCCCTCTGAATTTGAGACGTTTGGACACTTCCCTTTCCGTCCAGTATCTTTTTTCATCCTTTGAGGTCGCACATCCTCCGACCTTTATGTTTTAGACAAATATCCCTACATACGCACACATAAACACGATGTACGTCCGCAGGAAAGCAGCCTACGACTCCTCGGCTTCGGAGGATGAGTCGGACTCGGGCGTGCAGCAGCGCAGCCCCCGCGGTGCGGCGGCGGCGGCGCGCAAGTCCCTCGGCAACACGAGCAGCGGCAGCAACAATAACCAGCAGCAGCAAAAGAAGAAGAAGAAGAAGCTGCCGCCGCAGGAGTCGATCGACAAGATCTGGAGCCGCTTCTCGCAGAAGAAGTTCAGCAAGGCGCTTTCGGTGCTGTCGTTCGACTCGGTCCCGCCGGCGGCGAGCCCGGAGCGGGGCAACGAGCTGCTGTCCGCCGGGTACGAGCGCGCGGCCGAGGAGTGCCGCCGCAAGGTCGACAAGATCATCAAGGAGTGCAAGAGGGTCAACACGCGGTACAGGGACCCCGGTTGGGATCTGGTAAGTGTGTTTTGTTTTGCTGGCTCCTTCCCACTACTACCATATGGGTGGTGTAAGTCGGAGCGCCTACACATTGCATTGCCAAACCACGCCCTCTGACGAGGATAAATGAGACTAATGCGTGTGAAACTGTAGGATTGGGACCTGAAGTGGGAGAAGGGCAATTGCCTCAACTCGCTCGGCTCAACCAAATTCGACATCAACTCGTCCACCTTGACCAACCCCAGCGCAACCGTGCCCAAGGCCGTCAAGCGTGTGCACGAGATCTTTGAGAAGCCCACCTTTATGAAGAACATCAACGGCTCGGACGTCAAGCAGGGCGGGCTCGGCAATTGCTGGCTCATCGCCGGTTTCAGTGGACTTGCTAATGTCAAGGATGGGATCAGGCGCATCTGTGTGGCGCACAACGAGAGTACGTGAAAGCCTCTATGAGAGATGCCCTTCTCATCTGTCTCAGAATGCGAACTTACATAAGACGTCTAGAAATCGGCATCTACGGCTTCGTCTTCTACCGCGACGGCGAGTGGATCTACTCCATCATCGACGACAAGCTCTACCTCAAGTCGCCCTGCTGGGACTCGCCGTCCATGCAGCGAGACCTGCTCCAGCAGATCGACCGCGAGGACGTCGAGCGCGTCTACCGCCGGACCTACCAGACGGGTTCCAAGGCCCTCTTCTTCGGCCAGAACAAAGATCAGAACGAGACCTGGGTGGCCCTTGTAGAAAAGGCGTATGCAAAAGCCCACAACGATTTCCATAGTCTAACGGGCGGATGGGTAGGTGAAGCTCTTGAAGATCTCTCTGGCGGAGTTACGACGGAGCTGCTCACCTCGGACATCCTCGACACGGAGGAGTTCTGGGACAACGAGCTGAGCCGCGTCAACGAGGAGTTCCTCTTTGGCTGCTCGACGGGCCTACTCGACGGCGGCTACGGCAACAGGGAAGGCATCACAGAGGGCCACGCGTACAACATCATGGAGGTGCGCACGCTCAGGGACGGCACGCGGCTGGTCAAGATGCGCAACCCCTGGGGCAAGGTCAAGAAGGGCAACTGGGAGGGCGCCTGGTCGGACGGGTCCAAGGAGTGGACGACCGAGGTGCAGGAGGAGCTGGGCCACACGTTCGGCGCCGACAGCAGCTTCTGGATATCTTACGAGGACATGTTGCGCAAGTATTCCCATTTCGACCGCACGCGCCTCTTCCGCGACCCGGACTGGCGCTGCTGCCAGCGCTGGATCGGCGTCGACGTGCCCTGGAAGTCGGTCTACAACGAGAAGTTCCAGTTCAAGCTGACGCGCGACTCGCCGCTCGTGCTGGTCCTGTCGCAGCTCGACGCGCGCTACTTCAAGGGCCTGCAGGGCCAGTACAGCTTCCGGCTGCACTTCCGCGTGCACGAGCACGACTCCCCCGGCGCCGAGGCCTACATCGTGCGCTCGCACGGCAACTACCTCATGGACCGGTCCGTCAGCATCGAGCTGCCCGACATGCCCGCGGGCCGGTACTCGGTCTTCATCAGCGTGAGCGCCGAGCGCGACGGCCGCGCGCCCTCGGTCGAGGACGTGGTCAAGCGCGAGTGCAAGGCGCGCGGGGAGAACGAGAAGCTGGCGCAGGTCGGGCACGCGTACGACCTGGCCAACAGCAAGGCCGCGAACCACCTCGCCGAGCTCGCGAAGGTGCGCAAGTCCAAGGACCAGGGCAAGGCGTCCGAGTCGCGGATGAAGGAGCGGCGCAAGCTCTGGGAGCGGCGGCACCTGACGCGCGACATCCAGAAGAAGCAGAAGGAGAAGAACGAGGAGAAGGGCAAGAAGCTCAAGGAGGAGAAGAGGGCCCGCCGGGCCAGGGAGGAGGAGGAGGCGGCCGTGAAGGCGGCGGCGGCGGCGGCGAAGAAGGCTGCTGAGGAGGCTGAGGTCAAGGCAGCTGCTGAAAAGAAGGCTGCCGAGGAGGCTGCTGCTGCTCTGGCCAAGAAGGAGGCCGAGGAGAAAGCGGCGCAGAAGAAGGAGGAGGAGGAGGAGGAGGTCGCTAATGCTAAGGACAAGGCTAGCCAGGCTGATGAGGCTGATGTGTCCAAGTCTCAGGGAGAGGACAAGATCGCTCAGGCTGAGACGCCTGACGAGGATGACAAATCGTGGTGTGCGTCTGGCTTCACGACCGGTGCTAACACGCCTTCTGAGTCGCCCGTGGCTACACCCCGGATTGAGGAGGCACGTGAGCTTGCTCCTTCTGAGGAGAAGTCCGAGGTCGAGTCTGACGTCAAGTCCGATGAGAACACCGAGGAGAAATCCGAGGACAAGGCTGAGGACAAGACTGACGAGAAATCTGACAAGTCTGATAAGGAGTCTGAAAAGGCCGATGAGAAGTCCGAGCCGCAGGATGAGCCCGAGGACGCAGCCACACAAAAGAACGAGGATGAGGAGTCCGAGGACAAAGCCGAGGAGAAGTCCGACAGCAAGGATACCCCAGCCGAGAAGAAGGCACCGACTCCAGCCCCTGCTCCGGCTCCGGCCCCTGCTCCTCCACCACCACCACCGCCCGCCGTCAAGGACGACTCGGACAGCTACTCGTCCGACAGCCCCGTCGAGGACTGGGAGGAGCTCTACTCGAGCGACGACCTCTCGGAGAAGCCGCGCATGGCGGCCCCCGCGCCGGCCGCGGCCGCGGCGCAGGCGGCCGACGACGACACGGACGACGAGAAGGACCCGCTGCCGTGGAACGCCATCTGCATCGTCGGGTTCCGCGTGTACTCCAAGGACGAGGGGCTGGAGCTGCGCGTCGTCATGGAGGGCGGGCAGCTGTCGCAGGACGGCATGGGCGCGCTGGGCGAGCAGGACCTCGACAACGCGCAGGCCAACGCCGGGGGCGCGCGCACGGACACGGAGGAGTGCGCGGGGGGCGCCAAGGCCAAGACCAAGGGCAAGGACGGGAGGAAGAAGCAGAGGCGGGAGAGCGCTGCCTCGGAGGACGCCGGCGATGATGACGGGGAGGGCAGGAAGAAGAAGGAGGGTGACGAGTTTGCGTCGTACCAGACCATTGTGCAGAAGGGGGACGAGGCGCTGCAGAGGGCGCTGGAGAGCGGTGTGGAGAGCGAGGCGTGAAGGTGACCTGCCCCTGATTGTTACGACCTGATGATCTTATTTGCCTGTTACGGCTTCATGTATAGAGCTAGACTGCTTCGAGTCGATCTTTTGTCTTTTTCGTCTCATTTCCTGTTCCTTTGTTCTTTCTTGGTTATCTATTGGAATGTTTTGGGCTTTTTCTTCTTCCCCTCGTCGGGGGGAAGACGAGCCAAGGGGAAGCGGCATGGCATAGCACGGCGAGACATATGCTTTTTCTGCTGAAAGACTGCCTTGCTTGGACTAGACTGTCTTTTGCGTTGTTTGCGCCTGCTTGTGCGAAAGACCGAGGTGCGTTTGCTCGCTTGCGAGAGGGAAAGGAAACAACCCAGATTGTAGATCGATCTTTTGGTGTGTTCTCTGTTTATTCGTTGTTCTGTGGTTACACCTCAACTCAGACTGTCATATATACGTTGACAATGCACCATTTTTGAATCAAATCTAAGGTATGAACAGTTGCAAGGTCAATGATTTGAAGACCTGGACAGAGCCTGTCGTCCGTTCACCTGTCGATATATGAGCTCTCGAGGTGGAGGTCGTGATTTGTATGATCAAACCTCAATTGAGAGTCAAAGCTAAATATAGGCTCCTGCATGCCTGTGATATGTACCCATGTGACGGCATGCTCACTGCCGACGCGATGGATACGTTCTATACCCTGCATCTCCAACAAGGGTGTGTGTGCATACATGGCCACAATTCCCATCTTGCAGCAGCTTTGAAGATTCATCCCGGTGATTTTATTGGACATTCCGAAGATGCGGAACTCATACCACGAACTCCAGGAGCGAGTCCAGCATACAAAACAGGCTCGGTTCATTGAGATGCAGAACCGCCTCTCACCGATATTACGGGGAGTGGTACGCCACATCATCGCATTCGAGCTGAGCCGAGAGATCTAGGGGCCTCTCTACTCAAAATATGCATGGTTCAAGCACCATACTGATAGAAAGTCCATCACGGATTTCAGCAGTATTTGGTTGCAACGTTTCGCTAAGGCTTACTCGATTGTGGCATCCCTTACTTTCCAACGGGTGACGCTAGAGATGAAGGACGAGGACTAGGGCAACCTCGACCTTCATCTCTACATCCTGTCCATATGGTTCCGTCCCCTGGTGATGTTCTAGGAGACATCAGCCATTACATATCAGGAAGTCGATATTCTGGCCAGCCCTATCAATATCACTTGGGACCGTATCTTCGATGATATCAAGACACTTGAGGAGATGATAGCAAAGGAGGGCCTGACAGTTTACGAGCTTTGCGAGAATATATTCCAAAAGAAAGTATCGGAATACCACCCTGATGCACCAGCTCGGGCTTGGAAAGATGGACGTGGAGTTCGAGACTCCCTTCCAGTATGATGCCGACTAGGACGAGGACGAGGAGGAGAATGCGGACGAAGGTCCCACTGGCAACGAGGATGATGCTGCCGGCGATGGTTCCGACGCCGGCCTTGGAGGTACGTGCCCCTTGCTTGCTGATGGCGAGCCTCTTACTCGCCGTGCAAGAACTTCGGCGGCTTTGGTGTCGTTTGCTAACATTTCCAAGCAGGTGAATCGGCTGAGCAGCAGGAGCCCCCCCCCCCCCAGGAAGAAGCGGAAGACCAACAACGAATGGTAAGAGCTCGTCATGCACCATCTAACAAATCTCTAGCTAAGTATTTGTCTAGGTCATGCCGCGGGCGGACACGAGGAGCCCCCCGAGGACCCTCCGAGCGACTGGATTCCCGAGGCTGGGCCACCACCGAAGAAGCCGAAGAAGCCAAAGAAGTCCAAGGCCAAGGCCAAGGCCAAGGAGCCAGAGTGTGCCTCTCCCAATTCTGACTACCTTGGGCTGTACAGCATTCTGGAAGTGTCATCCACCGACGAGATCAGGAAGGCATACAAGAAGCGTTTTTTAGTCCTCCATCCAGACAAGCCCACCGGATCCAATGAAGCGTTTCCGGAAGTTTTACCAGGCCCAGAGCATCCTCAGTGACCCTGGACTGCGCAAGTCGTACAACATGGGATATACTCCCCATTGCTATGTGCCTGACAATGCAGCGGATATATGCCTGCACACAATGGCAACGAGCGGGACGCGGAGGAAGACCATGGTGAGGACGAGCAGTCTCAGCAGCGACAGTCGCAAGGACCTCGCGGTAGAGGCCGCGCCAGAGGTCGTGCCGGCGCTCGTGCTGGTGCCCGTGGAGCTCGTGGCAGAGGTGGCCGTGCTGGTCGTGGTTCCTAAGTTATACGACAAGAGGAGCTTAGGCTTGCCAGCGTCTTGCTTTGCAAGAAGCAATTGGGTGGCCGACAATCGTGTTGGCCCTCGTGAGGCACCCCTACGCAGGTTGCATGGGGGCTACTCGACCATCATCGCTGCAAACATCTGCGTTGTCTACTTACCTAGGTAGTATCTCACACATCTGGCCTGCTCGTGGCGAAGGAAGTACATCTGTGGCGGTTTTTTTCCCCACCTGGGTGCCCGCTCAGCAGCTGCCCAGAGTGAGCGCTAGTGGGACTTCTAGGTGGGACTTCTAGGTTGTGGTTTAGGGAGCTCGTGCCTGAAGACATCGATTTGCTGAGCTCATCAAAAAGCTTCGATGTCAGAGTGCACCAGGGGACTCCATTCCAAGATGCTGACGGCCCGGACCAACAACAATTTTGCATGCTGGTCAATGCTTCGATTTAAATGACCTTGTCTCGCATCTCCAAGGGCTCTTGAGGGCCTCGCCAGCCCAAGCACGCAATGGAGCCGCTAGAGAGGGCGCCGGCGCTGCGGGACGCCGGCAAAGCAGCTCGAGCTATTGGCGCTCAGCCGCACCGCCCCAGCAAGTTTCCAAGTTGTCCAAGGTTGTTGGTTCGTCTCTGTTCTCGCTCTCTCGTATCAATTCAGCTCACCAGTCTTTCGTTTGATCTGTCGTTCGTTTGGAAAGCAGCAGCAGCAGCACCGTTCCATCGATATACTTGGCGTCCCAGCCGCCGCCGCCGCCGACCTTTTACATAGCCCGGTATTGCGACCACGACGAAACCTCCAAAGAACCGACTCCTGCCTTACTCCTCTCCGTCCTCATCGCCATACACCCCCCCACGAAAAACCCCCCTTCGCACAATGCGCGCCCGACGGAAACAGCCCGGCCGGCCGCCGGCCCAGGCCGCCAGCAGGCAACCGCCCTTCCCCGCCGCCGCCCTCCGCCTCTTCCTCCTCCTCCTCCTCGCCGCGACCTCGGCACCGACCGCCCGCGCCGCCTTCAAGAATGACTTCTCGGGCTACCCGACGGGCGCGCAGGCCTGCCTCTCGCGGGCCGCCGACGCGAGCGGCTGCGACGGCGACACGGTGCAGGCCATGAACGAGTGCCTCTGCGGCAACCAGGGCGGCTTCGTGCTCGGGTCGGCGGCCTGCGTCGCGCGGAGCAGCGCGCCGGACCTCGAGGCCACGTACGAGACGCTCGCGACGCACTGCTCCGACAGCAAGACGCCGCTGGGGGTGTCGCAGGCGCAGTTCTTCGCCGCCGCGTCGTCGGGGACTGCGTCTTCGGCGACGAGGACGGGCGGGGCAAGCACCTCGAGCAGGGCGTCGAGCAAGGCGACGAGCGTCACGTCCGCCTCGGCGAATCCCACGGGGCCTAGCAGCAGCAGCAGCAGCAGCATGACGACCAAGACGACCATGTCGGACGGGCACACCGTCACCGAGACGGTCGCCGTGCCGGTCGAGACGGGCGCCAGCCAAGGAGGGAGCGGGCCCAACAGCACGGCCAAGACGGGCATCATCGCGGGCGCGTGCGTGGCGGGCGTGGCGATCCTGGCGGCGCTGCTGGGCTTCTGGCTGTGGTACCGCCGGCGCAAGGCCGGCGGGGCCAGGGACGAGTCGCACCCGATGCTGGCGCCGCAGCAGGGCTTCCGGAACAGCGGCAAGTTCGGCGGCGGCGGCCCGGTGGCAGGGGCGGGCGAGGAGCTGCAGGACTGGAAGGGCGACGGCAAGTGGGCGGCGGCTGGCGGGCAACAAGGGGCTGCTGCAGGCACCTGGGACTCGTCGAGCGCGGGGACGTACAACTCGGCGTGGGGCGCGCAGCAGTACCAGGGCTGGGGGTACGATCCGACGGCGACGCCGTACTCGCAGTACGGCGGTGGCGGGCAGTTGTCACAACAGCAGCAGGAGGGCGTGTACGAGCTGGCTGGCCACGAGCCGGTGCGGCCGGTGGAGGTGCCTGCGACGCCGGCATGGCATGGGTACGGCGGACAGACAGACGTCGGTGCCGGGCAGCAGAGGCAGAGCTGGGGACAACAGCATCCGCAGCATTGATGAGGAGTTATGCTCTTTTATTCCGTTTCATGGTATGATAATTCAAGCTTGGAGTTCTGGAGGGCTGTATATAGGGAGCAGCAAATGGGTAAAATAATGGACCGGCAACTGGGAATGCTGGAATTGGACATATCAATCATTCAATCAATCAATCAGAGAATTGGATCAATGCAACGATTGCGACACGGGACCTTGGGCTGGACTCTCGATTCAGCCTTTCTCCAATGTCACCGTACCGTGTCGCAAGGCAGGCCACCACTCGGAGAGTTTCCTAATGATCCTTCTGGAGAGAAACACGCGCCATGCACTTTGCGGTGTGCTGTCGAAGAGCCGCCAGGCTGCCTCGGGTCGAATACGACTCTGGACAGGCGTGTGACAGGCATCCATCCTCTGGAGCTCTTTGGCGGAGCTCCCCCGCATGAAGGACAGCCCGGAAACAGAGACGTTGGCGGCGATCCCACATGGCGTCGCTGGCCATTTACTCGGCGCCTTCCTATTCGGGCCCATCCTAGAGATCACGACGGATTCAATACATGTCCATTGACTTCGCCAAATTGCAGCTCCTGTTAGGTACCCCGAGGCCCGAAGCCGATGGCGACGCCGCCGGGCCCCAAGGCAGGCCGCTCTCCTCTCAGCTCGAATGTGTCGCAGCACGACGTCTCATGGGCGGCCGAAAGCGGTATGCGTCCAGCTGACGCCGTGCAGGGCATCACATATCGGATTTGCTTATTCTTGGTACTTTGTACATTAGAGTTCCAACCGTCTTACAGCGTCGCAGCAGATGCACCAGATGCAATGTTGAATCGGGTGATGAGCCTCTCACATTTGCCCTTGATATCCCTCCCCCCCGCCTGCCCGCCCGCGCATTGCATTGCATGCTTACCTGCAGCTGCGACGACATCGACTATCTTGTCGATGTTACAGGAGGAATGGGGAATTCGAGAAAGCTTTGCTATCGTCGGGTGTGCGCGTGCGTGTGAATGATCGGCGGCCGCCCCTCGACCTGTCGTTCTGGCGGTGGTCAAGGACGAATGCACACCCCTCGGATCCCGCCTGCAGGCATCTGCATCCACTGTAGGCTCCACTAGAGAGAGCAGTAGTGGAGGGACCGACGGCAGACCGACTCCGATTCATGGCCACTCCCGCCGCCATCCCGTCGAGTGGACGAAGAGAGGGATTATCTCTGTTTCAACTTCTTTCGTCTCCTTCGCGATTGTCCCATGATTACCCCCAACTGATGATTCGGTCTTATTGTTGAGCTTTACGCGGAGTCTAGACAGGAAGCCTTTGCCTGTGTCTGTGTGCGCCTGCGTGTCTGACGATGCTAATGACGCAGGCATTCTGGCCATGCTCCGACTGTTGTAACGGCCATTGGGTATGTGTATTCGATTGCTTCAGTTGCTCGCCACCGTGCCTCCTCACCCTCTCGGTGTGCGAATGCTACTGTGCCGTGCTGACATGTCTGCCCGAATCTAGGCCCCCAGCTGGTCCGGCGTCGGCGACAGCTGTCTCGGTGCCATCAGCTACCTCCCGGCATGGTTCGCCCTGCTCGTCGTCCTCTGCCGCTACGCCTTGGGTCCCGCATGGCGCCGACGGCCTCTCTGGTTGCGGACCTTCGCCGCAGAGCCCAAGGATGCGACCGACGCAGCAAGAGATGAGGGGCTGGAGACGCCCGATCTCAACAGCTGTGGCGATGAGGACCTGCCCCTACTGCCCAAGGTCCGGGCTTGGCACTGGCCGGCCGTCTGCATCCTGACCTTGTCTGTTCTAGGGCTGGCGTTTGGCCTCGTCCTGACATTCGCATTTGGATTTGGCCCTGTGTTTCTGGTCCCTGTTGTGCCTTGTGTGAGTACTGGATGCGACGTCGAATACCGAGGCCGCTCGGCAGGTGGTGGTGTGTTTTGGTGACCGATACTGACCACTACCACAGCTCCTGACCGCGCTCATCGTGGCCATTGACCGCCCGCGTACCGCTCCCGGAGCAGTCTTGCTCGTCCAGGGCGCCCTCCTCGCCGTCCAAACGGCCCTCGCCATGTTCATCCCGGCCACCCTGCACTGGCCCTCGGGCCTGTTCTCCCTCACGCAACTCGGCATCTCTCTGTGCATCATCGTCACCGTGCTCGCCATGCCTCTGCGTGACCCACGCCTCGATGCTCGCGACATCTGCCTGCCTTTCGAGACGCCGACGTACCGCCAGCGCAGCCCCGAGGACGTCATCACGCCCTGGCAGTGGATGACCGTGTCGTGGATGTCGCCGCTCATCTCCATCGCCTTCAACCGCCAGCTGCATGACGAGGATGTGTGGCTCTTGCCATACGAGTTTCAGCATCTGAGGCTGCACCTGCTCTTCCGCGAGGTCCGGGGCTCGGTCACGGCGCGCATCTTGAAGGCCAACATGACGGATCTGATCATCACGTCCTGCCTGGGTATTCTCGAGTCGGTGGCATCTCTGTTGCCTATCGTGCTACTCAAGCAGCTCTTGAGCGCACTACAGGGACCACAGCGTGACGCGAGGACCGCTATCGTCTATGCTATGCTCATGGCGTTCTGCAACCTCGTCCGCGACCAGTCGGGCGTTTTCTCCCTCTGGTACAGCCGGCGCTGCTACGAGCGGTCTAGAGGCGAGATGATCACCATGATCTACGAAAAGACCCTCCGCCGCAAGGCCTTCACCTTCCCAGGCCACCACGACGGCGACGCCGCCACCACCCCAGACCCGTCTAGGGTCGAGGGCCCGGCTTCCATGGGCAAGATCCTCAACCTGATGCGCAACGACGTCTACGAGGTGGCCCAGCGCTTCTGGGAGTTCCCCAGCCTCTTCATCAAGCCCATGAACTTCATCCTGTCCCTCGTCCTCATCTGGAACATCCTCGGCCCGGCCTCGCTGCTCGGCATCCTCATCGTCGTCGCCGCGCAGGTCGTCAACGGCTTCGTCCTGCGCGTGCTGTACCGCTGGGAGGTCGCGCGCCGCGCCGTCACCGACCTCAAGCTGCAGGCCACGTCGCAGTTCGTCGAGGCCATCCGCCACCTGCGCTGGTACGACTGGCAGGACAAGTGGCTGGCGCGCATCATCCTCGCGCGCAACAAGGAGCTGCGCTGGAGGGTGGCCAACCTGCTGCTGCAGCGGGCCGTGGACCTGATGAACCAGCTCGCGGCCTTCTTCTTCCCCGTCGCCGCGTTCTACGCCTACACCGTCATCGGGAAGCGGCCCCTGTCGGTGGACATTGCGTTCCCCGCGCTCAGCCTGTTTACGATCCTGCAGACGAGCCTGAGGGAGCTGCCTGCCCTGATCACGGTGCTGGTCAACGCCGCCGTGGCGATGCGCAGAATCGAGGGGTTCATGGCGGAGCCGAACAAGGAGGAGCACTTCGAGGACAGGCTCCTCGACCCCACGCTCGGCGAGCTCGAGATCAAGGTGGCCCACGCCGACTTCTCCTGGCCCGGCTCGCAGGAGCTGGTGCTGCGCGACGTGAACCTCGAGATAGGCCCGGGCCTGACGCTCGTCTGCGGCAAGGTCGGGTGCGGTAAGACCGCCCTGCTCCACGCGATCCTCGGCGAGCTCGACCAGAGCGCGGGCGAGAAGAAGGTCCCCGAGGAGATGATTGGGTACTGCACGCAGACGCCCTGGCTGCAGAGCATGAGCATCCGCGAGAACATCCTGTTCTCTGCGCCCTACGACGAGAGGCGGTACAGGCAGGTGCTCGACGCCTGCTGCCTGCTGCCCGACCTGGTCAACTTCAAGGCCGGCGACCTGTCGCTCATTGGCGAGAACGGCGTGGGCCTTTCGGGAGGGCAGAAGGCGCGCGTGGCGCTGGCGAGGGCCGTCTACAGCCGGGCGAGGATGTTGCTCCTCGACGACCCGATCGCGGCGCTGGACCACAACACGGCCGAGGCGATCATGGGCAAGCTCTTCAAGACTTCTGGGCTGATGAAGGACAGGCTGGTCGTGTTTGTCACACATCGCGTGGATCTGGTCTCCAAGTACGCCGTGCAGACGCTCGAGGTTGGAGAAGATGGGACGGTCCAGCGAGTCGAGGAGGATCTACTCGATCTGGACTCCAAGCTACTGCATAAGATCACATCGAACGAGGAGGTTCCTGTCGAGGATGACGAGGAGGGCGAGAACGAGGCGATCCCCGACAAGTTCATCGAGGAGGAGTACCGCGCCCACGGCAGGGTCATGGCCTCGGTCTACTGGCGCTACGTCAAGGCAGGCAAACTGCGGTGGTGGGCCGCCATCATCCTGTGCTTCATCCTCTTCCGCGTCACCAACGTGGCCTACTACTACTTCCTCAAGATCTGGGGCGAGGCCTACGACTCGGCAGCGGCGAGCGAGCAGCCGCGCATCACGGCACAGACCGCCGTGTCCTCCTACGGCGTGCACAGCCGCGTCTCCGACACGGAGTCGGGCGGGTGGTTCAACTACGCCGACCTGGGCCTGCCGTCGCCCGACGACGACGTGCGGCCCTGGCTGTTCTGGTTCCTGATGCTCTCGATCGCGCAGGTCGTCGTGCAGCTGCTCTCGGACCTCGTGCTCATCGTGCTCACCTACAAGGCCGGCAAGAAGATCTTTGAGCAGGTCATGCAGCGCGTCAGCAACGCCACCTTCCGCTTCTTCGACGTCACGCCCGTCGGCCGCCTCATGAACCGCGTCACGTCCGACATCGGCACCATCGACGGCCAGATCGCCTACCAGATCTACCAGGTCGCCTACCACGGCGTCGTCTGGGTCTCGGCCATGGCCGTCATCGCGTCCACGACGCCCGTGTTCTTGGTCCTGGCGCTCGCCACCACGGCCTCCTTCGTGCTCATCTTCCGGCGCTTCCTGCCGGCCACGCAGTCCCTGCGCCGGCTCGAGATGGTCTCGCTGTCGCCGCTCATGTCCAACTTCGGCACCCTGCTCGAGGGGCTGACGACGGTGCGCGCCTTCCGCGCCCAGCCGCACTTCCAGAACCGCATCATCGTCACGACCGACGCCTTCCAGAAGATGGACCACTTCTACTGGTCCCTGCAGGCCTGGCTGCTCATCCGCCTCGACGCCCTGGGCGCCCTGTCCAGCTTCCTGCTCACGCTCGTCGCCGTCCGCTCCGGGCTCAGCTCGGGCACCGTCGCCTTCGTGCTCGCCACGGCGGCCAACTTTGTCGACACCACGCACGCCATGTGCCGCAAGTACGGCGACCTGCAGATGCAGTTCGTCAGCGTCGAGCGCGTCATCGAGCTGCTCGACCTCGAGCAGGAGGAGCCCGGCGACGTGCAGCCGCCCGCGGCCTGGCCGGCGGCCGACGACGATGTGGTCTTTGAGGGCGCGACGGTGCGGTACGCGCCGCACCTCGAGCCCAGCCTGCGCGGCGTGTCGGTGCGCATCCCCGCGCGCTCGACGGTCGCGGTCACGGGGCGGACGGGCTCGGGCAAGAGCACGCTGGCGCTGGCGCTGCTGGGCACGGTGCTCGCGCACGGCGACGGCGAGCAAGGGGGCGGCGGCGGAAGCGGGATCCGGATCGGCGCCATGGACGTCGGGCGCGTGGACAAGCACGCGCTGCGGCGGCGCATCAGCTTCGTCGCGCAGGACCCCGTGCTGTTCCCCGGCACGCTGCGGGAGAACCTCGACCCGGTCGGGGAGCACTCGGACGGGGAGTGCGCGGCGGTGCTGGAGCGCGTGATGCGCGAGTCTGGAGGCGGCGGCGGCGGGGCCGGCGGCGGGGAGGGCCTGACGCTGGGCAGCCGCGTCGACGGCGGGGGGAAGAACCTGAGCCAGGGGCAGCGGCAGCTCGTGGGTCTGGGCAGGGCGGTGCTGAGGAGGAGCCCCGTTGTTATTTTGGATGAGGTGAGTGACTGGCCCTCTTTTACTTGCTCGTCGACATGCATGCTTGTTGAGTGTCTTTCGTGGTTGAAGGCTGCTTGTGCAATGTGGTGAATACTGGCCTTACTGACTTGTCTGGTGCAGGCTACGGCGTCGATCGACATGAAGACTGCGTTCTACATACAGCAGGTCCTCCGGGAGGAGCTGCGCGACAGCACGGTCATCACGATTGCGCACCGGCTCGAGGCTGTCAAGGATGCGGACTTTTCGATAGTGTTGGATAAGGGCCAGGTCGTGTATGCTGGTCCGGTTGGTGGTGGGCAGGCGGAGAGGGAGGAAGACGACGACCAAGAAGAGGAGGAATAAGGTTTGAAGGAGGGCTAGCTGTGATGATGAGAGGATATCCAGAGCAGAGCAGCAATCATAATGGAGCAACATATCCGTATACCTTGACGAGGCCTTTCAGATGACATATACATAGCGAAGCTAGCTTCATGGATGAAAGTGAATCGCAGACATAGTTATTGCCAAAAAGGGAATACAATATCCTGGAGCTAGAGTGGCCTTCTTGGCAGTCAAGAAGGAAATGGAAACCCACTAATGTCTCCGGATGTCGCCTTGCTCTGGAGTTGGGTATTACTGTTCGAAGGGTAGACTTGAGGAGGGCCTGGTCAAGCATTCTCGCGAAGAACTAGATCCGGCTTCGAGGCCATCGGCGTTATGTGTGCCGGGGTTAACGCACTTAAACGACGCTCCCGGCCCTGCCGCCAATCACCAAGCTAGGCAAATCCCACGAGCTTCCCCATGTTTGCTCGATGCATGAATGCCCCGGAACCTTGTTGGTCAGTGCCGCACCACCGCAGCATGGCTAGTGTCGAAGCTCGTGGAGCTATTATTGATAAGCAGCGCGGTTACGCCTCTGGATAGGTATTTTGACACACTAGGTACATTCTAATGTCCGTAGACTTGTCGTTCTCGGCACCTCGCCGTGACGTAAAACCCGTAGAAAAACCCGTAGAAAAGGGCGAAGCCTATTCAGAACTCTGATGGCGATGGCGCCAGGTATAAAAGAGTCGATAGACTCCCGCATTCATTATCGTTACAATATCTCTCTTTCTGGAGAATCAATCCAATCTTGCGATAGCGACCATCCCTTACAGTGACAACAACTGCCATCGCCCGAAGATCAATATAAACCACTAGAGCAGAAGGTTGACAACGCCAAAGGCACAGCAACCGCTAACAGAGACCATGTCCACCCCTCCCATCCCTCCCGCTCTGCAAAAGAGCATCGACAGCTCCGAGGTCGAGTACGTCAACCTGGGCACCTCGGGCCTGCGCGTCTCGGTCCCCATCCTCGGGGCCATGGGCCTGGGCACACCGGAGTGGCAGCCCTGGGTGCTGGCCGAGGAGGAGTCGATCGCGGTGCTCAAGGCCGCCTGGGACCGGGGCATCACCACCTGGGACACGGCCGACATGTACTCCAACGGCATCAGCGAGGAGGTTATCGGCAAGGCCATCCGCAGGCACAACATCCCGCGCCACAAGCTCGTCCTGCTGACCAAGTGCTACGTCACCATCGGCGAGGAGCCGGCCGTCAACGGGACGATGTGGCGGGAGCAGATGAGGGCGACCAAGGACTATTCCAACAACGGAGGTGAGTCTCATTCTCTCGCCCCCTATCTCTTCCCTTCCCACGCGCGAGGAGCTGGCTGGTCGATGATCTAACACCGCGCAAAAACCACAACAGGCCTCTCCCGCGCCTCCATCATGCACGCCGTCGACGCCTCCCTCGCCCGCCTCGGGACGACCTACATCGACCTCTACCAGGTCCACCGCTTCGACTACGGCACGCCCGTCGAGGAGACGATGGAGGCCCTCAACGACCTCGTGCGCGCCGGCAAGGTGCGCTACATCGGCGCCTCGTCCATGTGGGCCACGCAGTTCGCGCGCATGCAGGCCGCCGCCGAGCGCCGCGGCTGGGCCCGCTTCGTCAGCATGCAGAACGTGTACAACCTGCTGTACCGCGAGGAGGAGCGCGAGATGATCCGGTACTGCCGGGACACGGGCGTCGGGGTCATACCCTGGGGCCCCATGAGCGGCGGCCTGCTGGCGCGGCCGCTCGGCGGCGGCGGCGGCGGCTCGACGCGGGCCAAGACGGGCAGGGCGTACGTCAAGGACCTGTCCGAGGCGGACGCCGAGATCGTGCGCAGGGTGGAGAAGGTCGCCAAGGACAAGGGATGGGCGATGAGCCATGTCGCGCTGGCGTGGACGCGGGCCAAGGGCACGATCCCTATCGTCGGCTTCAACTCGGTGGAGCGGATCCAGGACGCGGTGGCGATGAAGGGCAAGGCGCTGACGGAGGAGGAGGTCAAGTTCCTCGAGGAGCCGTACGTGCCCAAGCAGGTCGTTGGACACTTCTAGATATCGGCGGCGGTGCGTAAATTTGTTGAAGTAGTTAGTAGTGAGAACGTTGGTTCAGGAATGACATATGACGGTCGCGAGCTCAGCCGTGCGTATGTACTTGAGGCCCTCATCGATGATAAGTACCTCGTTCCTCGAAACCGGCCAAGATAGAAAGGTCCTCATGTTTCATGGAGGTTATCAAAACTTAAAGTCCTTCTGCTCCAGGATCGACTCGAGCGTCGAGTCGCCCAGCGCCCGCGCAGTCCTCTGCAGACACTGCGCCAGCCACAGCCTCTCCGTCGGCGGCGTGTCCTTGGTGCTGATGGCCAGCGTCAGCGGCCAGGCCATGAAGAGCGCCAGTTTCGGCGGCAGCTCCGAGAAGTCCTCTCCCGCACTCGCGCCGTCGCCGTCGCCATCCTCGCGCGAGCCGGCCGTGCCGTTGACTCGGCTCTCGTAGTCTAGGAAGTACTGCATGCCGCCGCAGATGTCGCGCGTCATGACCTCGATGTTGACCCTGCACTCGGCGTGCTCGCTGTCGCCGATCGGGTACGACGCGCCGTTGAAGTCGAGCGTCAGGGACGGCAGGGAGGCGAGCCGCATGCTGTTGATCGCTATCCTGGCGGCGCGGTACCTGTTCCACACGGCTGCGTGGCCCGGCGAAGCGTACGTAGGCACGATGGCGCTGCTGCTCTTGGTGGGATCGACTGTGAACCCTTCGGTCCACTCGGGAGGGAGGCTGCTGGCCCAGGCCGCGAACGCTCTGTCGAGCTCCTGGGCGTCGTCTCCTAGTTTTGAGAGCCCGCTGTCCCCGAACCTGTCGACGGATCTGGCGCGGAGCAGCGAGAGACGGACCATGAGCGAGTCCAGCGCGAGGACCGGCCCTTCCTCGCCGTACTCCTTCCCGTCCGCCATCCAGGCTGGCACGGGTACGCCGCGGAGAATGCACGTTCGCACCTTTGACGAGGTGCAGTAAGTTAGTAGACAGCTCGTCGTGGGCAAGACCGAGATGACTCACAATTTGTCTCCTCACGACCTTGTCCAAAGCCAGGTTAGCCCTCATCCCCTTCTCCCGGCGCAGTTTCAGCAGCACCGCCGCGCCCTGGTGGTGCGCAAAGTTCTTCCAGAAGCGCGAGCCGACCTTGTCCTGCCGCGTGGCATGCGGCCGATCGCTCTGGAAGCTAAACATGGTGTTCTATCCCGACATTTTTCCAAGTTAGCCCACCACAGATCTCCAGCAGAGAGACAAAGCTTCCAGGCCCACATACCTCATAGTACGCCATCAGCATGCTCGCCATGAGCAGGTCGTCCAGCATGACGGGGTCCACCTGCGCGGCCCGCACCTGCTCGTTGGCGGCGACGACGCACCGCTGGTACAGCCGCACCGCCTCGGCCGTGGCGTCGGGCGCGCGGCGCGCGCGCCCGAAGACGGCGTGCGTGACGGCCGACAGCGCCAGGTCGAGCACGCTGCCCTGCGGGGCGCCGTCCCAGCGCGGCAGCACGTAGGTCGTGTACTCGTGGCCCATGTCGGGCAGCTCGTCGAGGCGGTAGACAAAGTTGCGCGCCCAGAAGTTGAAGGCCTGCAGCTCGACGGGGCAGGCCTGCGACGGCGCGCGGTGCAGGACCATCATGAAGGGCGCCGCGAGCAGGCCCGTCAGCTCGCGCGGCTGCTCGAGCGGCGGCTTCCCGTCGTCCTCTCCTCCGGGGGGAACCCGCGGCCGCCAGCGCCAGGCGGGCAGCTCGGTGCGGCTGTGGGCGTAGGGGATCCCGCGGTCGCGGTCGTGGCCGTCGTGGCCGACGACGACGACGGGCTGGGGCCGGTTCGGCTGGGGCTGGTCCGGCGTCTGCATGATGTGCTGCTGCTGCGTGCCGCCCTTGCCGCGACGCGGGCGGCGGGCCTGGCCCTGGGCAAAGGCATTCTCGGAGCGGAACTGCAGCCCCGTCTCGGTGCCCTGGTCCCAGTCACAGTCGCGGCCGGCCTTGCGGCAGCGGTCGCATATCGGGCGGGTGGTGTCGCACTGGGGGAAGCCGCGGCGGCGGCCATGCGGTTTCAGCCCTCGGACTCTCAAGCAAACCAAAATGGAATCCCGCGTGCGTGCGGTCGGGTCTCTCTTACCTTGACGCGGCGCTTCTTGCACGTGCGGCAGCCTGCGCTCGGGTATCCCATTGCGTACGGGTTTTCTCTCGTTCGTTCAATCCTGCTTGCGTTATTGAGGCGATTCCATGCTATCCTCGAAGGCGCGCGCGGTCAGCAGAGACTTTTTCATGGATTGATTGCTGGGCTCTTGGGTCCGCTCTGCTCTGGGAGAGGAATGAGTCGAAAACCGGAAATACTGACGACATACGTCAAGGTTCAAGGTTCAAAGCCATGCCCTCGAGGGCCCCTTGAAACCTTAAACATTGCTGGCTCTGAGTTTAGCGGGTCTTGCCGGCGCTTTAACATTGTTAGCTGCGTTAAGTCCATCGCCGGTCGAGAAGCTTGGAAACCCCGCGAGTCAATCGGGGGGGCCACCAACAGCGGCGATGGCGATGGTTGGTCAGCGTCAGCGATGACCGATATCACCAAACTGATGTTCGGATATGATGCTGCCTGGGGTTGCTGAATAAGACATCTCGTATCAAAAAAGTCTGGCCGCCGGGACTGGAGATTGGACGAGACGAGGTCACAGGGCATATGCCGGCGAAGTTAGTTATCTATCTTTGCTCTGCTTCCATAAACTGCAGCGTGCGCTGCATACATAGACAATCAAATCTGGCGATACTAAACAATAATCACAGTGTACAGGCTCTGTCTATCCAAGATCTAATCATTTCCCTCTCCCCTCTACAGCTTAGCATCCCGCCTCTTCTTCTGGTAGACCATAAACTCCCTGCCGTGCACCTTGCCGTCCCGCATCACCCGCCTCAGGATCTTGCCGCTCGGCGACTTGGGGATGGCGTCGACGAAGACGATGCCGCCCTTGAGCCACTTGTACCGCGCCGTGCGCTTCTCGACCACGAGCCGGAGCTCCTCGGCCAGCTTGCGCAGCGACTCGTCGTCCCGGCCGCGGCCGGCGGCGGGCACCACGAACGCGCGCGGCCACTCGGTCGCCTCGTCGTCGTCGTAGATGCCCACGACGCCCGCGTCGGCGCAGCCGTCGCACGAGTTGAGCACGGCCTCGAGCTCGGCGGGCGCGACCTGGTACGCGCGCACCTTGATCAGCTCCTTGAGCCGGTCCGTGATGCGCAGGTAGCCGCCGCCATCAATAGTACCCACGTCGCCCGTCTTGAACCACCCGTCGCGCGTCAGCGCCTCCCTGCTCGTCGCCATGTCGGGCCTCGCGCCGGGCTCGAGCCCGCCGAAGGGCAGGTACGCCGTCATGAGGCCCGGGGACCGCACGAGGATCTCGCCGGGGGTGTCGGCGGCCGCGGCGTAGACGACGCCCTTGCCGTCGCTGCTCTGCTCCTCGGCGGCGATCATGACCTCGACGCCCCAGTGCGGGCGGCCGCTGTCGCCGGCGTGCGCGTCCATGTCGGCCTCGGTCGTGCCCGGCTGCAGCGTCGTGCTGCACGCCTCGGACAGGCCGTAGCCGAGGCGCACGCGGAACCCGAGGCGGCGGTGCACCTGGACGACGACCTCGTGGCCGAGCGGGGCGCCGCCCGTCATGCCGCACACGACCGACTTGAAGGCGCCCTTCTTGGCGTAGGGCTCGACGAGCGGGCTCTTGGCCAGCATGACGGCGATGGGCGGCGCCATGTGCAGCATGGTCACGCGGCGGCGGGGCACGGCCTCGAGCATGGCCGGCAGGCTGAACTGCGACATGGTCCAGACGGTCGACCCGGCGGCGGCGCCGAGCAGGAAGAGGTTGCAGAGGCCGAAGACGTGGTAGAAGGGCACGTAGCCGAGCCAGCTCTGGCGCTGCCCGCGGTAGTAGTCGGCGTCGTGCCACAGCGACGCGACCGAGAAGTTGAGCGCGTTGTGCGAGATGAGCACGCCCTTGGACCGGCCCGACGTGCCCGAGGACCAGAGGATGACGGCGGTGCGCGACTTGGCCGTCTCGGGCGGCATCACCGACGCCTCGGCCGGCGGCGCGGGCGTCGAGAGGAGCAGCTCCTTCCAGTCGAACTGGCCGTGGACCGCGCTGGTGGTGCTGCTGCTGCCGCCATCAGACGACGAGACCTGCGGGTAGGTGTCGTGGTTGACGTCGACGACAAAGATGGGGATCTTCTTGAAGAACTCGGTGTCGGCCTGGCCGCGCAGGGCCTCGCGCATGTTGTCGAGGCAGGCCTTGGCCGTGATGATGACGCGCGGCCGCGCGTTCTGCAGGATCCACGAGACCTCGTCGCTCGTCAGCGCCGGGGACACGAGGGTGGCCGTCAGGCCCGAGGCCAGCACGCCGAAGACGGCCGGCGCGAAGGGCAGGCAGTTGGGCAGCTGGATGAGGACGACGGGCGCGATGGTCGGCTCGGCGCACGTCGGCGTCGGGGGCAGCGTGTGCGTCTCGTTGGGGTTCAGGCCCAGGGCGTGCAGGCCCGCGGCCAGGGCCAGCGCATCCTGCTTGATCTGCGCGTAGGTGAGGGCGCGGTCTGGATCCCAAGCAGCCTGTTAGCTAGGGGTTCATTTGTGTGCGATACTCTCCCTCCGATAGCGGCCACACAGCCGCGATGGCGGTCGACTTGCCTGACTTGTCCTCGACAAAGATCTTGCGGTCCTCCTCGATGCGCGGGACGACTTGTGAGGCTGGCGTCCAGTCGTTCTGGCTCTTGAACGGCTGGTCAAAGATGAAATGGAAGGTGTTCCGGAGAGGTATGTGGCTCGGTTCGGCGCCCGCGTACGCCAGCTTTCCGTGGCCCTGTCCCGACATTTCGCTGGTGCTCTGAGACGCTCGTGCAGTGCCTGCGTGCCGTGCGGTCTTGGTCTTGTCTTCTTGTCTTGCGTGTTTCTCTTCGTTCTTGGCGCCGCTGGTTTCCCCTCTTGCTGCAGTCTCGCTCGATGTTTGAAAGAATGAAGAACCAGAATCGAGAGGAAGAAAAAGAATTCAGCCGCCTGGACAGCGCCCGCTTGAGATATTCAGGCACAAGCTCAGTTCCAGGGAGAGGCCAAGAACCCCACAGGAGCTTCCTACAGTGGAGAGGCAGCGCAGTGCAGCGAGGCGTTATGAACACCCGCACCCGAATGCGCTTCTCCCGCGCCGAGGCCCCACGCGATGCGCCTCAATTGGCCAATACCGGCTCCTGTAATGGCAGACAGACAAGACAACTGCAACAAAAGAATGACCGGCCGCGGGTGCAGCCAAGGCAAGCTGGGGATAGCGTAGAGAGGATGGATGGGCAGCGTATTTCCCCTCACCAATCGAGTCCCTTCGGCAGTTTTTTCCCCCCCAGCGCAGCACCGCCAAATGCTCCACCACGCTTGGGAGTGCTCCACTCTCCCCAGATCCGAGCGAGGCATAACATTTTCCCCGACTTGCGGGTCCTCAATGAGTCTCCTCTGAGGCTCCTCCGACACTGGCTTCCGGCAGTACAAAAGTAGCTCGGCCTCGACCTTCGAAACCTCCACATTCCGCCCAGTTCCGGACGGAACAGGTGAAAGTCGGAGGACCCGGCATTGGCACGCTGGAGCCCGGGTCACCCTGCCGCCGCAACCAGAGACTAGAAACCGTGCCCGATTGGACTCAATTGCATGTGGGTTGAGAAAATAGAGCTACAGGCGTTGAGTTCGGATGATGTTAAAGACATGGCTGTAAAGTCACGTAGGTTGTTACTGTCGGACTGGAGGTTGAGATTTGAAGACAACATCAAGAGCCAGGCTGTAGGCGCGCTTAGAGGGCTGGTCTGGAGTGGTCCTTACACCTTAGGGTGCACCATATGAATCCTGACGGGCATAGCATTGTGCTCAACGCTCGAGACGATCGAATTTCTTCACCGATAAAGCTCAGCCAGTGCGGCTCCAGGCACAGTACCGATATCGTTCTCTCGAGGTTGCGCAGCATCACGACATCGACCTAGAGAGAATATCTGATGAATCCATGGAGTTAGAAGTAACAAGCACTCGTGCGGACTTGGGAGATGTGCGCGGCGTAGGATCCAGAGGCTAGCGAGAAGATCCTAAAACTTGCATTTCTACTTTCCCCGTGAAAAGAGTTTTGTTCAGAGTTGAAGGTAATGATGTCGCGATACTGTCTATTCAGAATGGTACAAAACCTCGAGATGGTCTCTGTCAGGTGCAATCCGAATCACATTGTTATCTCCGGAACAGTCCAAGAGACATGGTGAACATGCACTGTGGTGAGATTGTATTCATTATGAGTAATGTCGGTCATTCATACTGATGTTGCTGCAATAGCCATACCAAGACTGTACAATGTTCCGAATCAAGCATGTAAATGTCAGTGATAAAGAGGAACCGAAATCTTAGTTCAGAAGGACATATCTCGATAAACACTCGAATCCACCAAAGACTACCTTATGGATATATGTCAGGTCGCTTCGCGGAATTGAATGCATGTGTCAACCCACATGCCAAGCACCAACGGAACATGGCCAAGGTTTACTATCCTCTGGCCGTACTTAGTTTTTGGCTTATTCTGCTTTTGAGAGGAGGACTGTTTCAATTCACGAGTATCTCTAAGCTTGAAGACTACGAAGCCACAGTACGCAGCCCTAGTCTCATAAATATACCAGCTCGATATTCCCGGACTGTCCGCTATTGTAGCATAGTTAGGCCAGGCACTCCTTATCGAAGGCCCCAAAGTCCTTTCAAGGGCCCGTGTCTATTGTGCTCCTGTCCATCAGCGGCGTCCATACGAGTTCATCACAATCAATGTCCCTTACCATCATCTAGCATGACTTTCCATTGGGGTTCCAGTTGCAGCCGCCGGGATAGCAGAATGCACAGACGCACTGGTGGTCCTGGCAGGCGCAGCTGATGTCACAGCTACTGCGGTCCGACTGCTGGGCGAGAGCACCCTCAGGAGTGGCAGCTGGGGCCGCAACGGCGAGCGCGACAAACAGGGAGAAGATGACGCCGAAGGATCTCATTATGACGGAGGTTGACGGTGTTGTGAACTTTGAATTTGCAGGTACGTGTTCAAGAGAAGAAATGGCTTGCTGGCACTCAAGCGTATCGATATTGCTGGAGGCGTTCGTGTTGTTTAAATAGAATTACCATGACCCAGGAACTCGCTGAAGATGCCCTCAAGCTTTCTGTGAGTAAGCGCAGCGTGGCATCCGTGTTACACAACTATGCGGCTGCCATCAAATTAGCCTATGCATAGCATGGGGTCCTTTGAAGGATATGCGTAAGACTTCGTTGGACGAAGCGACGCGTGTTGTGGGCTCGGCGGCGAGCAGGCCCGATACCTACATGCAAGGCTGTGGTGGCATCGTATTTTGCCGGGAGGCGCATGCGTAAACTGCATAGGCGCTGCGTCTAACAACTTGAACTCAATAATCAAAGATGCGTCCATTGCAGGCTCGTCGGGATCATTCCCGGCGTCAAGCTTACTGATAATTGGCGCGCTCGTATTACCGAATCCTGCAGCAGAGTCGAGTCGAGCCAATCACTGTCCCCTCCACCTTGTACGCTGCGGATTGTTTACTCATTGAAGAATGTCGGAAGCAGTTGAGCTGTTTCTGTCAGTTAAATTCCACCAGTAGCAGGGCCTTCCATAGCCAACACACCACTGACGCGGTCCTTTTGTTCAGGAGGAGCAAGTTTGGAGAAACGCAATGCACATCATGTCATCTAGATTGTCGGTTACAGTGTTTATGAGTTTGATTGGACAGGATGCAAGTCACGCAGGTGCTCCCGACATCCGATATCGAACTACACGGACTTCCTTGTGAATTGGAGTGCAACCCTACAAGGGTTTATTTCTGAGGAGAGTGACATAAGTGATTCCTAAAGTTGTCAAGATTCTGAGGAAGATTATCAAGTACCAACCTGCACCGTTATTGATAGCAAGAACGTAATTAGCAATAGACGGGAAATGAGCACGCGACTGCTCGCAGGTTGGCTGCTTGAGCTCCCTACTGACAGTTATGATCCCCAATCCTGGGTAAGCCGGGTCCCAATCCACCTTGCTGCGTCAGCGACGGCGACAATGGAAATGTCTGCCTTTTCCGCCTCGGCAATGCGGCACTCCGGCCACCCACTCCGCTACACCCTCCGGGGCGATGTTCGGGAGCTTCAACAGTAAGCCAAGGTTGGTCAAATTAACATTTGAGTGGTAGGACGGTATTTATCTTAAAGTAACATGAAGATTTGGCCGGTGACACTCGGCTACTCGGGACACCGCTGGCATAAAGGGCGGCAGCGCACCAACGAACAATATTTGACGTTGTAGAGTTCGTCTCATGTACGCTGTCCATAGCTTTCCGACAATCATTGCTTCCATGTTAGTACACTCTCGCAGGTCCGATATCGTTGATTAGACAATGACTCAGTGCTTGAGGCTTGGACTGGACTTTTCTTCGTAAATCTAGCCAATGCGAAGCATGCAATCCCGGCCACCGGGAGATGTAATCTAGACTCGTGGACTACAGGGGACTGCCGTCAATAGTGCGTTCGATAGCTTGGATGGCCTGCGTTCAGCTCGCCCAAGAGTGGTCTTCAGGCCCGGCCTAAATAAGGCTAAAATTAAGCTAAAAGCCCTGGTGATGCCCCTTTCAGCTTGACTCTTGGTGGGTTTTGGCGCTGAAGTAACCCTTTAAGCTTAGCCGTAGAAGCGGCGGCGAGAACCGCCAGCTCTAGATCCCAGATCTGAACCCATCCAGCGTGCCAGAAGCCCCGACTTCTCTGCTGGCATTCCTGGGGTTGTGTCAATCCAGCGAATCATATCGCCAGAGAGGCTTCCTAGCCAAGTGTCCCGCCTCCGGACCGTCGCGGTGGACGCGCCGCTACCGCCCCAGGGACCCTGGTTCTCGAATATTCGTCCATCCTTGCCACCGCCGTCGCTAGATCTGAATGTTTTAAGACCAGCCCAACTCCTTTTTGAGAAAGCACATTGCCTGGTTAGGCATGACGTGCAGGGGACCTCTACAACGCTAGGTTGTTAGCAGAATGGTGATGTGCCGGAAGAGGACTGAGGTGTGAGCTAGAAGAGCTGATAGACCAGGCCAGGCCTTTAGTCCCTGCTTCTCCGTCTCGGGGTCTTCACGATAGCTTCATTTCCGTGTGGTTTGTGCTGGCAAGGGCTGCCTCAGCGACGGCTGAGCTAATAGAGAAAATTTGACCTTCCCGCCGAAGTGTTCTCGGTCTTTAAAATGAAGCTCTTCCCCTTCCCCGAAAATGTGCCTCCTCGGGCTCACCCGCAGATCCTGTGGAGAAGGTCAACACTATCGCTAGTCGTTGGTTCGCTCTTGGCTTGTCTTTCTCATCATGAAGGCATCCATCAAGTTGGCCACCTTGGCCTGTGCTCTTTCAGGAGTCAGTGCCGCACCCGAGAAGGCGGAGAAGCGAGCCGGTTGCAACGCCGACAACTGTCTCCGTGCCATCGCCATCACCCGCTTGGGCGAGGCGACCCGGCAGGTCCGCCTGTACGACTGCAGCAGCTTTCTGCAGGCGACTGTCACGCCGGCAGCCACGTATGTCATCACCAAACTGCATCTATCTACTATTGCTACTTCGTACTGACGACCAACCCAACCTATACAGAACTATCGTTACTACATCAACGGTAATGACCACCGTCACCTCCGGGGCCGCCAGCATTGTCCCCAACAAGCGTGAGGATGCACCGCTGGCTCCCCGTTCCGCCTCCAGCGAGAAGCCCATCCCGGCCTACGCCAGCCCTTGCTCGGGCTCCGTCCGGTATAGCAGCGCCTGCTTGTGTGCCGGCGCGACCATCTCCACAGAGACCGCCGAGGTCGAGACTCTGACATCGACCGTGTATTCCACGTCCACGATCGTCATCAGCGACAGCCCCGCGTACCAGCCTACCAAAGCGGTGCACGTTCCCAAGTTCGACGACTGGACCTCTACCTACACATACGATGAGGTGGCTCTGCCCACCTTTGCCGCTCAGTCGGACCCGACCTTTTCCGCTCCTGTGCCTACGTCAACTTGCCTCTTTGATCCCACAGTTCCAGGCAATGAGTTTGTAAGTGGACATGCCTGCTCATTACTCTAGGTATTGGAAGCTGATAGTTGCATAGTACATCATGGATCAATATTCCGGGTACATGGTGAACCGCGATGGTGCTCCAGGGCCACCTGCGCCGCCCACTACCCAGGAGGAGGCCGATGCCAAGGCTGACCCGTCCACCTTTAATCCCCCTACCTACGTCTTTGAGAAGCCAGAGAATGGCCCTGACCGGTAAGACGTCTCCAAGTCCTTTTAGTACTGATGAATGATCTAACATATTTCCAGTATGTACGACATTGTACTCGCCGGTAGCAACCCAAAACTGTATATCGCCATGAAGACCAACGGAGACATGACCTTCACCACTGGATCTACTCAGGGTGTCGTTAAGAACCGCTTGATCACCACCATCTTCAATGTCGACTGCTTCGGCATGCTCACCGTCACCCAGGGCACCACAACTTACATCTGGAAAGCCACCGACAAGGGTACCAACGCCACCCCCGGTGCCCCCAACAACGAGGGCATCGTCATCCTGCCCAAGTCCATGCGGAACCCGATCCCTCCCAGGCCGTCTAAGAGAGACTTGGAGGAGCGGACATATGCCGAGGAGGGTTTCAGCCCGCGATGCTTCGGCGCTCCTAGCAACGTGTTTGCTGTGACAAAGGTTGACGCCCGCAAACCGGCCGCCAACGGCTGCGGCTCTGGAGCCCTCGGCAAGTTGGTGCCCAACTGGAACTTTGGCAGTTGTTGCGACGCCCACGACTACTGCTTCGACAACTGTGACCGGGCCTTTGAGGGCTGCAACCTCGACTTCCTCGGCTGCATGTCCAAGAAGTGCTGGTCTGTCGCCAAGAGCTGGACCTTCTGGCTCGCCCCGGCCTGCTTCGGCATGGCCGATCTGTACGCCGGCATCGTCAGCGGGCCCCTCGGCATGGTCGCCTTCCAGAGCGCCAACAGCGACCGCTGCACGTGCACCTGCCCGAGCTCCAACGGCCAGAAGGCCAGCATCTGCGGCCCCAACTGCATCGTGACGGGCGGCAACGACAACAACAACTGCGGCGGCTGCGGTAACACGTGCCCCTTCAAGACGCACTGCTCCAACGGCGGCTGCACCTGCGACGGCGACCGCTGCGGCAACCTGTGCCTGAACCTGCAGACGCACCCGCGCAACTGCGGCTCGTGCGGCAACGTCTGCGCCTCTGGCTACTGCTGGCAGGGCACCTGCATGCCCGTGCCCGCGAACCCTGACCACTGCATCCCCGTCGACGGCTTCGACAACGGCGGCTTCGCCTACAACTCGGACCAGGGGTGGACCGTGACCCGCACCGGCGACGCCCTGTCCATGCAGCCCGCCCTCGGCGTCTTCGACGGCGCCGCCAGCGGCTCCGACCCCTTCGACGCCGCCGTCGACATCCTGCACGGCCCCACCGGCGGGTCCGTCACGCTGAGCCAGGCCGTGCACATCTGCCCGGGGACCAGCTACGCCCTCGACTTCGTCGCGCGCCGCGTCTACGGCACGACCAACCCGCAGCGCTCGTGCACGATCCAGGCCTCGCTCGGCGGCCGCCAGGTCCTGAGCCCGACCGGCATCGAGCCCACGCTGACGACCTGGAAGACCTTTGGCCCGCTCCCGGTCTCGGCCTTTGGCGCCGGCGACGGCGCCCTGACGCCCGCGTCCAAGCACTACTACACGACGCAGTTCGCCGTCACCGTCACCTGCAACGGGAATGGCGGTGGCGGGTCCGACACTTTCAGGCTGGACAGCTTCTCTATTTACCCGCAGTAAAGGGGCTATGGCAGGGCAGAGCGATGGAATGAATGGGGGCATCAACCCGCGAATTTCTTAGCGACGTATTCATCTAGATTAGCAGGCGATCGCTCTTTTATTCTCTACGAATGCACAATGGTTTCACAAGTCAACTACCATACGTGGTCTCATATTCCCTGATGTCTCTGCTCAGGTTCCTAGGCCATCTCGAAATGCTCGGTGAATCCTTCCCTGATCCATTGCCTAAATGCCCTCTTCTCCCCCAAGCTTCCCTGAAACTCCATGAGCTCTTTGGTTCCATTAAGCAGTGTGCATATCCGTTGTATGCTATTTTCCTCGTCTCTGGATCTTTCCCAACTCCAGAAGTTCCAGATGAGGCCCAAAGATAGGGCTTCACCAACTCGAATACTCAAGGCTCATAACTCGGAGGGAGATCTTCGGGGTGCTCCTGTGTTTGCACTCCCACATCTCTGCGTATTTAAGTTGGTGGACGTCCTGTCTTGCCTCAGGGCTTGAGGCTGGTCGAATGAGCCTTGAAGATCATCAGGCGACAGAACAGGAGCAAGTCCAAGGGTGGCTGGGGCGGCAGGAAACATCAGAGCATTTGCAACTAGAGAAGTCAAGTGGCCGTCAGAATGGTTGACGGAAGTTCATCAGGAGCTACCTCAATCTTAACAATCAATATCCTTGTCATATCCTTACCCTAGAACTCGGAAGGGCCATCCCACTACCTAAATCTGATGGGCTCGATGGATAGTCAAGTACTTCTGTTAGCAGTCCGTCAAATAATCTGGCCTGTTCGAACGATCTTTCTGTACAGGAATTCAAAGCATACTCGCTTTCGATTGCTGGACACCAAGCATCAGTGGTCTGACATTAATACGACCTATGACGTCATTCATGTGCTCAAAAGGGTTGGTGTTATGAATTGTCAGCATGAAATCCGCGACCCCTCCTCGATCACACATCGCAGCTTGGCAGCTCGCTGAGATCAACATGTCCGCCAAGCGCAAGGCGGAAGGAGACGACCAGGAGCATGGAGATGCTGATGAGCCCTCCTCCCCCAAGCGACTAAGCGCCAGACCCGCCCGGTCCAGGGACGAGTACCACAATACCCAAGCCGGCTTCGTGCACTACCCGCCGTCCAAAGTCTACCGGCTGATCGAGCCCGGCCCCGTGCTGCTCGTCACCACCGGCTCGCTCGCCGACTCGACGCACAACATCATGACCATCGGCTTCCACATGGTCATGCAGCACGAGTCGCCGCCGCTGATTGGCATCATCCTGGGGCCGTGGGACGCGTCCTTTGAGACGCTCAAGGAGCGCAAGGAGTGCGTCCTCGCCGTGCCGGACGTCGAGATGGCGGAGGTCGTGGTAGACGTGGGCAACTGCTCCTCGACAGACGACGACTACCATGGCGCTGACAGGGACGTGTGCTGGAAGTGGGAGCACTTCGGCCTCGAGCCCCTGCAGGCAGCACGCGTCAAGGCGCCCCTGGTGGGCGGGCCTAGTGTGATTGCCAACATCGAGTGCGTCGTCGAGGATACACAAATGGTCACCAAGTATTCGATGTGGGTGCTCAGGCCGGTCAAGGCGTGGATCAACCCCAAGAAGAGACCCGGCGAGGAGGGCAAGATGTTCCACCACCGCGGCAACGGGACGTTTGTGGTGGATGGGGACATCGTCGATTTACAGGAGAGGATGGTCAAATGGCAGGAATACCAACATTGATAATTCTCAAATGCAGCTCTATCTAACACCCGTCCAGTACCGAATACCTGACTCCATGACGCCGAGGCAATGAATGATGCAGTGTGGGACATGTAGCTATTTCCAACCCCCTTTCCTTCAAGAGCAATGGACAACGTTTAAGTTTCCACGTCTGATCTTTGGGTTGTACAAAGCTCTGCAAAGTCGAGCCCTCTACCTATTTCTGGGCGGTATCGATGGGAGTCATGTATATATTGGCAGTGACCTGCGTCCCTTGATCGATCGTGCACCAGAGCTGCCAGAGAAATCAATATACACGCTTCCTTCCAGACCCGAGGCTAATGGAAATACTCACATGGTAACCGTCATAAGCCACTCGGTCAGAAGTTGCTACCTCACTGTCGAAGAGCGCCTCCACGAAGTAGCTCACATTATCTTCGCCCTGGAACCAACTCAAGGCAGATTCCCCAATCTGTATAATATCCCGTAATTCAGTCCTTGCCCTTATACAAGACACCACTCAAGTTTCTAGAGTCCACTTACGATGCACTTGTTATCTCCAACAAAGGGCATTTTGACCCCCAATGTCAGTACGAGACCATTGTTCCATGGGAACCCGTCGTTGAAGAGGACAACGCCGTCGGTGCCAGTCCAAGTGCCCTTCGCAGCTTCAAATCTGCCTATTGGGACGTTGCTCTGGCCTGAGAGGACCGGCTGCGGTTGCTGAGCCACAGAACCCCAGTTGGTCACTGCGGCAGGGTCCGCCAATGTCCAATTGTAGGGCGTCAGATTGGTGGCGAACATGTCGATTGAGTACTGGCCAAAGGTGAGTTACGATTCCGCATGATAGAGCAGGTAGCAAGAGACTCACGACCATTTTGAAGTTACTGCGATCTGCTTTCTGGGCGTGGAGGTATGAGGAGTTGTCAATGTTGACATCTCTAACTCCGGGGGATCGAGCATTGGTTTATATAAAGAGATTACCATCTTCTCCTCTAGGTGATGAAGTGCCCTCTCCATGCAGACGTGGATAGGATAAGGTTTGAGGGGCGAAATGCCCGTGGGGTTGACTCGTGTAGCCAACTGCCCAGCCCTGCAACGTGGATCTAGCGCCCCGGCTGGCTTGTCATGTCTCAGCATGGCGCTCCAACGGGCTGGATACACACGGCAACTACTTGACTCGTCTAGATAGTGTCGGTCTGGACTCTTGACATATTTTGCCATTGCCTAAGAGTCTTCCTATTGTGATGGAACTTAAGTAAAGGGATCGCACCTGACTGGCCTGGAGCACGGGAGGATTCGTGACTCAATCTTTACGCGTGATATGAATTGAGTTTTTGAAGTCCGATGAAACGTTGTAAGAGGCTATTCTACGAGTCTTCCGGATTTCTTTGTTGAGACGTGACTAACCCTCAGGGTGGCGATCAAGTTTGACTTAGGCTATTTCGACTAAGGGTGGAAGAACTGAGATCAGGGAATTTCGGAAAGATGGAAAATTCGCCGGCTGACCTGACAGATTCTGGGGACAGAGAGATGAACTATGATCTATCTTCAGTTACCCGTGCCAACATCTTTTACAAGAATTCAGCTACCTCTGCTCTTAAACAAGTACTAGACTATTGACGGATGGTCATTGTTGTATCGGGGCCTTAACCGATGAACCTAGGTATTACAGCGTGTACTGCCAAGCAGTTTTGTTCGGCGACATGATCCTTACTGAGAATCCAAATATTGCAGAGGAACTCAAAGAGGATTTGATCAATGCCCGGAAAATGACCGAAGGAGACATGCCAATGCTAGGAACGCACATCTCCTCTATGTGAATTACACGGGCTATCCCACTATCTAAAACCAATAGGTGTGATGGACAGTGGAGCACTTTTATTACGAGACGTCAACCCATCTGGTCTTCACATGCCTCATTGCATACAACTCATGGTACTGTGATAGCATCGTCCAAAGAATCAAATCCATGCGTGTTGTTTCCATACCATTCATCGTGCTCAGGCTGCGAACCATCCAACAGAAACGAAGGGCTCTGCATTTTCTCGCCATCCAGTTCTCCGAATGCTCTCCCAGTGTCCAATCTCGGCTCCATGGACGTGTACTCCGGGTCTGGGACCGGCTCGCTAGCGCTGAACGTCGATCCCAACCGCGGACGCGGCGACGCCTCGGTTCCCGAGATGGGCGTCGCTGTCGACACGTCGCCGACCAGGCTGGGCGTCTCGTCTAAGAACGCCCACTCCATAGCGTCGCGGGCCACGTCGGCAGCGCCGTACATGTCCTGCAAGTTCTGCAGCGCGCGCATGCAGCGCCGGTAGCCGTTCAGGGCCTTGGCCCGGTCGCCCGAGCCCCGCTGCTTCACGATCAGCAGGTGGGCGACGGCGGCCGTGACGACAAAGGTGACGCCCGCCGACGGCAGCAGGCGGTCGAGCCCGGCGTCGTTCAGGTCGCCGGCGATGTCCGAGATCTGCGCGGCGGCGTGCTGCATGCGGATCTTGGCCATCTCGCACTCGAACAGGTAGCGTCCCGGCCCGGCCCTCATGAGGGACACGTACCGCGCGTGGTACAGCCCGGCCAGGGCGGTGTAGAATACCATGTGCAGCACCGCGCAGTGGATGGCGATGCTCTCGTCCTCCGCATCCGTCACTGAGCCTGTGGGCCGGTGTCTGCAGTGCGATGGCAGCTTGCTATACCATGCCAAGAGATCTTCGTGGCAGGAGGCAACCTCTGTCTCGTTCTCACGCAAGATCAATTCGGTCGGACCAACAGACCCTCGGACCGCGTCACCGATGCTCTTCTCCTCGAAAATGGAGAAGTGGTTGGGCACCTGGTAGCGCAAGGATCGGCATAGTTGAGCCATGGCCACGCATAGGAGTGCGAGGTGATGACGCCGGGCGGGTTGATTCGCGTAGGAGCATATCGCGGTCCAACTCTCGGGCACATGGGATAAATCGGTCGAGAAATCCGATTCTTGGAGCATGCTGACGGAAATATCGCTGTCTCTGATGCGCGGAGGACGGCGCATGGCCATGGAAATGAGACGGTCACGGATGAGGCACGCCCACCAGACCCGCCTGCGCAACTGTGCTTGCGATGGGTCTATCGTCGGGGTTGCTTCCAGATGCAGGCATGCAGCGAATGCTTGGGATATCGCCACGTCGATCCAGTGCCATGCATTGCGATGGTCTTCGGCCGTCTCATACCACAGCGACATGAGGAGCAATGACTGCACGATGATGAAGCGGTCTGGTTCGCAGTTGAAGTCGTAAAGTAGCTAATGTCATGAACCATCAGTATCGCAACAAGTGAGACCGACTTAGTCTCGCACTTACCCTCGTCCTTTGAAAGAAAGTCTTGCGGGCCTGTCTGCGCGTGCGGAACCCAGCTTTGCGTAGGTGATCCATGTCGACATGGGCCGTTCCGGCGAACATGATTGCTTGAAAGAGCAAAAGGCTCGTCCTATCGTGTTCTCCCTCTTGAGTTGCTACGGACCGCAAGAAGCGTTCAAGGTCAAGAATGGGCATGAACGGGTGCACATAATCAAAGTACGACCGAAGTAGTGCAGTCTGAAGGGTATTTTCGGGGAGTTTCAGGGCGCCTTTCGCAGATAGATAGGCCAAGTCTTCGGCTGGGATCTGCGTCGAAAAAGGTGCGATAAATGGCGGCAGCTTTGAGGGGGCATTTTCCTTGGGGATCGAGAATGAATCGGTGCCTGTTACGACTTGCCCAAAGATCATCTCATTCGACCAACCTGAGGATGCTGGCGTAGAAGATATACCTGAAGCGGTATTGAATGTGTTCTCCATGCAGTTGTGCGTTGTAGAAAGGAGGTTAAGGATACCAGGCGATTCTGTATCCGCGATCGGTCAGCGATGCACCGATTCTTTCAGATCGATACTGATCCATACCTGGGATAGTGGGAATAGAGAGCGGCCCGCCTGTTTCGTAAGTGGGCGAATGCCGTGGTGAAAAGACTCGAGGGCTGGTACCATCCGAGGATTGGATGAACTGGGACGTATGGCCTGTGGCCATTTGTTCGGTTGTGGCTTGCGCGGGAGGACTGGGTGCTTTTGTCGATGCATCACTCTTCGGGAGAATCTCTGGTCCAGCAGGAGTGCCGTGGTAGTAGCTAGAAAGAAGATGGCCGGCCGGTTAGTGGCGGAACGCGGAACCTCTGGTGTACAGTGGTAGAATACGAAGGTTGTCTCTTGGGCATCTTCTTACCGATTGCGTCTTCGGTTGAGGACGACACACTCGGTGTCGTCCCACTTGCAGTTGCCACAAGGAATGCCCTGTACGACTACATCGCATCTGACTTTGCGGGCTCGACAGGAGAGACAAGCTCGACGCGAACGGCGCCGGAAGGTCTGCTTTTTCGAGGAATCTTGTAGCGACACGGAAGTGTGCTCGTCATCGTCATCGCCCGTGTTTGGAGCAATGGGCAGATGCCCGCGGTGATCAGTCATATCGTATTCAAAATTTAGGAAAGTCTTGGGGATTGCATGAAGGGGTTCACAAAGCCGAGAAAATGCACATTCCGGGGCTATCTTGGGGTAAGGAGCGCAACGAGCTTAGAAGTACGAGTGCCGGCCCACGAGTCTGGGGTTACGTCGGCTGTCGGATAACTAGATCTTACACGATCTCCATTACTCCGGATGGCAAGTTTCCGGACCAGAGAGTCTTACACGGACCACTGAGCATCCCAAAACGGAAAAAAATCGAGAACAGCGCTGGACTTGATTAGTTGCCCAAGGTCCACCCTCCCTTATGACCTCAGCGTTATGGTGCGAGCCGCGGCTCAACACGGCAATGTAAAGCCGTGTGTGGATCTTCACTTCACTAGCTGACTTTTAATGATCCAGAAAACGTCGCCATGTGTGTGTAAAGGACCCAATTCGTCGGCAACAGAGCCAATCATGGATATCTGCGAGAATAGAGGCTCTCACAAGTTCTCCAAACCCTTTCCACTATTGGGCAAGAGAGAGCAGTCTGGGGTAAGGTGGCTTCCAACTCGTCACGCACAGCATACGGGATTTCCAATTTCATTCTCCACACCCCACAGCTCTCCAGGTGATGTGTTGGGTGTGGTGGGCTAGAGGATGGATTCGGCGTTCAAGATTGATCTGCTAGCTTCTCCGGAGTCCCCGCACCAACACGTCTAGATGACCATTCCTCGACTGCTTGCGTGAACAAGTCAACGGGTCCTCAAACCAATCGTGATTCTCTATCATCGCCATCGAGCTCAACCTTTGTGCAACCCATATCGTCTGTAAAACGTGTCACGCGATCAACCCATGTCTGATGACTCGGATGGCGGCGAGAGCCGCAGGAAGCGGATCCGTCAGGCTTGCCTGAACTGCCGGCGGAAAAAGGTACGGTGCGGCGGCGAGAAGCCGATTTGCACCTTTTGCAGCAAATTGTCGCAGACCTGCGTCTACACCGAAGATGGCCGAAGTCATAGGCGCGGACCGCCTTCAGTACACGTCGCTGGCGAGGGCTTGTCAGACGCACTGGACGGCGCGTTCGCCTCTAGGATCACGTCTGTAGAGGAGCGGCTGACGAGAATGGAGGGGACGCTCGAGCGGTTTGAAAGGCAAGACAAATTATATACATGGGCTCCTAAGGATATTGTTGCTGATCACGTCACACATAGTCTTTTGTCATCCCTGGTCCAAGCATCACCAAGGCCACAGCTGCCCCAACAGCCATCTCCGTCATCGCATACCGGGTCTATGGCAGGCCAAATGCCGCTGGATGGACGAATGACGGAGAGTTCTACTCTGCTGGATATGCCGACGGCTGTCCCCTCCGCACTAGGAGGCTTCGTCCAGCCGCCTTTACACACACTTATATTTGCAGCCGACGTCTATTTCCGTTTCTACCATAATCAGCCGTTCTCTCTTTTCCACGAAGCGACATTCCGTAAGCGCCTAGCTGCCGGTGAACTACCAGAACACCAAATATGGGCCCTCCTGGCTGTTGCGCGGCGATATTCTACCCTGCCTGACCTACAGCTCAGCGCCGTGGACGACGCTATCTGCTTTGCTAAGCGAGCTTGGGACTGTATGAAGCTGCCCTGGAGTGGCGCCGCACGACTAGAAGAAGCTGTGCCGGTCATACAGACTATTCTACTGATCGTCTCTATCGAGCTTCCAGGTAAGTCTGCTTGTACACCCCAATATTGAAGCAGCAGAACACACACTAAGCGCAGTGACACAGCCTGTGAATGTGCATCAGCTTTCATGAAGCTCGGATTCGCCATCCGCTTAGCCATGTTCTCCAGCATGCAACATGATGCTGCTAAATCTTTGTCACCTCAAGTGCGGGAGGAGCGCCGGCGCACATTCTGGTCTCTCTATCTACAAGATAAGCTGGTCTCCCTCACAAAAGAGTGGTTTCCTGTTTTGCGCGATGAGGAGTGCCCGCTCCGCCTCCCGTGTTCGGAGCCAGCCTTCCAAGAAGGCCGCGAGGAGACCACCCCAACGCTAGCCGACTTCTCTGGAGACTGTCTCGACGCGGCAGCCGTAGATTCGTGTTGTCCTCTGGCATTGATCACGGTGATGGGGAGCGTCTTGTCTAGGGTCTCGCAGTACGTGCTCAGAGAGAGTAGATACGCCCAGCACGGCCCGCCGTGGAGCTCAAGCAGCCCGTATGCCTCCATATCGTCGACTCTGCTCCAACTCGAGATGCACTTCGGCATGGGAGATCAGGTAGCCGACGGTCTACGGAAGCGGTGCTTTATAGACGGCGCAGTGGATCAGCATCTCGCAGGGAGCTACGTCTACTCCAAGGCCGTGTTTCACCTGTCGCACTGTCTCCTACATCATCCGTTCCTATTACAGCAACGCTTGAAAGTCCTGGGCCAGAAGGCGCCCCCCACTTTCATCCGTAGTGCGTGGCAAATATGCCGCACGCATGCGATGAGCTTGACAAGCCTCAAGGACATGCGTGATCACAATGTGGTTATAGTGACGAGTCTGTACGGGTACTGCATCATGGTCGCCGGTACCATACACGTTCTGGCTATGAACGACGAGGATCCCAAGGTACGAGAGGAAGGGAGCAAACATTACAAGGCTGCCCTTGAGTTTCTCCGAGAGCTATCATGCTACTGGAAGCACGCATCATTGATGGTGAGAGCCCCTAAACCCAATTCCGTGCAGAGGCATCAAGCTAACAGATATTTAAAACCACAGACTAGGCGCCTTGAACGGTTTGCGCAGCAGAACAAAGTTCGCCATCCATCTCTTGATCCATCGAACCAAGATGCAAAAGCCCTCTGGCTGAGTGTTGACTATGCACAATTGTCCACAGTCACGAGGCCAGGTACCCCGACTGAGGAGAACGATACCTTTAGCCAGGCCGATTTCTTCCTGCCTGCGAATGGCTTCTTCGACTTTGCTAATCTTAGCATGCTGGGAGAAGCCACTGACTCATTTGCGAACTTCCCACTGTTAGATGGAAATCTCCTTCAAGATACGCATACTATAGCTTGAACTGGCGCATAGAGTGCTTCGTCTGACCTCTCTGTTGCCGTTTCTATCGAGGACACCGGGAACTATATTTATGCAGGTGTGTGAACAATTACATCTATTGACCTATATCTTGGCAGCGGTGCCTCTCAACGCTTTGGTCGCCATGGCGCTCATTATGTGCTTCTGAAACTTCCCACTCCCTGTGACTGGATACTCTTCGATGAGTTCCCCCTTGCCAACCCACAAGATGTGCTGTGGGGCTTTGTGCCGGCCGAGCTCCTCATGAATCCATGCCCTAATCGACTCGTGGTGTGGCTTCTCGTGACCAGGCCTCACTTTCAGACAAGCCGTCACGGCCTCACCGTATTTCTCGTCCTTGACGCCGACAACACATGCGTGACTCAGTGCCGGGTGATGGAGCAGTCGTTCCTCTACCTCGACAGGATAGATGTTCTCGCCACCTTAAAGTCGTCAAAAGTCAGTGTTCGCCCAAAGAACAACAAGAAGCATGCCCGCTCCGTACCTCGGATGATAATGTCCTTTATCCGTCCAGTAATCCGCGCGTATCCATTCTCGTCGATAGTTGCCTCGTCACCCGTGTGCATCCACAAGATGCCGTCCTCGTCGCGAATCATGACCTCTGCCGTCTTGTCAGGGGCCCTGAAGTAGCCTTCTTGCAGGAGATAGCCTGACGTGCATATCTCGCCGCGCACGCCCACGGGCACAATATTCCCCTTCTTATCAATGACCTTGGCTCTCGTGTGCGGCATGACCCGGCCGACGGTTTCCAGCTTGTCCTTTGGGCTATCGCTTATCTCTGTCAAGAAGCTGCCAGGCGAAGTTTCCGTCATACCTAGCATGGTCAGGTTCGCGAGATCTTGCTTTCTTGGCATTTCTCAAGATGGCCATAATTTCACTCACCGTAAAGAATGGCAACGTGTTCATATCCAAGTCGCTTTTGCACCTCGGCCGCAACAGCTGGGGGTATCTTTGTGCCAGCGGCAATGCCCTTTTTAACCGTGTTGACTTTGATTCCCGAGCGGTCCATGTACTGCATGATTGCCGTAAACATGGTGGGGACTCCGTGTAGGGCAGTGCATTCTTCTCGGAGCAGCATGTCGACAACCTGTGGGGGGTCGAAGTCGCGGCCAGCAAATCCGATGGAAGCGCCATGTGTGAATGTCGCCAGCAAGCCCGCGACAAGGCCAAAACAGTGAAACAAGGGCGGACCGCAGCAGAGCACATCGTCTGCATTCAGACCCAGGTAGTTCCCTATTAGCATGCCATTATTGATGATGTTGCTAGTCATGGTTATCTTGTGGTCTCAACTGCCTGCCGGAAGTCGACAATACTTACTGGTGTGATAACATAGCAGCTTTTGGCGCGCCGGTCGTACCGCTAGTGAATTGCAGGTTGACGAGGGCCTTTGCGTCCACGGTCTTCTCCAAGCTTTCCAGTTCAGAGTAATCAACAGAGCGAGCTGCATCCAGAACGTCGTCCCATGTTGGTTCTAGGCGGTGCGGCAGTTGATCCCATCGCATCAGGACAACGTGTTGTAAACCAGTACGGGCTCTGCGAAGGTGTTCGAGGATGGGCACCGTGGGGCGGCGGTCGACCTCGTCTGAGATGAAAAGGACCTTGGGATCTGCATGGAGTCATAACTGTTACTACCGGTATGCGAACTCGACGGGGTTTAGAGCTCGACATACCAGAATACTTCAAAGCTCTAAGACACTCATGAAGCGTGTACGTCTTGTTTAGAACAACCAGACAGGCCCCTAGCCTGCCCGTAGCAAAAATGAGCTCGATAAAGCGTTCGTCGTCACCAGAGAAAACGGCTACGCGATCTCCCTTGCCAACCCCCAGAGCTATAAGACCACGGGCAACCGCCTTGGAACGGCGGCTGATGTCACGAAATGTGAGGCGTGTGTGCGTCCATCCGACGAGAACTGCCTCTTTGTCCCCATAGCGTTCTGCTTGTTGATCGGCCAGCTGGCCTAATGTGAGATCCAACAATGGCGGGGAGTGATACCCTTCAACGAGAGAGAGACCATGTTTCGGCAGTCGAGGGTCAGACGTGGAGGATGACATTGTCAAGAGAATGGATGCAGTGGCTCCTGAGCACTCGCCTTAAGAAGTAAACCCAGTCTAAATCGTTCGAGATTAATATTTCAAGTACCTAGAAGATCCCAAACTACATAGCGTCTTGACTGGTGTAGTTGATATGCGGTTGGCGGCTTCCAACCCGGCTCCAGATAACCGCCCACTGGGGCCTTGAGCTCTGCACCACGGGCCTGGACACGGATCTAGCCTCTGCAATTGGTCTCGTTGTAATTGCATTATTATTATACAGGTCCACACATTCTACTCCTGCCATACTATTGTATTTGAGGTTATGGTATGGAATCTTTGCGCGGATGCCCTAGCCATGGGCTAGCTCGACTCAACTATTACGAAACGCCCCAAAGCAGACCTAGCACTGTCAGATCTCTGTTGCAGCACGAAAGACGCTCTTAGTCGCCATCATAAGGCCGGGGGCAACTTACTTTTTCCATAGTGAAAGCCCAAGGCGAAATGTATGCGGTCTCCCAATGCTTTGATGACGAGTCAAGCCTTCTGATTGTTATCATTGCTGGTGAAGGTGGCGCCTTCTGGCGCACAGATAGAAGGTCTGGGTTCTACTGAAATTTACTCTACGTAGACAGACTGTGTTCCAATCCTGATACAGCGAAGTGCTGAACAGCAGTAAGAATGGGAAGACCCTGTCAACTACATCCAGTTGGCTTCGCAGTCTTGTCAATTGGCTAGGCGAGGAGCTACATGGAGTGATCGCCATCTTGAACGGAGGAGCCCCCGGGGGCGGGGTCGCCGGAAGTCGCGGATGCGAGCCGCGTCTGGTATTTCTGAATGTCATGCCTCTTTCTGAATTCCCGGAGCAAGAGGATCTCCGATGGATTGAGAGGAACCGTGGTAGCGGAACAGCAAGTTTTTGTGGGACGCGGATCACGGTTATGCAATAGCCGTGGTGATCCGTCAATCTCCACTGGCCTACATGGGCCACTCGAAGATTGACAACGTCAAGACTGGTGGAATGAAACTCTGGCTCTTGCTTCCATTTCACTGGTGTCTGTCTACCATAGTGCATAGTGCAATATGGCGCTCGCCATCCATTACTACGATTTGATAAGCAGCGCAATTGCATGTTCCAGTCCAGGAAGTGGGATGTGGAACAACACTCATGTCACTGTACTATAAACAGAATGCGGCTCGTCCATGGACTTGGGAATACATGTAGAGAAGGGTGGGCCCATTGCAGGCAGGATCTACTATTTATCTTTACGTATCCAGGGAGCACTATGGCAATTTTCAGAGCAGCAGCCTCTTTGTGTAATCCATTATGGTGTAGCTGAATCACATTGATGCTATCCCTGGTAGGATCCCAAGGTTGAGTCTCGAAACGTAGGAATTTCTTTTTCTTTTTTTCCTTCCCCTCCTTCTCCCAGTTATCTTTACAATTTGCTCTTCTGGAGTGATCTCACCTCATGGGTCAGAGAGAAATCTGTCAGGATCTCGTCGCTGCCCCCTCCTACGACTAGGCATCTCAAGTCCCGACTGATTTGCTCTACCCTGCCACCACGACCACCTCGCGAGTATCCCAACCCGCCCATGATCTGTTGACACTCGCGGTTCACATTTTCGAGTACTTGGCATGAGAGGACCTTGCAATTGGCAATGAGGCCGCCGATGCCCAGAGGCTCCGGCATGCCTTCTCGTTTCGCCTGACCCAGCATGAAGACGAGCTGTTCAAGGTAAGCCTGGGCCGAGTCAATCCGGCGCCCGGCTACTGATAGTTTGGCGCGGATAATCTGGTTTGATATAAGAGTCTTGCCAAACGTCTCGCGTCGGGTTGCGTGCAGATACGCATCCTCGGCACAAACCCTTGACAGTCGAAGGGCGGTGATAGCCAACCAGATTCGCTCATGATTGAAGTCTAGGAGTATGTAAATAACAGTAGAAAGGTTAATGAGTGGGAGAATAGATGCGTACTTGACATGATGATCGGGAAGCCTTCATTCTCTTTGCCAAGGAGATTCTCGACTGGAACTTCAACATTGTCAAACTCAATGTATGTAGAGCCTGGCTTCAAATTAGTACTCTGGAATTCAGACTGTCAGGTGGTTGCCTATTCATACCGCTGGCTTCCACGCCTGAGTTTCGGATCTTCTTCCTAGTAACGCCGGGGCTATCCAAGCGGATGATAAGTGCTGATATCCCCTTTTGGCCCTCACCTCCTGTCCGCACCGCGGCCGTACAATAGTCGGCCCAGATACCATTGGTAATCCACTTCTTGGCGCCATTGACAATGTACTTGTTCCCCCTCCTCTCCGCGGTGGTCGTGATACCAGCGACGTCGGACCCTGCGTCCGGTTCCGTGACAGCAAGACAGAAGCGGATCTTGCCGGCCAGAATGTCAGGCACGTACCGACGCTGCTGATCTGGGCTGCCGAAGCGGATGAGTGGCGGCGCGCCAATCACGTTGCCGCACGAGAGACCCCAGATCACACCCAGGTACCCGCAGCGTGCCACCTCGTCGATGAAGACGTAGTCGTGGAACTCGTCCCATTCTTGAGGGGAGATGTTGCCTGGTAGCCGCAGATTTCCCAAGTGCTCGGCAGCAAGAGGATAGATGGCGGCTGCCATGAAGCCTTGCTGACCAAAATGCTTGGCGGCCTAGATAGTCGAACCATGAGTTTACTGCCGGTGTCGGTTGGATGTGTTCTTGCTTACCTCCAGTGGTACACCGCCCTTCTCCTCCCATTCTTCACAAAATGGGGAGATGTGCTTATCGATATAGGCTCGTACCGCGTCCCGGAGGCGGGCGTGGCTTTCTTTGTAGTAGGGACTTAGTCCTCGAGTGTGCCACAAAGGCTCAGCGAACGGTGCGAGAGACATTGTTAGATGTGACTAGGGAGCAATTCTTGGCCTAGTTTCCGTCCGTCAAAGTCTTCAAGGTTTAGCAGGTCATTTTCTATTTTCCAGAAGGCCTCCTATTTCGAGACGTAGCTCGGTAAGAGATGACGCCGGCTTTTAGCACGGGTCGATTGCCGTGTCCCCCCACACAAGCGTGCAGCGAACACGGACCGAGGAATACAAAGACAAGCCTTCTCACGCTGACGTGCAGTACAAATGTATATTGACATGTACTCATTTCTGAGATTTAGTCCAGGCCATGGCTTTTGGCTTTTCCGGATCGAGGCGAGGGCCGTTCAGCGGGCCATGAGGAGGACAATCTTCCGGGCCATGGTATCAACAATAGCTCAAATCGGTACTGGACAATAATCATGTTGCGGATTAAATTGGTCGTATGAGAGTTTCAAAACTATGTTATTGGCACCTCGGACAGAATATAGGGAAGAAAGGATATCGTCTCCTTGTCGATTGTTTTGCCCCTAAAGAGCAAATATGAGGCCTCGGTGTGGACGTGCGGGATGGTCTTGGTGCTACGCTTCCCATTGAGTACAAAGGCATCAAAGGCCTCCCTGTCACTTCAAACTTTGACACTCAGTGGGATGGGAGATTTCATAGGGCAGAGTCTTAGCCCGCCAGAAGCAGGCTTTACTGCCATCGGGCTCATTTGCGATATCCAAAACGAACGTTCTACCACTTCCCTGACGCAAGGATTTCAAGTCCGACTGTGCCCGTTTCTAATATGGGTCCGGGCCCGAAATCGGTCCCGACTTTGTTTACCTCTCGACCATGGGTCGCCAGACTCCTGCCCCGTGGCCAGTGAAGCACGTAATCCGGACGACCGTATGCGCAAGTTGGCGAGGCCATATGCGCAAGATATTTGCAAATGAACTCATCCTGGGTGCCGGACGCTTCGTGTATTTGAACAGAGTTCCTGACCTGTGCCCAACATCCTTTCCTTTGCTTTGTTGGCATAGGTTCCTGCTTTAGGGGTATTGAAATCTAGGAATGTGCCAGAGATCTCTAGAGTAAGACTATTTGAAGTGGGTGATCCCACCACTCAGCAGCTTCCCTTTCTACCCGGCTTTCACTGACTCTATGGTTTCTTTTTCAAGCGTCTTGACCTACTTTTCACCCTAGAAGAACTCTTCACGCCAAGGCTGCTTGCAACTATCGAAGATGTTCACCTACGCTACCGGGCAAGACGGACGAGACGGACGTGACGGGCGGGATGGGCGAGATGGACAACATGGACAACATGGACAAAATGGACAAAACGGACAAAATGGACATAATGGACAACATGGACAACATGGACAAAATGGACATAATGGACATAATGGATATAATGGGCGAGACGGACGAGACGGACGAGACGGGCGAGACGGACGAGACGGGCGAGATGGTCGAGACATGGGTAAAGATGGAAAAGACGGAAAAGACGGAAAAGACGGGCAAGATGGCGATCAAGGCCCAATGGGTCCAAGGGGACTTCCGGGTCCAAGGGGAATTCCAGGCCCGCCGGGTCCAGCTATTGCGGCCGCACATGTGGCTGTGATGAGCCCTTCATCCCAACTGTGGCCTTTGACCTTTTTCGCCTATGGGTTGTTCACCATGGCGCTAGCCATCATGTATGTGGGTAGCCGGACAGTTCTCGGAGGAGACCGACAAGCGGGCGAGCAGGATGCCCTCCGGCAGTGGGTCAGACTCTTTTGCTTCGATATCGTAATCCTTGGCCTTGCGGCTTCTCTCCTGGCCTTGTGGTCGCCTGAGTTGCGCTTGCCTTTCGCGGCGAGTAGGATCGGGGTTATCGTCGCGGTGCCGACCATTCTGACTGGGATCGTTCTATGCATTGCTCTTTGGTTTTACACCTGATTTCAAATATCTTGTGGAATCTACCAAGGTGTGTGGCTGAATTGCAGTTACACTACGCTTGGTGATATCTAAAGATTGAATTTTCAACCTTTCTTTTTCTTTTCTTTTCTTTTTTTTTTTTTGCCTTATTTCTTTTTCTAAAAAAAAGATTTTTTTTTCGGGATTCTCATGGCTTGATGCTTCATATTGATAGAGAGTCGTGAATGCACAGACATTGACGCTGCGTAGACAGAAAGAGGTGACCAGGTGATGAGTCTGCAGTTGAGGACTTGCCCATCTGTGCCGTAGTCGTTGGAGCCCCTGTGGAAGACCGGGGAGACAAACTCGCCTTATTAGGCTACACAAATAGTTCTTTTGTTAAGAAGGCCTCCTATTTCCAGACGCAGCTCGGTGAGAGTGGTGCCGACGCGCCGGCTCCAGCACGGCACGGTTGCCGCGTCCTAAGAACAAAAATGAAGCCTCGGTGGGGACGGCGAGCGGTCCGACACGGGAATAAGAGTGGAGGCAGATAGCCGTGTTTCCACATCACTGGACCGTGTTCACCGAGATAGTACCTTACACGGACTACCAGTCCACTTTGTCACATGTCTGCATCACTTCCACGATCTGGTTGAAAAGGAGTCAATCACGATGTTTCCTTCACTTGAGATCATTGGTCGTAATTTCGCCAGATCCCGCCTCCAAAAGTCCTTTCCAAGGTGGCGTACTCCCAGCGCTTCAACCCAGCACAATGACCTTGAATGCATTCCCCGTGCGCGAGCCGCTATGGCTCGCCCAGATGCCGGTTTCTGAGACGGGGGAGCGCCGCATCCGAAGTGTCCTGATTGCCAACCGCGGCGAGATCGCGTGTCGAGTAATAGCGACATGTCGCAAGCTACATATCAAGACCATTGCTATTTACGCGGAAGAGTAGGTCAACGAATTGCCAAATGGCTAAGAAAGTTGTGGCTGATCCCCATGCGAACAGAGATGCATCTTCGCGCCATGTCCGCGATGCAGACGAGGCCATTAGTTTGGGCTCAGTGGACCAGCCGGCCGGCAACCCATTTCTAAACATCAACCTGCTCGTCGACACAGCCGTCCGCGCCGGCGCAGATGCGATACATCCGGGCTATGGCTATCTCAGCGAGAACGCCAAGTTCGCCGATGCTGTGCGCGAAGCGGGCATCATATTCATCGGGCCGACGAGCACAGCCATTAATACTCTCGGCGACAAGCGAGAGGCCAAGGACTATCTCGCCGAGCACGAGCCGAGCATACCGCTGATTCCCGGCTTCACCGGGTCTTCCCAGGGTATACAGCTTGCCGACCTCGAGAGGGAGAGCGCCAAAATCGGCTTTCCCGTCATGATCAAGGCTTCCGCTGGCGGCGGTGGTCGTGGTCTTCGGATCGTGCGGGATGCATCAGCGCTGGCTTCCGAATTTGAGCGTGCACAGTCAGAAGCACAGCGCTCATTCGGCTTGGCAGATTGCATCTTGGAGAAGTACATCGAGGCAGGGAAGCATGTCGAAGTGCAGATATTGGGTGACAGTCACGGCCGCGTGGTGTCTCTATGGGAGCGAGACTGCTCCGTACAGAGACGGCACCAAAAGGTTGTTGAAGAAAGCCCATGCGCGTGGCTGAGTCAGGAGAAGCGCGAAGCCATGTGCGCTGCTGCCGTGCGTATCGGTGAGCTACTGCGGTATGAAGGCGCTGGAACAGTCGAGTTTATCCTCGACTTGACCACAGGAAGCTTCTACTTCCTCGAGGTTAATGCCAGGTTGCAGGTCGAGCATCCCATCACGGAAGAGTGTACTGGCTTGGACCTTGTCTCCTTGCAGCTCTTTGTGGCATCTGGAGGAAGTCTTGACAGCTTACCTCGAATGTCTAAGATCACCCAGAATGGTCATGCCATCGAGTGTCGGCTCTGTGCTGAAGACCCGGTACGCGAATTTGCACCTCAACACGGCACAGTACGGTTTTGGAAGCCTTCCACACTGTATCAAAATGACGTACGATTTGAGACGGCAATGGAGAGTGGTGCTCGAGTGTCCATCTACTTCGACTCGATGATTGCGAAGATTGTGGTCTGGGCACCGACGCGGTCCATGGCGATTGATAAGATGACGAGAATCATGGCTGACACGGTTTGCCTCGGAGTTCCGACCAACCAGCTGTTTCTACAAGCTTGCCTTATGCATCCTGGCTTTCACCGGGTGGACTACACGACGTCATTCATCCCGACGAATCTTGATCATCTCCTGCAAAATCCATACGCAGCGGCGCTGAGACTACCTCAGGCGTTGCTATCTGTCGTACCAAGCATGTTTGCTCGTCATCTACGCAATCGAGTTGAAGGGGGACAGGCAGTATTTGGCAGAGTCAGGAGGGGATTCCGCAATCAAAGATTCGACAGGATCAACAAGCCGTCCGATATTGTCTCGAGATACGAACCGAAAAAGGGATCAAGTGTCGATCCGCAGATCTGCATATGGGAGCGCCTGCAGTCTCAAGTTTCGCAAGAGGCTACAGCACTTGTTGCTCCACTTCCAGTGGTCAAACAAGAAGAAGCAGCAGCTGATTCAAAAGAGTCTGGAACTGCCTTAGTGACAAAGTCCTACAATGCTCTAAGCACCGCAATTCGAAACGGCGCTCTGGCAAACTCGGCAGTCGCGGAACTCGCTGTTCACCAAACACAAAGCCGCTCACTTGGTCAAGATACTGCCTCATCATGGTATGTCGGCCGCGTCGATGTTTCCATCAACAAGCGCAAGGTGGTAGCCTATGTCGCCACGGGTGATGGCCTGTCAGCGGGTCGTGAGGCAGATACCGGAGACTCAGTTCAGCTGTACTGCCATTTCCCTGCCCTCGGCTCTCCGCTCGAGTATCACTGCTTCTCTATACTATCGTACTTTGAGAGTCAGAGGGCAGCCATCGAGGGCAATGCTCAGGCCGACCCGGGTGTCATCAATGCGCCGATGCCGTGTAAGGTCCTTCAGGTACTCAAGAAGGAAGGAGATGAGGTAAGGAAGGGAGAAATCGTTATGGTCATCGAGAGCATGAAGATGGAAATTACGATTGCAGCTGGGAAGAACGGGAAATTCCACTCTGATCTTAAAGAAGGAGTGGCCGTCAATGAAGGGAGTCAGTTGTGTACGTTTACCTAGATCTGGAGCCATACTACAAAGCCATAGATATAGTTACTGCATATCTTGGCGTCGTTATACAAACTTCGTTCTGTGCCCATTACAATGTTGCCAAGCGTGATCCAACATTGGGCCGCTGTATGGATCGGTGCGACCGACCCGAATTTGGGGGCACCTGGGCTCCGTAACTCTGTCACCAAGCAGCTCTGACCCCTAGAGACACGTCGGAGTGGATGACAAAGCCACGGAACTAGCTCTAGAAGCGCAAAGTAAAGATGACAGAGAGTGATGGTGTTTTTGTCAAAAGTACAAGTCATAAAATGTCTGGCGCAACCATCTCATGAATAATGTGTGCTGGACAGAACATGTGACCATCCAGGACGATAGGTCGACAAAAAGACGCAAAAGGACAGCGAAATGGTGACAGTGCTGGCTATCCCGAATCCAAAGTTCGACTTGCGTTATCGCATTGGTCCACTAGTTCCTTGCATAAGTCAAAGCTTTTCCTCAGAAGGTAGTGCACTCCAAACTTGCTTAAGGTTCAGCCATTATGGGGTGGAGGAGAGTTTCTATGGCCATTCGATCCGGGTTTAACTCGGTCATTGCAGGCACAGCAACAGCGTTAGGTATTTGGAAGAGCTAGCTCTTGGAGTAAGGTTGACCTATGAGAGCAGGTCATACGACGGCTGCAGGCTCGGCAACATCCCAGAAACAGGAAGTTTATCAACAGAGCCGGCGGGCCAGCGAGAGCGCCACATTACAGTTTGCCGCCATAACGGCGGTCCTTTGGAGCCGCTCTCTCCGGAGACTGTGTCAATGCACGTTTGGCTTAGCAATATGGCACACTCTCTTAGCTTATTGCTGATAGGTAGATTGCCGCCATCCTGCGCTCTCGGTATTTTTACTTTTCTGCAAGGACGCCAGCTTATTCAGAATCTTCGAGACGGAACCTGATACCTAGATTCAACAGACGCCGAACGCTGCAAGATCATCAGGGATCAAACGGTAGCGGCAGCTGTCAGTCGCACCAAGATGGGGATGGAATGTGTCGAGGATATTGAAGGAGATTACAGGGCATCTCCAGACTGACTACCCCAACAAGGTCGCGACCCTCACGGATCAAGCCACATTCCAGCTACTCCGAGTGTGCAATCTGACTGGACGCCATGCCAACAAAGGCGTCTCACTGGTGAGCAGCCAAAGAAACTTCTCCAACTGTGGCGGCGCGTCCGTAGGGTGCCGTCTGCCAGCAGGAGGGTTGCGAAGCTGCGAGTGGTATTATGGGCAGGTATGCGAGTCAGAGCCCAGACTCTATCGATATCTCACAATGGGCATGTTGCTCCGGGGGAATTGCGACCAGCTCAATCCTCGTCGCCCGTTGTTTCGGCCGATGAGCCGTCGACACCAGAAACCATAGGGCCGGACTGGTCTGATTGGCTCTGATACCACACTAATCATGCAAGTGGAAAACCTTGATATGGAGCAGTCTAGGTCTCGAAGGTCTTGGAGGGCCGAAAATCTGTTCCGCTATGTGGGGGGGCGCAAACCGCGGTCGTCGATTCGCCGGTTGCCAGTTAGTGTATCAACGGCCTAGACCCTCTTACATGAGATCTAGTCGGTTCAGACCGAGCCAGGGCCGGCATGTGGCAGCATCTAAGGTTCTAGAATGGGGATCTCGATTTCTAATACAGCGGAATTATATACAGCTCGCAGCAGCCCGTCCGTAATTTCACACGCCTTTTCCTCGGTATCACTTTCCATTATTTTATCGATGTCTTCAATTCGCTGGCGTTGCGCAGCATCGGAACAGTTGCAGGGAAACTTTGAATCACACAATGCCCCCTGCTGGACCAGGAATACCATCACATCTTGTGCTGGCATCAACCGTGGTGCCATGGGCCGATATACCGAAGAGGACGAGTTTGATGGTGTCCACCGAACAAAGATGACCAATGACCGACAACGACCTGCGCTGCAGCGCAGGCCTACAGTCCTTCGCCTCGCCTGTCTACGTTGCGCGAAATCAGCAGAGATGTTGTCCACGGACGAAGCAACTACATATGACATGGTTATGATCGGCTTCAACCTATACTACTGCTCTCGCTGTGCCCGGGCTACAGGCTACTGCAGTCCTGTCACTGATGAGCCATCCACGCCGACACTCGAGCGACGAGCAAGCGGCTGATACATACACGATAACTCCTCAACAAACCGTCATCACTCCTATCCACTCGACCTACCCTACTTGCCAATTCTCTACCCGCCTTCTTGCGAGCTCTCACGACTCAACAAGGTGAAGGACATGTCACTGGCGAGCACAATACCGGCATTCCAAATATGAGAGACACGGTACCGCCGCCAAAGGCTTTCAGAGCAGGGCCAGCCTTTCACTCGAGAAAAGGCATTGAAGCTTGAACATACATTGAGGATCACCGGGCAGTGCGTCATGATCAACAGACGGCTCCTGTGTCGGATTGCTTAAAGGGATCTTGTGGATCTGGAAATTACAACCACACCCATGTGGCCATTCTTTTCGATGCTGGATCGTGGAAAAGAAAGGTCAATTTACAGAGCGCTCTGGAGGTGGATACCTGTTTCTATGTGTTCATATCATATATGTATCATCAACGAGGTCCAAGAAACAGGAATATCTAGAGATCATGAAACAATAACGAATAGAAATGAACATAATGATCAGAATCCTCCATGCATGGATCCTGACTTGTCCCCATGGTCAACTCTCAGCGACTTTTAGATACGGTCTGCTCATTGTAACTGTCACTCCAGCGGGATTCGCATTGGCCATGGTGGTAGATCTCGCAAGTACTTGTTCTCTACTCTTTGCCATCAGTATGGCGCATTGTAAAAGTCGTAAATGAACTACACTCGAAGGGTGACTATGGGGAAACGCCAGTTCCACTCTGTGGGGTAGATCCGCCTGTTCCGCAACACTGGTGCAGAGGTCCGCTGAAGACATCCACGCGTACTGTCGAGCCAGTAAGAACGGTATTGATACCGCTGCGGTCTACCCATGCTGACTCATAGACGGAGATGGGCGGAGCATCGTACTACTTGAGCTGCCAAACTCAACTGATTGTCTCAAACGAACCTCTTTAACCCGAGAAAGCCCCTTGTGTCTTTCGCTTTGGTCGTCTTGACTCTGCGCTTGAATTCCGCCATGTAGTCAGCATCGATGTGTAGTCAGCACAGTGAGTTTTATACAGCAATCACTTACCGGTAGCAGCGCAGGCGTTGTTTTGGTCATGCAATGATCGCGGAACCATGCCCTCCGCGATCAGCACTATGCTTTACGGCACATATCTCGGCGACCCGCACTAATTATCTCTATTTCTCTCCTGCCTGTGTTGGAAAGGATATCGCAGGATGAGTAGCTACTTGCCTACGGAAATCAACGGCACTCTTTGATTTAAGTTCAAACTCACCCTTGCATTGTAACACAGTCCTGTCACAACTTGGAATGCCAGTCTTCCCAATCCGGTACGGCAGTCTTGGATCTTGTATAACCTATACGGCAAAGGGATCACTGACAACGGCAAGGTGAGACAAGTGTGTAATACTGACGGCAAACCTCCTTTGTCACAATGCCACAGCAGGGTCCCTACGGCAACAGCACTCCAATTGATCCCTCGGCGCGGGTAGTGCGGCACTGCTTTGTCGGCCGGGGGGGTTACATCGGGATGTCTGCCAACGGGCTCCGGCTCAGAAGACCCTGAAGGAGTGATATAGATCTGACATTCGGGTCCTTGCATTTCCCCTTAAATACCCTCGAGTCCCGCTGGTGAAAGGGGCGAAGACCCCACAATCCCAAGACTCACTCTGTCTCCGGTAGGTTGCCGTATCGGCCATGATTTAACCGCGGTGGCTAAGATCGACATTGATCAATCTAACAAAGTCTACTGGCACCTCAGATGCTTCCCTTTCCTCTGATCATAATTGCCAGACCCATGCCAGATATCTAGCTCAAAGGTCCGCATTGGCGGTCGCCTATCGATTGGAAGAAGAGATGATCGGCGAGTTTGTAGGAACGAATACCCGGAAATGCCTCGTCATGGGCCTCGCTTCTTGGAGATCAGTCACTGTTCTGTGTCTTCTAGCAATATCGAACCGCGTGTTCACATGCATATCCCCGTCAACTAAGACCTACTGAGCCCGGAAACGTGCCTCCTTATGAAGCTGGATGCGCGGATCCTTGGGTATGCCCGAGAATCAAATCATGGGTGGACGAAGTCTTTGGGCATCTCCCCTAACCCACATTCCATTTCATTACGCAATCCTCTCTAAGGATATCCTATAGTAAGGTTGATATAAGCTTGCTACTGCAACTCATAGCTTGATGTGCTTGTGCTCGTTCACCTATCTAGCAGTCAACCAGGTTAGGATCGGGTAGAGAAATACGACGCAAAAAGAGTTGCCCAACATGCGGTCCAGTGCTGCTCATACCATGCTGAGCGTGATAGCAGCGATCCTGCCATCGAGCCTGCTCCTAGCCCCGGTTGCTGCTCACTCACACATCGCCTACGTGGTCGTCGACGGCCTGCTCTACCCTGGCTTCGACCCGAGACGCAAACCCAACCCAGCCAACGTGGTAGGATGGTCAACGACGGTCGAGGACGACGGATTCGTACCGCCGTCCAACTATAGCAAACCCGACATCATCTGCCACTTGAACGGGTCTCCGGCGGCGGCTCACGTCCCCGTCCGGCCTGGAGACAAGATGCACATCCAGTGGAACGGCTGGCCGCTCTCACACGTCGGACCTGTCATGTCGTACCTGGCACCGTGCTCGGGGAAGGCGGGCTGCGCAGATGTGAACAAGACCGCTCTCGAGTTCTTCAAGATCGACGACGGCGCGCCGGTACTGCTGAATAGGACTGGAGGGCCGGGAACGAGGCCCGGCGTGATGGGTCAGTGGGTGACTGACCTCCTCATCGCCGCCAACAATAGCTGGGTGGTCGAGATACCACCGCAGCTGGCCCCAGGAGCCTACGTCCTGCGTCACGAGCTCATCGCCCTGCACTACGCAGCGAGACCGGACGGCACACAGAACTACCCGCAGTGCATCAACCTCTGGGTGGCAGGAGGAAGTGGCGGCAATGGGGTGGCCACCAGCTCGGGGCCAAATCTGAGCGTCGGCAAGGGGTCAGGCGTGCCAGCGACGAGGTTGTACAAGACCACCGACCCAGGCATCTCGGTCGACGTGTCCAAGCCGCTCTCGACCTACATCATACCTGGGCCGCCAGTGGTCAGCGGCGCAGCGCCGGTCCCGATGGCGAGCCAGACCAAGGCTGTGCTCAAGGGCAACGGCACGCCCCTATTGGTCCAGGGCACGACAGCAGTGCCATTTCCGGCGACGACGGCGACCAAAGAGACTGCGAGGAGAAGGGCGGAGATGGTCGGGGGCGCGGGTATAGTCTTGTGAACAGATGGGGGGAAATGCATGTTGATTCGCAGCGAGAGAACCGGGCTTGGGGGGGCATGCCGTGCATTCTGTTGAGAGAGATGGCATCATCCCACTGCCTTAGTAGATGCGAGCGCGGGAATAAAAATACCAGTGCCATATCGGGCCGCAAATTTGCTTTTTATTGTCTGCAAGGGATGCGCTCGAGCAGCCACCGCCGCCGTATTCTTCCTGGTGCGCTCCAATAGTTCGATGTCTACGCAGGTGTTGTGCTCTAGCAGTAAGTGCGGCCGTGACTGCATTTCGGATGGAGCCGGGCTGCGGGAGGGTGTAGTGAAAGGACGCGCAAGGCCGAGCATCACATGCGTTATCGTGAACATTGCAGGCTGGTCTTGTCCGCCGTCCGAGCCCCGACAAGCTGGGGACAGTCAGCCGACATCTAGAAGCGAGTGCATTCAAGATCCTCTATCGCTAGGTCGCCGCACAAGACGTCAATCAGGACTCGCGCTCGAACCCGCAGACCGACGTCCGCCTCTTCGCCGATGACATATCCCTCATGCGATCACAAGGCGCACACAACACTGCATCGGTGAAGGTGCAGCAGGATGCGGGCCTCCCCCGCAAGGTGAAGGCTGCGTTGTGCAAGGCCTACCCCACATCCCATAGCCAGCTTCGGTGGTCTTTTTTCGTTGATCCCATCGTCTGATGATCCTCGGCGCTTCAATGTTGCTGGCAAGAGAGGAAGTGACGTCACACAGAGCCGGAGTCCGCATGCATCGCCAATAGAGGCGGCGGCGTTCTCGGTTGCTCGGCTTATGGCCGGCGAAGTATCAGGTTTTTCAGTGCTGAGATCAGAAGTCAAAAAGTACACATTCAGCTTAGCACTTCTCAGCCCTCCTATGCCAAGTACAGGAACCAGTGAGACGTCAACTCTGACCAAGAATGGTCTGATCGGGAGGAATATGCCGTGCACCAATGCTTACGGGGGCGCGGTGCTTCTGTGAGGATTCAATCCAATCTGCGGCATGGAGTCACGGCGACTACGCCCGACAATGTCATCAGTCGCGGGTCGTCGCCAGACCTGCTCTGACGACACCCGTCGCTTCTTCGAACCAGCTCCAGGCATCAGTTGAGCCGCTTGGCGGGATCTATTGACGATGTCGTTGCCACCCTTGTCCTCTGTGCCAAATGCCGGCGGAAGCCTGCATCTTTCATCTCAGCTTGGGAACTGCCAGTAACGAGATCGACCACCCAAGTACCCTGGCCTTGGGCACGCCGAGGCCAACACTTGCATGCTTGTGCGACGCCCAGGTGTATGACAGGTCGGTCACATGTGCAACATCGCAGCTTTTTCGCTCGCTCTGGCTGACTTCCTACCTGCGGGCCAGGGAAAACGTGGCTGCGTCGCTGCGGCTGCACCTAAGTAGTCCGTCTTGTCCCTCCCCAAAGCAAACTTGAATAGGTTGCGGGCGGGCAAGAGACGGGATGACCGGTTCATGTTGGGCACAGAAGCTGACAAGCAGAATGCGGTGCGATCGCCAGAATATCCGCGATTCCTATTGGATACCAGGCGAACAAGCTTTTTATTCCATCATGTCTCACCAACACGAGCGGGAAAGGAGGGCAGGGAGCTCCCGCCCTCGGGCTCGAGGGATGGTGCCTCGATGTTTCTCCCTACGGAGACGGGCTTGGACCACGTATTTCAATGGGACAAAAACTGGGAAGAGCACACAGGTCCAGCTCAGCCAGCACAGCCCGAGGGGCAGCATGTGGGAGCCAAGGGGAACTGACAATGTGTCTTGGCTGTGGAGGCACTCCACGTCGATCGCCAACCGCTAAGCCAGAGCGAGTTAAGCAGCCAGATCATCGACAGTGAAACTGCCGGATACAATCACATCCACCCACCACCTCTGTTCGTATTGCTGCACCCTTTGCTGGGTTTGCTCCTCGGACCCCTTTCTAAGCTTACTGGGTGGAAATGAGAAATGCACATTACGAGCGGTCTGGACGTACGTTTACCACGTTACCTGGAAATCGCCCTCTTGGCAACACCCCCTCAACCACATTTTATATCCCACTTTGGCCATCTCCCCCTGGCCCCAAAAGATCCAGAGGTCTGTGTGGAGAGGTCTCGTGTCTAAAACGGGTTTATGGTGGCATTTCTCGCTAAACTACGTAAGAGGGCCCCAAGTAATGGACAAGACTCCCGGCTTCTGCTTTTCGCTACTGTCATCACTGCCACACTCCCAAGAAGCCCGAGGACCCTGAAATTCGGGGAATGGTGGACCCTCGCCTTTCCCATTTGTGCAGTCATGCTGTTGTGTAGATGACCCTGCATGTTGACGTACCAAAGGTCCGAAGGGCGGAAGTCAAAAATAAACCGAATTTTAGTGCAGTCTATCGAATGCCATCTCGGCGTTCATCAGCGACGTCTTACACTCCCTGCCCCGTTGCCCAGCTAGCGAGACCCTCGATCCCTTTGGAGGAGACGACCGTTGGCTGTGGGGACTGGCCGCAGGGACTATCCCACACACTAATGACAAACGAGAGTGACGAGCTTCCAAGGGCTGGTCGTACGGGTCCATCATTCTGTAGCCTACACATCCTCGTTCTGTGATCGTCGAGTCGCAGCGATGACGCTGGCGAAGATCATCTCCCCCTTTCGCCGTCTGACCCGTTGTTGGCTCCAGCCAGCTCGGACCTTCGATGTTTCCAAGGGAGCGGATATATGAACATGGGATTGCTCGCTCCTTTCTCGAATCTTGGATCGAATCTTGGAACATCGTGCCCATCACCAGCTCCGTGCTCTGCGATAGACTTCATTCACCCTGGCACTTGTAAATTAATCCAGAGGCCGATCGTCAAGAGTCTTACAACCGCCTTCGTCAATCCGGTCCATCATGCGTTTGGCCAGCGTCTCCGTCGCGCTCTACGGGGCCGCCTCCGTCTCGGCTTTGACCCTCCCATGGCCGCGCGCTGGCAAGTTGGTTGATCTGAGCATCTTTGGGGGCCGATTCGAGACCTTGAAGCCGGAGGAGGCCAAGACGCACAAATCTGGTGCTCCTAACACCATTAGTCCCCCCGAGAACAAGAACAAGGCCACTGCTGCCGGCGCCGATGGCGCGGCCGCCGGCGGATGCGAGAACCCGTCCCTCCGCCCGGAGTGGCGCCAGATGGACGACGCGGGACGGCAGGGCTACATCGACGCCGTCAAGTGCCTCATGGGCCGCCCGTCTGCCGGCGGTGACTTCCCCGGGTCGCAGAACCGATACGAGGACCTCGTCTCGCTCCACCAGCAGCTGACTGGCTCCATCCACATGGTCGGCCAATTCCTGCCGTTCCACCGTTACTACGTCCACGTCTTCGAGTCTCTGCTGCGCGACGAGTGCGGCTATGGTGGGCCCATGCCGTGGTGGGATGAGACGCTGGACGCCGGCAACTTTGGTAACTCGCCCGTCCTCTCTGCGCAATGGTTCGGTACTGCTCCTCCCCTCGTCAACGGACAGGGCGCCTGCGTCAGCGATGGTGTAAGTTTTCGTTCTCCTATGCTCAAACAGTCCCAATCCGGTACTGACATTGACTCTCAAAGGCCTTTGCTGGTCTCACTCTGCACATTGGTCCTGGCGGTGGCCAGTCCGACCACTGCCTCGCCCGTGCTCTGGACGAGTCGCAGACTGCTCAGTGCAACCGCGAGTTTGTCGATAGCTGCAACTCGCATGACAACTATGCCGACATGGAGAGCTGCGCCGAGATGGGGTGAGTCGTTATGCTTTCTTTTGATCTGTGTAACCAGACCGGCACTGACATATCTTCCCCACCCACAGTCCCCACGCCTACGGCCACAACGGCATTGGCGCCGTGATGCAGGACGTGTCTCCCTCCCCCGGTGACCCCGTCTTCTTCCTCCACCACGGCTTCGTCGACCGCAACTGGCGCGCGTGGCAGAACGCCGACCCTGCCAACCGCCTGTACCAGATCGGCGGCTACAGCAACACCCAAGACCCCAAGCAGCCCCTCACTCTCGACTATGTTCTCACGTCCAAGGGCATTCGGCCTGATGTCAGAGTCAACGAGGTTATGGATACGAAGGGCGCCTATCTTTGCTACGACTACTTGTAAATTATAATGTCTTATTCGTGACGCTCGCTTTCTCGGCATGATCGCATCTTGTGGGAAGAGATCCGGAGTATTTATCTGCACACCGAAGAGATTGTATGGATGGGGAGATATACCCGTGGAAAGCGCTTCACTTGCTTTTGGTTATAGGGGGGTGTCAACTACTTTTACACACTACGACATGGCTTGTCAACAATTAAGTTCTAATCGCATCGCTTACCGCATTCAATAACATCATTCTATTATGATCATTCGATGCTGACTCCGTTGCCTGTCAACGCTGCACGTCAGCTTACCCGTACGCGCCTGAAGACGTAGTCCGACTCCAGCTCCCAGTCATCCGGCGCAAGACCCTTTCAGCTTCAGTTCCGTCCCACCATATCCAAATTACCGTTGAGCCTCCCACCTCTTCTCGGTTCTTGGCGCTTGGACTGGGAAGTGGCTCGCCAGCACCAATATTTGCTGCAGTGTCAAGGAATCCCATGCTTATTGCGACGCATAAGTGAAGGCTTCTGGCCAATGGGCTCCGATCTGCCCCTGGTCACTGCGTTTACATTTAGGCTTAAACACCTTACTGGCAGGCTGACAGGGCTAGATCTTCCATGGAATTCTTCCAAAGTTGCGATGTTCTCCGCAATAATCCGGGACTTGATATAGTGGTTGCCCCTCACTGGTCGTCAAAATTTCCGGTAAAGTGATGTCGTACAGCCCTGAGCAGAGTATAAACATGGCCAGAGCTGTCTCGAGCTCCCCGGGCGCTGGAGCTGCCGCAAGGGCTCCCCTCTCTTCGCATGCTCCTGGTTGGCCATTTCTCCATTCAACATGCGTCAATACCTCTTGAGCGCGCTCCTCGCTTCTGCAGCGGGCACCGTCCTCGCGGACGACCCGGCCGTCGAGTCCTATGACTACATCGTCGTCGGCTCCGGCCCCGGCGGCGGCCCGCTGGCCAGCGACCTCGCCCGCGCCGGCTACTCGACGCTGCTCATCGAGGCCGGCGACGACCAAGGCAGCAACAAGGTCTACTCCGAGCTCAACAACTTCAACACGGCCGGCAACGACGAGCGCTCGCTGTGGAACTTTTGGGTCAAGCACTCGGACGACCCGGAGCGCGAGCGCAAGTTTGAGCACTACGTCTACCGCCAGGAGAACGGCTCGTACTACATCGGGCTGGACCCGCCCGCCGGGGCCAAGCCGCTCGGCATCCAGTACCCGCGGGCCGGCACGCTGGGCGGGTGCGCCATGCACAACGCCGGCGTGTGCTCGCTGGCCCAGGACGACGACTGGAACATCATCGTCAACAAGACGGGCGACACGAGCTGGGAGGCGCCCAAGATGCGCAAGTATCTCATCCAGGTCGAGAAGAACCTGTACGTGACGAACGGCAGCACGCCTGATCACGGCTTCAATGGTGAGTTCCACTATTCTTCTTTGGCGCAATCGAACGATAGCGATGGTAAGGCTTACGTGTCTGGCACAGGCTTCCTCTCAATTGACACCAGCGATGCTCGCTGGGCCAGGCAGAAAAACATGCCTGCTGTCAAGATCCTGCAGGAGATGGCCAAGCTAACTGGTCAGAATGAGTCTGACGTTGCGAACCTCGTGACCAAGGACATCCTGGGGAATTACCCCAACAAGGATGAGCAGAGCAGCTTCTACGCCATGGCTCAGCACATGGACGCCCTGGGCCGACGCTCCAGCCCCAACACCTACATCCGGGCGACGCTCAACGACCCGGCCAAGTACCCGCTGACCGTGAAGCTCAATTCCCTCGTGACAAAGGTGCTCTTTTCTAAAGAGGGCGAGACGCCCGTCGCGACTGGCGTCGAGGTCATGCAAGGCAAGTCGGTCTACCGTGCCGACCCGCGCAACAAGCCCGACACCAAGGGCCCCCTGGTCCAGTACAAGGCCAAGAAGGAAGTCATCGTCTCGGGCGGCACCTTCAACAGCCCCCAGATCCTGAAGCTCAGCGGCATCGGCCCCGCCGACGAGCTCAAGAAGTTCAACATCACCGTCGTCAAGGACCTGCCCGGCGTTGGCGAGAACCTCGACGACAACTACGAGGGCAGCCTGCTCGCGCTCGGCAAGTCGCCCGTCGGCGGCGGCTTCATCACCATGCTCTACCGCACGCCCAACGCGCCGACCAAGAAGCGCAACATCTTCACCTGGTGCGGGCCCTTCTCCTTCGAGGGGTTCTGGCCCGGCTTCCCGACCGACTACGGCCAGAACGAGTACGAGTGCGCCATGGTCAAGATCGGCACGACGAGCCGCGCGGGCTACGTGCGCCTGACCAGCGCGGACCCGCGGGACCCGCCCGACATCAACTTCCGCTTCTTCGAGAAGAACGGCGAGCAGGACCTGCAGGAGTTCGTCGACAGCGCCAACCTGCTGCGCAAGGCCTGGCAGGCCGCCGGCGACGCCGTCCTGCCCTTCAACGAGAAGCACCCGTGCCCCGGCACCGGCGCCGGCAACTGCACCGACGCCGAGCAGCGCGAGATGATCAAGACGCAGGCCTACTCGCACCACGCGACGTCGACGTGCGCCATCGGCGGCGACGACGACAAGATGGCCGTGCTCGACTCCAGGTTCCGCGTGCGCGGCGTCAAGGGCCTGCGCGTCGTCGACGCCTCCTCGTTCCCCGTCGTGCCCGGCGCTTTCCCCGTGCTGCCGACCATGATGCTCTCTGCCAAGGCGGCAGAGGTGATTATTGCCGAGGCTGGCAAGGTTTGACTGCAGAGAGTTGACAAGGGCCTTAGTGACAAAAAGGGTTTTCATTTTTTTGTTGGTTGCTAGTAGATACAACAATCACGTTCAAATGATAGTGTGTTAAGATATGAAAGTAGTAAACCCCTGATCAAATGGGGACGTGAAGTAGTTTACAGAAGTTTCCTAAACGAGAAAACAGCCATGTTGCAGGCTTGAAGGGCTCCGGTTTAGAGACAACCCCCGGCCCGAATTCAATGCTTCTCATGGGCATTATTTGTTCTAGAAAAGAAAACGAGACAGAAAGTGCTAAGGCTATCATCCATCACCTGGCGCCAGCCTCGTCGGGACTGGGTACAGAGGCATCCCGTCATAGCTTGCCCCGGGTTGCCTAAGCTGGTAGTTCGTGCACAGGCGGGCGCCTCATGAACTTCCAGTTCTCCACGTGTTGGGGCCGATCCTTCCAACTCTTATAGAACACTGCACCGGTAGTTGTACCGACTCCAGATTCGCCATTTGCTCGAAGCCTCTTCGTCTTGAACTTCGGGAGCGGCATTGCTCCTCTGGCCGGGAAGAAGCCCGCTCTCAGCTAGCGGAGGAGCTGAAGACCAATGCACGCACCTCAACGCTCCTTCTCGGCTTGGCATCTACGGGGGCATCGGGCATTCGGAAAGATCCATGCGGGCAGCCTGTGGCGTTGTGAGCTTCTCATACATCCATCATCGCGCGGCGGGAAGAGAGGACTGACACTTTGCCTTGGCCGCGGGATCGGAGTCAAACATCGTCAGCATGAGCACCTCGTCCGGCCGGTGGCCGCTGAGATAATACCACTCTTGGGCCTCGCTGAAGTGGACCATGTACGACTCGCCCTGGAAGGATTGTCTGATGTTGTCTGATGGAACCAGGTCCTTGGCCGGGACCGTTGACCCGTCACAGACGGCGAGAGGATGGTCCTCCACAGGAAAGAGGAGCGGCTTCCATAGGCTGCCCCAGAAAGGTACATGAGCCATGCGAAAGAAAGCACAGGATTCCAACTGCCCGCAGAACTCACTCGATGATTCGGACGCGGCCCTGTAGAAGTTCGGCTGCATCGTCGCCGAGCTGCGGCAAGATGCGATGCAACACACCAGTCGGGCTTTGATCTGAACAGAAGTAAGCAGATTGCATGTGCGTGCGCTGCCCCAGGGTAGGGTAGGCTTCAGGAAGAACTTACCAACACGGACAGACATGGCCGGGAGGATGAACTCTGTCGAGTCATTAAGGTCTAACTTCTCGTGATTTGCCTCTTTGTCGGTGCTGCGTACCTAAGCATGCGTCGATCAAGCAAATTAGTCAGAATACTGCTCCGAGAATTCGTAGTGCTCAAGATCATGATGTTAAGACCCTGCTTACCTGCCAGTCGAAGAAGAACACTTGGTGGATACTCGGGTCCTCCTCCTTGGGGAGGGCCTCCATCTCGGCGTAATAGTCGCGTTCTACCACCTCCCGGCGGTTGATATCCTTGTATTCAACGCTAGACACAAAATTGCGGACGGTGAAGCCTTGATCGTCGAGAGACGGTGGAACATCACGCTTGCGGATGTCACGGAGCTTCACCGAGACGTCCTCAAAGATCAAGTTGCTCTGTCGATCGTCTTTGGCGTCGGGCGGTAGATTGACGAATAGCTGAAACGGCTTCTCTCTCTGATCCAGTTCCAGACGTTCCAGGAAGCTCATAGTCGCCGTGATAACCATCTTGGAGGGGCTGGAGGTACAGTAGCCGTTCGTATGGGCGAAGGGAAGAGACGCAACAACTTGTCACCGAACTGGACAGCCCTTTGCCAGGCTTGGTTCTGGGTCCGCTGGAAGAAGGGAGTGCGGAGTAGGAAAGGGCCCCGGGTGACGGGACATGAGCAGGTGAGTGGCAAAAGACAGCCAGGCGTGGGATACTGAGCCTGTTTGCTGACCGAGGCGCGTGCACTACACTATCTGCCTAAGTATTCTAGCCCATTTGTCACTGGCAAGGCTCTACGTGACCACCATCCTCCTGCCTCCGTGCTATCAGTATGTGGTCCACTCACATAAAGACAGGCCAACTGCACTCTACGATGCATCATGCAGTGTTGCGTTCGCTTGCCTGATTGCCAATCACACAGATCCATGATGTATGGTCATGATAACACCGAAAAAATCAGTAGGTATGTAGTGTTATAACCTCTACTGGCTAATAGGTCGCTTCATGTCGCCCGACTTATACTTAAGCCATTCTCTCCACCCGCCCAGTCCACTTGTGATATCCTGCTCCATTACAAGAAACCTTTCTTATCCAGTCTTCTCTCATGTCAGACATCCATCCCAGAAACACAAGCCAGTGCTTCTCTTTCTCCCTATACAGGCCGCTTCAACAGAGAGCATGAACAATCACAGATCCACATCTCACACCTTTACTGCAGCAGTGAAGCGCTTGTCGGCCTTATTGGCGTGTTGTCTGTCGACAGCGTGCTCCTCGGCTTGTCTGCCCTGTTGCTTGACAAACTGGTCGCGTAAGGGGAACTCTTCGGCTGGTTTGTCGGCGTTCTTCTCCCTTGGGTCGACGATTTTTCCGTCCACAATCTCGTCCTCTTGGTCGGACATCTCCTCGTATCCCATGTCGTTGATGTAGGTATGGTATCGCCGTCTTCAATGCACAATTGAATTGGTAGTTGTCTACCACCCACTCGGGCAGATAGAGCGAATCGCGGCGATCGACGGCATGTCGAACGTCGTCCGGAATGCCGGCTGCGTACTTCTGGATGAGCTGGAAACAGTCCGAGTTCTTCCAGCCTCTTTTGACGTGCGAGAGCTTGCTATTCCGGTGGATGAACTCGTTTAGCTGGTAAACAAGCTCATCGGACATTGCTGGGTCTCGGCCAGCAAAGAGGTGGGAGGGAAACCGGTCGGGGCCGGGCCGGGGAATCGGAATAAGGCCGGGAAAGAAGAAAAGGAGGTGAATCTGCCTCTATTCTCCTTCAAGGCGTCGGCCTTGAAGAAAAATTATGAGAAACTTCTTGCTAACCAGGTGCCAGCTTGGGTACTATTGCCAACCTACTCTCTACAAAAGAGTTAGTTCTCCTCACAGGTGGGCGTCTGCAGCGGATGAGTACTTAGATTGGCATCAGAGCAATTTTCAATTTCGGTGCTCTACGTGCGTGTTTGGCTGCTCGCCTCCTATGCTAGGCCTGCTTGGCAAATACCTCTCCCTTGGGCTCATCTCGCGCATATACCCAGAAAATGCTCTTGATAGTACCGTCCTCCCCGGCCTGGAAGGTGATCCTGCGGAAGTCGGCCGACAGCTGAGGAAACATGGCCCTCTTTGCCTCGGCGTCCCGGTTGCAAGCCCAGGCAAACACATCGTCGTGGTAATGCTTCAGGTCATAGTATGTGCCAGGAAGGTCGTTCAAGCGCATGCGCAGTCCGTCTCCGTCTTCTGAGACTGAGACGGCCAGGACGAGGTTGCCCATCGCGTTGGAGTATCTGCCCACGTAAGCATCCAGGGGCTTGTGCGAAGTGCCCTCCTTTCTCTCAGACTCCAACTGAGCAGCGGTCCGCAGCGGGCCGTTGATGGAGGACGCCTTGCACTCTCTGACGAGGGACACAAAGTCTACCTTGTCATCCGACCCCAGGATTGTGTTCAGGATGAGACCGCCGACGTAATCGGGGAGATCGGCGAAGGAGAGCGTATTGCCTAGGATCACGATGGCCGTGTGAGTGCTAGGGACGAGATGGACCGACGAAATGTAGCCAGGCATGTTTCCGTTGTGGTAGGCAATCGAAGTCGGGGACACACCGCGACCAATGACAGGGTTCTGCTTGACGCGCCCGTCGTTGATGCCAATCCAGCCAATGTCGTTTGGAAGCTCGGTCAAGAACCACCCCAGTCCGTACTCTGTATTGCCCTTCTTGTTGTACGAAGTGAAGAGGGTGACGACCTCTTTGAAGGGACTGCCGGGCGTGCTCGCCAGACCTGTCTCTCTCTGGTCCGAGAGAGCCGAGAGAAGAGAATCGTAAAGGATAAGCAGATCATGGACAGTGCTCTTCAGGCCGGCGGCTCCACACAGAAGGCTGCCGTTTCCGATTCTAGGGTTGGGCACCTCAAACGGAGTGCCATCACTCAGCGTTATGTGGGCATTGGCGAAGTTGTCCTGGGATGGTGTGGCCCAAGTGGTCCTCTTCAGACCCAGCGGCTTGAAGAAAGTGTCCCGCATGAACTCCTCCAGAGGTTTTCCGGTCATTTTTTCAATGAGCAGCACCGCAACGGCGTACGTCCAATTGTTGTACTTGATCGTAGTGCGAAACTCGGCCAGCCTGTTCAAGTCACCCAGAACATTGATAGCTTCATTGGGGGGGAGGAGCAGTTCTTGTTGCATCTGGGCCCAATAGTTCATGCGCATGGCCAGTCCCATCCGATGTGCCAACAGATCGACAAGAGTGGCCTCGGACTCGACATCCCCGTTGCGCTGGTGGAATCGAGGCTCAAGGTCCAGGTCCTGAAGGCGGCTCTCCCACTCCAGCTTGCCATCGGCGACCAGAACGCCGAGACAGGCGGTGACGAGGGCCTTGGACAGAGAGCCCAGGTGGTAGATGGTGTCGTCGTCAGGCGCTTCTTTGGTACGGAGGTTGCGGTATCCGTAGTGCGACGAGTGGACCAGCTCCTTCTGGTGGATGACGCCGATCGAGAGGCTGGCGGAGCCAGCTTCGCCGACGAGCTCCTGGATCTGGTCGCGCAACGCGTTGAGACGCTGACGGACGTCGGGAAGAAAAGGACCCATGGTGAAATTGAAGCCGACGCACTGCTTGGAAACAAGAGCCAGCCAGGCGAGCTTCATCGACGACGACGAGGAGGACGACGACGACGAAGAGGAGGACGAGGATGACGAGGAGGACGAGGAGGACGAAGAGGACGAGGAGGACGAAGAGGACGAGGAGGACGAAGAGGACGAGGAGGACGAAGAGGACGAAGAGGACGAGGAGGATGAAGAGGACGAAGAGGATGAGGAGGATGAGGAGGACGAGGATGAGGCAGCGCAACGGGAAGTCGCTAAGACGAAAGTGAATTGGAATCTTGAGCCGCCCACTATTGTACAACGTACAACAACATGAAGCTTTGGGAAGGCGGCAACCCCAAGCCACCTGCCGTTCCCATTCGACTGCCCCCGCCCGCCCCCACTGACGCCCGACTACAGTGTGTGTTTCCAGCCTGCCACACATCCACCACTCAACTTTACACAGGTACCTTACGCAATGCCACCTATTACCTACATTGTAAGTTACCTAGGTACTCACAGTACCTTACGGGGGCAAGGGTTGCTGCAGTCTGTTCCTTCCACGTGTTTGCACCACTTCTAATTTTCAACAGATGCTCCTTCAGACAGGCTTTTTGACGCGGTGAACAGGACCTTTGACATGCTGAACAGCCTGTTATTTTCACACCATGTTGGTGTGAGCCTGTTCAAAAGATTTGTCCTGTTCGAATGCCTGTTTAGAAATACCCTTCACCCGGTAAGGTACTTACTCACCGAGAGTATGCGGTGCTGTCAAAGTGACACCCGTCAAGGAAATCACCCCCCTCACTTCGTACAACAAGAAGGGCAATACAGAGTACAGACTGAGGTGGTTCTTGACCGAGCTTCCAAACGACATTGGCTGGATTGGCATCAACGACGGGCACGTCAAGCAGAACCCTATCATTGGCCGCGGTGTGTCCCCGACTTCGATTCGCCTTCTAGCACTCAAGGAAATTCGTCCGCGGCCGTATGTCATGTCATAGAAGACTACGCGTTGGGGTTGCATTCACTTCTCCTCCCAAAATAGCCTTGGCCGTCGCCAGACATAACGCCCAGTCCCCAAAATGGCCCCCTAATACATCCATATCAAGCCTAAGATATGATGGTGTACACATCGAGACATATCATCCAAGTAACATGCGGTCGCCATCCGAAGGAGACAATTGAGGCCCATCACCTGCCTCGCTGAGGCCGGCGAACACCAGTTTGCAGGTGAGTATCAGCACCCTATCTGCTCCATCCGTCGTTGTCGTGATACAAATCGTCCTTACAAGACACCTCCGCATCCCAGCTCATCGTCGCTGGGTCTCTCATCTCCAACTATCAGGCTAGCAAGAGCTGAAATGCCACTTGCACAACCCGTCATGGACCCGGGCCCGCCCCAACCCAACGCTCAGGAGCTGTGGCGGCAGACCTACGGAAAGATCGAGACCGAGCTTAGGGAGCTGGAGGGAGAGCTCAGGAGGCTCGGCCACCACGGCATTATTCATTACAACAGCATCAATAACCGTGAGGCTTTCCTGGCGGGCATAGCGGATCTCTGTGATACCTACCCAGACCAGAAAGCCGCCACTCTGGTGCGAGAAAAGATCAACCCCAGAGTTACCCACTGCTGTCCTTTGAGAAGGCAATTTCTCTCTCGGCCCAGATGTCCACGCCTTCCGCATTAGTCTGGTCCGGCACACTGGTCGTCCTCCAAGTAAGTCCCTATCTTTTCCCGGCCGAACCTCGCTATCGTGTTGAGATTGTGCTGACCAGCAGGCCGCGTGTCGGTTCACGACACACCTGAACGAGATTATCGATGCTTTTTCCCGTTTCTACGATGCGCTCCCCCGGTTCGATGAGTACCTCGAGATCTACTCGGGCGAGATTCGCCTCGTCTACCAGCTGCGCAAGCTATTCGAAGACTACGGCAGGCTATGTATTCAGGCGTTGAAATGGATGACGAAGAAGCCGATTGGTAAGTGCTCTTGGGAGGATTTGATATTGAGGGAAACAACACCCCGGCAGCCTTATGCTTCGTCATGCTGATACCTCATACCTCTCGATATCAAGTGAACTTGATCAAGACTATTGTCTCCTCTGGGCCACAGGACAAGCTGCACGCCATCATAGTATCAATGGAACAGCACAAGAATGCCTTCAAGGATGAGGCGGAACTTATTTTACATAAGCGACTATCAGACCCCGGCCGCAACGCAGGCCGCCCGGATTCCTCGCGCGTTCGGCCGCAGTCGTTGGCCAAGCTGCCGGCCTTCATCGTTGTTGGTCGCCGCGACCGCAGATTCCTAGGCCGGGATACCATTTTGAACACTATCCACACCAACCTCGGCACCGAGAAGACCGGAGAAACGGCCGAGGCCAAGTCCATCCTCGTGCATGGCTTGAGTGGCATTGGCAAGACGTCGACGGCGCTCGAGTACACGTACAGATACAAGGGAGACTATGATAGCATCTACTGGCTGACGGCCGAGACCAAGTCAGACCTCGTTCGCTCTTGGGCCCTGATTGTCTCGAGGCTTCGTTCGCTCGGGCACATCGATCCCGGCTCCGAGTCTGGTGAGGAAACAGGTGTTTATGACGCTCGGGACTGGTTTGAGAACACAAGTGAGCTTGCACCCCAATTCGCGTCTTCTACAAGTAAGAGTTGCAGTTGGGGGTGGAGAGGGCTATCGGGCTGACGTGCCTACTTTAGACCAGAAGTGGCTCCTCGTCTTCGACAACGTTGAGCACTGGGGCCTGATTTCCAACTACTGGCCCAAGGCTGCTCGAGAGCATTCTGCCATCATCGTCACCTCGCAGAACCAAGAATTCAGACGCCAGACCACTTTCGAATGCCTCCTTCCAGATCTCTCCGTCGACGAGGGTTCTGAGCTTCTGATGTCTTATGCCTACAATGATCTAGACAGGCCTGATGATCAGGGCGCCTCCGAAGACGCATCCCGCAAGATCGCAGAAATGTTCGGCGGACTGCCTCTAGCCATCGCCCACATAGGCGGTTACGTGGGCGACGCCCATTGCACCCCGGTCCAGTTCATCGAGATTCTAGAGCAGAGATACCGGTCGCTTTGGGAGTGCGATTTGACCGTGTCCAACCCCTCGGTCGCTAAGCTGAAGCTCATTGCCGATGTCGCATTGCAGGAGCTCCCTGCCGAGGCAAAGACGTTGTTATACGCCATGGCTTTCCTCAACACGGACACCATTCACGCGGCGATGTTCACAGGGAGTGGCACTGACATAGCCGCTAGAGCTAGTGGCGCGAATCCGCCGTACGCCTGTTCCCAAGGAGAGTGAGTTCGCGACCCTTCCGATATCTCAAGGTATCCCACCCCCGTTTGAGACAATGATTAACAGATGCTGCGGCAGGTTTTATGAATACGTCAGGCGTCTCATCAAAAGAGCACTTCTCCGCGCAGACAGCGAGGCGAAGGATACCTACTTGATGCACAGGGCCCTACAGAGGGCAATTCTATACAACCTCGACGACGTCCCCGCCGGTCGGTCTGGTGCTTTCTGGGCAGCTTTCTCAGCCGTGCGACACATCACGCCGTCTGCGTCACCGATCCAGGTACCGAACCCGAAGCTGTGGCCAGACTTTGAGAGGGCAGTACCGCACATCATGGCGTTGGAGACGGCGTTTTCCCAAGCACGGCCGCCAATGGAGGGATCCATCGAGTTTGCGCGCCTGCTTTACGACGCTGGCTTCAATGCGTACGAGCGGGAATCGAGTCGTGATGGGCTTCGCCTACTCGAAACGGCCGAGACAATCCTGAAAGCGCTAGAGCATGACCAAGGAAGCAAGCTGCGGGCCGATATCCACGCCATCATTGCCGTTGTCTGCGACAACATAGGTATCAGTGAAAGAGAAAAGGCTTTGCGCCACCGTCAAGACGCTATTCCTATCCGGCAAGCCATCTGGCAGAAGGAGTCGCAGAGGGGATCACAGAGCACCACGGCCAGAGAGTCGGACATCTTGCTTCACAATGCCCTGAACGACACAGCCGAGTCGTACCTTCAGTATTACGACTTTGCGAGAGCCAATCAACTCATCGAGCGGTGCTACCAGAGGTATCAGACCTGGGGCACTGAACAGGAGTACCCGTTTGAGTACGGCAAGTACTATCGGAATAAGGGCACCGTCCTTTGCCTTCAGCGGCTCTTCTCCGAAGCGATCAAGTCGGCTTCACGGGCCACCGAGCTGCAGAAGCGAGACACGGGAATTGGCCCGCGCTACTTATACTACAGACAGGATCTGGCTGGCATTCTACTGCAATCAGGAGACGTAGAAGGCTCGCTCAGGCTTCATCTGGAGATATACCAGGAGAGAGAGAAGATCTGCGGGAAGTTCCACGACGTCACGCTCCAGAGCTCGTATGCGGTAGGCGCCATGTATTACCACCTAGGCAATATGCCTGAAGCAGAGTACGAGGCCCCTTCATATCACCCTGCACAGTCGTCAGCTAACATTCTCCGCTTCGGCCAGAAGATGGTTTCAAAAAACTCTGAGACGTGCGGTACGGACGCAGTGGCCGGACGAGCCGCTATGCCGGGCTCAGTTCCACCTTTCCAGAGTCTTAGACCGCCAGACACTCCAGGCCGACTCCGGTTACGATGACAGCCCGGGCCTGGTCATGCAAAGGCGGGCCGAGGCAGAAGACCTGAGGACAAAGGCAAGAGCCACACTAGACAGGCTGCTGAAGCATCACATCCCGGGCTATCTCCAAGGTGCCGAAGTAGACGAGCTCGCTCGTTTTGATCATTTGCAAGCGACATTCCGTGGGCGGTGGACGGGCATGACATTGCTGCAGCACATTCCCATAGAGCCTGGCAAGGCCATGGCCGAAGGGTGAGAATGGGTGGGGGTGCTTGTGTGTTGGAGATGAGGGAGAGAGGAGCCATAGTTGGTTTGGCAGGGTTTGGATTACTTGTGGGAAGTGATATTCAACGATCATTCGATGTATACATGGCAATGACCAAATGCAAAATTCAATCTCGAAAGGCCACGTCTCCATTGGGAAGAACTCTACAGTACCTAGGTAGCAACGTTGGATCAAGCTGTTACGATAGACTGACTTGATATATTGTCCACTGTTGCAATGCGATTGTCTCAGATATAATCACTGCCACAAAGACACTGAGCACATTGATCTCATTCGAATCTGGCGTGCGAAGCCGTGTAAAGTCCTTGCGGCATCAAAGCCCCCCCAATAAACCTCCGGCAGGCATCGAACCAGCCATCCAACCTAGTGCGTGAACCTAAAGCTAGGATGGTCATCACCCAGGTTATTCAGCTCCGCCTCCGGCAAGTCCAGGAGGTGGTCCCGCGCCCCCTCGTCGCGCAGGCGGTTCTCCCTGCGGATCCAAGCCGCGAACGCGCAGGCCGCGAAGACGCAGAGCCACGTGAAGCCGAGCCCGACGCCGTAGCCGAGCAGGTACCGCGGCTCGTCGCGCGGCAGGAAGATGTTGGACGCGACGAAGCCGGAGCAGTTGCCGATGGACAGCTGCACGGCGGCGCCGACCCCGCGCTTGTAGTGCCCGCCGAGGTTGTTGCTGAGCCAGACGACGGTGATGGGCTGCACGAGCCAGCAGCCGCAGGTGACGAGGTAGAGCGCGAAGTAGCGCGCGCCGACGGGGACGTACGGGCTGGCCAGCAGGACGCCGTAGCCCGCGGTCGTGACGAGGCAGCCGACGATGATGAAGGCGAAGCGGTGGCGCAGGCGGTCCGAGAGCACGGCGGCCGTCATGGTGACGGCGGCGGCGGCGATGTAGAGCGGGATGGACATGACCTGGGCGCGCAGGGAGGTCCAGCCGAGCTGCTTGAGGATGGTGGGGTTGAAGAAGGACGTGCTGTAGGTGGTGGTGACGATGCCGAGGTACATAAGGGCGCTGCGTGAGTTTGAGTGTTAGTGCTTGTCTGTTGGGCGCCGTGCATAGGTTCCAGCTTTCTAGGACAGACTCTACTTACCCGAGCCAGATTTTCAAGTCACCAAAGACGCGTTTGGCGGTGTCCTTGTTCCAGTGGTTCATCGTCGCGTCTGGTGTATCGGCTGCAAGCCGGGCTAGAAGGATTGCTCTCTCCTGTTCGCTGAGGAACTTGGCGGTCTGCGGCCAATCGGGTGTCGTGAAGTAGGCATAGACTGCGATAAGGACAGTTGCAATACCTGTCGGATGAGATGTCTGTGTCTTTCTCGTCATGGCGAAATCCCAGGAGATGATGTTTACCCTCGAGGATGAAAATCCATCGCCAGCCTCCGTAGCCGGCGATACCAGACATGTGGGCGATGGCGTACGCCAGAAGACCAGAAAAGGCTCCAGCAAGGATGGAAGCCGTGTAGAAGAGGTTCACTCGCCACTGGAGCTCATGGCGTTTGTAGTACATGGAGATGAGGTATACACAGCCGGGAACGAAGCCGGCTTCGAAAAGGCCGATCAAAACACGACACACGACCAACCCCGCGAATGACTGAGTGACGCCCTGACCAATGGTGATAATACCGCATGCTCCAATGATGAAACTAAGGAAGGCTGAGGGGCGGACCTTTTTCAGGATCATGTTGCATGGAACCTCGAACAGGATGTATGTGACGAAGAAGGAGAAGAGTGCGATGTTGTAGGCGTTGCCTTTCATGTTCAAGTCCTGTTCCAATCCTTGAATTCTGGCATTGCCAATATTGATACTGCAGTTCCAGCGTCAGAAACACTCTCTTGACCAGCCCTAAAGCATGTGAACTTACCGGTCCACAAAAGCACAGAGAAGTAACAGACTAAGGATCGGAATGAGGTGCAGATCGATCCTCCGGACTAGTTTCTTCTCAAGCTCCGGGTCGAACTCGACCTCCACGTTGCCCGACTGAGGTTTCATCTCCTCGAAATGGACAGGAGTGTCCTGCGGTTCCTTCTCGGTAGCTACCATTGTGAGTGACAGGATCATCCAAAGAGGGAGTTTGATCGATGCGAGGCTGCCGGGATCTTCATAGCTGGTGAGCCCGGATATAACACATGGGAAGTGAAGACTTATTGTACCCCAGACTTCCCCAGGTTCTCCCCAGCTCCTTCATCTCCCCGCCAATCTACCTTTGAAAAGCCTAAGGCTGTAGACCTAGTTCTATGGATGTATTTCTTGGCAAACCGTGGAGACAGCATCTGGCCCCGCATTGCTTCCGATGGTATCTCCCCGTCACTGAGCTAGTGCTTGATCCGATAATCTCCGCGCCTTTCCAGCCCACACAAGTCATGGATTCCACAGCAAGATCCAATTCCAATACCAAGAGAAAGCCCTCTCCTATCCGACTAGGTTGTTTATATCGATATCCCTTGCGACTTGTTTGCACAAGTGTGTGATCTTTTGATCTAATATACGTCACCGTGTTCCGAAATGATACTGCACCGCAAGAGACCTTCATGATGAGGCCGAGTTGGCAAGTCGCACTAGGCTTAACACTGGCGGGGCGGGTGCGGGAGAGGTTTTAGTTCGCATGTGTGGCTGCTGAATCGTTGCCGAAACCTTACACCTCAACACGGAACTTACGTCCACTGGCTTTTGCGTTGGCCACCATCCAACTCCGCCATCGCTGGTCCTCGTTTCACAGCTCTATGGTGCCAGCGAATCTGTCCGAGGAGCGAGCGGAGCACTAGTAGCAATTGCGGTGGCATCCGTCTTCAGACATCATGGCCAGCAAGCCGTCATGGATTGAACGAAAAGCGATCAGCCAAGATGTTCTCAAGCGCATATACGCCTCGGATCAAGACATGTATCCAGTACCGCTGAGCTTTGAGCGGCTCCAGGATTGGGTAGCGCAATCCCCAGAGCTCTCTGTCTGTTACCTCGACAGTGCAGCCGACGGCTGCGACTCCCCAGGGGATGCCGTCGAGATCGGTGCCGTTATCGTGCTGCCCCTGCGGAAGAATCAATGGGAAGAGCTGCTAGTTGGGAAATTGAAGGAAATCGAAGTTGACGCAAGCATCATGTTTGGGAGCAGCGACACAGACGAGCTGCAGGACGTCGGCTTGCACATCTTCCACATTGAAAGGTTTGAAGGGTGTGGCCGAGCCAAAGTGCAGCGATTTGCCGAGTTTGTCTTGGAGGATGTGCGCGAGGTGGCAACTCGATACCACTGGAACATTCTCGGGTACTCTGGTAAGAATCATTTTCACACAAAGCCATGGCTGTCGCCTTTGATCTTGGTGGGCTAACGTTCGCCTTCAGCACTCACAGCCACGCCGGCTGGTAGAAGGGCTTTTGGTCGGATGTCTTTCAAGCCAACGGGGTACGAAGAGCTCTTTTCTCAGGCTACAAGCGATTCTACTGAGATGCCAGAGATGGGCATCAATATGCTCTTCAAATACCCTGAGGGGCAAGGGGCCGATTCGCTTGAATTATCACAGTCACACCATATTGTCTTCAAGTCTGCAATGGTCGTGAAATTCGGCAATGGGGGGTTCTGGGACGACAAGTGACGGATTGATATTGTAACAAGTGCACATGCGTTTCTTCACCTCAAGCCGTCCCAGTCCAGCCCGAAAATCGACCCTCTTGAGGCGTTAGCATCTCCAGGGACGTTCAGGCTTTGAGTTGGATGTTCTGCTTGAAGCAAATCATCCAGCATAGCCCAAGTCATGTCGAAATCAATGTTATTCAAGTCAACCATCGACATCGTCGTTTCTGGATGACCTGATTGGGCTCCGGTGTTTTCAAAAGCTACATCTCTTGGTGATAGAGAGGCTGCACCAGCATGGTTGATGTTTTGCCCACTCAAGACATGATCTTGCGTCTCCGGGTGTCCAAGACGGTCTTCGAGCATTTCAAGAATGCGAACGACATGAGACGCAGAGGGAAATTGTGGCTTGTAGTGCTCAAATATTTGGATGCACTGTGACCACGAGACTGAAAGCGAAGCGCTACTGATATCAACCTCCGGCATGAGACAAAGGCGCGCGGTGATTAGAACCACGGCGCATGAAAATGCATCTATTCGTCAACCTTAGCACAGTTTCAACTTATTGGGAAGAAGGGTGAGGAGCTTGTCTGACAATGAATCTTGTGCGAAATTGATGTCCAGTAGGAAGTGCCCATGTTGTCGTAGATATGGGCAATCAAAGTTTGGGCCGTAGAGACGCAGAGCTTGCAGGCCTGGAGAGCCAGCTGTTGCTCAAGAGAGTCTTCACTTTGCGTCTTTGCACTAGGCTGGACCCGGTTCGAGGAAGATTGAGCTACTAATAATAAAACAGGCCGTAGCAGCAGGATCCGAATATACAGCAGCCTGAAGGATGCCCTATTAGTCTGAGAAAATGCAACGTGCGAAGGTCGTTTCATACCGAGAGTAGAGGATCTTCCCTCCAAGGGCAATGGCATCGTCCTCAAGCGTAGCAAAAGTGCCCTGTCCAGCGAGATAGCTTGGGACAGACTCCCAGAACTTGTTCAGTCGCATGTTGTACTTCATGACCAAGCTCATCTCCTCGCATGACCAAGCTATCGTATTCTTCTTCAAATAGAATGATACCACAATGTCGTTCAGTATGTCGAACAATTTGTTTGAATAGACAAAGCAGCCCATCTTGGAGTTTATGTGAGGGGGCTGGACTCCTTCTCCGTCCTCTAGAAGGTACTCGTCATCGATCACCAGGGGCATGGGCACCTCGGTCGGGGTTGAGATCATCATAGGCCGACCAAAAGTTGTGGCAAACTGCCTGATGACGAGCAATAAAGTTAGAATTGGGATGTTATCCTGGGAGCTACACGGGTTTACACATACCGATCAAGAAAGACACACATGTGCCAGACTCGCCGTTCCATCTCGCGCTCTACTTGGTTCGTAGAATCCGATCTCCTCTCCAGGTGTATTCCGATGCTCTGCGCCACGCGGATGGCGGACCCAATGGCGTTCCAGCATCTGTTTGCATACTTGGTTGACTGCAGGTATACTCCAGTGAGTAGGAGCAGTTGAACAGTTGAGAGCGTAGGGCTATCTAGCATCTCATCTGTAAAACACCTCTTCAATCTCTGGTAGAGTTTGTCCGCAATATCGGCGCCACGCGGTCCCGCAACTTGGTCGCCGAACTGACACCCAATGGCCAGAACGATATTGAGAGTAGAAAAGAAAGTGACTTCTTCGGTCTTATCAGACGTCAGATCGGACCCAACCTCGTTGGTAGGAGCCCACAGCCTATTGTAGACTCTCATGAACGCCGGTCTGTGGAGCACAGGCAGTATGGGGTGAAAATACTTCCAGAAAGCTTCGACGAAACCATCGGCTACTCGCCGTGGCGGGAGAAAAAGAGCTTCTGCATCAACCGACTGTGGCTCTGACGCAGAGAGTATAGCTTTGTTTGGCGGGAATGTACTGTTCACCCCAATGTTGGAAACCCCGCGAGATGAGTATCTGCTCCCGATTGTCCGGAGCATCGACCGAACAAAAGCAATTGGGGATGACTCTCCCATCGGGCAATCGGTGCCGCCTTCTGGAGACGGCACAACGACCATCGCGTCTGTGTCAATGACATCGTGCTGTGGTGGGGTCGGCAACCGATCTTTGACTTGCGAGTCACGTCGTCGTGTAGTAGAGACAGGAGAAGGCTCTGTTCTAGCCCACACGTCTGATTGTTGTCGACTGGAGATGCTCTCAAGATCCTCATGGTGGCTAACTGCTGGAGCATATCAGCCATGTGGTAATGAGAATTGACTGCATTAGACATGCAGCATTTACCTTGGATGGTTGACTCTTCGGGATCCCAATTCTGAGGCAACCCCTCCCTGGCTCTCCTTTCATATTCCTGAACGCGAGCCTCCAGGCTAGAGACATATCTTGAAGACGAGAGTTAGTCACAACCCTTCTTTCGAAACCGACCATAGGAGTTCTTTACCTTCTGGTCTTGAGAGTAGCTTCCGGGTAGATGCAGTCCAAAGTTGAGCCCTTGGCTTCGCATGTGGAGCATATCGGCTGTCTCCCATCGCAGCGAGTCTTGCGGGAGCGACAGTAGTTGCACGCGAGCGCAATCTTTCGCCGTTTGACCTGCCTCCGGCCAGTCTCTGCAGGTAAGCTAGACATCGTTTCCGTGCAGTCGCAGTGTCTCTTGGGGAGGCGGCAGTCCTCCTCTGTGAGGTGAACTAGGGGCTGGGAGCACGGCAAAGGTACGGATTTTATATCCGACTCTTCTGAGAGGTTCATCCGCCTCCCAAGCTTACCCCGCCGTTTGGTGCGCTTGGCAGGAGGAATCTGGGGCAAGAAGTTGGAGACTAATTCCCCAGGGCTAGCTACGAATTAGGAGCACCTGGTCAAACTAGCGGCGGATCTTGCGGAGTTGATCAACCTTGTATTCATCCTGGGACACCAAATTCAAAGCCTATCTGCATCTAGACCAGCCACATGGAATGGTCGGCATACGGTAATCAAGTATGTCTCAGCTCTTGTCCTCTCGCAAGTGAATCAACAGCTTTGCCCCAGCCGGCCCAGCATTGAATGTATCGTACATCCTCATGTCCTCCTCGGTCATACTCGCGTCTACTGATCCGTCAAAGCGGCGGAAAAAGGAGGCTGCCATCTTGCTCAGTTCCATTTGTGCCAAGCTGAAGCACCATAGTCAGTACGGGATCAATCACCCACTTCTTACCCTCGATCACAAACGAACTTACTTTATGCCTATGCACCTTCTGGACCCGACCGAAAATGGTGTCCACGAGGCCTTCCGCAAGTCTCCCTTATCAGGCTCGAGCCATCGTTCCGGGATGAACTCTTCGGGTTCGGGAAAGGCTTCCGCGTTGCGGTGCATAGTGTAATTCTGGGTGCCGACCGTCGTCTGTAAGTTCGTGTTAGCCTCGCTATTAGTGAGCTGATCTCGCTGAGGGTAGAGAGCTTACTCCTTTAGGCACAGGAACACCACAGACAAAAGTCGTCTTATTCGCAGTTCGTGGAAGGGTGGCAACGATGGTCGGATATCTTCGTAGAGTCTCAGAGATCACGGCTTGTAGGTATGGAAGCTTGCTGCAGGTCTGATAATTAATTACTCAGTATATTGTAGCGAGAAGAGATGGGAGAGAGTTGTACCTGGTAGTCTGGAATCACGTTGGGGTCTGGGAATGCCTCTTTGAGTTCTGTTCGCAGTTTGGCTACGACCTCGGGCTTGTTCAAACAGGACCAAAGAATGTATACAAAAGTATTCGCCGTGGTACCGCTACCTCCGAACCTAACGATGCAGTTTTGTCAAATCTCAGACACCAGCAAATAGAAGTGGTTATTAGGACTTACATCCCTCCCATGCACTCCTCTGCAAGCTCGGAATCATTCACGGGTTGTTCTTTTCCTGGGTCTAGGACTGTCTTGAGGAACGGTGTATGCGTGCCCCTCTGGCGCACTTGGCCAATCAGCTCCAGGGCGTACTAGAAGCTGTGAGCGGCTAGTCAACAAGTGTTATTTGTATTGCATCTTACCTGCTTCCAGGCACAGACATCTCTGAAGTAGCCACCAACGCGGCCAGGAACATAAACACCTATCTGCTCCATCTGTGGGAGAAACTCTTTCTACAGGGAGTCAGCCCCTAATTTTGCGCTTCCGGAGCAATGACAATCACCTACGTAGATAAAAGTCGGCTTCCATGCCCTAATATACTTCATGACTGTATGGGCCTGGCCACGCTTGACCGAGCCGGGATCCTCGTCAAACATGAGATGATCTTAGAGTTACGTTAGTTAGCTAGACCTACTGTCCAAGTAACATTGCTACCCACAGATGACATCGAATCCCAGCCAGTGACACCAGGGGTATACATCGATGGGGCCGTTCGGAGCTCGGGCAGCCCATTGGTTGAGTGTAGTCTCAATCTTGGAGGAGATATGGGGTTCGAAGTCGAGCATGGAGGTTTGGGAGAAGCCGCGAGAGAAGAGTTTTCGACGTTGCTTGTGGGCCTCCGCATCTCTGTAACCATCAGTGAGTCTAGAGCCTTGCAACCCCAATGCTTTGTCTGGCGAGTGGAACTTACCTAAAGCTGAACAGATGATTCTCGTGAAAGATGCGCTTTGCTCGCTTTTGGCCTTGTTAGCCGCCACCACCCAACTCTCAAGAGTATTCTGCCTACATAAAAGGTCTCCTCCTTGGTGAAGTCGTTCGAGGTGTAAATATCCTGCACAGCGGCCGGGTCCGCAAACGAGATCTCGTTCGGTCCAACTCGCACCACGGGTCCGTACTTGACGTGCGCTTCGTGGATTCGCTCCGACTTGCGGCCGTGGAAATTTCCAATTCGACTCCACAGACGCGAGATGCGTGCCAGGGGCGGCCCAGGAATGCTCCGCAGAGGGTGGAAGAAGTAGTTGTAGAGGCATGTCAGCCCAAAATGAAGCAGAGCTACAGCTGAGAGAGCTAATCCGGCCGTAGCCAGGTTCCAAGCGTGGAGATCCAGCAACATTGCAGCGAAGTAGCTGGGTGATAGTATAGCGATGAATAACGGCCAAACTGAGGTATAGCGGAAGGACGATGGCGCAGCTCTGGTGGTGTGGTTGGTTTGACCGTCGGAACGAGAGTTCACACTCACAACTTTGTGCAGTATACAGTTTATAAGCCATCTTGCCAGATCTACCACATGATTACACCCATCCCCCACCCCAGACCGTGGCCGATGACGATCAGTGAGGAGACCATCATGCCCCCGATCGGGGACTTACACAGGGCTGCAACTTGTCCGCGTCTTCCCCACACTTTCGTCGCGGAGATAAGTTTAGCACTGGTAAGTCGTGGTTAGCTCCCCACCGTGTCTCATATTGTTTTCGGGGAGATAAGGGGCCAATCATAACTCTCGTACGTTCATCTTGACATCTCTAAATCTGGCAAATAATATTTATGTGGCTGACAAGGGAGTGGTGGAAGCAGAGCTATGACGCCCGAGCCGCAGGAGTGACTACATGGCGAGGAGATGAGACGCAATCACCCCGGTTGTTCCCACCACTCTCTCCTCCTACGAGTATTCCTCTGGGAATAATCTCTCTGGAAAGCTAAGCCGATATATGGGCTATTAAATAACATGCATCAATACCATGGGAACGAATCCCGCTCTACATCCTCCCGCTGTGAAGAATCTACACCGTCATAAATGCCACAGCCATCATAGCCAAGGTAGCGGCTGTATACCGCTCGGCCGCTCTCCCCGGTGCAGCATTCCTAATCACCGCAGGCGAAGATACAGCAGGTGTACCAGATGCGGCAGATGACCCAGATCCGCTTCCGGTCGCCGAAGAAGTCAGAGCCACTTGCTCACTGCTGATGTTTGAGGTTGAGGTGACTAGAGACTCGGTAGCGGAGGCCGGGGCTGGAGTCACCTTGGCAGTGTTGGACGCGGAGACGACGAGCTTTTCTGCACCTTCCGTGATGACAGCGGTCTTGTACATTTTCGATAGATTGGTCTGGGTCGTCACCACCGTCCTCGTCACAGTCTCGCTCTGGTCGTTGACCGTGGCGACCGTGACAGCGCACGTAGCCGCATTCCCCGATCTGTCGAGGTTGCAGGCGAGGTCCTCTGAGCTGAGCAGAGGGGAAATTAGTTATTGGCCCCAAAATCCATTAGAACTTCTTACAAGTAGCCAGCTTGGCTGTCACTGGAGTGGAAGTACTGGATCGTGAGAGTAGAAGGGCCTTCAACGACGGTCTGAGTATTGAGGATGTGACATTGTGCGTTGTTGGCATCATTGGCGCAGTGAATGGCAAATGTGGTGAGGCTAGGGTTGGCATTGACAACTGTGCCGGTCATTGTACCGACGGCCTCGACTGGGAAGACGACGTCGATTGTAGTAATTTGGGCCACGGCCATGGCCGCCGATAGGAGGACAAGAACCGAAGAACTCATGGTAAGGACTCGGTTACGACAAGAATTGCGAGCTTAGCATGAATCAAGTTGATATCGACGACACAGTGATGAATTATATGCTCTCTTATCCAGACACTTGAGATACAGAGTGCCACCTTGATGGCTGCCGACACCCTAGTCATCAGGCACACGTCCCAGACAACATGCAAGCCACGAGCCAACAGGGTTGGACAAATTTAAGCGTAACCGAAAACGATCAACAGCCATCATGCTTAGACTGATGTTGGTCCAATTGGTATCTTCCCAAACAGGCAATTCAAAACGAACTCCATGAACCAGGAGAATGGTCAGGCCTTCGAAGCTAATTTACAAACTTCGCCATGACGCCCCTTCCACACATGTGCGTGGAAGTACAGTCGCGCCTTAATCCAGTCAAAGAACAGAAGCACCCGGCAAGCCATGGGTGCGGCTGAGGGACGAGACGGGGGAGGTGGACGGCGCCTCGGCAGCCCAAGCGAGCACGCGCCTCCACACCAGCTCCCCGTCGTGTTCGAGCTCCATGCAGCTCCTCAGCTTCTCCACCGCCTCGGCGTCGTACAAGTCCGTGCCGAACCAGCGCTCCGCGTCGTGGATCCTCAGCTTCGCCGTCTCGGCGTCCTTCTCCGGGTGGCCCTGGAACGTCAGGATGGTGTTGGCCTCGTTGACGAAGCACTGGTTCTGGCTCGCCAGCGGCACGAAGCCCTTGGGCATCCGGGCCACCTCTCGGCGGTGGTGCTGCTGCAGGCGCAGACTACCGACTCCGCGGTTCGCCGGCTGCGCGGCGACGCCAAAGAAGCGGCGGCCGTGGTGCGTGAGCTCGATCTCCGCGACGCCGAGCTGCGGGGGCTCCGAGTCGACGACCTCGCCGCCGAAGGCGAGCGAGATGGTCTGGTGGCCCCAGCAGATGCCGCAGACCTTCTTGGCCGGGTGGTCGCGGGCGAGGCGGGCGATGAAGGCGTGCATGCGCCGGACCCAGAACAGCGACGTCTTGCGCGCGTCGACGTTGCTGCCGCCGATGACGACGAGGTCGAAGCGCTCCGGGTCCGGGAAGTCGTCGCGCTCGACGGGGTAGAAGAAGGCGAGCTGCGAGTCCGGGGAGACGGCGCCGATGGTGCGGACGTACGAGTCGCGGATGGCCTCGATGAAGCGCGAGCGGTACGAGTTGAGGAGTATGGCGATGCGCAGGGGCTTGAGGGCGTCGCCGCCGGCGCCGGGCTTGCCCTGGTAGTGCGCCGTGATCGTGGCGGCCGCCGCGCGAGCCGCGTCGAGTTGGGCGTTGAGCTTCTCGACCATGGTTGCTGGATATGTATCGCGCGACAGGAGCGAGAGAGAGCGCCAAGCGCTTTGCACTAGGCCGAGGTTAATCGAAATGGCGTTGATGTCATGTCATGCCATGAGATGGCCGCGTTCTCGTCAGGACAAAGGCGTGCGTCGAGTGTCAATTGCTTGCGCCGGTAACTTGAGTGTCTTCCGGGGTTCATCCAAGGATGTGGGACAGCGTCTCGCAATGCAGCTTGTTGAAAGCCGTGCGGGATGTTGAAGGTGATGAATGGGAAAGGAGGCATTCCCTTCCCAGAAGAAAGAAATGGGCTGGCCTTACCCCAGCTTTTTCTCTCCTTAGCCTGGTGGAGCCACGCGAAGACCAACCCCAGCCCAGTCACCACGCCATTGTCTCTTCGGCATCTGATGCCAGCCGAAAGTGAAGGTTTTTGTGTGGAGCGCTCGACCGACAAGATGTCTTGTCTGGCGAGCATCGCCGTATGTTGGCTAGCCATTGACGAGCAGTAAGAGGCATGATTGGAGCATTGCGTCTTGGAACATGTTTGCTCCCATGCAGGACACGTTGGCGATAGCTATTCGATGGATGGTCCGCCAATATTGAGAAGGAGGCGGGTTGAGCAAATGAAAGTCTGGATCCTCCCAACCTGACCAGGGGTAAGGCTGGTTGGAGGCTCTATGGGAGAACGACTGTAGTCGGATCATGTCGAGTTGCAGATGAAGCTTCAAGCTTGACGAAAGCACGGCTTACTTCGTAGCTGACCATCAGTCCAGTTCGGCACCAAACACGCAAGGTGACGTCATACTCCCACGTTCCAGGGCCCCCAAACACCAAACGAGCTTTGTCTGCGACACGGAAGATTGCGGTCTTTCGGGATGTGGTCAGCTTAAGATTGCATGCTTGCTGAGCCGCACTGGTACCTTAACTCGAATCTGCATGGCAGGTCGAGCCGATCGATACAACGGGTCTAGACCAGCTCAAAGGTCTGCTCTTCCCGTTCTGTGCCTGTCCTGCCCCAGTCAATGAAAAGCGGCACATATCTCCGGCGACCAATCTTGAGACTGGCGCAGGCTCTCCAGGAGATAGATCGACACCCGCCATGGTGTTTGCTATTCCGTCTCGGGAGGGTAGCCGCGTGAGAAGTGGTCCGCGCACGTACAAGGAGCAGCCGCCCGTGGTAGGTCAGTGCCCTCAGAAAAGAAGACAAGAGGCGTCAAGGGGAAGAGCAGGGCTGAATCAAACGAAACCAGATCTCCCTCCCTCGTACGAGGAAGCGACCTCAGCGGCTGGACTGCACGGCCCAGGCGCGCAATCGTCAGATAGCACACCTCCGCTCGAGGGAACATTACCATCCCGTCCGCCGCTGGAAACGGCGATGATATTACCACGCTCGTCATCTGCGCGGCGCTTCCCTCAGGCATTCAACATCTATCTCGACGACAGTGGGCTCTCGTTCACGCTAGGCGAGCACAGAAACACGCCCATCTACGCCGGTCGATTCCACCCGTCCAGCGCAGCTACACTCGGGCTCTACGCCGGACCGTCGGCAGAGACCTCTCCCATGCTAGCCACGGTGGTCAACTCCGCCGGCAGCGGCGACGCAACGATCAGTCTCCTCCCCTTGACGAGCGATGCTCCTCCCGTCGAGGTCACGATCGCATCGCACAGGTTCAGAGTCGAGATTGGCATCGCCGGGGGTGTAGGCCATCCCGAGATCTTTGAGTGGCGAAACAGCAGGGGCAAGGCGCTGGTCGAGCTCGAGGCGCACAGCGGGTGGGAGCTAGTCCGGATGGCCCAGTACCCGCCCCCGGGTGTGACGGCGGATTTCGAGCCCGGCAAGTACGAGACGGACGATGGGAGGGAGGTGGTGGCCGTCTGGGCAGAGGTGAAGCTGAGCAGCACAAAGTCAGCCAAGTTCAAGTTTCTTGACACGGGCAGTGCCGGGGTGCTGGGGGAGCAGTGGGAGATGGTGGCGGTGGTGAGTGCGCTCGGGCTATGGGAGAAGCAGACGAGAGCGAAGAGGTGGAGGGAATCTTGAGCATTGTGGATCACCAGCGCCAAAGGATACTTAGTTCCCAAATGAAGGATGCAATGGCTAATGACGTAGAGAGGAAGCAAGCGGTTGGGAGAACCCACGCGGCGAACTCGGGCGAATAACATCAACCGCGGGGATATCATTGAGATGTGTTCGCGGTAATTAAATGACAAACACGCGGTCTGCTCTTCCTCTTGAGGTGGCAAGGGTTTTGTTGCGGCTTGAACAGACAACAGCGAAGCAGCTGCGGTTGGGCGGCTGCATGCATGTGTAGCCATCCCGGACGATCCAGATGCATACGAGCTTGGTCTAGACGCATGCAAGTAACTGCCACGAGCAGCATTGACCGCCAGAAGGACCTTCCCAAGCTCAAATAGAGAAACCCAGGAGAAAGGGAAATCGAAGAGGATGTTAGCAGCGTCACAGGGCTCGGGGAACCGGCACTACGTTTCGTCTTGACCACCAAGTCACACGAGGACATGTGGTAAACCGGTCCGCCTGTGAGGTGGACACGCCAGGGCCAGACGGTGCCCCGGCCTGGAATTTCCCTGCTTCTACACCAGCAGTCAATATCTGCCGTCATCAGAACTGCTAGCTTCAAAGAGCTTCCCGCCATGGCAGGATGGACCAGGGTGTCAAAAGCATTGATTTGATCACCCACCTACAGGGGTGCCGCAAACACAACGACCGTTCCCCATGTGTTCACCCAACTTGTAGCATTCTGTTCACTCAGGGTCTGTCCCTCCTGGCATACTGGCATGGAAGAAGGCTTGCCTTGGCCCATGATTCCTCGCTGCGGTCGACTGACCACATGGAAGTCGAAATGCATATCCTCACCACACATATCAAGGCCAGAAACACACCGCTTTACCAAGACTACGCTTCCCAACAATGTTTGTGGTCAAAAAGAAATGTGCTCCACGCGCAACTATCCGTGACACCTGGGCCATTCCGGGATCTAAATCCTGTGGCTCGTGATCTGCCCATGAGATCGGACATGGGTCAACTCATGCAAGTCATTGTCAACACTGCCCAGGCCGCGAATGCAGTCTGTGGATACGTCAGAGGCCGTCGGCCATGCCGTGGGCCGTCAAATTCCACATTTCCTTTCCCAAAAGAGCTGGATGCACAAAGGCTCTGCATGCGCAGCCGAAGTAGCCGCTGGGGGGGCATGGGGCAGCCAGAGGACTAAGCATGGTTTCTGTGACGATGCCATCGTCTCCAAAGGGTGACATACTCTGTTGGCCTATCATGAAAAGTCAACAATAGCAAACAGACAGGGCACTCGCTCAACTCTCGTCGTTTCCCGAAGAGGGTTGACACATGGAAGAAAGACTATTGGTCTTCCACGGTTTTGGAGGCTCCGATAGGAAAAGGAAATTAGTAGTCGGTTTCCGGAAGGGAATATTAGCTCATCTAACTGTTTGTTGGGAGCACCGATTCAGCATACGGCGTTGAAGCTATGATGATATATGTTGATAAACAACAAAATGCCCACTGGCGAGAGCCTATGGGCAGAAGCTCAGGGTCGTTCATCTTACATGTATTATTGGCCTTGAAAGCGCTTGCTATCTCGTTCTTTGCTTCTATCTCTCTCTGTTTCAAATCATTAATGTTTAATCCTCCACAACATCCCAATATTACGTCCGCCATCCCAACCGGTGGCGTCGACACTAATTTGCCTCTCGTCCCCCTTGATATTACCTATCATTTTATCAAACATCGGTGAAGGGTTGTCCCCCAATCGACTCCTTCCATCCGGATCAGTCCAGAAGCACTGCCCGCCTTGCATTGGTGACCTGGTACCGCAGGCAAGCATACATCCCACATCGCCCACGCTTGTCGTCTGCCAACCACACCGCTTCACGTGCCGGACAAAGAAGCCTATTCTCCATCTTGATACAATCCCTCTACCGGACTAGCATCGTTGGGCTTTCTGACCTGGCTTTTTCGGCGTGCCCGAGCCTAGGGCAAACGACCCAAGGTCGATCTGGGCGGGAAAGCAGCGGTGAGGGGCGGCATAGTCGAGCAGCTTGCGGTATCGCCAGCTAGGCAAGCTATGCAGGGCAATACTGACAAAGAGACAGTGTTGTGAGTAGCTGCAGCTCTTGCAGGAATCCCCTTGCAGAGATGTATTTCAATATAACTTCCCCTCCCGGGTTTGCCATCCCTCGCGACAAACTCCGAGTTGTTGCGACTGATATTGAGGGTTGTCGTTTTGTTTTCAAGCTTGAGCAATACCAACAGCACCGAGAGTTGCCAAACATGGAGTGCATTCCGTTTGATTATATCCCCCGGGAGATGGTATACAAAGCCGAAGAGTCATCTCCCGATAGCCACACCGGTACCTGGGTCAGTGATGGCCGAGACTTCCCGTCAAGCCCTTGGTATGACAGCAATGATTACATGGTATTGCCCCTTCATCGTTCCATGCCAGGTAGTAGAAACGATTGCTGACACTCTCGATACAGCTCGACAGCTCGCCGCGGAATTATTATGGCGGAGTAAGTAATCTGCCCCTGCAGCGCCTCAGCCGCATCAACGGCGGCGGCCATCGTTACTCACAGCCCTATCCGGAGCAGGACTCGCCTCTGTCCTGCCTCTTCAAGCCCTACTTCAGCGATGTCGCTTTGCTGCCCGGCAATGACACCAGCGACGGCAGCGACATCTCAGCGCTTCAGCAGTGTCCCGACCTGGGCTTCCCGACCGAGTTTGCCCCCGCTGGCCACGACGTCAGCCCTCCCGACAAACTCGCCGCCTCAGCTGCAGGCGCCCGCGCAATCGGCGACCACCAGGATATTACGCCACCACCTCCAGCAGCAGGACCAGCAGCAGCGGCGGCAACAGAAGCGGCAGCAGCAGCACCCGCGCCCGGCCTGACAAACAACCCGTCGGCGATGGACGCGAGCTACAACGGTTTCGCCATCGACGGCCTCCCGCGAGTGCTGCCAGACCTCGACCCGGATTTATTCCAGGTGCAGACGTCGTGCTTCGCTGCTCCGTACACCGCCGCGCCGGCCAATCAGTACGCCCTTGAGACGCCGCCAGGCTACCCCGTCGCCGACGGCAGGGACAGCGCCGCGGCCTCGCTGCACTCGCCGTTCCCTCTTGCTGAGCTGCCGCCGCTGCTGGGCTCCCAAGCAGCGCGCGATTGCTCTTCCTCAATCGCGTGGCGCGACGTGATAATGCAGCAGCAGCAGCAGCAGCAGCAGGCGAGGGGCCCCATGCTGCCGAACCTCAGAGACCTTGCCCCTCCGAGCCAGCCAGCCTGGTCGTCCTCGCCCTGGCAGATCTACTACGCCGACAGCTCCAGCGAGTCCGGCGGCGACGACAACGCCTTTGGCGAGCGGATGGACCTCGACGACATACCGTCGCCCCCGCAGCAGAGAGCACACCCGGCGGTGCCCGTCGAGCCCCAGCCTCGCAAGCCGCTGCCGGAGGGACGAGCCGATCGCCTCTACACGCCCGTCGTCCCGATCCTGCCCTCCAACGACAAAGGCCGGGCTCCTCCTCCCCCCGCTGACAAGATCGCCGGCAACCGCCGCCGGCCTCTTCCCAACAAGTCTCGCTCGTCCACTTTGGACAAGAAGAGCGCCCTGCCGGGCGCAAACGGCGGCGGCGGTGGCGGCGGCGACTCGGACTCCGACGCCCCCCTGCAGAACAAGTCCCTCCTCCGGCGCAGGAGGAAGCCCGCCGTCCCCGCCCCACCGCCCCCGTCTTCCTCAGACGCGAACAAGTCGTCGTCGTCGTCGTCGTCGTCGTCGGCAAAAAAGCCACACAGCTACGCCGACGACGACGGCGCCATCGAGCCGGTGGACCTCAGCAGCGGCTCGAAGCGCGAGCGCGACGCGTTCCTCCTGCGCTGCCGCGGGGCGGGCATGTCGTACCGCGAGATCAAGGCGGCCGGCAACTTCGCCGAGGCCGAGTCGACGCTGCGCGGGCGGCACCGGAACCTGACGACGGCCGTCAAGGACCGGGTCCGCAAGCCGGTCTGGCTGCCCGAGGATGTAAGTCACACCGTCTCGTCATAAAACCCGCCCCGTTCCACCACCGGGACACACACACAAAGTTCCCATGTACACCAAAATATGAAACAGGCTCATGTGTACATGCATGCGTGTGTGGCTGCGTGTGTGTGTGAAAGAGAGAGACAGAAGGCTAATGTTACTCGGACTGAAAAATCACAGGACCGCCTCCTGGAGAAGGCCTTCCCCATGCACACGCGCCGGCGGAGCGGCGCGGTGCCGTGGGCCGAGATCAGCGATTGGATGAGCCGGAACGGCGCGTCGTACCGGTTCGCACCGCACACGTGTAGCCGCCGGTGGGAGCACCTGGGCGATCGGGAGCGGAAGGGGGTAGCGCCGGCACATGCCCCAGGCGCGCCGCACAAGGTCGAGAACGATGCGGGCGCCGCACACTGAGTGAAAGTCGTGCGGAGGTTGGAATATGTCCGTTGGCGGCGCGCGCCCGAAGGGAATGGCAAGGTTGATATCGTGTATTTCATACTTTTCGTTTCTTCAAGGATATCTCCAGAAGAAGAACATTTCAATAACTCTATTATTCCCTTTTTTGCCTGGCCAAGTCCCTAACCACAGGGATACCCAATCTTGCCCAGCACCTCGCTGAGCTGCGCCGGGTCCGCCCGCAGGGCATCCCACTCGGCCTCGCTCTTGACCAGCGCCGTGCCCGCCAGCACCGTCCCGTTGAGCGCGAGCATGCCCACGTCACTGCCGTCCTGACCCCTCAACCGGGCGCCCTCGCTCCGCCGCGGACACAGCACGAACGTGTCCCGGGTCATGCCGAGGTTGTAGCTGATCTGCGCCTCCGCCGCCTCGCCAACAGGTATCCTGCCCTCCTCGAGGTCCGCCTCCGCCCGCGCGCCCAGCTCCACGCCCAGCGCCCGGCAGGCCCGTTTGTAGAGCCGCAGATACACCCCATGTACCCCCTTGCCCTCCGCATCCCGCACGCCATCGTGCAGCCGCTCCGCAAACGTCCCGAAGGGGAGAAGCGTCCCCTCCCCAGCGCCGGGTATCCTATCCGCCAGGACGTCCCACCCGTGACTGTGACTGCCCGAGAGCCCGTCCCGCATCCTCTCCACGGGCAGGAGCTGCACGTGCCGGTGCGGCTGGCTGGCGCCCGAGTGCTCGCCGCTGTTGAAGAAGGCGAACAGCTGCTTGCCGCCGCCCCCGGGCTGCCGGGCGTACGCCTCGATGCACGCGTACGTGGCGGCCAGGTCGGCGGCCTCGAGCAGGCGGGTCTGCGGCTCGTGGGCGCGCGTCGCGAGGATGAAGTGCTCCGGCACGACGGCGAACTTGTTCAGGACGAGGTTGTGCGACGGCGGGTCGAGAGGGCAGACGAGCATCGGCGGGGACGGGTTGTCGAAGGGGTCAAAGGGTTTTGCGGCGGTGCCGGGCGAGGCCGCTGGTCGGGGCGGAGGTTTGGGCTTGTTGGCTAGGGCTGGGGAGAAGCGGAGTTGGAACTGTTTGAGAGAGAAGGTCAGTACTGCCCGTTAGTAGCGAGGTCGGCAAATCACCAAGGGGCGAGGGTCGAGAGTCGAGGAGGGCGTACGGGGATGGAGTTGACTGTGAGAACGACGACCTGCGTCGCGTAGTGCGTGACGTCGCCGCTGGCCACGGCCTTGTTGAAGGCGCTCCTGACCACCTCGGGGAGGTTGCTGGGCACCTTGATCGGCGCCATGGCTCTTTGTCCGGCGCGTCGTGAGGGAAGTCGGTCGCGGGGGAAGTTCAATTGAATATGGGAGACAAAAGTGTGTCGTGGGGCGGCGGGAATAGCTTCGATGAGGTCATGGCTTGGCACGTGCGGTCCATCATACGAAGCTCGATCGACACGATGCAGAAAGCGGAAGTTATTTGTTAGAGCAATTGATCTGAGACTTTATTATCCTATCTATTCAAGCAGCCGTCTCTCTCTCTCTCTCTCTCTCTCTCTCTCTCTCCCCCCCGTCCCACCACTCTATATCCCAGGCAAGCCGACCAGCGCGCGTACCGCCGGCACCCACCTGGGCAGCACGTAGACGGCATACAGTCCCGCCAGCGCCACCAGCAGCCCCGTAAGCTTCTCGAACCAGGTGTGGAAGTAGATGGCCGTCATGAGCAGCATCCACAGGCTCAGCGCCACGACGGCGGCCACGAGCCTGCCGCCGAGCGTCAGGGACCCGTGCGCCGCGCTCGCCGCCCCCTCGGCCTCGGCCTCGACCTCGGCGCTCTTGACCGCCCCGTCGCGCATCACGACGCTCCGCTCGTCTCTTTTCCCTCCTCCTCCCGAGGCAGAGGCGGAGGCAGCAGCAGCAGCCGCCCGCCGGCCCCTCGCCACCACCCACCCGACCTCCTGCGCGAGGAAGACGCTGCCCAGCACGAGCAGGAAGACGTGCCCGCTGATGTCGTGCCCGCCCGCCCACCTGCCGCCGGCGCCCTTGCACGCCACCGCCGTGACGAGCTGCGCGGCGTCCGCGTCGCCGGCCGCGGCCCGGGCCTCGGCGACGTCGCACTTGCCCCCCGTGTACCGGAACCCGCGGTCGATGAGGGCCGGGCCGAAGCACCACTGCGTGACGAGCACCCACCACAGCGTGACGAGCGCGTACCGCGCGACGGCGCGCAGGCGGGCCGCGGACCGGGCGGCGCCGCGGAGGGCCGGGTGCGTCAGCGCAAAGGCGAAGAAGGCGGCCGTGACCCAGGCCCAGCCGCGCTTGACGAAGAGCACGTTGAAGAGGTTGCCCTTGCGCGCAAAGTACGAGGGCGCCAGGGAGGCGTCCTGGGCGTAGTGCGTCTGGGCGACGTGGTCGTAGGGCGCGGCGCGGGTCTCGGGGGACAGCAGGGAGAAGAGGGTGCCGAAGACGAGGAGGAGCGGGTAGGCGCACAGGGCGAGGGCCTCGGTGGGCGTGGGGAGGAAGGGCGAGTTGCGCGCGGCTTGAGCTGAGGAGGAGGAGGGTGGCTTCTGAGTCGCTGTCCTCCTCCTCCCGCCGCCGACGGAGGGGCTGTCGAGGCCGTTGGGGGAGGCGGTGGCCATCTGGGACGGTTTGGATCGCGATCGGAGGTTTGCTGAGGGAGGCGTGTCCATCGTTCGGCGGTTTTTGTGTTGCGTGGGGAGTGACCGAGCAGCAGTAGTAGTGGATAATTGATATCTAGCTCATGAGGAATAGAGAGAATGCAGGATTTGTTTGAAACTGAGCGAGAGGGAGGGAGGGAGATGGCAGCGGACGGATGGTCAATTCGTCGAAGAGTGTTCCATGGGCAAATGGGGAATTTCTAGCCACTTCCATGATTGAAGCTGCAGGTGGCCTTTTGTCGAGCTTGGAATTCGCGACAGGTGATGACGTTTTTTCATGGACGCCGCTAGCACTAGAGTTTAGCGTCTGTCAGTGGCGGGAGCACAGCTGGAGCTCGGCCAGCGGGGGCTTTCAGGCCCCGTGCCGAGGCATCACCACACTGGACGACTCAAATCGTAGGTGATCAACGCCACTCAGGGTACCTAGGCTGAACAAACTCACATTGGATCATCATCACGCCCACAAGGCAAGACATCATTCATTTCACACGGGTCACTAGGCACAGCCCGCAAGATCCGAACACGGTTTTGAAAATCATCGTATCATATTCCCTTTGAGAGCTAAAAAAGACATCTCTATTCATAGCAATGTGTATCAACGCCGCAATCCTCCAATGAAGGAGTCAAGGTATCATCAAGTCGATAAGAAATGAAAGAAAAAAGAACAAAGCAGAGCAAAATGCCTCTAGGGCCTAATCATCGAAGAAGTAGTGAAAAAAAAGAAAACGGAAAAAAGAGACCACCCCATGCAAGGATAATCTAAGGTAGGTAGGTAGGTACCTCGCACCGTGTATATACCGCCCCAGCACGTCTCGCCTCTTTTCAAACCACCCTCGCCGCACACCCAGGAGCCTTCACGTCTCCATCCAGCGTGGTGGCCCCAGGACCGGCCCCCGACGGGGGACCCCGACCGCCGCCGGCGCCGCCCTACTGCGCCGGCGTCGTCGTGCCGCCGCCGCCCGCCGTCGAGAACAGCGCCAGCGTCGCGCAGAAGGTGCTGCGGTTGTCGCTGTCGAGCGCCGCGCTCTGCCCGTTGACCGTCAGCATGTTGACCGAGGCCTTGGTGCTCAGGCCGTACATCTGCACGCTCGACCCCTCGAGCGAGACCATGTTGTCCTGGCAGTCGTTGGCCGACACGCACTGCTGCGCGTAGTTGTCGAAGAAGCTGTACAGGCCCGCGCCGTACACGAAGACGTCGCGCGAGTTGACGGCCCGGAAGCCCCACGACCGCGCGCATTTCGGGCCGCTGCACTTGGAGAAGTCCGGGTCGTTGTACTTTGCGTTGGCGGCGAACGGCGTGCGCGCGTCCGGGTTGCCCTGGAAGTAAGGGGTCTCGGACTGCAGCATCGTCATGTAGACGTTGCTCGCGTTGCTGAGCTGGTAGTTGTACAGCACCGAGTGCTCCGACGCGGTGCCGAACATCCACACGGGCTTGGACGACTCGACGAGCAGGCCGCGGCCCGAGAAGATGTCGATCTGCTGCGAGTGCGCCGCCGGCTCGAGCGCGTGGTCGGCGACCCAGAACCACGTGTTCTCGAGGTAGACGGACCCGGTCCGGGCGACGTGCATCATGAGGAAGACGCCCATGCACTTGGGGTTGGCCGGCGCCGTGACGTTGGGGTTCTTGGCGCACTGCTCGAGCTCGAGCTCCGTGCCCGCCGACCCGCCGATGCGCACGTGCACGTCCCACATGGCCGCCGCGCCGGCGGTGCGGCCCTCGACGTTCCACTCGATCATGACGGCGCCCGGCTGGGGCCCCACGGTCTCGAACATGAGGTCGCTCATCTCGACGCCGCCGACGTCGCCCGGCTGGCCGACCTGGAACACGGGCCTGGGGTTCGCCTGGTCCTGGAACGCCGCGCCTTTCGCCATGATGAGCGGCCAGACCTCGCCCGTGATCTTGATGTTCTTGGGCACGCGCACCGTGTCGCTGACGATGTAGGCGCCGTGGTCAAAGTACACGACCTGGTTGCCCTGGCACTTGTCGAAGACGGCCTGGATGGCGGCCGTGTCGTCCGTCTTGCCGTCGCCCTTGGCGCCCGCGGCCTTGACCGAGAGGAACTGGCTGGCCGGCACGTCGAGGTACTGCGGCTTGGAGCGCGTGAAGACCCTGCCCGTGGCGGCGTCGAGCAGCACGCCGGGCTTGGTGGGCGCCTGCTGCGGGCTCTGCACGGCCTTGGAGGCGCCGACGCGACCTCCTCCTCCCGCGCCTCCCGCGGCGGCTCCGGGGGTGCGGCCCTGCGCCCAGGACACGATCTTGGAGCTGCCGGCCAGGACCTGCTGCTTGTTGGCGCCGCTGGCGACGGCGACCTGCACGGTCGACATGTCGACGTTGTCGAGGACGAGGGTGCCGTTGCTCTGCGGCGAGGCCGGGTTGTAGCTCGTCAGCACGCCCGTCTGCGTGTTGGCGATGACGCTGTCGAGCAGCAGCACGGAGCCGACGTTCTGGCCCGCGGCGCCGCCCGAGGTCATGTCGACGCCGACGACGGCGTCCTTGATCGTGACCCCCTGCAGCGACCAGGCCCAGTTCCACTGCATGTAGACGGCCGTGTTGCAGCCGTTGAAGGTCAGGTTGCGCGTCGTGAACTGCTGGCTGCCGAAGAAGGCGCCGAACCCGCCGCCGTTGAAGGTCAGGTCCGACATGAACCCGCCGGACCCGTTGTCCATGAAGATGCCCTTCTGCGCGTTCTCCTCGGACCTGTCGGCGCGCATGTTGAAGACGATGTTCTGCAGGCTCGTCGCCTGCGCGACCTGCCAGTGGATGCCGGCGCCCTGCGTGATGGGCAGCGCCGTGATGTCGATGACGAAGTTGCGCACCTGCCGGAAGAAGTTGTTCTGGTTGACCCACCAGCTGGCGCCCTGGTCGGTGTAGGGGTCCGAGTCGACGACGGCCATGCCCTGGAAGCCGGCCGAGGCCTTGAGGGTCGGCGGCGAGGCGAGGTCGCCCACGAGCTGGGTGTAGTAGTACTGGACGACGGGCTTGCTGACGACGTAGACGCCGGGCGGGAAGTAGACGAGGGCCGGGGTCGTGGTCTGCGAGTCGCAGCCGAGGCCGCAGCGGTTGCCGTCGGCGATGGCGCTGTTGATGGCGGCCGTGTCGTCGGTCGAGCCGTCGCCCTTGGCGCCGTAGTCGCGCACGTTGCGGAAGACCTTGTACCCCGGCGCGCCAAAGGCCGGCGCGCCCTGGCGCTGGATGCTCGAGAGCCACCAGGAGGAGGACCCGCCCGCGGCCGGGGGCGCGGGTGCGGGTGCCTGCGGCGCGGGAGCGGGTGCGGGAGCGGCGTCGACGCCCTGCGGGGCGAGGAGGCGCAGGGCCAGGAGGGAGAGGGTGAGGAGCTTGTTGAGGCCCATTTTTGTTCTTTCGTTTCTTTTTCTTTGGCTGTAGAACCAGCTCCAGTCAGAGAGAGAGTGTGTGAGAAACAGATGTGTGTGTGTGTGTGTGTGTGTCAAAGATTGATCGTTGCGAAACGGTAGAGTAGTCTTTTTCGTGAGAGAATGTCAGTCTTGTACGTTCGCGGTGTTGTTGTTTTTTTTGCTTTGCACACGCTCGCGTGTAAGCCAAAGTGAGTGAATGAGAGGTAGATATCTCGAGAAAAGAACGGGGCAAACTTCGAAAAAGAGAGAAAGGGAAAGGGAAAAGCTGAAAGGGGGATTGTGGGATTTAAATCATGCCCTGGCCCGAGGACGATGAATGCGCAAGAATGGCTATGCGCGGAGTCGGGATTGTTGGGTGCACACAATGGGCTGTGAATAAGCTATTGTGTGAGGATGAGGGTATTGATGCCGCTGTCTTAGCTGATGTTCGCGCCCATCGAGGCGTTGAATAGAAAAAGGGGGGTCTTGTGAGCCAGCACGCGCCTTGTGCGGGAACAATAATAGCCACCACAGTCCTCGATTCTGAGACGCGTCTCTTTTTATTCTTTTTCAAGGTCCTCGCTTTGTTCGTCCGATATCCCTTTGTTTTTTTTTTCCCCTCTTTACCTGTTGTCTTTGGGGAGTCTTTTTTTGGCGCGTGATAGCTGGAAAAGGTGCACTGGCCACACAGCTCGACTAACACGGGCAGCTCAGGGGAGAGGAGGCTAGGAAAGCAAGGGAGAGAGAGAAAGCAGAGCAGAGCAAAGAACGGGGCCGAGTCACCACCACAACACTCACTCACCTCTGACTCTTGTTTTAGTGATCGTTTTCCACCAAGTGAATAACCAAGAAGAAGAAGAAGAAATGATCCTAGTAGTCCACCACAGTCATGAATGTCCTTCTCTCAAAATTGTCCCCAGTGAGAGAGTACAGTTTGGCCCGAGAAAAAAGGAGTGTGTCGTCGTGTAAGTAGGACGGAAAAGGAAACCAAAGCAAAGGTAGTAATATACCCGCCGTGATGTCGAACAAACAAGCGTGGTTGGCGAAAGAAAAATGAACGGAGGTTGAGGCCCTGCAAGAGGAAGAAGAAGAGAGGAGAGGAGAACAGAAAAGCCGTGATCGACAGAGAGGCGAACGGGTTGAATGTAGATGTATTAATTCCAGCCGGTGGCCACCGTTTCGGGAGAAGAGAGAAGATCGTCCTGCTCCCTGCTGCTGCCAAGTACTTGTACGGAGGTAAGGTAGTCTCTGGGCCCCTTTGGCGCGCGTGCTGGGTACATCTGATCGCCCAGTCCCCAGCGAGGATCCGGAGAGAGTGCATCAGTGCATCAAGACTTATATTACGGACCCTCCGATCAGGTCCACAGTGTCTGCCGCCCAGGAATTATTCAGGCCGGGGGCATGCCTCTCCATGGGTGGGAGTGGCCGTCCATCCATGCCACCAGGTGGTGCGTGCGATGCGTGTATCAGCCTGGGGGCCACGGGCAGGCGATGAGTGGTGTGCATGTACCCATGCCACCATGCCACATCTACTCCGTACACGTCTCCATGCCCAAGACTCACCTACATTCAAGAGTCAGGCCAGGAACTACGTAGACTACTCCGTGCATCGTTGTCGACATGACGGGAATTACGGGAGGTGGTGGCCGTTGTGGAGCCGGGGGGGCTTTTTGGTGGTCGGGGCTGGGCGGTCCCTCACTGATTCACACACTAGCACCAGTGGATCGACTGGCCGCCCGGCGCCCGACCACCACCAAGCGGAAACGCTGGTCTCCTGCTGGAATGCAAAAAGTGATGCGCCGCCTGCGAGCCAATGATCCATATAGCTCAACGCGCCCGCGCCCGCGCACACCATTCATTCAGAGCGCAGGGCCCATGTTTCTGCTAAAAGGGGAGGGGAGCGGACTTGTGTTCGCATTGACCGTCTGTTTCGTTTCTACAGCTGGACCGCCGGGGGGTGGTCGTCCCGGCCGCGTCATTGGCTGGGCTCCACGTTTCAGGTCAAACAAGGCTCCTTTGGGGGGGCGAACAATGAACAAGAAAAAAAGACCGAACGAGGCATTTGGGCCCCTTGTCACCTCCCAGATCCGTGAACAAGGAACAAGGACGTGGCGGATGGATGGCGAGGATCTGGTCTGGCCCGTCTGGCTTGCCAGGGGTTGGACCGTGGTCGAGGTCAATGCATTGCAAGCGCCTCAATCTCTGGTGAAATGTCGATCATTGCCGGTAAATGGCAATAGCTCCAGGAACCAAGATCCCAAGATCCCCCCGCCGCCAATCCAGGGCAGGCCTTGCAAGGAATGTTCCTGCATGGCGTTGACTGGCCTCCGTATCTGCAGATGCGTCCGTTCTATCCTCCCCTGACACCACCAGTGGCCACCACTCCTCAACCCTGTCTTGCGATCCTGAAAATTGCCAGATTGGATCACCTCCTTGGGGGAGAGCCAGTGATCAACGGGCTGTGTTTGGTGCGCATGGCAATCTTCCAGGCGTTTTGAGATGAAGTGTACAGCGATCGCCGCGCATCATTCAGGCAACGCCGCAATCTAGACGCTACCGAATGCTGAACTATATGCCATAACGGCGCTGACAATTTGCGAAAACGGGTTGATAGAACGGCCATTATCATCTTTGCCACGGTCGAACATGTTGCATGCCACCACTTATCAAATCAGCATCTTTTGATGGGAAATGGCCGAGCTTGTTTCAAACACAGGAAGAGACACACTGATGCCACCCAACCCACAGACTGCGGCTCCGCTCCCCGCACCACCACCGCACACCCCCTGCCCTGCTTCGTAAGCCGCAAATAGATGGCCCCCATCCCCCATGGCACTCGCTTCCACTGCTAGCTTGTCGCAGATGGCGTCCCTTGCAGGCCCAACGGGTGGCTGGCGGCCACCGGCGCGCGGGCGTCAAACCACCACAGCTCAAAGCCCGTCTGATCTTGTGCACCAACCATCTTTAGCTACCAACCAGTGGAGGCCGTTCTACTCCCGGGTTTTAGTGAATCCCGGGACGAATCGTCTCGGCTGGTGCCGAGCACTCTGACACTCCATTTTGGTACTGTACAAGTACAGCCAACACCGCATGCGCCGCCAATGGATGCACATTGATGTCAGTCATCACTGACAGATCCTCTCGGGCAAGCCACCAGAACAGCCTCAACCTCGATCACGACACGCTCACTCAGCTAAAAACCACGTGTCTCAACAGTCAGAAGCCCAAATTGTCTTCATCTATCGAATCTCTGGAATGCCCAAGCCCATAGGAACACAGTACGGCGTAACTACACTGCCCTGCATGGCGCTCTCTTCCTACGTAATTTTGTTTCTGCGCATGCCTTCCCTCCCTCCCCCCTCTTTTCTGAGACTTTCGCGTCGAGGCCATGTTACTTCGCAGGGCGCCTTTTTTTTCTCTCTCTCCTTTTCTCTAACGGCGAGTTCGTCGCAGACGCAATAATTTTAAAATAGGCCAACAGGGCTCTCTCGATGAGACCTTCTGCCACTCGGCCGACTTGGCAGAGCAGCTGCAGCTTCCGACCTCATCTTACTCCATTCTTGATGTCTTCTCATATCTTACAACCCTAGTCTCAGTGCAGCTCTTCAATACCATTAAGGCGACCTAGCCTTTTGAGCACCAAACATGTCATGACCGACGCGTCGCGTAGCCGCCGTCATCCCACTCTACGGCCAAACTGCGCTGCCGGGCCTGTGCCGGTCCACCGTTTCCCGTAGACATCGGCCCGCTAGCCTCGGGGACCCAAAAAAGATCCTCCTATCCCCGCCCCCTTTTTCTTCTTTCTCTTCTATCCTGCTTTATCTCGTCCGATCTAATAATGTGATGTTTATGCAATACTTGTACATGTTTCGGCAGCTTCGGATGACAGCTGATCTGACCCGCTGAGAAGAATCGAAATCCTCCGCCTGGAGGGTCGATGGTGAAACGGGGCAGGCTTTAACTTGAGACCCCTGGCCCTCAGCCTGCACCCAGCGAGCGTCCCCATCAGGTGACATGTTAGTGGGAAGCATATTCTCTCGTAAGTATCAGACCCTCAGCCACGTCGTATTGGCGTTGGAAAGGTCTCCTGTTGGCATCACGAGTTCCCAGATGTTTGTCTAGAGATTTGTTTCGCGTCACAAAACTTACACAGGTAAAATCTTAGGACTTGCGTTAAAAGACAAGAATTGGAAAATGTCACAAGGTTATTATCTATCGTCCACCATACCTCCAAAGATATAATTATGTGTTCGATTGTCTGGGCTGCATGATTGCAAACGGTCTAGCAATCCGCAGGGCATTTCTTCCATTCCAATTTGCCGTGCTTTTTGGATGAGATATTATCAAGAATAAATGCCGTATATATCCGGGCAGCTCACGAACTTAGTATCACCAAAACCATGCAATGATCTCCAGCTCAGCCTCAATGATGTTACATGGCACATCCCGTATCACCTGCAGCTGGAATACCATTCGACCAAATAACCCCTCGGATCGGATGCGTAAGCCTGCTTCAAGATGCTGCTACCCCGCAGAAATTCTGCCTTGCGCCCGACTTATTTGCAGCCTGGCATGCGCGCTCATGAGCATGATCCCTGAAATAGAAAGAAAGTTGCTCATACTTAAAGGCTTTTCTTCTCGAATCCACCCAGTAGAGGTCAATCTTGTAAAGTTTCGGCTTTAATTTACTGAAATGAGACCAAGCCAACCCCTTGCTATCAGATCTCACAATGGACTCGTTCCACGGACGCTTCAACGGGAAATCTCACCATGGACAAGTTCCGGCCATATTCCACCGGCATGGAAAGCTCACAATGGCTCCAGCTGATAGAGAAGAGTTCTTGAGGGCTGAGAATCAGACGAGTCGTGGTCATACGGCGGCACTCAATCAGCCGGATGATACTGCGCAGTTTGCATGTTCCGTGTATGACTGTGTGCTCGAGTTACATATCACAGATCAGGTCAGCCTAGATCTCTTGACCAGAGCTTTGCCTGGCATTCTGGAGACCTTCGCTCTGAGGCTTTTTCACTCGAATCAACGCCTATTTGAACAACGCGATTTCGCTAGCGTTTTACAACATGAGATAAGGTCATTCTTCCTAAGATCTTTGTGGTGGTGAATATATTACTAATTGCTTTGAAGGCCGGTTGTAGTACTCTTCAAAGAGCTGTGTACGACTCGGCTTGGAAAAGATTCCTCTCCTCAGCCACAACCATCAAGGCCGTCCTTTCTGAGTTTCTTAAAGAATTCTTTCCTCATCGAAGGTGCCAGAGAAGATACACTGCCTGGGCGTACCAGATCAACTAGTATGTCCCCACTTCCTCGTTGCTGACACCCGCTGATGAAAGGTCTTATCAGATCATGGGAAACGTCACAATGAATGTTTTGGCGAGCAGCGTGATGGCCGTTACAAGCAACAACTTTCGAACATCCCAGGGGTTCTAAGGCTCCCTTGGTGGCGCGATTGGCTCAAGGGCATGATGAGGCGAAGCATTTGCTGCGACCTACTTGACTCTACCAGGGCAACCATCTAGAGACGAGCCATCCTGAAGCACTTGTCAAGCGATGTCGCTACCAGTGCAGAAGTATGTACATCATCAACAGAGCAGCTTGTAGTGGCGGTCGATTTTGTCGTACATTGGGACCCAAGATTACTGGTGGAGGAATGGGCACATGACGAAATCGATATCATCACGATTCTCGGCAGGATAATCACCCTGACCGGATCGAGGGATGTACAGGCAGCTACCTGTGAGCAATATGTCCTACAAACATGGCCCGAAACAGGACAGCGAGCACTCGATTTGATTACAAAGGCCATCAAGGGATGGTCAGCACATGGGGCCAGCGCATTGGAAAAGGAACAACACTGTAAGTTGTTGCATTGTCTCGTTCCATGGTCACGTCAATCTCCTGTACGCAAAGCCACGATATACGGACGTTTCAAATGCTGACCTCTCTGCTCACTCACTAGTCGGTGAATTAGATGGGTTTGTATTTCTGGAGCATTCATTCACAGCCGCCAAACTCCTCATTAGAGCCGAAGGATCTCCTTATCTCGTGTCAGAACTGGCTGAGCAGATTGGCTGGATCGCTTCGGCCCTACAGAGCTCGCCTTACTCGTCGGAGATAGCTACCATCTATCCGGTGCTACATACACGTATGTTAGACAAGCCATTCTTCAGGAGTTCTGCAATGTTTGAACCTCGAGCTCGACAGGTCGCGCTGCGCGCAAACATGTACTTTGTCACAGAAAGGTACCTGAACCATCAATCTCCGAGGAATGGACAGTGCTGGCACAAGCTATTCAAGAATCCAGTGGTTGTTACTGGCTACCCAGTCCAGGTCAGACCAGCGCTTGAGCCAGGCACTGGCCTTGAGATTCCTTTGGATGTTCTGATGGCATTGGTCGATTCGACTGGGATCGAAAAGTTCAACGAAATGAACTTAATCAAAGGCTTTAGCGCTATTTTGGTTCCAACTCGGAAGGTTCAGGATATAGTCCTGTGGCATATGTGGTACAATGAGAATCATGAGAGAATCTCGTACACCGATGCTCGTATAGGAGAGTTTGAGTACGTTACTGAAGCGGAGCTTAATTCCTCCCGTCACATCGTGGGATGGTGTTCTCGTGCCCGGAATCATACAGGTGAGAAGATTGTACGCCCTTGCATTCGGATCTGCTGCTTATCGAGAGTGTATAGGATCGCCAAACGCCAACTATGACATCAAGTGGTCTGGACTAGGTTGCCCACGTGACCGTCATGTATGGGAGAAGGTTGTCGTTTCGGCCGGCTCAGAGAACGCCATAACTGTCAGCACATCCTTTGTCCTGAGCAAGAAGGACAAATCGATAGTATCGAGCCCCCTGCAAGGATATCGATCTCGCTTGACTTTTATGTCCAAGCAGTACGTTCTGCTCTATGATGTGGCAGATCGCAGGGCGTGGCTGGTTGACGGCCTCAGCGCGCTGCTCCATCTCGTACGGGCATCTTTGAAGTCAGAACACTCAGCAATCCCTGGTGTCCTGAGTCACCACATGAAGCAGATAAAAGAGGCCGATCCTTGCCTTCAAGGTGCTGAAGCAGCTGCATCTGTGCTTCTCAACGCGGACAATTGCGCAACTCAACTGTATCTCGATGAGGAAGAGTTGTGGGAAGAGGAGGTCGAAACTCGCAATTCTCGCGGGGAGACAGTCAGGGAAAGTTTCGCCAAAAAGAAGAAAAAGTTCTACTGCTTTAGGGATAGGGTCCTTGATATCTATTCACTTATGGAAAAGGTAGTAGATCATCTCAGCGATCTACGCTCGGAAAATGGGGTCGGTTTTCGATTTCGTGGCACTCCGCGAAACCTATTACAGGGCTTTGATTTCCAGGACCTTGCCACGTGCCAGACACCTCTGAGACCTCATACTGTCAAGCTCTCACTCCAGGGCTCTGGGCGGGGCTGGATCGACTTGGCAAGGTCGTTACAGGCGATAACGTTGTTTGGAAAAGATTTCGGAGATCTGATCACACCTAAAAATCCCCCTTTTGTTCAGGGCTGCGACGGTTGCGGCTTCGGTACCAGCCTCCCCAAGAACAAGGAGTATATGGGTGTATGCGTAAACCTCTTGGAGAGAATCATCAATGCTCGGGGGAGTATCGATTCCGTTCCCTGGAGGCTAGCGGACGATATCTACTGGCACACTCCGGGTCAGGTCTTTGAGTCCTGTCAATGTCGAAAAGGAGGCTTGTTCAATCACACCCGGAAAACCGACAGAGCACAAGTTCTTCTCCCGTCCAAAAATCCGCATATTTGGGCCCGAAGCTTCAACATTCCGGGTTCTTTCGAGAGTGGTGGCGCGGTCTACTTCTGCCAGGTGTGGAAATTCCCGTTCCGCCTTTCGCATCAGATGGAACTTCGACCCTTGCCGCAAGATGCCAACATCGGAGCCCAGGCAGACGGGGCGGCTAAGGCCACAATTAGTGTCCCAGCATTACCCCTGGAGAAGTGTCGAAACAAGGAGACAGGGGCCCAAGCTGGTCCGGAAGACATCATGAGTTAAAACCGAGCTAGGGTTTTGGTATTCACAGGACTATGGGTATGTGCCGAGAGGGCATTTCGTCATGCTTCCACCACGATGGTACTGCGGTGGGCAGATGTGCTCTTCCCGAAGTGCAATGACGCGCGTTTCCTTGCGTACAATTTCAGAGCTTTTCTCATGTCTTACACAAATGCTATCTATCTAGCAAACATTCTTCTTCGCATTGCCCGTGATAGCCCAAAAGATGTTCTCGGCACAGGGAGACTCGCGGACCGAGTTGTTGTTGACCTCGACCTCAAAGAAGATGCCGCTGGTGTTGGGGAACTCGCTGCGCGCCGCGACGCGCACCTCACCCCCGCCGTTGATGACGCCGTCCCTGATGGCGAGGTTGTAGCAGTTCTCGATGAGCACGGCGTTGTTGCCGTTGTCGGCCAGGTCGATATACTTGATCTCGGCGGCGCCGGACATGGACACGCAAAAGATGCCGCGGCCCCCGCCGCGCGAGACCACCTTGTCGACAAAGACATTGGTCTTGGTGTACTGCCCGTCGCCCAGCTGGCCGTTGTTGTTGGCGAAGCGGAGGGTGGCGTAGCCCGTGCCCTTGGCGACGTTGTTGCCCTCGACGTAGCCGACCCGCGCGTTGATGGTCTTTTGGAGCAGCAGCCCGCACTCGCCCACGTCGCGGGCGATGACGGACTTGATGGTCAGCCCGTCGATGTTCCAGGTCTCGACGGCGTGGCTGCCGGCGCCCGTCACTGTGATGGTGCCCATGTTGACGTTGTAGTTCATCGCGGCGTCGCGGTCGAACCGGATGCCCAGGCCGCCGCTGAGGTTCATGGTGATGTCGCCCAGGTTCAGGTTGCGGGTGCCGGAGCAGCGCAGGCCGAAGTAGGGGTTGCCGGTCATCTTGAGGTAGGGGATCTTGACGTCGCTCTGATTGATGACCTCGATGGCGCCGCGGCCAGCCTTGTTGCCGACGTTGATGGTGCCGCAGACCTCGAACGTCTTGCCGCTGGTCACGGTGATGGTGCTGGCGCCGATGCTGCCGGAGGCCGTGACGACGACGCGCTGGCCGCTGCTGATGCGGTCGAGGGCCGTCTGAATGGCGAGGCGGTAGTCCGAGCCGCTGTAGACGTTGGCCCCGTTGACCGTGGCCGTAAAGGTGCCGGAGCCGGAGACGACGGCCTGAGGGGAGCCGTCGCCGCAGGCGGCATTAGCGACGCTGATACATGCCAGCGCAGCTGTTAGAATAGAAGCGATGCGGGACATCATGATCTGTTCTCCGGGATTTCTGGTGATCTGGAGTAGCTACGGCTCTAATGGGTGAGCTAGCCCGCGTCAAGATAGAGTCGTAGAATGGCAACTTATATATCATGTAATTGGCTTCGAGGCCCGCAATGGGATCCTTGCCCATGGCTGGAAGACTACTCTCCGGTATCCATTCTCGTAATAGCCATTGCTGCATATAGGGACTTGGCATCAACCACCAATTCGACGGAAGGCTATTTCTCCGCTGCACTTAATTGGGGCAATGACCTCTCTCTCACTGGCAGTAATTCTTCCTTTCCAACTGTAGATACGAGCACCCATTGTGGTAGGGTATGAAAACGAGATAACTGATTGATGAAATTGAGAATTCTTTACGAAGAATCTCACCAAGAATCCAGTTGGAAGCTTTGCTTGAAGTCGACGAGAGTGAAACCTGTCAATCGCTGCATAGGACGAGATTGGCATACACATCCACAATATTGTCCCTGCCCCTTCAGTCCCATTTGTCTAAAGAAGAACTCACCTCCTCTTGAACTTCTAATGAGTAAGACAAAGTCTCCCAAGAAGGGGAGCATTTGAAATGCTGGCTGAAGACTCATCGCAAACACCCCGCTTCATCCGGCTTGGCATGCATGGGATCTTGCAAAGAGGTGGCACTGCCCGGGGACTCGGAGCCGAGCGAGAGCTTCTAGGAGATCTAAACACTATCGATCGTATCGTCTCACATTCTAATAAACACCTGAGAAACTTGCCCATATAGAAGCCACCGTCAGTCTTCAAGCTTCAGCCGCCCCTCTTGGTGACAGTTGAGGTTCAACCTTGACGCGGACCATGTCTATGTGTGGTGGAGTAACGATGCATCCGGCCACAAAATCTGTGCCTCATCATCAGTACTACTGACACAACATGTCACGGGATACCACAAATCATAACCTGAGGGCGCGGGCTTCGATCCTCGGGTGCTTGAGAAAATGCATTGTATTGGAGTATCCGGAAAATTTCGTGTTTTCGCTATTCAAAACCAACCAGACTCCCGTCGTGTATACATCAAGCCGCTACCGTCGTCTGCGGCGCGGCTCCCGGCGTCCCCCTCTCGAACCCAAAGTAAATCGGTGCCGGGCCCTCGACCTCTCGCCCCTCGGCCCGCGCCTTGTTCCTCGCATCGATGGCCTCGAGGTACTCGCGCGCCCGCTGGCCCGCGATCTGCCGCCGCTCCTTCTGAGTCAGGCCGTCTCCATCGTTCTCGGAACTGCCGAACTGCATGTTGATCTCCTCGCTCTCCTGGTTGCTGCCCTTGTTCCACGTGCGCGGGAACCACCACCAGATGAAGGCGAGCATGGCGGCGCAGATGGAGCCCAGCACGGCGCAGGGGACGACGATGCTGAGGTTGGCCATCGTGCTGCTTTCTCCTATTCCACTCCCTCGCCCTCTCTAAGTGTTTCGGAGCTCGATGATGTGCACGAATGTTTGCGTTCGAGACGCCTTTTGAGGCTGATGAGATGTCGTTACCAGAAGAACCGAAACAAGCTTTTTAGGGCGTGCGTGGGGGTTGGGGTAGCGCGGTATGGTAATCTGGGACGACCGTGTCGCGGTCCTGACTCGTTGCGGCTCTCGTTTGGGGCTCTGCGCAGTTCGGCCAGGCGTCAACTTTTGCTCGAATCGACGCTCCTGTCTGATGCATACGCCAAGGCTGGTTGTATGGGGTTTTAAGAGGCACAGAACGAGTCCATCCCACGATCTTTGAGCGCAAGCTCCCTCGTCCCTTTTGTGCGATGTCTCGCAACAAAGTCCTGCCGCGTCCCCCCCCAGAGCAAAGGCACAAAAAGGCCCGATGACTAGGCAAGGCGAGTGGCGTTTTGCTCGACCTTAGTGGCCGGGGTGCCCAAAGGGCCGACTGGGGCCCCGCATCAGCATGGGCGAAATGCTTCCCGAGAGCCTGCTGACTTCTGGACCGGTTAAGGTCTAGCGGAGAACGGCAGGCCGAATGGGTGCGTAACCTGGCCGAGCGGTCTACAAAAGGACGTATGCCCACGGGAGCTAGCATGCTCGTCCACGGCCATTCGCCCAAAAGAGTGATAGTGACTATTTACAGTTAAGATCCTCCGCTGATATGTCATTGTCTACCTAGGTAGCTGGGTGATTAGTATTTCGCCGACAGGGCATTGCAGTGGGCAACGTTGCTCATGCAACTCGGACAGGAAGAGCATCCTCGGCCGCAAAGAATTGCCCGATTGAGTCAAACAATGAAGGAAGGCCCTAGACAAGGAGAGAGAGAGGAAGCGAGGTCGAGTGCGAAGTCGAGTCGAAGCCGATCAGCTGCTCTCGGTGAGATATCGGTGCTGTTAAATTCGATGCCACAGAGGGGTATGCTGCACTATTTACCTGTGATCAATAATTTTCTGCATGATCTGGGGATCTTGGGTATGACAAGCGGCGTGTGGGTCTCCCTATGATCTATTACTGTGAACGAGGACACAGGATGAACCTCCTGATACTTGCTGCCTTCCGGTATTCAATAGGCAGACGCTCCAGTGTGTCTTCGTGAGCATACGTAGAACCTCCCTGATCTTGTGCTTAGCGGAGTACTAATATGCTTTTAAGACCAAGGGTCGTCATAGGTGCCCCTTAATAGTTGTCAGAGCGAAAGTCCTCTTAAGACAGCGGGAGTTTTGTAGGTTAGGTAGCGTGGGATACGTCCTTGAGGTAGACGATTTCTATTTGATAACTTAGATATCACTTAGACAAACCCGAGATCATTCAAATAGATTGACGAAATGGGGCGACCCAAAGAGGATGCGGTTAAAAAAGACTCGACATTAGGTGGGCTGCCCAACCTAGCTCTCTACATGTAGAGCCCTTTGCCCTCTTTAGGTTGACCACCCTGAGTTAATGCTTGGCTTACGTGTCTGTGCGAGTAGGCTTAGGGCTTCAGGGGTTTGAAAAGGAGGGGGACGATGGTTGAAACACCATAGTTATGTTCGCCCACGAGCGTTCTTATTCCTTTCGGCGTCGAAATTTATATTCTGTGTGTTATTGTACCTTGCCCCATCCGTAATCAGATTTCCATCCTACTACCTCTTGGCTCCCGATGTAGTCTTTTGGACTCCGTTTGTCCTGCGCAAGGTAGATCCGCCTCAATACTAAGACTAGCTTGTGCAATCGGTTTTTGAGTCAGTTTTCAAGTTTAAGATTGGCATTCCACTGTCTTAACCATCTTGATGCAAGTTGTGATCTCATCCTACTAGAGGTATCAACCTGAATTGGGACAGCAGGCCAAGAAAATGGCATCTGACTCGAAATCTGCTCAAAACTCAGAAAACGGAACTTGGTAAGGCTGACCAGTATGACGTCGGTGACTCCATATCTGAGTCTCCTCACCCAATTCAGCCAGCCTCTGGGATCATAGCGGTCTTAATTCCGCAGACGCCTCTGTCACAAATGATAGGAACTCGCGGACAAGATGGCCGAGTGGTCCGATGAACTGTTACACGAAGCCCTCAGCATCGCGCCACACATCGTCGGAAAGCCACTTGGGCAAAATTAGTAAGACGATCACATACCCAGCCCGCCTCACAGGGCGGACAGGGCAATATAACACCAAAACTGCCGAAGAGCCTCCCAAGTGAAAATGCCACATCCTCTATGTGCAGAATTGCTCCGGGTGGCGATGGCACACTTCTAGTTCTTCCACGAGTTTGGCTCCTCCGGTCTGGGCTATTTTCCCCTTCGATGTTTCAAAAGGGAGAAAATAGTGGGAGAAATGACTCGTGGATGGATGGCTGGCCCTGAATACCGGGCACGGCTCGAGCCTCATGTCTTGATTGATTGGAGGGCTTTTCAAGTGTGACTTTCAGAATTGATCCGATTGGGGTAGGTATCGCTAGCGAGGTCTTAAGCACCCCAGAAGTGACGTCTGTAGGGGCGGCAGAGCCGGCTATCGAGATCTATTAACGACGGTTCCTACGTTACACGGCGCGTTACCTCCCTCAACGGAGCAAAACTCTACCGTTCTCAGTGGCAATGAACTCATACCCGGAGCCTGGTCGGCTCTCACAGGCGGCACGGAGACAATGCCAGGTGGTCTATGTCTCACAAACACTTCTCCGACGGAAGCAAGTAAGACATGCCTGATGCGAAGCCATCGATCTTCTCTGCCCTGTGCAACATGTCAAAAAGGCACCGGCAACAGGTTGCCGGAGCATTAGGTGACACACTAGCTTCTTATCCTCCCTCCACGTCACTCACAGGTCGCATTACTTACGGATCAGGTGAACTCCTAGCCTACTCCTACCAATGCCATTGATATAGGTCGTGGAGTAAGTTCGGGCTTTGAAGGTGGGTTTTGAATGCGCCTCCGCGTCAAGTTCCAACCCCCGGGATGACCACTCCGAAATATGATATGTCATGAGATGACAAAGTGCCTCAACTCACAAACTGCTACAGTGGCGGAAGGCAAGTCTCAGAACCTGACGAAAGCATTCATCTCCGGTCATGCTCTTGGCATCCTCATACAATATCTCTGGGAGACCTTGCTTGGTCTATAAAAGGAGACGGCTTTCTATTCCACTTCCAAGATGAAGAAGATATTCAACAAGATCTTCATCACTGAGCCTGCCTTGTAATACTGCAACTCAAGCCTTATCATCCTCTAAGCCCCTTGATCATTCCATTCGATTGCTTAGATCTTTGACAAGACCACCAGCTTTCACAATATGTACTTCAAATTCAACACCGTATTCACCACCGCCGTCCTCCTCCTTTCCGGGTTGTCCAACGCTACCCCCTCTGCGGTCCGAGAGAACAAGCTAGTCGCCCGCAATCTCACCACCGACCAGCAGAACGCTCTGGCCATCCACAACTCGGCCCGTGCGGCCAAGTCTCTCCCGGCTCTGCAGTGGGACGCCGGCCTCCAGTCTGCCGCCCAGTCGTACGCCAACACCATGGCCTCGACCGGCGCGTTCAAGCACTCGGGCGTCGGCGGAGAGAACCTCTTCTACGAGCGCGGCGGGCGCTACCCGAACCCGCTGCAGGATGGCGCCAGAGCCTTCGTCAACGAGGCGCCCAACTACCACAACGAGGCCATCCCTCAGGGCAATTTCGAGGCCTACGGTCACTACAGTATGCATCCTTCTTCTCCCCGCCCCCTGGAATCGTATGCGATGCAAGAGCTAATATGTGTCGTTCTTTGCAGCCCAGGTCATGTGGAACAGTACCACCAAGGTCGGCATGGCTTCTGCTACTGGCTCCAATGGAGCAGTCTATGTTGTCGCCAGATACAGCCCTCCTGGCAATGTGTGAGTTTAGAGACTGAGTACCGGGTTTGCGGATTCGATATACTAATCATTGGATACAGTGTCGGTCAACGACCTTACAACTGAACACGTCTTACATGTATCCCGAAGGATGTTTCAGAGTCGTATGGTCCGGAATTATCATTAAGACATAGAACTAGGGTGTACGGTATATAACCAGGGCATTGGTATATGTATTGAGGAAGGATGACTTGTTAGGTTGTGTCTGGCTGAGCAATCGGTAATATCTCGTGAAGGATGGAGATGAGCGCAGATGACATAAACACTCCTTTAGAACTACATATAATTCAATGTAATCAAAGCACTCGATCATTCAACCATCTTCAATCACATGCATATTTTTTTTTTATCTATCCGCTCCAACCCCCCCGTGCTTCAAAAACGCCAACTCACTCACGCACCAAACTCCTTCTCGTAGTCCGTCATGCAGAAGCGGTACCGCACGTCGCTCTTCTCGAGCCTCTGCACCGCCTTGCTCAGGTTCTCGGCTGAGATGGGCATCGTCTCGACCCAGCTCCTGATCCCCTTGTCCGCCGTCAGGCTCAGCATCTCGAGCGTCTCGCGCCGCGAGCCCAGGTGGCTCGAGCCGATGAAGCACCCGTTGGCCAGGAAGGTCTGGTTCCGCACCTTGAGCCCTTCGCCCTCGGGCAGGCCCACGCTGACCCAGCGCCCGTGCACGTCGAGCAGCGAGAGGTAGGCGTCGAGGTCGAACCCGTCGAAGCTGCTCGCCGTGTTGAGCACCAGGTCGAACGACATGCGGTGCGGCGCGGCCCAGCCCTCGTCGCCCGTGGCGATGAAGCCGTCGGCGCCCATGGCGCGGCAGTCGGCCTCTTTCGCGTGCGAGCGCGAGATGGCCCAGACCTCGGCGCCGAGGGCCTTGGCGAACAGCAGGCCGAAGTGCCCGATGCCGCCCATGCCCACGATGCCGACCTTCTTGCCGGGCCCGCAGCCGTTGCGCACGAGCGGCGAGTAGGCGGTGATGCCGGCGCAGAGCATGGGCGCGGCGAGGGCCGAGTCGAGGCCGTCGGGGATGGGGAAGACCCTTAATAAATTAAAAAAAGTCAGAGTCAATCATACAGGGCGAGCGTTTTGCTAGACATACCAGTGCTGGTGCGTGCGCACGTGGGACGAGTAGCCGCCCTGGGAGACGATGCCCGAGTCGGGCCAGACAGACCCAAACGTGTCGAGCTGCTGGGTGCAGTAGGTCTCGTTGTCGTTCTTGCACTGCTTGCACTCGAGGCAGGCGTAGGACTGGGCGCCGACGCCGACGCGCTCGCCCTCCTTGACGTAGGTGACCTTGGGCCCGACGCGGATGGCCTTGCCGACGATTTCTTGGGGGTGACGACGGTTAGACAGACCATTTGCCCGGGGATGATGCCTCTCACAAAGACGTACCGTGACCGACGGCGAGGGGGAAGTGCTGCTCGCCCCAGCCGCCGCTGATGGTGTGGACGTCGCTGGCGCAGACGCCGCAGCACTCGATCTTGATGTCGACGTCGTAGTCGCCAAAGGGCTTGGGGTCGAACTGGTTCTTGTGGAACTCGGTCCAGGTCTCGGGCCCGTTGACCTGGAAGCCGGTGAACTTGTCCGGGTAGGCCATTGCGTGTGTCTGTGTGTGCGTGTGCGTGTATGCAGGGCTGATGCGGTGTTACGGGGAGAGGGTGTGACGGCGGTGCAGCAGACACGGACAATGTCCAGATGAGAAGGCCGGCGGCGTGTACAGAGAAGAGTGACCCGGGCAAATTGCTGGTTTGGAGAATCACGAGTAACCAATGGCGCAGATCAGAAAGAGGACAGAAAAACAAGCTGGGTTTAAAATTCGGGGGCTTTTTGAACGAAGCTGCGAGAGCAAAAAGCTGCCAAGATGTTGCGGCGAGCAGTTACCTAGGTATTTATCGCGCAGGCCACGATGAATCCGCCGGTCTCCGGCATTGATAGCCCGGATGCGCGCTTGCTTGCTGGACCGCCTCTCTCCCTCCTTCGCTCCGCAGTCTTTGATATCCGACGGATAAAAACGGACGCCCTTTGTTCCAATTCCCACATTGTCTTGCTGTTGGCGCTTGCATCTGCAATGCTCCTGTCGGCGAATCTTTCTCAAAGATCTTCCAATGCGACCTGAACCCCCACCACGAGGGAGCTTCCCCCACCACGTATCGTGATGCTAGCGACCAACGTCCGGCCTACCTAGGTAGCCCCGGTAGTCAGTCCGGGTACACCGACGATGGCGCAAGAAAGAGTGGCGCCGAATTTTCCCACCAAACAGAGATTGATCCGACGGCGGAGCTGGTTGGGCGGCGAATGTCTGCCCCGAGGTAGGGGATGCATCCGCCCAGAGCATTCATCTCCACGATGTCTCCCAAGGGTGAGAACTTGTGTTCTGAATATTTGACGGGGATTCAGTGATGTGACTAGTGTGAATTCTTGCCAATTGGTTCTTGTTGGGCGAGGGTCGACGATGGGTCCGAGAGAAGAGATCCACGATCAATCGACAAGGTCGCTGGCACGGCGATCCAACATCTCCATGTTGACAACTCGAATGTTGTCGGCACAAGTGTTATGACGCACTCATGTCCCGTAGAATTCAAGAGCTGCCTTGCCGTGGCTGCACCGTAACCGCCGCACAAAACCTCACGCCGCACGCTTCTGCCCAGCAGCCTCGGTCCCTCCTCCCAGCCCGACCCCGGCGAGAAAGGCGATCCTCATAGACGCGCCGAGGTAGACAAACGGAATGTTGCCCCAGTCGATCGCGTTCCACCGGCCGACGCTCCAGTATATCTCGGGCGCGCCCGCCGCGCGGACCGAGTAGAGGTGTCCGGCGTCGGCGACGAGCATGCACAGCAGCAGGGCGCGCCAGACGCGCAGGTCGGCCGTGGAGCGCAGGACGAGGGCCTCGGCGAGGGCGAAGAAGAGGTAGAGGTTGGCGAGCTGGTCGAGCACGATGGAGCCGCCGCGCGGGATGACGGCGTCGACGGGGAGGGAGGCGGCGTCGGTGAGCTCGAGGTAGGTCCGCTGGGCGAAGTGGGCGTAGTAGGTGCCGGCGAGGGCCGAGCAGGGCTCGACGAGGAGGAAGAAGAGGCGGTAGGGGAGGGGCAGGCGGAGGCCGACGGCGGCGGAGCGGAGGGCGGCCTGGGGCTTGCGACTGTCGGCCATGGCTGTATATCGCGAGTGGTGCTTTGTCTTCTTTGAAAGGGAGGAGGGAGGAGGAGGAGGAGGAGGAGGAGATGGTTGCGAGATCAATTGATTGGTGTTGTGCTGAATGCGCAATTCAGAGGGCCATCAAGGTGTTTTGCTTGTCTGGCGTGTGGATAAATTGGTGATTGATCCTAGCCAGAAGCTTGGGCTGGAAAAAGGAGAGCACGGCGAATTGCAGGGTTAGGGTTCACAGTGGAGAGAGCGGAGCGGTCATTTGTTTCCTTCCTTTCTGTACAATAGTTGCTCCGTATTCTACTCTCAGGGATTGAATATCATCAAGAGGCATTGTAATTGCCTCTCATATCGTCGAACTTCCTAACGAGAGTTCGGGTACGGCTAGCGAGAGTGCGTGGCCTACACGTGCGTCTCGCTCCAGAGAGGAAGAGGCCTGGATAGATTGTGCTCCGTACACTCTGCCACATGCACTCAGCAAGCCACGGGTTCGCCAAAGCCTTTGGCAATCTCCTTTAAACCAACAACAAAACAACAAACAAGGTCTGGCTCCAATCAGCAGGCTCGCACCAAGGGACCCCTGGACTCGGCAAGACGGTCCTGATGGTAGAGGGTAGCACTCGAGATGGCATTTGCGGGGGGGGAGACGACCTTGAAGATTGCGATGGGCCATCAAAGCACCGCGAGAAAGGCCGCCGTTGGTTTGGTAGGGTGGGATTGGCCCTTAATAACGGCCAGAGAGTGAGCAAGGGGGAGGGCGGTCCAATGGCGAGCAGCAGGTTGAGGCTGACTTCAGCTGATTCGCTCCAGCTGACGGTGGACGTAAATAGAGGAGAGATGGGGGGTCAGCTCTGGCCTCGTTATCAGGCCTTTTACAGGTTGTGTTTACGCAACTTGTTTTGGACGATTGTCATGACCACCGAGTGAGCGGCAGGTGCAAGCTCGTCAATCTCTATAGCGGCGAGCAGTGACAGGTTGCAAGGGCTGGAGAGGTGTGACGGACGGACATCAAGGAATGGTTGACTCGAAGGGCCACTGTACACACAATCTGGGCAGGGCTTGATGAGATGCCCATCCCTGTCTGGCCCGATGCTTAGCTGTACCAGTATTATGTGTATGGTATGGGCCATGGCGTTGTACTGCACACAACGCATGAAATAATAAACATCTGCACATCATATCACATCGTTCCCTGCACTGTTTATTGAATCAACATTTTTCTGTCGTGACTCCTGGCCAGCATGTGTCTGTGTCTTTGCTCCTTTCCGTCAGAGGAACACACGACACCGTGCCAGCACAGCACAGCAAATCATCACCTCCATGGCAACAGACCAGCGCATACATATTCCCCATTCAAAAACTACACTACTCATCCCTGCATGCAAGTGATTCCTGCTTCGAGCGAGCAGTTTTGTGTAGGTAGATGCAGCTCGCTCGACAGCATCTGACCGCAACCAGAGAGATCTGACCGCCACCACCCTCTACCCTGGTCTTATCGCATCACATCTCACCCACAGACACACATGCACACACACCTCCGTTTCGACGCTCCTCAAGGACGACGCTTCAGATAGGTAACCAGACAATCAGTGATTCTAGCGTGCCGTAGTCTTGCGCCAGCCCGTCGCACCATCTCCACTGCTCTCCATCTCCATCCCGACTCTCCGCCTCCGCGTCTGCTGGCGTTGAGCCTGGGGGACTGGGCCGGGGGTGGAGGAGCTTCAATGGATTCAATGCACTGGCACTGTTGTTTATTGACTCGGTGTTTCATTCGCTTCAGCACTCGCAGAAGAGAGACAGCACCTGCTACTGGCCAGGGGATCGACAATGTACATAGAGACATGGAGGTATTGATCGACCAACGTCTTTACCGCTCCTGTCGCTGAGCACATCAATTCCTTGTTCCGACGCTCTCAAACCGGACGGTCGAGCCGAGACACTGAAAAGGGAGAAGAAAAAAAGAATTTTCCTTTCCTGCATTGGCATTGGACCCTGAAAGCACTAATACTCCGTAAAAGCTAAAAGGCTGCAAGGGAGCCACTCGCCTCAGCCAGATCTTTTGTCGGAGCGGTGGCGGCTTGTTCTTTTAGTCTTGTGGATTCTCTTACTCGGTCAGGTTAGGTGCCTTACAAGTCTCCTGGTCTGGAGCAGAGCAGACATTTTCAGCCCGTGCGGATACTCTCTCCGGGGAGGTGAGGTACCTGGTCTCCTGGTTTCCCTCTCCTCCAGCTAGCTGCTCCAGGGCTGTCCGCTTCCCGCCCGCATTCCATTCCTGGTCGCCCCCCCACCACCCAGACACTAAAAAAGGACCAGACGAGCCTTGCTCGAGAGCCAATTCCACTGGATACAGGTACAGGCACCGCTGTATTCAGCGCAGCGGACAACGCCGGGTGTCCCTGAGTCAAGTCTCGACACCACCAAATCCTCGGGCTCCCTTCTTCCTCTTCCCCTTCTTCCACTCTCCCCTGCCCGGAGTCGAGGAGACAGACGACAACAAGTTTGCTTTTCCCTCTTTCCAGACGCTTTGGGTTTCTGTCTTTATCCCGTATACACCATTGCAGAGAAGCCTGGCGCCGGCGGTATAGGTAGTCTTGCGACAATCCCCAACCTTCTTTGATCTCATTTGTCTGCATGCGCATATTCCCACTCTTTCGCCCTCGCCCTCGCCCTCCGCCAAAGAAGCAAATCCATTGGGACCGATCCCTTACTGCCTCGTACTGCCTCGATACTGCCTCGGCCGCCAACCCTCCTCACCACGCCTTCGTTACGCCTATTTCTTCTCCCTTTCGACGACGGCCTCTCTCCTCCCTTCCTTGTTGACCAGCCATGGTCCAGACCCTCCCCAGACGAGTCTTCCCCGTCAGCGACTGGGCGCCCTCTCAAGAAGCCATGTATCCCGAGTCTTCGTCGACGCAGCCTGCCACGGCGCACACCTTCACCACCCACGAGCCCGACTCTCCCACCACAGTCGTCCCCAACGCCCTGCGCTACCGCAGCATGAGCATGACCCTCCCCTGGCGCCAGCGGCCCAAGTCCGCCCTCTTCGGCGGCCACGACAACGATCATCATGCGGTTGATGCCTTCGCCGACAGATTCCCACCGCACGACATGAGGCGGGCGCGGTCCCGAACCCACGGCGATGTCTTTGAAGAGCACGACGAGGACCACACCGGCGACCACGGCGAGGCCTCAGACCACCCCACCGCCGCCTCCAAGGGCAAGAAGGCCATCAAGGGCGCCTTGCGCCGGGCCTCCATCTCCCTCAAGGGCATCATCATCCCCAGCCGCCGCACCTCCGTCGCCACAAGCAACGGCGAGGAGCACCACCACATCCGCTCCATGCTGCGCAGCGCCCACGAGCACCACGCAAGCTCCCACACCCTCTCTCCCTTCGACTCCGCGGCCGGCCCCAGCCACTCCGCCCGCCCGACCACATCACACTCGACCTGGCGCCGCCTACGGCAGGCCGCGAGCTTCCGCCACTCGAGGGTGCTGTACGACGGCTTCCCGGGCCTCGAGACCATCGAGTCCCCGCGCGAGTCCACCTTCAACCTGCAGCCCCAGGTCCCCGTCCCGGGCACCAACAATGGCCCGCCCATCATCCCTCCCAACACGGGCGGCGCCGCCCGGGCCGCCGCCGCCGCCTTCCAGTCCGACATGCAGCGGAAGTGGCTGCACCCGGAGGAGTACCCGACCGACCGCGAGAGCGGCATCGGCATCGCCGTCACGACCTCGGACTCCCCGGCAGAGGGCTTGATCGCGGACGACGACGAGCAGCCCGACATGGGCGTCGACGTCGACGACCGCGCCGTCGTCGAGGGCTGCTGCGGCGTCGACGTCCCCGGCATCACCCGGATCGACTTTGTCTCGCGCCTGCCCACCGAGCTCGCCATCCACATCCTCGCCAACCTCGACGCCGCGGGCCTCGCCACGGCCGCCCGCGTCGCCCGCCGCTGGCGCTGGGTCGTCCGCAACCAGCACATCTGGCGCGAGTCCTTCCTGCGCGAGAAGACGACCACCTACGCCACCAGCGCGCCCGTGCGGCCCGGCGCGGGCCAGGGCATCCCGCCCACCCGGCCCGGTAACGACTGGAGGCAGATCTACAAGACCAAGGAGGAGCTCGACCGGAGGTGGAGGGAGGGCAAGGCCACGCCCGTGTACCTCAACGGCCACTCGGACAGCATCTACTGCCTGCAGTTTGACGAGTACGTTTCTACCTTCTCTCACTTTTACCAGCAAAGGTCGCCCCCGTTACTGACAAAACCACCCCCCTCCTGCAGGTCCAAGATCATCACCGGCTCCCGCGACAAGACCATCCGCATCTGGGACATGCACACCCTGGCCTGCAAGCTCGTCATCGGGCCCCCCGAGGTCATCCACGACCCGGCCCTGCTCTACGACGAGGACGGCCGGCCCACGCACTACGCCACGCCCGACGCCGCCACCACCAATACCGAGACGACCGCCGCCGTCCGCGGCCCTTCGTCCACCCCGGCCGCCGTCACCTTCGAGACGCACCACAAGGCCTCGATCCTGTGCCTGCAGTACGACGACCGCATCCTCGTGACCGGCTCCTCGGACGCGACCTGCATCGTCTACAGCATCGCCTCGGGCTACCGCCCCGTGCGCCGCCTGCAGCACCACACCGCCGCCGTGCTGGACCTGTGCTTCGACGACCGGCACATCGTCACCTGCTCCAAGGACATCTCCATCTGCGTCTGGGACCGCGAGACGGGCTCCCTGCTCAAGCAGCTGCGCGGCCACTCGGGCCCCGTCAACGCCGTGCAGATGCGCGGCAGCACCATCGTGTCGTGCAGCGGCGACTTCCGGGTCAAGCTGTGGAACATCGACACCGGCAAGGCGATCCGCGAGTTCCAGGGCCACACCAAGGGGCTCGCCTGCTCGCAGTTCAGCGAGGACGGGCGGTACGTGGCATCGGCGGGCAACGACCGCGTCATCCGCGTCTGGGACGCCAACACGGGCGAGTGCGTGCGCGAGATGCGCGCGCACGAGAACCTCGTGCGCAGCCTGCACGTCGACAGCGTCAGCGGCCGGCTCGTCAGCGGCTCGTACGACACGGACATTAAAGTGTTTGACATGGAGACGGGCCGCCAGCTGCTCGACTTCCCGCGCTGGCACGCGAGCTGGGTCCTCAGCGCCAAGAGCGACTACCGGCGCATCATCAGCACGGGCCAGGACCCCAAGATCCTGGTCATGGACTTTGGGGCCGGGGTTGAGGGGATTGAGATGTTGGAGAGCTGTGGTGGGCGGGGTGGTGGTGCTGCTGGTGCTGGTGCTGGCGTTGTCCCCGTTGGTGATGGGGAGGGGAGGATATGAGAGGGGAGAGGGGAAGAGTGAGGGTGAAGTGAAGATGAAAAGAAGAATTTATTTGGGAGTTTTGGGAAAGATTAGAGAGATATTCCCCCTCTTTTTTTTTTTTTTTTTTTTTTTTTTTTTTTTTTTTTTTTTTTTTTTTTTTTTTTTTTTTTT